AATTAGTTTATATGTATTTAAACATTTTATATCACTAAAAGATCCGTTTAACTATAATAATGATAACAATAATAGTAAAGTGTTACTTAATTGCGCCATCTAACGATATTAACATAAATTTAATTTTTCTTTTAAATTTTAATAACTATTTAAATAATTAAGTTGTGATAGAATCTTGTTAGAATTAATTTATATTCATTTAAATATCTTTTATCAATTTACTTCATAAAAATTTCTTTGTTAAACAATTATAATAAAATAATTTGTCACGTGGTTGCGCCATCTCTTATCATTAGCATAAAATATTGTTATCATTTAAATTTTAATTTATTTCTTTTATTTTTTTTTAAAGATACCTTAATAAATATCTTAAAAATATTTATTTATTGGAATTTTCGGCATAATCGTTAAAATTTTCAAAAGCTTCCGCCATATAACCGGTTCTTGACGCTGAAATTGGTTCGTTATTATAAATATTTCTAGATCCTTTGGTTGTTAAAGGTCTGCTCGAAGTTTTTCGACGATGATAAGAAGGAAGTGCGAATCTTTTTTCAACTCCCACCGGAGAATCGTTAAAAAAATTTCGATAAGAACGTTTCGATAGTATCGGATTGAACGCTTCAATGGGTTCATTTTGTAGATAGCGATTGTAATATCTAAAATTATTCGATTTTTTAGCCGCTAATTGTTGCATTTCCAGTGATATTTCGTCGAGATCGTTAATTAAATCTTTTCCGTACTCGTCATCGTCGGTAATTTCGTAAATACGTATAATTTTTCTTGAATAAATCGAATTGACACATGACATAACCTTAAAATTTGAAAAAAAAAATTTTTGTATTCAATTTAAATATTATCTTACTATGAATGATAACAAGAAAAATATATTGTTAATAAACATTTTACTTTGATTAATTAACTCGTTTATTGTTATTAAACGGCTGAGTAATTACTATTAAGTCATATTTTTTTTATATATTGTGTGGGTGTTAATTGAAAGAGAATAAATTTTAAAGAAATTAATTTTTTTTCAATAACCAAACTTTTTTAGCATAAGTTAAACAAAATTTAGAAAAATATTTACGGAATTGTATAAACTGTTTATCAAGAAGGGAGTGTAATTTAATATAAACAAAACTGTGGGTATAAAAGTAACTAAAAATTTGGAGCGGTTCAGTATTTTTTTTTCGTTCAAATTCCTCATTAAGAAAAAATGGAATCCTCTCAAACCAATAAGAGCAACACTATTGAAGCCGTAAAATCTGTTAAAAATGAAGATTTCAATTCTAAACCGAGCGCAGAAGAAAGTGTACCTAAAACAAGAGTAAGGAGACATTTGGTTAACGTTCCTCATAATTGTGTAGAGCAATGTCGTTGTAGAAACAGCCTGGATGATTTTTAAAAGTAATTTTTGATTCATAATTACTGTCAAAATTTTATTTTGTATGAAGTTAGTTACAATATTTATATGACTTTAACTACCCTTAAAAATGTTTTCCTTTTTATTAACGCTTTTATTTTTATTTCGTATTAATTGTTTATCAAAGATTGTTTATGCGTATGGGTTTAGTACGTAGAATAGTTTCTAATTTTAATGTACAAATACGTAAATAATAGTGACAGATTAATAGACTTGATATGTGCAGGTGCGAATCGAATTTCGAGGTTGAAACCATTCAGAAATGGTTTGAATAATTTAAAAAAATATGTAGTTTTCATTATTTAAACATTTGATGTCTTTTTTATTAATTGTCACAAAATTTATTGTCATAAATATCCTTTAAATAATTATCTAAATGCTTTTTTGTACTTCGTTATTAAATTAAACAAGGAAACAATGGAACAAGTCGATATTGATAATAAAACTACAGTTGAACAAGTTGATAATAACGATGTTGAAGAAATAAATACACAAATTGGTAACGACAAAGATCCTAAAAATTGCCCACCTTGTCCTAATGACCCGACACAGAAAGTGCCACAAGATCCAAAAACAAATACAGAAAAACCAGACGAGAACGCAAAATAAGTTTAAAATTTATGTTAATATAGTTTATAAATAAATCTTAAAATAAATTACTAAGTATTTTATTCAAAATTCTTCAAAGTTTGGTGGTACATTCACAATATGTCTTTTCTTCCTTGATTTAGATTGATTCTTCTCATTACCTTCTACTGATACGTTCACATCTTCTAACGTATTTAATTTTCCCTCTTCTCTTTTCTCGATTTTATCAGATTTGATATCGTTTTGAGTAACCATCACTTTTTGTTGGTTAGGATCCATTTTCGAATAAAATTTGTTAAATGTGATTTCTTATTAACACTTTATGATACGCTTTGTATCAACTCTTATATTATAATACAGAAACAACAACATAAAACTAGTTTTGTATAAACTAGATATCTTATCCAAATATATTTTGTGATATTAAAGATAAATCCATCGCAAACATTTCGATAAGATAACATAAATTAAATAAAATGAGAAAGATTATATTGTATTAGTAGTACCTTGATTATATATATAATCAAAGGTACTGCTGTATATGTGTAATAAAATGACAAAAAGTTATGCAACCTAATATTCACATTATTAATTTGCTCAAAATAAAAAATTTTGGGCAAAGTTATGGGTTATGGATGATATGTAACTGTAGGCATATTGAGTAAGATTAGTTATGTTTACTAAGTTAATGGTTAAGATTATGAAATAAAATGTTTATCATTTTACTGATTTAGGCAACATCCCTTACACATCCAAGTAACGTACTAATAAAGGGATTTGCAATAACAAATTCATATATTCCAATATTATATTTTCATATTATTCTAATATTTAAAAAAGTTATTAAAATTAAACTTAAATTTATTTAAATATATTTTAATGTAATATTCCAATAATTTATTTAATTTAAAAATACTTTCACCTATTTCCAATTCTAATACAATAATAAGTGTAATGTCACAATGTGTAATGTTACCTACCACCGCCATCTATCAGTATCAGAATAAACTTATTGTTAGTTCAATTTTTTAAATTACAAATATATATTTAAATAAATAAGTTACGACAGAATTAAAATTGTTAAAATTAATTTTGATTTTATTTAAACATATTGTATTAACTTATTTCATTTAAGAATACTTAGATATTATAATTATAATACAATAGCCTTGTTTATAGATATAGATGTATATCTATAAACAAGGACAATAGTAATAAACTGTCATGTAGTTGCGCCATCTATTGGCGATGGATTAAACTTGCTGCACCTTTTAAAATTTAAACATTTATTTTTAAATGTTTACCTTACATATTACCTTATATTTAATGAAATTTGAGTTTCTTTGTACTTTTATGTTATAAAATAGGGACAACCATTGTAGCGTCGATTTGAAAAAAATACAGATAGATATAAAACAACAAAATAATTTAATAAAAGTTTGTTTGTGACAATAGAAAATAAATACAATCAAATTCTTTTATAAGATTTCTTAAATAGTAATAAAATAAATAATATAATAAATAACTTATTGTTAAATGAACACAGATCCTTTGTATTTTAATAATTAAATAATTATCCAATTAAATTCTTGTTTAATGGCATGATGAAATCTTGGAATCATACCTGAAATCAAAAAAAAAAATTTATTAATAAAGTGTTAATTGTTAGTGCAATTAGTAACAATATCTGTTTATTTATTAAACATCAAGGAGGAATTTAACGTTTATTTTAACGTTATAGGTAAATATAGAGATAAATTAAACGACAATTGATGTTTAAGAAAAAGTTTTAGATTATTTTTACAAAGCTATATTGAGAAAGTGTTATTAATTGACTATTAATAGATATTAATAAAAACAATGAGAAATATAAAAAAATATTTTTTATCTAAATAAGTATGCAACCCAATATACACACACTTAATTACATACCTTAATTAAATTTAATAAAATTGGTCTGGATAAAAATTTGTTGGTACCATAACGATATGGTGTTTCGTTTTGTGTTTTGTCCTATGACCCACATTTCGATTTTTATGGCAATCTATACACTCGCAAGTAGCATCCCGAATGCAAACCATCTTTTTACTTGAATGTGGTTTTTCACTATCCATAAATCGAGATGAAAACGTTGATTTTTAATTGACCGAAGTCAAATTGGAACTGCCTTAAAAGAAATTTGAGACACATTTTTATACTTGATGATTGTAAAATCTGACTCAATACTTACGCAAAATTGCGATGACGAGATAAGTGATTATTTTTCAAATCAAACTTGAATAAAGATGACTTGTTTGAAAAACGTGACACGGTCGTACACGTTTTATTATACCCGGATTATTTGATGAATTACTCCGCAAAAAATAGATTATAAAAAGTGGGTTAGTCAGTTTAGAGGAATGCCAAAAAAAAAAATTAAGTGAAATAAAAAGATTATTTTTCTCAACGAAATTGAACTTTGAATTAATTGTTGCAGATGTGAAGAATATCACGAGAATGATGAATGTTATTCTCAAGACGTTATATTATGAAATATTTGTTAATTGATTGAAATTAACGAAAATGACGTGTTAAAGAGAAATTTATTTAATTTGTACTTTTCTTTAAACATTTTTTATCACTTACGTGTCCATTCATGTCTCAAGGATCTAAAAAGGTAGTTGAAATATTTTAAAACGATAATGTATTTGATTTAATCTAGAATGATATTAGTTGTAATAATCACAGATAAAAATTGTTTTATATAATTCGCATAATTACTTATTAAGATTAAAATATTTTTATTTCGTTATTGCTATTTTAAAATATTTAAATTTTAAAATTAAAATTGATTAAAATGGACTTATTTTAATTAGAACCAAAGAAAACGTTATCATAAAGAGTAAATCTAAAATTATCTTTTTTTATTCCTCATTATTTGATATTTTATCTGTTAATTGTGCGATTTATTAAAATTTGAAATCTGTTAATGTCACAACAATAAACGTCAAAATTGAAACTTAGACTATAACATTTTTATTTTCAGATCGTAATTGAAACTAATTGTAAAATGTTAACTGTTACAGTTGTACTTTTTTTAAATTAGTTCTTTATGTTTTCGTTTTTTTCTTAATATCTTGTTCTAAGGGAATTGCCTGATATTTCTTCGCCTCAAATTTCTTTGTGGGGGGGTAAAAATTTCAAAACAGCTACAATCTCCTCTATTTCCTACAAAAAGAAAGAAGATTGTACGTTACAGAATATAACCGGCACATTAACTTTTACCTATAAATTATCTTTTTATCTACCTGTTCTTAACACGTAACGTCGCAACGCTACGTTCATTTCTAGAAGACGTTGTTGTAATAAAGCATTGTTAACCACTCCTCTTCTATAATAATAATTCTAAAAGAAGAAATATACATTTGATTTAATTGTTTGGTAGCTCAAAATGCCAAACCTACAACAAAATTGAACAATTAAATTAAATAAATTTAGTTGTAGTTTGGATTTTGCAAAATTTAATGTAACTTATTTTCGTACCCAAGCATAGTTATCACGTTCATCATCGCTATCTTCAGTATCGACTTCGAAATAACTCGGTGCTAATTTTATCATTTCGACGAAAATCATTGCAACTCTTCTCCATTGAGTGATATGTTCCGTCTAAAATGACTCAAAAATTGTTGATTTTTATATTTATTTTTTTTGTTTAAATTACTCTTAATTGGAAGAAAATTGGTAACATGCTGACGGGAACACAACATCCTGCTAATTCATCAGCAGGGGCGCAGGTAACCACACTGTATAGAAGATCTAGAATAGCTTCTATTAAATTTGCGTGGTTTCCTTCCAAACTATCTTTTAGGAGACCTAAGATATCTTGTGCTATGGTTTCAGGTGGCACACCTGGGTTTTCATCTAAAAATCAATTCATTTTTTAAGTTTATAAAATAAGTATTTAATTTCGTTATTGTTAAAAAATTATTTAAGTATAATTATAAAATTGAAAACTGAAATTGACTTTTTGAATATCTAAAGTTCATACGTCAATGTGACATTAGTTGATTGACATGACAACAACATTTCGTGTTAATCTTGCCAACTTTTACTGACTTCACAACAATTTAACAGATATAGAACCACAATATAACGTATTTTTTCAATTTTGGCTCAAAATTGAGCTTTTATTCGCTATAAAATAACATTAAAAATGATTGCTCGCTGTCACTGTCAACTTCAAATCTCAACACCAACCCAAATAAAAAAAAATTTATTATTATTAAAAATTGAATAATGTTTTTGGTTCGTTTTAATGATTTTGTTTAAATCAAACATTTAATTATCACATTTTAAACGTATATTTTTAATTAATTTCGATAAAATTCCTATTAAATTTGAGTTAAGCGAATTAGTCTTTAGACAACCTGCTGCCATCTATATTGCATGTAAATAAGTTTATTATTTAAAAATTAAATAAATTAATTTAATTTCGTGATTGTTAAAAGCATAAGGAAATAACGAAAGAAAGGTAATTTGAGATGGACAATTTTTGTTATTTGTCGATTACACAAAAATCGGTGTTGAAATTAAAACCGGTTATATGCTATGAGTTATTGAACAGGTTTTACCACGATGTTCTATTTATTGCGAATTAAATCAATAAAGTATTCGATTTTTGCAGCTTTGTTAAAAAATTTCGATTATTTAAGTATAATTATAAATAAAAACTAAAATGACTTTGATATCTAAAATTTAAACGTCAATGTGACATTAGTAATGTAATGTAACAAAATTTCCTGTTAATCTTATATACCAACTGTTATTAACTTCACAACAATTTTTCACGTAACAATTCATCAAAATTTATTATTTTTTATTCAATGTTATTTTCAACATTATATTTATGTTTGAAGTAAGAAGGTTTTAAATTAGATTAAAATTAGCTCAAAATTGAGTTTTTATTCACTACAAAATAACAAATATAATTGCAATCTGTCACTGTCAACTTCAAATCTTAACACCAATCTAAATTCATTATTTTTTTTATTATATGTTTTTAGTTCTTCTCAACGATTTTATTTAAATTAAACATTTAATTAGAACACATTTTTAGTTAATTTCGATAAAATTTCTTTTAAATTTGAGTACAAGTTGGTTTTTACACAGAAATTTCTTCGTAAGCTGCTGCCATCTTTTATGCGATATATTAAAAATTATAATAAATAAATTAATTATTTAAAAATTAAATAAATTAGTTCATTTAATTTCGTAATTGTAAAAAGAGTAAAGAAATAGAGGTAATTTGAGATTGATTTTTTTTGTTGGTATTTGTTGAGTGAGCAAAAATTGGGTTTGAAATTGAAACGAATGTTTGCAATAAAATAACATTTCAACATCACAATTTGCATTATTTTTTAATTCGTCGACACTTATTCGTTCCACATACGTGTTTTTAATGATTTAATAAAAAAATAAATAATAAAAGAACTTACCCAACGCTAACGCTTGAATTTGCGGCTGAATCAACGGTTTTTTTAATGAAATTAAATAAAACTGTAACCCTGCCGCAACTTCCCTTAACGTACAATCTTCCAAAACCTTATTAACACTTTTTCCACCTTTACCAATTTCGTTAGCTATGTGTTTAATTCTTCCATCGTGCCTCGAAGCTCGAAATAAATCACGCGTGCGTACATCTCTTCTTAAATCTTTAATAAATTAATAGATATTATTTAATTTAATAAAGCTTTTTCTCAAAAATCGGCTTACTTTTAACTTACTTTCCTTTAAATGTTCTATTGTTAATTTTATTCCATCTAACGATTTATCTTTAATTATATCTTTTTTACACAATCTAAAAAAGAAATAAATAAATGTTTAATAAAATGATTTAATACATCAACAATAATTTTTAATAAACAACCTCAAGGAAAAAGCAAATTTTGCAAACTATAAATTCAACACAGCTCGGTTTGAATTCATTATCGAAAAAACATGTACTTCATCAACATGCTCTTCCGTTTAATTCCAATGTTAATTTTGGTAAAATCAAGTGTTTTACCAACGGAATGTTTTTTCGAAAACAAAACGTTTCACGACATTAGAAAACGCGAAACTAATCAAGAAAAATCCTGGATGTTTAATAACAACCCCGTGGAGATTTTACCAACGATCGAAGCGAGTATGGCCCCAACGATAACAAGCAGAATGTGCGAATACGACGATGAAGACAACGAAAATGTTGCCGATGTTTTCGTTACGATGGATGATTTTAAACAATTTGATAACCCACAAATCGTTAGTAGAAATTCAATTCCTCAAGAAGAACCAGAAATTTTACCGGGGACTTTATCGAATGATTATATCATCGAAGAAATAATAATGGAGCCCATTAATTTTGTGTCACTTCCGGTTGAAAATCAAGATAACGTGGTCAAAAATGATTTATTAAGGGATCCGGTTGAACTGGAAAACTCCGAAATGGTCGTGGAAGCTAAAGATGTAAATCAAATGGAAATTGGAGAAAGCGAGAAAAGCGAGTTAATTCAAGATCAAATTCATGAACCGATTAAAGAACAAATTAAAGAGAAACGAGTTGATAACAAAGAAGAATTGATACGGGAGGTTGTCGAAAATATGAGAAAAATGGAAGCTTTGTATGCAATGGAAGGAATGGTGAAGGAGTTTATTGGGAAATTAAAAGAAAATGAGGGTGGAAAAAAACATAAATAATAATATTGTAAATTTGTGTAATATTTTTTTATGAATTAATAAATTTAAAAAAAAAAAGGTTTTTTTCTTTTTAATAACTTTAATAAATATTAATTTTGGAAAATCATTGAAATAATGTAATGAAGGAGTTTAATTAATAAAAAGCAAAAAATATATACAGTGAATTTCACTGAAGTTTCATTTTATGTGGGGCATATATAAAATGCAAATGTCAGTATAATTTGGGTAAAACCTCGATATAACGGATCAATACGGGAAACGCAGTGTCCGTTATAGCTCAATAAAAATATACAAGAATCTAGCGCTGAATAACAAATAAAACTAGACTAACGCTAGTACTAGAATTAACACTAGACTTAAATCTAGAAATATTCCGTTTAGTCGTACCTCTCTTAATACGGCTAAACCTGAATGTTTCTAGTTCTAGGTCTAATGTTAGTTCTATTCTGATTTTCCTGTCTACTTTTCATCTCCCTTTTTTTACCCTCCTTTTTTTCTTTCCTGTTTCGCAACTATTTTGCTTTTATCATTTATATCCAGTCTTACACCTTTCTGCCCACCTTTTTCCTAACTTTCCAATCTCAGTTCACTCATTTCCTTCCAGTACTAGCACAATTCAAATTATTTTCTTTTCTATCTGGCTACTTTTTCGGTTTTCCAGTCTATTTCTAGTTTCCCACATTTATGTCCAGAAGGTTTCTTAGCTTTCCAAGATCTGTTCAATCTATATCTTCTATTATTAGTCCCGTTCTTGTTTTTTTCTTTTCTACCTTGCATTATCTATGCCTTCTGAGTCTATTTCCAGTTTTCCATATGTCTGTCCATCTTGTTTCTTATCTTTCCAGTTTTTGTTCAGTCTTTCTACCTCAGTTCTACCCAGTCTACTTCTTGCCATTCCACTTCTATTATCAAAAGTGGGAACGCGTCAATTAAGATAATTTTGTTAGTATTTTGTTCACTATTCTTCTAGACTCCCATCATTCTGCTCAATGTCATTCTTCCCGAAATCCCTCTTCTCCCCATTTCCTTCCTTGGATTAATCTTCTTTCCTCAATTACCAATAAAGATATCACCTTTTCAATGAACCTTTGATTTATGAGAAAATATTTTTTTTTAGGTTAAGTCGTCAAAAAAATGTTTTAATCTTTAAATATTTTAATTTTCACCAAAAAAAAACAATAGCGTTAACTTTTAATAAATTTTAGGTCAATTACAAAAAAAGCTTCTTCAGCACAAACACGCCTATATATGTTTAAAACCGTCGCGTTCACAATCAGATTATAATCAACGACAAAACAAAACACGATGAAACTCATTAATTATTTCATATCCGCGGCGATTTTTTTCGTCGCTGCAACTTTTGCGGCACCAACTTTACCAGAAGAAACACCTAAAGAAATTATGAACACTTTTCCGATCGCTCCAAATGACACCGAATCAGATTCAATTCTTGCGGAAGATTTAAACCCGAAAATTATACCCGAACCGATCGAAGAAAAAAATGATGAAAAAATGAATCAAAGGATGAAGAAATCTGCAACGACCACGTTCTGCGTTGAAGTTAAGCCGAATAACCCGTATCAAAAGCCGTACGAATTGTGCGAATCTGGAAATGAAATTTATGCAGTTCCATCGGATAATAGCCATTATAATGCTCCAGCAGCTCCTTCTCCTCCAGTTCCGGTTTATGGGCCACCTCAAAAAACTTATGGTACTCCTGTCGCGCCATCGAATTACGTCCAATCAGCACCTACTTCTTCCTCTTATAAAACAGCAACAAAAACGTACGAAAATAAAAAATATCGAGCTAACGAAGAGAATGAACTTGAAAACTCAGATGAAGATGATGAATTCCACGATGGTATGAGAAGTACGTATGGAACTGGTTATGGTTATGGTGGAAATGTTTATGGAGGAGGATTAACTAAGAAACATAAAAAACACGGCCATGGACATAGTGGTGTTGTAATTACTTGTCAACCAAATTTAGCTGGATATGCATCTCCAGCTCATGCTGGATATGCTGGTGCTGGATATGGAAGTGGTTATGGAACTGGATTTGGAGGAGCACATGGTTATGCGGGAGGTTACAGAAATTCAAACCCAACAGAAGATGTTGATCAAATCCAAATGAAAAATATGGATTATCCACGTTTAAGAAAATCCTACAATTATGAAAATAGAAACCCATCCTACGGAAATTATGGATACGGCCCAATTCCATCTCGACCGAATTCTTATTCTTCAGCATCAGCAACATCCTTTATTGCCCCACATTCAATCCCAAATTTAGCCCCACAACAAATCCCAAATCTAATTCAACCGCAGATCCCACTTTCAGGACAATATCCAGCCCCATCATTTCCTTCACCTTCATTTCCATCTCCTTCGTATCAACAAACTTATTCTGCACCAACAACTTATCCAATTTCTTCTTATGGTAACAATGGAGCCTCGGGAATTGGTTATGAAGGATTTAAACCACAACACCAGCCGCAAAAAGGAGCTTCATTTTCAAGCGCATCAGCTTTTGTTGCTCCGGGTACTTATAGAAGTACCGATAATGATAAAATGGAGAAAATGGAGAATAAAGATATGATGATGATGAAAAAAATGGAAGATGATCATCATTGGAATCAAGAGATGAGAAGTGAGGGGGATCAACAACAAAAAGAAACCATGGCCAATGAGGAAAAGATGTAATTTTTTTATAATTAAATTTATTTTTGTTCATTATTGTTAATGTAATGTATTTTTTTATGATTTAAATAATAATAAATTGGTTTGTTGAGGTGTTTGAGAATTTTTTTTTCTCAATAAAAAAAAAGTATCAAAATTAAAACTTACCCACGAAAGCAATGGATATTACCCATGTTTTTTTTGTGATTAATTTTGTTACGTTTACAAGAAAACACTGCGAATTTTTATTTCCATCGTTAGGAATTGTCACGAAATTGAGCTGACATTTTTGACAAATTCAAGAATAAATAATAAAAAAAATGTGAATAAACAAAATCCTCAATTAAGATTAGATATCTTTCTACAACTAAATAGTAATTTCATGTAACATTAATTTATTAGTTTTTAATGACGTACAATGTCAAAATTAATTGATATCACTCGAAATGTTATTAAGTTATTATTGTTATTAATCTTAATTTTAATTTTGTGACATTTTCCTAGAACACAAAATTAAACAGAAATTGTGGCCTTTGTTATAGACATTTTTGCAGTCATTTGGCGCCTATTACATTAATTATTAAAAACATGTTATTTTTGATAAATTGGTGTTTTTAAATAAGATTAAATACAGAATTGTACAGAATTAAATCATTAACAAATTTGGTACCTCTCGTCAACTAAAAGTTGGTAATAAATGACACATTAGAAGATGACGTCAAGTACCTATAATTGGATTTTACTGGATTTTACTTTCGGTGTTAATTTAAACACTATTGTTTTAGTTGAAATACAATTTAATAACTAAATAACAACTTGTTTTAACAACACGTTTCTCCTACGACTAAAACGCGGAACGATCTAGAATAATAATTAGACTAACTTCAGGTTGAAGAAAACTTATTCCTTCAGCTACTAGATGGCACAATCCCTATTTTATTTTATTATTTTCAACAATAACATAAATAATTTGTTAAGGCCCAAGGACAGTAGAATCTAACAGGACTGCTACATCCATTGTATTTTTGTAGTCCACTAGGGATTGGTTGCCCGCACTCTACGTCACACTATTTGCCACGCCTGGTAACTGTCTGCGTTTTTAGAGGTTATATGATAGACATTAATACGTCTAAAAACATAAAACTTCAAAAATAATATGAATACGTCTAGGATATAACCTCTAAAAATACACAGCAAACGCATAGACCATAATGGTATGACGTAGTTTGCGGACAGGTTGTCACAACAATGGATGTAGCAGTCCTGTTAGATTCTACTGTCCTTGGTTAAGGCCCACTTTTACCATCCTCCTGATAAACTATCTAGAGGATAGTTGCCATGGTTACGGCGGTTTTAAGCGCTCTCATTGGCTAAGAATTGGATTTATCTATCGGATAAATTTATCAGGAGGTGGTAAAAGTGGGCCTAAAACTAGTAAATTAACACAATAAAATTAATAACTATGTATAATTAACATCCTTAGAGGGTTTAAAACATAAAAGGTGTCAGATGTTGAAAAAATTATTATTGGGAGCAACCGGAACAACATAACCTAGAAATTACAAAACTGACATATTCTTTAGAAGATTTAACAAAAAAAAATTAGAATATTCTACAAATTAAGCCAATTATCAAATAACCTGTGTATAGAATCTTAAGATCAAAGTACGATTATGCTTAACCCAACTATCCTGAATCCTTGCTGTATCTTTACAGAAAAACTGTTGTTGTTTACGATAATAGATTGATGTTGACTCTTGTTAACAACGTGTTTTACTTGATTTGGTAAGTTTAATTACAAAAGATTTTGTCCCATGATCCCCACAATTTACGGTTTAAATTAAAATAAATTAAATTATTTGTAATTTGGGTTGCATACCATAACAAATAAATATTGACACAAATTTTTAAAAGGAAACATTTTTCAATTCGTTTCATCTTAAATATCAACGATAAAACTGTGTGGCAAACAAATTATTAATCAAATTTATTATTTTATTCAATTAAACTGTTTTTATTTACAAATTTTCGCTTAATCAATAATAATAACATTCAAATATTTATTATAACTTCGTATTTGTTGTACGAAAACGTTTGAGATTAACTATACGTAATCAAGATTCATCTCCACTCTGTGGGTAATTGCTTTTCGATCTTTGAGATAACAGTTTAATTTTAACCCAAAAGATTCTCGGAAAACCTCCTCCTTCTTCTATTTAAAATTAAAGTAAACACATTTTTACATGTCTATATAAAAAGGTTACAGGTAAATATCTAACGGAAACATCTTGACTACTCGAGAAGCATATTTACGAATTAAAAATCAAGATTTTTTATGAAACGTGATAACAAAAAAAATCTTATAAAATCTCATTCAGTTTATCGCAATTCGATTAATAACAAAGATGGATAAATGTAAAAATGAAAAAAATGGGAATAGTGGCAAAGAAGAAATTGATGCCGATAAAACTTGTACTAAAACCGTTACGAAAAGTAGAGAGAAAAGAAATATTGCCATGGCACCAAATAGAGATGTCGTTCGATATTAATTAATTTAAATATTATCAGGTGAGTTTTAATAAACAAATAATTAATTTTGTTTTATTATACCACTCTTCTTTTAATCTTTTCAGGTGAAGGTTGATAAAAAAATAATTTGGTTTTTTAGAATAAAAATCTTATTTGGATTAGATTTCAAGATTATGTCAAAAAACAAACAGTATTATTTATCGACTTAAGTCCATAAGTAAAAAATCGTAGTGTGTAATAAAACAACTATGTAAACAATAAAAAAAAAATTAATAAAATTTAACCGAATACATAAGTTTCATTTTATCGATCTTTTTCGCTTCAATTTCCATGAAATAAGAAACGTAAAAGATTTTTATCATTTCAATATCGACGAAATTTAAATTTAAACAATACCTTTTGATTTATATTGCGATATTGTCATGAAAAAAATGGTTAAAGCAACTATAAAAACACATTAGTTTCATTTCATCTCATTCTCCTTCTAACTCTTTGCCGCAATTTATCAAAAAATATAATGGGCGGAATTAATTTATGTGCTATGTGTAAAAGTGATAATAATGAAACGTCGGAAATTGCAGAAGAAGTTATAAGTGTTATAACAGATGCTTTACATGTTTTAACAGAAAAAGATGAAAGCGAAGATACCCCAATGAAGGAGGTAGAAGAGACTGCAGTTGAAGTCGAAATAGACGAAACAGAACATTCAAGACCGCGAAGACACATTGTTCGAGCGGTTTTAAATTGTACTGAAGATGATGAGTATTAAAAAGAATTAATTAAAAAATTGTATTGACTAATAACTTTAATTTAAATAAGTTTAATTTACTAAACTTTGTTATAATATATAATAACAAATATTCTATTTGTTTATTGGGTTAATAATAAGTTTTTCATTAATCTGTATCAAATTTTCAATCAAATAATAAATAAGGTTATGTACACTTAATTAAACTGTTATTCTAAAAATTTTACATTTATTTCAAAAGATAAATTCATTGCAATACACTACAACCATCTATATATTTAAATATTAAATACATATATGACAGTTGTCATATAAACGATATAATACGAAGACATTAATTTAATTTCTTAACGATCCTTCCAAAATAATCAGATTTATTGCATCACCAGCATTCAATTAAATTAAAAATAGAAACTTAAGATTCAATATAAATCTTTTTTCTATAATCAATCTGTCAAATTTTAAATACGATGTCACCATACAACAATGACAGTTTATTTGAAAATGATTTTTAAAAAAATAGAAAATTTATAATTTAAATAAACGTAAAAAGTTGGCGTCATAACATCATCGAAATTTTATGTAAATAACGACATGAATGTCAAATTGAAATTTCATTATTATTTATTATCTCAAATTGTTAAATCAAACATTTATTACTTTTCCAGCCAAAATTTCTAGCCGACAAAAATATACGCCAACCTTGTGTGATGAGCAAATGAGATAAAACTAGAAATGGTAGGATCAAGAACTACTTGTGGGTGTGGTGTATCACAACCATCAGCACCAAAAACTATTTGTGGGTGTGGTGTATCTCAATCACCTGCATCAAAAACTATTTGTGGTTGTGGTGTATCACAACCACCAGCACCAAGAACTATTTGTGGGTGTCGTGTATCACCATCACCAACACCAAGAACTATTTGTGCTTGCGGGACGGCTCAACCAAAACCAGCACCACGAACTATTTGTGGATGTGGTGCAGTTCAACCACGAGCTCCACCAAGAACTATTTGTGGTTGCGGTATTTTAGCACCTGTAGCACCACCTAAACCACTATATCAAGTACTGCCTCCATCAGTAATGCCAGCTTTTCAGGAAGAATGCGTTTGTAAGGATACCGACGATGATACAGAAGAACAATCAATTCTATTCGCAGAAATGTCAAATGCAGAGATGTGTTTATCGGAGTCTATATCGGGCGATGCTGAACGAATTTTAGCGGATAGCGTTTGGTTCAATATGGCACCTCCACCTCGTTTAACATCGAGCAGAACCCCTAACGTAACAGCCCGAAAATTGGATATAATGCGAGCGATATTAAACGGAAAAGCCAACCCGAAAATGGCTTTGGTGCATCCCGAGAAACCTTATTGTGCTTCGTTAAGTGTTTCAAGAGTTACTACAAAAATAGGACATGACAGACCTGAATATCAAGGAATACAATTAGGTGGATCTCTTATTTATAAAGATTAATGTGTTTTCTTTTATAAAATGCTAAAATAAAAATATTTGACAGTTATGTTTTAATTTCACATACTACAAAACTTCGTCTGTCAACAATTCACTACCAACTTGCAGCGCATGCGTAAGTTCGATTTTAGTTTTAGTTTTACCTTAATAAAAAGATTTTTAAATATATTTAATTAAGTACATATTTAATTGTAATTTACCATTTGGATGATTATTTTTTTAGGTATAAATAAAATAATAAACATGTAAATCTCGAAATATTATAAAAATTATTTTCGCGCCATCTACGGTTGACAGTTATATATCAAATTAATTCAAACGATTCCAACCGTCAAAATCTCAAAATCATTAGTTTGTTTTTACTAAAAGCTGTTTAAACGCAAATTAAATTGCGATAATTTAAGCAGTAAATAAAATACCAAACTTAAAGAAAATCGCGTTGTTGGCCACCAAACATTTGTAAAATCCCATCAAAATAATGTCACATCATCAATTATACCATTAAAAGTATTATTATGGCAAAAAAAACACCGCCAAAGACCGATACTTTATCATCACAGGTATTGGAATACTTTCGAAAATATTCGGGTGATCAAAATTTATCGAGTTATCTCCGTGGAGTTCTTCCCCAACAACAACAAGAAAGTGAGGTTAGGAACACTTATGAAGAAAATAAACCTGATGATTTCATCGTTGGGAGTCAAAACAACTCGAAAATCGATCAAACAATTGAAAGAGAAGGTAATATTTCACCTACAAGTAGTTTAACATCAAACAGAAAATTAGAATGGGATAATGGAGCTGATATTGGGTATGAAAACAGCAACAAAATTAATTTGCATAAGAGTTTTTCATTACCAACACTTTTAACCACATTGGAGACGACTGAAAATCCTTTAAAACTTCCTCTTCTTGAATGTAAAAGAGACGCATCACCCAAGATTTATTTCTCAAGTACGGAATCAAGTGATAAATCAATAAAACCATCTAGTTCTTCAAGTTATTATAGATCTGACGAACAAGAACATAAATGTGATACAACAACATCTTCATCCTTCGCTTTTAAACCTTGGCCAAGTGAAAGAGACAAAAGAGTTGGTAGTCCGATGGCTCAATCAACACCAAATATAGACCGTCCAGGTTATAAACGAGTTTATTCTTCCGATTCACCATCAACAGTTGTTTCAAATGTTACAAAAAGTGATGATAATAATGGTCTTAAGACGACTGTTACCGAATTAAAATGTGTCGCAAAATTTAAAAAGAGTAAAATCATTCAATTAGCTCTTACAAAACCCATTGCGATCGATTGTATTAATTATAAATTGTGTAATGATAAAGATATTCAAACTAATGGGTGCGTTAAATCGGAATCAATCGGGATTCAAACTGAACCATTTCAGGAAATTATTAACAATAAGGAAGATTTTTCTAAAAAATTAGAACATATTGAAGAATTAGTTGATAAACCGGAAAAGCAAGTTGTTGAATATGTTAAATATGATGGTAATTCAAGTGAATGTCATAGTTCTAAGTCAATTGGAACAAATACGATTTCTGATTTAGTATCGAATTGTAATAGTTTTGAGTTTTTGTGTCCAGATGATATCCAAAGAGTAAATAAGAATTTAGAGGAAAATGATTTAATGGATGATGAAATGGGTGGAACAGGTAATTGTAACATAACCTTACTTTTTTGACACTTCAAAATTCACAATAAATTGAATTAATTGTATATAATTATATTTTAGATAAAACGTGTTTCAAGGAGAATTTAAAAGACAAAAATTCAAATCAAAATTCCGAAAAAAGTTTAAGTACTCCTTTGGGTGATATGATTTCTTGTAATCTCTCTGGAGGACGAAATGTGGACAATGAAAAAAGTTTAACACTTTTAAAACGATTATTAAAATCGAAACGGTATGATAAAATTACTAAAGAATATTTTATTAAAAAAATTATTGAGAAAATGGTTAAACTAAATTCGAGTAGCAGCGAAAGTTCTTTGTTAAACAATCAAAACGATTCAAATAAATCGGATGCTCATAAAAACAATGAAAATTCTTCAAGTTCTAAAGAAGTTTCAGAAAAGTTATTAGAACCATCTTTAAATACACGATTACATGAAAATGTACTGTGGGTTCAGGGAGCTTTTAACAAAAATGTGACATCAAAAAAATTAGAAATTAAAACGTTCTCATCTGACATTTTCCCAGAAAATAATCAGATAAAAAGAAAAGTTAAAGATCCTCGATTTACTTTAACGAATAGTGTTTTAAATCAACCACAAACTAATTCATCGTCCGATAATAACCAAAAAAATTGGAAAGAAAATTTGACTCAACCTGAGAAGCTTTTATTTGAATTAAATTCAAAAGGTGATGGTGATAAAACGAATAAAACAGATAGTAACACCGATAGTTTAGTGAAATTTGCTAAAAAAGAGCGTGAAAATCAACTAAATTGGATTAATAATGAGATTTCTCATTTAAATAAATTAAAGGAATTATTGCAAAAGAATTATTATGAAAGAAGCTTAAAAAAGGAAGAAAAAGTTAGCAATAAAAATGATAACGATTTAAAAAATGATGATTTTAAGAATGAGAGCCCTAACCTAGAAATTGAAATTTTAACGAAACCTCATATTGAAGATATGAAAAAAATAAAAAATTCAGCTGCTGTTTATATGATAACAACAGATAAATCACGTCATCATAAAGATAAACAAAGAAAAGATTCGAATTCACGAAAAAATAGTGACGTTAGAGAAGCAAAAATGGTTTCAAGTGAAGTTTACAAATCGGATAAACCATTTACTTGTATAAGAAGATACATTTTTGAAATTCCAGTTGAGTGTGAATGCGATTGCGATAAATATCCTTGTGCTCATATTAATGCCACATGTACTCAAGATGTTTGCGGTTGCTCCGAAACAGGTAAAATAATGTAAAATAAAAAAAAGTGAGGTTAGATAAAAATATGAATAACCTCATTTTTTTTAGAAGTTGGTGTTCAACCTGAGCGTGTTATAATAAAAGAAACCTATTTAAGTCCTTCACGTTTAAATATATCTCAAAATCGATCACGATTAATTCCAGGTGTTAAAGAGAAAAGTAAAAATGTCAATGATTATGATTATTATTTAGATCCACCTGAGGAATTTCGTGATAAAAATACGCAAAGATCAGTTACACCACCAAGTAAAATTAACCAATTTTCAAATATTTTAATTCATGAATCATATAATTTTATTTTAGGGTATGATGAAGCATATGATAAATCGACTATGCCTAAACGAGGGTATGAGTATGCCTCAAAATATAGTGGCCAAACTCGCGGTAAGATTTAACTTTATCAACCATACAATTTTATTTTAATTAAAAGCAGTAAAAATAGATTTAATTGATTAAAATAAATTTTATGAATTCGAGGTTATGTTTCTAAATGTCATTTGAATTTTGTTTATCCCAAGTTGGTAACATTTCATTTTACTTTTAACTAATTTTGAGGTTATGTTGTTTTTATTTTTTTTTAAATGATCAGAATCGATTACAAATTTGATTAAGATTAATTAATTCTTTAGATAATAACCAACAAATTCCACTTAAAGAGGATTCATTTGATAAAGCTTCAATGACGCAACAATGTTCATGTGATAGAGGTGTTCAATGTTGTTGTACCACAACAAGAGTTGCGTCTCCTCAAACAGATATTGTACAAACTAGAAGTATTGGCCAAGATTGTAGATGTAAAAGTAAAGATTGTTTATTTGATAAAGGTGTTCAATGTTTATGTCAAAAGATGGTTGCATCACCACAAACAAGCCTTGCACAAACAATAAGTAGAAGTATTGAACCTGATACGATTTTCGAAAAACCTAAAGATAAAAGTGATTTTTCTTTTGGAACTAACACAGATGATAGATATAGAAGGCAATCTGTTGATTTTTCTTCAACAGCTAAAAATAAATCACCAAATAGATCTATTCCAACATACTCAAAATCCACTCCAGAATATCAAACCGATTATAAACAATATGCTAGTGAACCACAAAAAAGAAACTACCAACGAAATCAAAAGAGAAATGTAAGAACACCAAGTTCATCATCATCATCAAGTTCTCAAACAATTTTAATAAAAATATGTCCATGTTGCAAACAAAAAACGACACCTGTTAATAAAGCGATCAATAAATACAGAACAGTTCTTCAAGGACTTCCAGATGAAATTAATGAATCTTTATGTCAACCATGTCACCTAAATACTAAATTAACTGTAGATCCTACCACAGGAGAATACAAAATGGCTCCAGGACATATTTGTAACTGTTATACCTTAATGAGAACTCAAACGGTTAATAAAATAAAGCAAACTGTTAAAAAATTAGAAGAACTTGAACATGAAGCTACTGAGGAGAGTCGGTGTTCATGTTCGAAAAAAAAATGTAGGTGTAAAACGGTAGGTCGATCTAAAAAAGGGATTGCTTATACATTAACGTTGGAAGATGATGAATACACCGATCAAGAATCTCCAAAAAAAAAGAGATCGTTGGATGAAATTAAACTGAAAATACCAGTTCGGAGAAAAAAATCGAAACATTCAAGACGTCATAAAAAAAGGGATAAATCATCTGATCGTAGTCGGATGACTCTGCAAGTATGTTCGTGTGGTCGTGGGTCTGGTTGTTGTTAAAATTAAGAATGGTTTTGGACTTACTGGTTGATATTTTAGGATTACCTTTGTACTAATCGGCCTGCTTTTATACAAAATGCAGAAGATAGACGGAAAACATTAATCGAATTGGCTTATTTGAGAGAGGAAAGATGTCAAAAGTATAAACAATTATTGGCTAAAATGAGAGGAGTTGTTCCTGATGAAGAAGGAAATAAAAAAAGTGAGATTTCAATTTTTTAAGATTTCTTCATTAATTTTTCTTTTCTGGTTTTTAGCGAAAAAAGGTTTGTATTCCAGTGTTGAAATGAAAGAAATTACTGCAAAGAATTATAAAAAATTGCCGGAAGTTCAAAATAAATTAAAAGAACGACGTGAAAATAATAATAAAAAAGCTAATCGTCTCTTAGCTGATATGTTTAATAAGGTATGATGGTTGATATTTGATAAATATAAAATGGTAATGAAAAATTCTTTTAGAAAGTACAACAAAATGCTCTTAAAGGTAATGTTCATCTATCTACAACATCAAGCGTCATTAAGTTTATATGAAATTATTTTTTACTTTATTAAAAAAAAACAATTTGTTTTGTATAGGTGATGTTTATACATAATGGAATAAGTACAATTGTTACCAAATATAAAGATTATTGTATATTTTTAGTTTTTTTGTAAGATTTTTGACAATAATTATAATAGCTATTTTAAAATAAACATTTTGATTTTTAAGGTTATGCTACTTTTCATTTTGACATTTGCAAATTTTACATTTTAGGTTATGTTATATTCACATAATCATCTTTATTTCACATTCCAATTATTCCATTCAAAGTACACTTAAAATAAATCATAACACTAAAACTCGATAAAAAATACTTACCTTCCTACTATTTACCAGATCTTTATCACGAAACCATCAAGGTACGTGACAGCACGAGTGCTCAAATATAATCATAGATAATCCCCTTGCATTAAATAATTACACTTATTTAAGTATTAAATCGACTTAAAACCTCGCCGATTTTACTTTAACTTAACCTAAAAACTTTTATTTACGCATTTCCTTTCGACATAACCTCAATTATACCAATTAAAACTTTGATCTTTGTATATTAAACAAAAAAAACTATAACAATGGGTAAACTCGAGCATGTACAAACGTTAACAAAACACGTGGGTCGTGTTTGGAATGTTTGCTGGCATCCGAAAGGGGAATTTCTTGCATCTTGTGGTGAAGATAAAACAATAAGAATATGGGCAAAGGACGGTAATCGATGGGTTAATAAAGCTATTTTAACCGATGGACATAAAAGGACTATTAGAGAAGTAGCATGGTCTCCGTGTGGTAAACTATTAGCTTCTGCTAGTTTTGATGGTACAACGTCGATTTGGGACAAAAAATCTGGTGAATTTGAATGTAACACAACATTGGAGGGTCACGAAAATGAAGTTAAGAGTGTTTCTTGGTCAAAATCTGGCCAATTATTATCTACCTGTAGCAGAGATAAATCTGTTTGGGTTTGGGAAGTTGCTGATGAGGAAGAATTTGAATGTGCTGCAGTTTTAAATGCTCACACACAAGATGTTAAAAAGGTAACAAGCAAAAAAGGAATTTTTTTTTTTAATTAAAGACATCAATGTTGTTAATTAGGTTGTTTGGCATCCTTTTGAAGATATTTTAGCATCAGCTTCTTACGATAATACAATAAAATTATTTAAAGAGGATAAATCTGATAATGATTGGATTTGTGTTGGAACGTTAGAATCTCATGAATCAACAGTATGGAGTATATGTTTCGATAAAACCGGAACACGTTTAGCTAGTTGTAGCGATGATAAAACCATAAAAATTTGGCAAGAATACAAACCGAATAATCCCGAAGGAGTTCCTACAATCAATAACGAATCTACATGGAAATGTGTTTGTACTTTATCTGGTTATCATACAAGAACAATTTATGATATATCTTGGTGTCACTTAACTGGGTTAATTGCAACAGCTTGTGGAGACGATACGGTTAGAATATTTAAAGAAGACGAAAATTCCGATTTAAACTCGCCTACATTTAGTTTTGTGAGTTCTAATGAAAAATGTCACAATGAAGATGTTAATTGTGTTAGATGGAATCCTATGATACCTGGATTATTAGCTTCTTGTAGTGATAATGCGGATGTTAAATTATGGAATTTTAATGAATAGTTTTTTTATATTTTTTTTGATTATATATACTAAGAATTAAAAAATAAAAGTGTTGGTTTTAATTATTTTTTATTTAAAAATTTTGTAGGTTAGATTTTTTTTCACCATGGATATATTATTGTATTATGGAGGTTATATATTTTAAATGATGTTGAAATTATAAAAAAATTGTTTTTAATAAATAAATAGAGGGCATTAATAAAAATTAAATTAGAAATAATTATAATCTATTGATTATGTTTAGATTAGTTTAACTTCTTGTTTGAATAATATAATATACAAATTATTTCCCCCACCATAACCTAAATATTCAAATATATTCTTTTTACATAACCTAAAAGGTTGTACAGAAGAAAATAACATTTTTTGTTGATATTTTAGGAATAAATGTTATTATTTCGCAAATTATCGTCACAAATCTTACGTAGTGATCATTTAGTTTTCAATAAAAATATCTTTAAATCAATTCTTGGTCAAAATCGTTTAAACTCAAGTTCTAACCACAACGAAGTGTTGTTTAAAACATTAAAAATGGAAAAAAAAGCTGGAAAATATTTATCCGATATTTCAAAAACTCTCCAGGAATATGCTCCATTAGAATACGCTGAAAGTTGGGATAATGTGGGTCTTTTAGTAAATCCGATGTCAAACGAACCTATTCAAAATGTTTTATTAACAAACGATCTAACCGAGATCGTAGTGGAAGAAGCTATAAAATTACAAACTGGGTTAATAATAACATATCATCCAAATATATTTCGAGGATTGAAGAGTGTTTCAAATACATCTTGGAAAGAACGAATAATTATCCAATGCATTAAGAATAAAATTGCTGTGTATTCTCCACATACTTCATGGGATAATGTTAGAGGCGGTGTTAACGATTGGCTAGTTAAAGCATTTCCAGTTAAATCGCATAATATTGAGTTTATCAAAGAAAATCCAAATTATAATATGGTAGGATCCGGTAGAATTTTTAGTTTAGACGAACCAATCAGTGTTTCAAAAGCTGTAGATTTAGTAAAGAAACAAATCGGGTTGGATTATGTTCGATTAGCTTTAGGAACAAACAAAACAGAATGTAAAGCAATTACTTTTTAATAAACATTTATTAATGATTTTCATTTTAGCTTCGGACATTAATGTGATTGCTTTATGTGTGGGATCCGGAAGTTCCGTTTTAAGTGGGGTCAAAGCCGACTTATATGTAACAGGAGAGATGCTTCATCATGATATTTTAGATGCAACCCAAAATGGAATTAATGTCATTTTATGTAATCATAGCGATTCCGAAAGAGGTTTCTTAAAGAAATTTAAAACCATTTTCACATCACTTTTAAATAATGATGTAAACGTTTTTGTTTCCGAAGTCGATAAAGATCCTCTAAAAACGGTTTAAAATACAAATATTTGTCTCAAAACAATATTAATTAATGTTATAAATTGTTTTGAGATGTTTAATGTTACAATTTCAAAATAAATAATTTGTATGTGGAAAATTTTAATCTTTTCCTCATCTGCGTGAACCAGAACACGTCTCCATCTAAAAATAAGATTTATTCAATAAACCACATCCTAGAACGCTGAATAACACGTGTGTTGAATATTACGCACGCATTTGTATTGTTTCTCGAGCCTAGTTTAGCAACACCCACTCCAAATTGTTTCAGACGATTTAATTTATTTATTAATTATTATATTTTACAAGCCAACCCTTTCCTACAAAAATTTTGTGTTATTAAGGCGCATGCGTCTCAAATCCACCACCAAACGATAAAACCCAACCCCAAAATAATCGAACAAAATTTCGACTAAAAAAATATTTTTAAAAATAAAATCATAAATTTAAATAAAACAACTGAAATAAGTTTTTATAAAACAGAGCTGCGTAAAGTGCCATAGTGTTGAGAATAAAAAGAAGAAGGGGATTTAGTTCAGTGGCTTTCAACATTTTTAAAAGCTTGACTTGAACGGCGAAGAATTCAGTCACTTTTTATACTACCTGTATACGCGGTTCGATTTCGTGTCTTTTACGCGTTATTGTAGTGAATCTTTTTTGGTGTTGAAGTAGGACACAAATCAATTTTTCATCAGAAGGAGTCACGTGATTTCGGCACGTGTATACACTTTGAAAAGAACTAAAAGCCGGTAAAAAGTAACGTAAAAAATTTACCGGCGGGCGGCGGTTTCTTGGTTAGGTGCCTCTCTTTTGTGTATTTGTGCGTTCATATCAATTAAGTAAAGTATCAATGAAACTATTGGTAAAAATAAATTTAATTGAGTGTTAAAAAAAAGAATAATAGGTGAGTTACTTAATTAAACATATTAGATTGGTTTGAGGATAATTTTATTTAACGAAAAAGGCGTGTTTTAGGTTTTCCGGGTGTTTTAATTTTAAATTCGTTTTAATTATTAACAATTTTCTTGTGTATTAAGAACATTGACACAACACCGGTCGTTAGCTGAGCTGAGTAAGCGAGTTATATTACATCATAAGAAGTTGTTACGGTGTGATGGCATCGTTTAATTTCTTTTTGTTCTTGGCCTTGACCGCGGTTTTAAAACTGTATTAATTTTTATTTTAAAATAAATTAAAATTAAATTAATAATATTAATATTTAATTAAAAATTACTTCTATTTCTTTAATTATATTAAGGCTAAGTCAGTAGAATCTACATTACACTATCATAGTTCTATGTCATAGATCTATCATCATATTTATATCTTTGATGAAAAATATTACAATGTAATGTATACAATATTATAATATTTGGTATGACATAGAACTATGATAGTGTAATACCGGCCTAAGAGTACTACTATGTCTTGGGAACAGGTTCACAACTCGGCGGTCCGTTCGTGACGTCACGCATGCGTTCTAATTTTGAGACTCAGGGCTAAACCCGAATGTTTCTAGTTCTAGGTCTAGTGTTAGTTCTAGTTTTAGTTCAATAAAAATATTTAACATAGTAATATGTAGTACTAATTAGCGACACCTAGTACTGTCACTAAAACTTACACTAGACTTAGAACTAGAAACATTCGGGTTTAGCAGTTCGTCTTTAAGACGGCTAAACCCGAAAGTTTCTAGTTCTTGGTCTAGTGTTAGTTCTAGTAGTAATTCTTATTCGTGTTTAGTAACAGGTGACTGAGCGTGATACGGTGTTTAACGCATTGGTCCAATTAGCTAACGTAGCAGTCTGTTTAGATTCTACCGTACTTGAAAGATAATAGAAAAAAATCAAGAATCGGGCAAATGTCAAGATTTGTTGACATTGACAATTTAGTTATTTTTTTAAACAACTTATAGTACAATTTAGTAATTTTAACGTTTTTATAACCAAAATATTTCACTAAAACGCCATTTAATCATTTTGGAAAAAAAAAGGGAAAAAATTACAAATTTAGTTTTTTTTTCGATTTATATTATTAGTTCAAAATTAACTTCTATTCCAGATGTCGCTTTTCACTAAGTAACGACAAACTGACAACTGTCACTTTGACATTTAAAAATAACCTAATATTTTAATATAATAGAAATATTTTTTTTTACTTTAATTAAATTTCTTTACAAAAAAAAAACACTTTATCATTTTTAAGATCTTAACAATCTTGCGTACCTACATCAAAACCATGTAAGTAAATAAGTATGTAGATAATGAACAAACACAACTATTTCATTTAAAGTACATTAAAGTAATTATTTACAGCCCCCACGTACTCGCTTAAATAAACACTGCTCGTATGTTCGTTATGTTACGTCCGTTTTTAATATTCACTCTTAGTTGATTGGTTGTAGTTTGTTCAATCAACAAAAAAAAACGAAACGTATTTCATGTTTAACCATTATTTTTTCATTGAGAAATTAGTTTTTAACTTTTTTATATGTAGTTTACATTGTAAGCACGTATTTAAACGTGGTACGATATATTGTTTGCTTACGTTACTCATGTGGTAGTTGAAATTCTAAACGTAGGCTTCTGTTCAACGGCGTTATCGTAATTTTATAGAAGAGTTGTAACAGGAAGTTAGTTAAAACATTTCCGTGCGGTTAGATTTTTTAACACATTTAACAGATTTTATGTTCATTAAAAATAGATATGGATACATCGTTTATTGAAGATTTACCAAAGGGTCCGTTGGATTTTTACAGAAAACAAGCAAGTTTTGATTGGAAAAGATTAAAATTAGTTTTTGAAGACCCGGATTTTTTAAAAGTAAAGGTAAGAAAGTGTATTATTTTGTTTTTAATACAAATCGAGCTGTTTTAAAAATATAATCTGATTCATCGTAAAAATAGTTCTGAACATGTTTCTTTTTGCATTTTTTAAAAGTTATCGTTTTGTACATGGCCTTGAAACATCAAAGCTTGATTTTTTTATAATTGTATTCGTCATCCCAAGATATTTTTTAGTTAGATAAGAAAGCTATCAAAATTCAATGTTGTTGGTAAACTTGACCTTCTTAGTAACTATGATATTAGCCAACAAAAAACGATTTAAGCTAATTTTTTGCGGTGTAACAATTCCCATTCACTACAATGAATGAAACAATTAATCAATGAACCATTAAAATGCATAAATATTGAAAATTTATGTAAAAAAATTTTTATATTCAAAATTTCCGCTATTTTTTATTTTTATTATGTTGGTTTTATGTCAAAAAATTTAATTTCAATGTCAATGTCATTTTAGTTTTTAATTTTATATTTTAATTAACTTTTTTTGTAGCTAAATGTATGGAAAACTTTGGAAAAAGATCCGCTTTTTCAAAGACCCGTTGTAACTCCAACAACAGATGAGCAAAAAAGAATAACGGCGCTTCAATTTCATCAATATTGCAAATATAACTTTTTACCACCTGACGCACACAATTTACCTTACAAAAGAAAAGTTAGTTCTTTTTTATATTTGTTTCTTTTTAATTCTAATATCATTTCTTTCTAATTAGACTAGAATCATAATGACGATTAATGAAGCTTTGGCGGTTTGTTTTCCCGATGTTTCTGTAAAATACGCCGTTGGAGTCAGTTTGTTCACTAACACTTTACAAACTTTAGGCACGGAAAGGCATCAACCCATTTTCCAAGCTGCTTGGAATCGAAAAGTAAAAACAATTTTTTTTGTCAATTCAGTTTTTGTGATTACTTAGGTTAGATTACTTATGTATACTGGAATCTAATAATCCTTCTTCTACAGATATTATCAAGTTTAGCTTTAACGGAAGTCTCCCATGGTAGTGATACAAAATCCGCGCGCACAACAGCTACTTACGATCCGAATACTCAAGAATTTGTTATTAATACACCAGATTTTGAAGCTGCAAAATGTTGGGTTGGAAATATTGGTAAATATACCACAAAAAAAATTAATTAAATATAACATTTTTTTATTTCAGGAAAAACATGTACAATGGCCTTATTATTCGCACAATTATACACTCAAGGACAATGTCATGGTTTACACGCTTTTGTTGTTCCGGTAAGAGATCCAAAAACTTTATTACCATATCCCGGAATTATTGTTGGAGATATTGGAGATAAAATTGGATTAAATGGAATCGATAATGGGTACATATTTTACAGAAATATTTAAATATGATTTAATTTAATTTTTTTTAGGTTTATAATGTTTGATAATTATCGGATCCCAAGAGAAAGTCTTTTAAACCGAACTGCTGATGTAACACCGGAAGGGGATTATGAGAGTAGTTTTTCTGAACCGGGAAAAATTTTGGGCGCCGCTTTGGAAAATTTATCAACCGGAAGAATGGGGATAAGTCAAGAAGGCGTTAACAATTTAATTTGTGCTGTTACCATTTCGATTCGATACGCCGCTGTTAGAAAACAATTCGCTGACAATGGAAATGGAAACGGAAATGGGAATGGAAACGGTTTTCCTTATTCAGGAAGAAACGATCACGTCGAACATCCAATTATTGAATATCAATTACATGTAATAATATTTCATTTTTAATTTATTCATTATTAACTCATTTTTTGTAGCAATGGCGATTATTTCCCTACGTTTCAGCAGCGGCTGTTTTAAAGATATTTGTCGCCTGCTTTACTGAAGATTATCTTTCGGCCGTTGAAAGAACAACAACTTCAACCTCAACAAGATTAAACGGCTTGGTAAATTAAAAAATCATCGAATTTAATAAATTAATTAATTAATTTTTTTAGAGTGATTTAGTTTCTGAAATTCATGCAATAATCTCAGCAGCGAAACCTTTAATAACATGGACTTGCCGTGATGCTATTCAAGAAAGTCGGGAAGCTTGTGGAGGTCATGGTTATTTAAAATCAGCTCGTTTGGGCGATTTACGTAACATAAACGACCCTTGCGTTACTTACGAGGGGGATAATAATGTTTTAGTTCAACAAACAAGTAATTGGTTGTTGCGGCAATGGATTGGGTTGCAACAAGAGGGAAAAGTTAATAGCCCATTAGAAACATGCGGGTTTCTAAGGGATTACAAAAATGTTTTAAACAAAACGTTTATTAGGGATAAATACGATTTTAACAGTAATAATTTTAATTAATTGTATTTAAAATTAATTTTAATCCTAATTTTTATAGTGATTAAAGATTGTTACGAGTGGTTGATAACTTACTTGGTAATGGATACAGATCTGATTCAACAAGTTTTAATAAAAAATGGTGATAGTAAGTTCAACGCTAGGAATAAATCTCAAGTTTATAGAGCTGCCCCTCTATCAAGAGCGTATGGGGAATATTTAGCGATCAAATATTATTGGAACTACATTCATACTGCTAAATTAGAAAGTAATCTTTTAACTGTCTTGGAAAAACTAGCATTTATGTATGGTTTATCATGTTTGGATAAACACATGGTTTATTTTTACAAGGGAAATTACGCAAACGGTCCAAAATTAATCAATTTAATTAAAGATGGGATCTTGGATCTTTGCACACAATTAAAACCGGATATTGTTGGTATCGTTGATGGATTGGCACCGCCCGATTTTGTTGTTAATTCCATTTTAGGTAGAGCCGATGGAAATGTAAGAATATAACACTTTAATATTTTGTTCTAAGTTCATATTTTTCAGTTATATCAACATTTAAAAGCTGAATTCTTCCAATCGCCTGGAGCGATGTCAAGACCAAACTGGTGGCATGAAATAATTATAGAAGATGCCCCCGATTTTAAAATAAGGTCAAAACTATAACAACTTACATAGGTTAATTAATTCAATATTAATTTGTACGATAATAATGTCTATTTTATATTAATGTCTATTTTATTATTGTGGGAAGATTTTGAGATTAAGAAAAAATATAATACGAAATAAAGTAATAAAATTATATGAAAAATTTGGTTTTTGGCGCTACCTATCCTTAGAAAGCTGAATTAAAATGTAACTGATTGTATCATGATTCACTAGTAGATGGCGCTTATATTATTAAAGGGAAATGTCACAATACATAACCTATAATATTTATAAATAATTAAAATTTTGGAATAATGGAACCAACTAAATCACTTCCGAGTGGAAAAATAAGGAAAGGGTTATTAACACCTTGTAGAACAATCGGGTTATCAAGAAAATATTTAATTGAAACTTTTAAATCACCTTTAATTCAAGAAAATTTAGTTTTAAGTACAGAATCTCCTAAGAAAGAAACTGCTGTTTTAGTGAATCCAGAAGAACCAACTAAACCTCTTCCGAATGTAAAAATAAGGAAAGGATTATTAACACCTTGTAGAACAATCGGATTATCAAGAAAATATTTAATTGATACTTTTAAATCACCATTAATTCAAGAAAATTTAGTTTTAAGTACAGAATCTCCTAAGAAAGAAACTGCTGTTTTAGTGAATCCACAATCCAGTTCAACATCTGTTCAAAATAAGCGTAAAGGTGATAATTTAAAGGGTAACAAAACAAAAAAGAATAAGAAAAGTACTGAATCTAATGCAAATAATGATAAAACGAAATTAATGGAGGAAGAATTAACTAAGGAAAATAGTTCTTATTTAAACGTTTCGGGTTGTGAATTATTAGAATTAGATGAAATTGATGAAAATCAAACTGTTATAAAAAAACAAGAACTGAAATCACCTTTAATTCAAGAAAATTTAGTTTTAAGTACAGAATCTCCTAAGAAAGAAACTGCTGTTTTAGTAAATCCACAACTCAGTTCAACATCTGTTCCAAGTAAGCATAAAGGTGATAATTTAAGTGGTAAAAAAGCAAAAAAGAATAAGAAGACTGCTGAATCTAATGCAAATAATGGTAAAACGAAATTAATTGAGGAAGAATTAACTAAGGAAAATAGTTCTTATTTAAACGTTTTGGGTCGTGAATTATTAGAATTAGATGAAATTGATGAAAATCAAACTGTTATAAAAAAACAGGAACTGAAATCACCTTTAATTCAAGAAAATTTAGTTTTAAGTACAGAATCTCCTAAGAAAGAAACTGCTGTTTTAGTAAATCCACAATCCAGTTCAACAACTGTTCCAAGTAAGTGTAAAGGTGATAATTTAAGTGGTAACAAAACAAAAAAGAATAAGAAGATTGCTAAATCTAATGCAAATAATGGTAAAACGAAATTAATTGAGGAAGAATTAACTAAGGAAAATAGTTCTTATTTAAACGTTTTGGGTCGTGAATTATTAAAATTAGATAAAATAGCTGAAAATTATACTATTGTAAAAAGACAAGAACTTAGTGAATTAAAAGTTACTCTAGTAAGATTACCTTTGGATAACCAGAATTTAAAAAAATCGGAAAATAATAATGTAGTTAAATGTGATGAAGACCAAAAAGTTCCAAAGAAATCTTTAAATAAGAAGTCTGGAATAATAGCAAAGATTGTAACTCCTGTAAAATCTTCAAAATCTCAAATAACTGTTACTCCAAAAACTTTATTGGTCGAATTAGAAACAAAACCATTATTAAATTCGGTAACATCAACTTCAGAAACAAAGTCACAATTAAAATCGCACACACAAAGATCCATCGATCTTGAAAAAATGAACAAGAAAAAAAAATTAGCCAAGAATTCTTCGAAATTATCATTAAAGAAAACAATGTCCGACTCCTTTGAAAGTGATGATGAGTTTTTAAAAGAACCGAAAAGTACTCAAAGTTTAAAGAAAGCAAAACCTATTAATAAATCTGGATTGATTGAGAAAATTATTAAATTACAGAAAACGGTGAGTGAAAAAGAATCTATTCTTGAACGTCATAAACAAGCAGAAATTTATCGTAAACTTCACAACGTTAATAAATTAGCGGAATTAAAATCAATGTGGACGCATGGATGTAAAATTGCATTGCAAGATCTTTTGGTAAAATTACGAGAAATTGATCCCAATTTTGATATGCCAAAATTACTGACTAGATTAAAAGCGCCTGCTGGGTTACTTAAATATAATGAAGAAAATTGTGATTTTGAATAACTGTTAATTACGTAATGTTAATTAAAATCAATAATATGATTTTGTTTAGATAAAGTTATTATTATGTTTATTAACCACACTTAATTATACTTATAATTTTTTTTATCAAGGATTCGTTATTTTATTTATTACTTTAATATGCCATATTTTTAAGTTACGTTACATCACAGAAAATATAATTATTTATTTATTTTTTGCTATAGTAATACAAAATTATTTAATTAAAACTATTTCTATGATAAAAGTGTTTTTATTTTCTCCCATATATGAGGTGTATGTATAAGTAAAAAGTAAAAATTTCCCTACAATGTAATTTAATAATTGTAGAAACAAAAAGGGAAAAATATTACAAATTTAGTTTTTTTCTTTTCGTTTTATATTGCTCGTCCAATATTAACTTCAATTTCGATTTCTAGATGTCTCTTTTAACTAAATAACAACAAACTGACAACTGTCACTTTGACATTTAAAAATAACCTAATACATTAGAAATAAAATGTCTTTTTGTCTCATAAAATTAACTAAGAATTCGTTTTAAAGTTACAAATCCATAAGTGCGGTAATCTATAGAATTCCACCTCGAAATTCCGAACGGTATTTATGAATAATATTTTCTATTGCCACATCTACCACCACATATGTACATAAATATGTTTAATAAAAAAAAGCAATGCCATTTTGCGGTTACCAAATAATTTCTCTTTTAATTATCTTAAAAATAGATTAAATAATACGTTATTAACATTATTAAGTAAAGAAATAGAAAGTGTTTGTCAAAAATTTTTATTATAAAAATATACGGATAAATAGACAAAAACATATACACTTATTTCTTATTTTTTTTTAAGATTAAGTTAATTATAAATTATATATTAAACGATAATCATATAAATTAAGATGTACAAAATACAGAAAATGAAATTCTTTTTTCTAACACGTGGTCCTTAAATTTTACGTTAAAAAATCATTTCATTTTTGAGTTAAAGAAAATTTTCAAGTGTAAATGCGTCTCTTCTCGTTTCTTATTGTATTCACAAAGTAAAACGTCATAACAGCTCCAAATACCTAAAAGAATAACCAAAAATAATAATTAGAAATCATCCAAACTTCAACTTAATAAAATAAATGCAGTGATTCATAAAATCAAGCGAAAAGACAGTTTGAATTGGGCGTTAAATCAAAAACGTTGAAATGTTTATAATAATACACTCCCCTCACTTTGTATAACATTGAAATATTTGTTCAACTGTGCGCAAAAATATACAAAGCTTCAACTTCAAACTACACAAGTGTGAAATGAAATATTGTCTGAAACAATTTCAAAGACGGAGTTATCAAAAATTGTCTTTTTTGAGTCTTAAATGAAAATGGAAAAGCTAAAAAAATCAAAGAAAAACTTATTTATTTATCCTTCTTACTCTGATGAAATTTTTAGAGTCCAAAAGTAAAGTTCTTAACGATTCAGTAACACGTGAGATAACACATCCGTTCGATATAAAACCAAGGATTTCGTTATAAAAACATTTTTTTACGCGAATCGGATTCATAAATTAATTCGGTTTGGTGGTTTTTTTAACGTTCTTTTTCCTGCAGGCAAAAAGTAAATAAATAACTAAAACGATCAAGGATTCGGAAAAACTTCAAAACAAAATTAAAAAAAATTAAGCGACAAATCGTGTTTGAAAAATTTTTATACACACGATTTAAAATAAGCATGGAAACACTAATTGAGTAGGTAGGTAATTGGGATAAGTTAAAGTGAAAAGTTTATTGCAAGTTCAACACCATTTGATTCTGGTTTAAATAACAACTAAAGCTGTAATTTTATTCCAACAAAATCATGTGTTTATTTTATTTAATTTTGGTTGTGTTGATAGTTTCATTTTTAATTTGGTACAAATTTAATTATTATTGGTATAAAAGTTGCTTGAAAAATTTTAAAGAAATTAAATATTTTCCAACAAATACAACAGGTATGTTATTACAGTAAAACCTCGATATAACGGACAAAATATTTGTAAGTCATACAATTAATATTATCTATTTAATACATCAGAATATTTAAATCAACTTTGTTTTTTTTTTTAATGGAACAGCCTTGTTATAGCATTGTTAATGATGACATTGATGACACTCGGGAATCAGAGCAAGTTACAAAAAATCTTTTAGTACAAAAGTTGTAGCAAATTTTAGTCTTAACAATATTTCTCTTTTGCATTTTTGCAAAAATATACAACTATTTAGCACTGAATAACAAGTAAAACTAGAACTAACACTAGACCTAGAACTAGAAAGTTTCCACTACCTAGTTGTATACTTTTAATTAACATTTTTCATATAACAGACTTTGGCTAAAACGGCCACTCCCTTCCTCGTATTAATCCGTTATATCGAGGATTTACTGTAATTATTTTTTTAATTTAAATATATTTTTTTTAGACTTTTATAATTATTTAACAACTCAATCAATTAACGATAAAATGACAAAAAATTGTTATAAAATGTTCGGCCCATTTCCGCTTTTTATAACAACAGATGAAAAATTGTTTTCAATAATCTTAGGATCTTCAAAACACATCAACAAACCTAGTCAATTAAGTCTCTTTGGAAAAGCGATTAGTCAAACGTTATTTTTCGCAAAAAACGATCTTTGGCGTCATCGACGTCGCCTTTTTAATTCATTCTTCGATTACGGCTCGATTTTAAATCAATTTGAAATCAATAACGAACGCACAAACGAATTCATTGATAATTTTAAGTCGAAATTATCAAACGATAAAGAATTAATCGATTTAAATTTAATTATTAACGAATTTATTTTGGGACAAGTTTCAATAAATGTTATGGGAGAAAATTTATTAAAAATTAATCCAGAAGTGTTGGATATTTTAGGATTTTTGAACCAACAAACTGTTAGGAAAGCTTTAGTTTGTACGGATCTTTTCAAAGTTTGGGAAATATTTAAAGATCTTTGGTTGGAAAGGAAGAAAATAACCGTTTTAAAAAACTGCATTAAAAAATTTTTGCAAAAACGAATTAATGAAAAAAGGAATTTTACCCATGGAAAAAGAATGATATTTGTTGATTTTTTAATCAAAGAAATGAATGAAAATAATGTATCGGAGGAATATGTAATTCAAGAACTTTTATTATTTCTATTTGCGGTAATATTCAAAAAATCTAATTATTGCAATTTTTAATAACATTTTTTTAGGGCTATGAAACCACAGCTCATTCAATTTCTTTTGCTTTGTATCTTCTCTCAAAACATCCTGAAATACAGGTAAATTAATAAATAAAACCATGTTTAATTTAGCAATAAATTCTTTTTCTTGAACAGGAAAATGTCATTAAAGAAATCAAAGCAATTACATCAAATGATATAACACACCAACACCTGCAAAAAATGGATTATTTAGACTTGGTGATTAAAGAAAGTTTAAGAATGTATACAACAGCAACATTTTTTTTTAGAATTCTCGAAGAAAACGTGGAATTCGGTAAGGAAATACACTTTACAAAAACATATATTCTTCAAATAATTCTTTTTAGAGGGAACAACCCTTCCAAAAGGATTAATTGTACTTTTCAATAACACAGGAATCCATAAAGATCCCACACTTTATCTGGAACCAGAAAAATTCAAACCTGAAAGATTTCTTTCCAATGAATTCAAATCAAAACGATTCATTTATTCCCCTTTTTGTTTAGGAATAAGGCAATGCATAGGTAAGAAGTAAAAAACCAAAATCAAAAATAATCCTAGTCCGTTTTAGGAAAACGATTCGCCGAAAATACTTTAAAATTAACCCTGGCAAAATTCGTTTTAAACTACAAATTATTCGACGCCAATCATAATTTAAATTTAGCAATAGGAATTGGGTTAACTTCGCTTAATGGGATTAAGGTTTTTATTGAAAAACGGAGATAAATTCATCTACTAAGAAGTAAGGTTATGTAAAATAATTTTTTTATTAATAAATACTAACCTCTAAAATCGCCACGATCGCTGATACAACTCCTACGGTTTTATAATGGAAAGTAATTTTACTGGTAACTGCCGAATAACAACCTAAGTTGTAATACTTTTGATGCATGCTATCACAAACGACAGCTTTGTGCTCACAACAGGATTGTGGAATCGGTGACATTTCCAGCACAACATCGTAGTCTCTATACGTGTCCAATCCACAACAATGATACTTAAAAAAATGCAAATAATGTAAATGATAATAGAAAAAAATTAAGAATCAGGAAAATGTGAGGTTATGTAAATGATATTGACAGTTTAGATCGTTTAGATTAAAAATTCAAAACATGATAATGTCGGTAATAAAGAAAACATTAGGAAACTTACCTGCTCCTCAAAATAATTTTGTACGTTTCTTGATTGAGCAGTTTCATTTAAGTATTGTTTGAAATTATTGTACATTTTTTCTTTGGTTTCATTAAAGGTGTTTTCATTGGAAGTCTTGGCGAAAGATAATCCGGTTAAAATTAAATGAAGAGTGATCATTAAAACTAATAAGATGCCGTACTAAAAAATATTAAAAGAGAAATTAATTAATTAAATCATCACTTCTAATTTTAAAACCTCTCAACAAAAAAAACTACATCAAAAAGATTGCACAATCGACTATAAATAAAATAGAAGATATTCCATTAGTTGAAAGACCTTGACACACCTCTTTCTTCTGGTTTCTCACCATGGCCTAGTTTATTTTTAAATAAACCAACAGTTTAATGACTCATCAGCTGATTGAGAGACATAAAAAAACGAGTTTTGTGTTTTCAAAAAATTTACTTAAAATAATTAATTTATTGTTATTAAGTTTTTAAATTTACAAAATTGAAATTTGACAGTTGGTACGGTCATGTCAAAATTTTAAATAAAAACGGAAATATTTAAATTAATTAAGAAGTAATTTATTAAAAAGTTAATAAATGTTAAATAACTAGTGAAACAATAATCTTCCAAGTTAAAAAGTAACTAAAACGTGCTGGTGAAATCTTCAAATGTAAAATCACTTAATATTAATATTTTTTTTTGGAACCATATTCGAGAAATAAAACGTTTTACTGGCGTATAAAACGGTACGTTGACTCGCCAAGATGCCAAATAAACAGGGAGATAAAGTTTTCAACCTTGCAAAACCTTACAAAAACCCCCAACGACCAAAAATAACAACCGGTTTATCAAAGTTGTTTTAATAACTTTTTAATGCTAGTTAATCAAATTCCGTTAACCGGAATATGTTAAATATAGTCGTGTACATTCTTACCAGTAAACGTTTATTTATTTACGTTCTGCAATGTGTCATCGTTGTTAAAAATTGCAGGATGACGAAGACGATTCATAACAGAATGTTTGAAATTATGGTATACTCAAATATCTCAAAAATAGATGTTAATGTTTGTTTCTAGTGTGTCTCAATATTTTATTGACATAGTTATCATACATTTTTATTTGAATCTAGAAATTGTGGATATGTTGTCCTACATATCCACAATAAAATAATAAAAAATGTACTGCAAATAAGATTTGTTCCACGACGAAAAAATTAAATTGCAGATGATGACGTTTTCAGCTACATTTAGGTTACGTTGAATATAAATAAAATATAATATAAATATAATATATAATATAAATCATGTTGATATAAATTGCTCTTAATTACGATCACATTGTAATATTAATGAACTAAATTTTAATTTCATTTTAAAATGTATTATAAAGCATGTCAGTGAAGACCTTTGACCTAGTGTATGCAGACGATATAATGCTGATAGCAAGTACGAAAACAGAACTACAAAGAAAAATTGCCATGCAAATAAATATAGCGGAAACCTAGATTCTGCATATAACTAAAGGGGAAAATGATAAAAACATAAATATAATCATAAATGGGGAGAGACTGGAAATTGCGGATAAATTTTAATATACTGAGAATGGAACAATAGACAAAGAAATACAAAATAGAATACAAAAAGCAAGTAATATATATTACCAAATCAATAACACAATTGTGGACAAGAAGGAAGTAACAACAAATGCAAAATTAAGAATTTATAACACTGTATACCGGGAATTTCATATAACTGTCCCACACAAAATGCAACATAGCTTAATAGTACAGGCATTGGGTAGTTTTGCAAAGGAAAACTTTTGCTTGGAAAAAAGTGACGTTAGAGAATCCCAACAATATCTCAACGCTGTAATGGCATCTAGGGGAAATGATACAGAAGAAGAAGAATTATAAACCATGAAGATTTAATAATTTGATGCTAAGAAAAATGTGATAACGCAATCGTTACTAAATATTGGGACACCTGTATAATAACTCAATCCATGTAAGCCAAGGTCATTTTCTCTTTCTATTTCTTTCTGATTCATATGAAAAAGAAACCGAAGGTTGTCGCCGCTTAAATAACGTTGTAATAATATTACTCTTTAAAATAACTTTTTAATGGTACCGTAAAAGTAAAATTGTTCCTAATGTGGGAGGAGGAAGTTATTTGACTAATTTCCGTATAAAAAATGATCTTAGAATTCGACGGTTCTTAGAATAGAATTAAAAAAAACATTTTTCTATTTTAAATGTTTTTTTTTTTTTCGGAATGATTTATTTTTAACGCATTCGCATTCGCGTTACATTTAATTAGTATTTTTACGTAAATAACTACAATTAATTTTACGTAATTTCCTATCGAATTAAAGCGATGTCCTTCGAAATAGTGCAACAATTTCATTTTACAACTTAGCACTTTGTAGGATTTTTTTTATTTCATCCAAACAAATAAAAAATTTGTTTTTTTGTTAATAAGGAGTACTTACTATTTTAATTAGACCATTATTTTCTTTCCACGCACTACCAATTCCTATCAAAGCAAAAACAAGCTCCAAAACACCTGTAATTATGAATAAAAAGGCGCCCCACGTTAAAGCCATCGCAGCGTCATCGATATTTTCCGCCGCAGTTCTCGTTTCGTCGTTTAAATTTCTTAATATTTGTAATTCTTGCGTGAAATAATATACACCTATTGATATAGAAGCGACACCAACAATCTGAAATTAAAATTAAAAAAGAATTTTGAATTTTGACCATTTTTGGAATGGTAACGGAGTTATTTGACGTTTTAAACATTTTTATAAGTGGGTTATTTTAAAAATGTTCATATCAGTTTTATTTATAGCAATTTTTAAAAAATCTTTTCAATTAACGATTAAAATATCTTTTAAGATAATTTATAATGTATGGAAAATCTTTGAAACGTTCTGAAAAGTAATTAATAACTCTTCAAAAATGTACATTTATGTGTTAAAGTTAACTTTTATTGTGTTTTATTCGCACGATTAGTCAACTCAACATTCCACAAAAGAAAATCAATACAAATTTACCGCTATTTAAATATTATATATGCATTAGGAACCTTTTCGAATGTAACAAATTTCAGAAACGGATCAAAATAACGATCATCTTTTAATACATCATGATGTAATCTTTCTTGTTGCGAATTTAGGACGGAATTTATATGAGTTTTGATGATTGCATCAACAGATTTAATAATTGTGAAGAAAAAGTGTTCAAAATCGTTTTATATACTGAAAACTACGTCAAACATAAAAGAAATAAATACATGACGAGTCGAAATTCGAAATCCACTACGAAACGTTTATTTGTCTTGAAACTTGAACGCATCTTTCGGCATACAAATCAAAACTAGTTTTAAATTAAGGAAAAAAACAAATTTAATTTACTCACAGCGTAAATAATACTGAAAACGATCACCAAACACTTTGTGCACTCAACAGAACAACCCATTTTTGTGTTAATCGAGTTCGAAAATCACAAATAAAAGAATGTTAAAGAAATTTTACGGCACTTAGATATTTTTAAGTTTTATGCCTTTCCGTTTAACTCTCACTTTCACTTCATAGAAAATTGTTTAAACGAACCGAAAATGTCGAATGTGAAGGAAATGTTAAAAACAGTTAGTTGCGGAATAAAGCTGTTTTTTTTTGAACTCGTCACAAGTCTATGTTCGCAGCAGGACTGACGACTGACACTAAATAGAACTGGTTCTCGGGTCAATTTTCTGAAACGGAACGTCCTCTACCACAAACGCACATCAGACTCGGAGACAGTTTACAACGTTCAGTATAAAAAGTGTAAACAATATCGTTCAAGACAAGTTTTATATCAAAAATTAAGGTAAATTAATATAAATTTAAGTTAAAACTTAAACTAATTAATAACATTATAAATAATTACTTGAATAAATAGAAAATATTAATTAAATATAGTTTATTATTTTTTTTTAAATTAATTGTCAAAGTGACGTCAATTTTTTCATTATAAACATGTGGTAGCACTGTCTTTCAAATTTGACAAGATAATTAGAGATAATTTTGATAAAGGTATTTTCTGTTTATTTATAATAACAAAATGTCAAGAAATGATATCATTTATTTAACTGTGAAAAGAATTTAAACTTTATGTAATAAATATGTTTAATTCAGTTTCGAAAAAAGCTAAAAAAGCTTTTTAGAGTGACAACTTAATTAGAACGTACATAACCTTAAATTTCCTGAGATCTTCTCCAACACTTGCGTTAACGATTGAAGCAGGTGAAACGTCTATTGAAGTAAGAGTACGACAGTTGTTTACCAGATTTCTAATTAGAAATCTTAGTCTAATCGGATCAACAGAGTAGATGGGATTTCGCAAATCTTCACCTCACGGCCGTTGGCAAAGAATTACCCTTTGATTGCTAAAATCTACTCAAACCTCAAGCCTGCTATCCCAAACTTATACAGAACAGAAACGCATGACATGCACACCGTGCAATATAAAGTCAGAATGCTGGTACCGCTGATAACATTTGTTCCTGGGTCATATGCTTAAGATCAAACAGTGGAATGATCGGTCGGAAGCACATTCGGTGTTTCATGCGAGATCTATGTACCTTCATTGGAGATTGAAGAATACTACCGGTTGCCAGATCATTTAATTATTTTTCTGAGAAGGCTTACGTCATCTTAAGAGCAATTGCACCAACTTTAGAAAGGAAATCCCCAAAGTGATAATTATAACGGATTCCCAAAGCACACTCGATCGTATTAAGAACGAATTGGCGAACAGGGTACACCAGGAAGAGGTTCACAGTGTAAAAATCTATGGAAATTTGGAAAAGAATTATATCGACAACATATTGATGACATAAACTATCAATGGGAACAATAGTGGACTAGAAGCAGCTCAACTAAAGGGATTAGATACGCTATGTTCCAACAAAGTTTTGCCCTTTGTATCATTCCAGTTCTACTCTCATTACTAGACTGAGAATAGGACATGCGCTATACCCCACCTATCTGTTTACAACTGGAATTAAAGATACCCCACAATGCGAATGTGGTGAAGAGGGTGATCTAGACATTTTGGACCATATTCGCCTATCCAAGATACTCTTATCAACGACAGAAACTATTTGCAGGTCTATTTAAGAAACATATATATTTACCAATTAACCTAGTAACATTGCTAGCTCATTTGAGATATATTTGATGTTATTTGAATATATTACATCTGCAGGCATTCTACTATGATAACGGCGGTGATGACTTTGTCTGTCATATATTTAAAGTAATCCAAGTTTCATAGTATCCTATGTAAGTCGGGTCACAAAATATTTTATATAACTTTTTTTAACCACATTATCGATTAGATTCTAGGTTCAAGGTAATATTTTTTTAATAAACCCCTAATCCATTACATTTTAAACGTTTCCGCTTAAATTTTAAACATTACTTATCGATTTATCATTTCTTACAGATTATCAGGGTCAAAAGTTAAAATGTGAAAAAAGGAAAATGTTTTAAAGTTCGTATCGATCGGTGATATACATTTACATACGTATAAATACGCAATCTATCGCACGTGTTTCATTTTCTTGTTTATATAAAATGTACTTATTCTAAAAGACGTTTTATAGAACAAGGCCATACGCAAAATCGTCTTCGAAATGCCTGCGTACGTCAAAAGCAGACGAAAATAAAATGACGATTAAAGATAATTATGAAATAAACCATCCGAATTCGTAAAATCATTTGGACGATATTAAAATTTAAAATAAAAATTATAAAAAATGTAGGTTATGTTTATTTCGAATTTGACATGTAATATCAATTTATAAGTCAATTTAATTTATACGTCAATTTTTTTATGCTCCATTAATTCGCTTTTAAATGTTTAAGAATAATTATTTAATTTAGTTTATTTTTATTATATTTTTGATAATAAATTTTAATTATAATATTGAATTCAAAGTATATTTATTGTTATTGGAAGTGTCGGTAACAACGATAACTACAAAAACAATACATAACCTCAACTAGATTCAATTAGATGTTGAATGATGGATAATTAAGTTATTTGAGTTAAAATTGATTCGTTTTGTAGTTATAAAAAAATTCTTATTCAAAAGAAATTATTAAGTCTATCCTAAAAATTAGATGTGTCAACTAGGTACGTTTTTATTTATTATTATAAAATTACTTATTAGTTTCAAAGTTACCATTGTAATCACTCTTTATAAAAAGATATAAATGATCTTTGTTAAATTAGTAGTTGAAACAGTTAACCTGAAGTCGTTTCGAGAGCTGTTCTTGTGTCATCGTTATTTCAATCTATTGACTTAATAAAACGTTAACATCTCGTGCCCTCATAAAATCTAATTGATTTATACGAGAATATTACTGTTTGCTTATAATTGAGAATTTCTTTTAACAGGGTTACAAATTTTATTGATTTAAAGGCTAAAAACTAATTGATTTTGATTGAAAAACATATTCCGGATGAAGAAATTTTGAGTTTATTTAATATGTCGTTAAATCGTCTTCTAAATAATATCTTGGTAAGTTATCTGGGTTAAAAAATCGTTTTGGAAACATAAGATTTTTAATGGCTCGATGAATGAGAATAACCCCGACAATCTAAAACATAAAATAAATTATACACGATTAAATTAATAATAAATTAAAAGATGACCTCTAATAAAGATATGCAGAAAGAAGTTACTCCCATTAATTGCCACTGACAAAAATAAGATTCGGAGACTTTCATTTCACAGCCCAAAAGTTGAGTTTCATTGAATGTGGTGCAATTATCGGCTCCTAATATGTCTATTTGGGATGTGTTATATGGAAATAATCTATCATAATCGGTTGAGTTGTTAACTCCACAACAATTATACTATAAATAAACTAAATTAAAAGGTTAATGTTGGAAAAATTAATATGCTTACTTTTTCTTGTAGAAATAATTGTGCTTGGACCGCATTTACATCATTTTTCATTTTAACAAAATTAACGGTCATGTAACCCCAAACTTGCAAAGGAAGTAAAACGTTTAATGAGATCAATATCATTAAAATTCCTAAAATGATCTTAGAAATTGATAAAATTCCAAGAATGGTTGCAAACTAAAATCGGAAAAATGGTTGAAAATGGTTCTTTATTTCCTATTTTTTTAAACTGACCGTTTTCAATTCACAAATTCCTTGCACAGTTAAAATATAAGTTCCTAATAGTCCAACTGATAACATAATCATGCCATATATTAACGAATATAAGACTAAAATTGATGTAGCACCTCGTCCCGCGTCTAATAAAACGATTGAGTCCACAGCTTCTTTTGGGTAAATTGAAAAAATCGGTTTATAAAATTCAAATATTAATATACCCGATATTAAAAAATAATAACCTAAAATCTGGAAAAGAAATTAAATGAATTTGGTTCATTTTCTTTACGTACCATATAAATAATGTTGAAATAAGTAAGGATATTTGTTGACGATTGTTTTGTTGAATCCATTTCGATTAATTGGAAATAGTAAGGATTTAAAATATTACGGGAACTGATCTGTTCCAATTCTACAGCCCATAGGAAAGCTTCAGGCAGAAAGCGAGCAAGGCCGTATAAAAATATTCACGCAAACCTGAAAGGACGACGGGCGCCAAGTAAAATTATCCCAAAAATTTTTATTAAAAAAAAATTTATTAATTGATTAATATTAAGTTCTCGGTATTATTTAAGTAAAATAATAAATAAAATCTATAAAATTAAATCTTGAATAACATTTTATTTGAAATAGATGTGTTAGGTATATATTGGGTTGCCTATCTTATTGTTTATTAAAATATTTCAACAACAAGGACATAAAATTTACCGGGAATACAATATAATTACGCAGTAACCATAGTTACGAAACTACAATAGACTTGCACTATCCCACATAAAATGCAACATAGCTTACTATACAGGCAAGTAGTTTTGCTTGGAAAAAGGTGACGTCCTTATGATAACTGAGTTTCCGTCTTAAGAGACGCACGGCTAAACTCGAATGTTTCTGGTTCTAGGTCTAGTGTAGTATAACCAGTTCCAGCCTGAATAACAATTAAAACTGGAACTAACACTAGATATGTGTAGAACTAGAAACATTCGGATGTACGTCTCTCAATACGGGTAAACTGGAATGATGAAAACCCGAATGTTTCTAGTTCTAGGTCTAGTGTTAGTTCTAGTTTTAGTGCAATAGAAATATGCAACATTGTGATATCTTATGCTAACTAGCGCTACCTAGCACTGTCACTAGAACTAACATTAGACCTAGGCTAGAAGTAGGATCATTCAGGTTTAGCCATCTTAAAGAGACATATGGCTAAACGGAATATTTGTTATTCAGCGCTAGATTGTTGCATATTTTTATTGAGCTATAACGGACACTGCGTTCCCCGTATTGATCCGTTATATGGAATTTTTGCTGTCAAATTATATTGACTTGATTTTATGTGGGACAAAGTAAGTAGGTACGAACTGGTTTCTATGTAAATATATTTTTGTATATTGCATCTTAAGTGAAATTCACTGTATAAAATAATATATTGGCAGTCATAAGATAATACTTTATTCCTTGATTTTTATTTTGTTACACCGAGGTCGTAGTTTGATGTCCATTTTCAGTAAAAAATCCTTCGCGTCGTTTTATTTTTCTTAGAAATTTAAATGCAACGCCAATTCCAATTGCTTCAACTAAACATATTACTAATGTAACTATTCCAAGTGGAATGAAACTATAATGAAATGCTTCGACTAGTTTTAAACCGCAACCATCGGGTTTGATTTTGTCGATTAAATTGCAAGTTTCGTTGAATTCGTTGCAACAAGTTCCGGTGTATTTTACCCAACCAAATACTATTCGGTAATCTCTATAACTGTCTATACCACAACAATTATACTAAAAAAAATAATAATTAATTTCATAACGTTTAATTACTTTTTTTAATACCGTTTCTTCAAGAAACATTTGGACTTTTAATAATTTCCTTTCAATTTCCATCATGGTGAAGTTTTCTAAAACTAATTTTCTTATTCCAACAGCAAATTTCATGCTTATTATGTTTATAAAAATATACAATCCAGCTCCTAGCTTAAAACTGGATACAAGTGATATTGCGTAAATAAACTAAAAAAATAATAAAATGCTAAAATTAAATGCAGGATTTTTTTTTGTTTGGCAACACTTTCAATGCCAAACTTAACAAAAAAAATTATAATTTGACATACCGATTTTAATAAACCTCTTTTTTCTAGTACCAACCCACAACAGCCATAAAGAACTAAAATTATAATAACAGTACCATAACTAATAAAAGCCGATCTTGTACCGGAAGCAACCAAATACGATTTATCGATGTTTTTAATAAATTCCTGAGTATCGTTTTCATAATTTTCTAAATTCGGATGTACGGAAGTCGAAAATATCAATCCAACAATTAAAAGACCAATACCAAATATCTAAAAAAAATCTTTTTAATTAGAATTAATTTTTTTAATTTTATTCTTACCAAATATATAATAAGATATATACCAAAATATCGTTTTTCCATTCTATTTTCTTTTGCGGACTCGCTTCAGTTCGCTATTACGTTTAAATGTGCTCAAAAGTTCTCTAAATATAGATTGACGTCCGAGATCATCTGAATTCTGTTGTAATGTTGTTTTGGCTGCATTTACAATTTGTTAACCATTCAAGTCTATTTTTTAAGGTTGTACGTGGTAAATAATCTAATAATTCGATTTTAGTACGCGAAAATATTTTCAAAAATGTTTTTATTTGATTATTTTATAAAATAACTTTAAAATCTGAATTAGGTGAGTTTTTACGCTTTATTAAATTGATGAAAATGAAAGTTGCAGTTAAAAAATTTGATGATATCAGAATATTTAAGTTTTGGGATTTAGGTTGGCAACAACACTTTAACAAGCTGTCATGTCAAAAACGATAATTTAAAAAATTCAAACCCATTTTCTTATAATCTTAAGGTTATATATTTCTGTTATGAGACCCATGGTAGTCTACCATAGCCATAGTTTAGTGCTCAGTACTAAAACATGTATTTAAGGCTAGATTGCTGCGCCAATTGCAACGACTGGCCTGCTTGTTAATTGCGGGCGCCATGAGATCGACATCCACGATCGTGATGGAGACTATGCTGAATGAGCCGTGATGGCGTTGTTTCGATTACAATCAGTGGATAATAAGCAAGTTGTAAAAATAGGAATGGTTTGCACTACATCACACCTACTTTCTTAAACGCTGGCCATCCACACTAATCTTTTCGCACGATCTTTCCATTTCGCTAGGGTCGTAATGCACGACTGCTCAGGCCGAAATAACTGCTATACATATAGCAGCTAATATGATCATCGATTCCAATAAAATTGATAGAAACGTTGTAACAGAGTTGGGCAATTGACGAGAAAAAGAATCTTAATGATATATATATTTGTAAAGAGTTTATTAAATAAAATATATCGACTTAAACAATGAAAATAGAAGTAGTTAAATAACATTTATATTATTAATATTATTATTAGAACATCGATTTCGTTAACTCTTAATTTATTTTTGTGACATTCACTGTGGTGCTTATTTTCTTTGTGTTTTATTTACTTCTTTCTTAAATAAAAAACCGCCACAATCACAATTTGCGGTTAATCTTTACGCATAAGCTCCTCTTCTGTGACTATTTTTTATCGAACTTGAAAGGCATAAAGCGAAAATTGCTCCAACCAGCTAAAAAAGAATTTCAACATGTTTTAGAAATTATTTTCAAAATAACAATAGTTGATTGTTTTACCTCGACAGCGGCGATACTTATAAAAATGATACCGATTATTTTAATAGTATCCCTAGTAAAATCAAACAAAGCATCTTTACATCCTTGGAAAAAGAAATCCTGGAAGTTATTACAAGTACCCTTTGGCCCTGCACAACAACTGTCTGGTGGTAAAGAAAGGATGCCCACCCATGAGTGCGGTCCTGTAGTTCCACAACATTTAAGCTAGAAAATGTAACAAATTTAATTAAAGAAAAAGTAAGTATAAATAAATGATTAACATACAGATTGTTGAATAAGATCAACTGCTTCATGTGATTGGGGTGGTGCTGAATTGTACTTCTCCATTAATCGTTGGAAAACAACACCAAATTGGGTTCTTAAATCATCAGTATTTTTAGTTTGTAAGAAAGCCAAAGTACCAAACGCCACTTGAATTACTAAAATTATCAATAAGATGACTGCATACTGAAAAAAATTAAAATATTAATAATTAAAAGTACATTAATTAATCATATATCTTACAGTTGTTAGCATGCAGGTACTTTCTTTTACAGCTCCACAACAACCGAAAAAGGCTATCACAAAAACTATCGATCCAACCACTATCATTAATATTGGTATGTAAGAAATTGTCGAATATTCATCTGGTATTGACTCGGTGATGTCACTGATGTTGAGTTGGAAAATTATACCAACAACTAACATTGCCAAACCAAGCAGCTGTAACAAAAAATTGGTTTAAATACAATATTGATCGATTAAGTTACAAGTAAAATATTAAATAATTTAATAATAAGTATCACCATCAAATAAATATAAAAAAAATAATTTCCACAAAATGCTCTGTTGATTTAACACCACGGAAGCAAAATAAGAATTTAAAATTTTCGTGGGTACACGAAATTTTATTTATTTAAATAAAATTAAATTGTTAATTTTAAATATCTATATTTTAACGATTTCTTCATAGATGGCACTATGGTTAATGCAAAAAAAATGTTGACGTATTAATAATTTTAAATAAATTAATTTATTATTTCACTCAAAATCGATTTGCTTCGCTATAAGATTTTCTTGCATACCGATTTTTCTATATTATGCAATAAAAGATATATATGTTAAAAAATTAATAACTCAAATTTTATTACCAATATAATTTTGGAATAAAATAAAAATCCCTATTTTTTAGTTAAAAGTATCAATGTAATTTGGGTTGCATACATTTTTTTGGAAAGTAATAAAATAGATTAATAATTCCTTTCCATAAGTCATCAAATAATCATTATATTATCGCTTTTGTGCCGTCTGGCTTGTTTTTACAATTTTTCCCTTATCAAGGTAAAGATAAGGTGTTATAATAACAGATAAAATCTCTTTTACGTAACAAATTATCCAAAAAGTGTTTTTTTTTTGTATTGATTGGAATTAAAATAATGTTTTTATTAAAGTAAAAAGATGTAAAAAATGTATGTCAAGAAACACTCGTTTTTAATTCATAACAAGGGGTCGATGGAAAACTATTGATTGTGATGTGAAAATAGGACAATCGTTTCACAACGTAGTTCATCAACAAGTGTTTATAATTAGTTTTATTCTAAACATTGTTTTTATTAATGTTTAATACTTCAATATAATTGTTATTTACGCAGAATTCTTATCAGTACAGTTATAAAATTTAATCAACTTATCAGGAGATTAAGAAATATATATTTCAACATATTTGTTGAAGGTAGATAGATATTTTTGTAATGTTACCAAGACCTAATTTTTTAAGATAAAATCTTTTGAGATAACTCTTATTTTTGAACGTAAAAAATTTTGTCTTAACATTCAACCAAACAAGAATAAGAATAGATCTTGACCCAATTTTTTTACGATTGAGAAAGTAATATAAAAAAATTAAATAACAAAGAAGTTCATTAAAACTTACCGCACAAATTAAATTAAACCCGAACATAATAAATCTTACTATTCCCATTGCACACGCCATTTTTGTTGGGATTTATTCTTTTCAATTATTATTAATATAAAAAATTATTAATTTTTTAACACTAAACTAATAAAACCGTTCTCTTTGTCTGTTCGCAAGAGAAAACCGTTTACGTCGTTGGTTGACGCAGCTGTGTTATTTTGTTAACGGTAGCAAGCGAGAGAAAGAGAGAAAGTACCGACAACGCTAAAGTTACACGTGAACTGTTCGAGGTGTTCGAGTTGCACTAAATCCGCAGCAGATATGTTCTCATATATAGATAGGAGATGAAATTAATCATTTCCAAATTTATCGTTATCTTTCTCATGGAATTATTAATTTTTGTAAATAATATGAGTCAGTAATATAGAAATTTATATTTTTTTATATTAATGATGATAATAAATGAGGAGAAAACGATAACATTCATAAAAACAATGTATTAATTTCGAATTGTTTTCCAAAAATACTTATTTATCTTAATACAAAAAGTAAAAAACAAAATAAGCAACCAAACATTCAAATTTGTAATTTTGGTTGTCTACCTAACAATTAATATTAACTAATTTTGATTTAATTTCTTTTATAAATTTATTTTTAATTCTTGATTTTTATTAAAAAATAAATTTAAGTTATTTATTTTTAATTTATTTTAATTTTTAATTACCTTTTAATAAAAAAAAAATTAATTACAAATAAATTAAAAATAGGCAACAAAATATACATCAACGTCATTTTAAATGCCTAAACAAATAAAGAATATTTCAGCGGTATTTATTGTTGCTAAATAAATAGAACGTCATTGATTATAATTAAATCTTAAACATGGTGACTTATCAAGCAAGGTTTTTCAAGTAATTTTCTATGACTCATTCTTAATAAAAACCGACGTCACAGTGGATGTTGTTGTGTAATAAAAAAAAATACAGGAAACTCCTATTTAAAACACCCACGATCGGTTACGTACAAAAGGAGAAGATTTTGTAATTTAAAACGACTTCTGGTAAAACTTCTTGTTCGTTTTTAATGATTTTGACCAAAATATATTAAAAAAATATGTAATGGAATAATAGAGCGGCTATCTTTGGGATGTTGGGAGTTTAAGTGCAGAATTTTGTTAGATCACGTTCTATATTTAGAAAAAACAGATTCTAAAGCGTAATAAACTCGTTGTTGCGATTTACAAAAGGGAAAAATGAAACATTTAAGATTATCGTATTTAATAAAAACGATTTTATATTTAATAATGATTCAGAAATCAAATAAATCCGATCTATACGGCAAATATAAATTATTTGTCGTATTTCTCATTCCCAGTATTTTTTTTAACTTTACTAAACATACAGATAGATAAATACTTGGTAAGAACAATTTTCCTCCTTCAACCTAAATATTCGTCATATTTAGAGCCCATAAATATTTATATTTATTTAATTAGGACCTTGAAGTTGCATTTCGTATAAAAATGAATGTATAAGTAATAAGTATATCAATACTACATGGTTGCAATAAATGTAATAGTAAATAAAAGATAGAGAAGTTGAAAAAAAAATGAAAAATCAATATTTTAACAATATTTATAAAGTAAATACAACGTAAGTTTTATCAGGTTTATAAATAAATATTTAAAAGAAAAAAAATTCCCGCTTATTTTAATTCAAACAATTTTGACGTTTAACAATTTTCTAACCACTCAATTTTTCTTATAATTTTATAGCACATTTTTAAAATAAACGATTTTCTATAATTCCGCAAACTTTTTTAATTAAATTTAATTATTTTTTATTTAAATATTTCTGCCATGTATGAAGTTGATCATGTCTTTCATAAATGGCACTCTTTTTTCACTATATTAATTCTCTCCAATTTATAAACTAAAATCGATTTATTTCTTTATGTACACAACCGATACGAAAATACTAAAAATTCTGTTAAAATAAATTTTTATCTTTTATTTGTTTAATTTTATTTTCAAAAAAATCTTGGTAATCGGATCAATCAATTTACTTTTAAATTTTTAAATGTCAACTACAAACGTCAAATATTTGAGTTGTCCATATTTGTTTTAGTTATGGATACTCTTTTTGGGACGTTAAATTACGTGGTCAAAACGTGCTATATGGGAGTGACGTAAAAACACATCAGTATCGTGGCACCAACATCCAATACCACGAAAAAATAAAGATTTAGGCTGGATTATTAGATAAGTTATCGTGGGACCTCTATTTTTAAATGAAAAGTTGATATATACATCATATTTGCGATTCAAGGAAGTTCAAACGGATGTTGTACTGCAACAGGATGGAACGCCACCCAGTTATGTGATTATGGTTAGAATGTACCTTATTGCCAACGTTAACAGACGGTGGATAGGCTGCCGTAGATCAACAAGCAAAGAAAAGCCTGTCCGAAGACGCAATGTTAAACCCGAAATTTGACCCATTTACAACCATTTATACCATTCATCAGGTTTATTTCAAAATTGGAGAAAAAAACAACATCTTTAAGATACGTATACTACATAAGTATACTATAGAAAGAACATTGTATTAACAGTTGACAGCAAAAACCGTATTCGAACTGTTGGCAAGATTGTATTTTTGGGTTGATAACTGCTGCTATATAAGATTTTTAATCGTGTTTTGTCCCCACTTTGATTTTTAAGCAAGGTTTAGTCAGTTGAATTATAAAAATTGCGGAAAATTCAAAATAACAAAATTTCTCACCTCTACTACACAATACGTGGTACGGAATTATAAAAGGGCAGGTAACAAGAAGAAATCATTTATTCCTACATCGTCAAATCCCTACCGTAAGTGCTACAATAGTCTTGAACAGGTCTTTGGCGTTCGTGTTAACCTTCAACGGCGCGAAATTACATTAAAAACTTGGTTCTAAAAGTCGGTATGCTGTTAGAAAATCATTCATAACTATGATTAATAAACGAAAGCGGTTTGCATTTGAAAAAAATGGCAAATTAAGGAATTTAACTTCTGAAAAATGGTAATTTACACGGATGAGACTGAAGTCAATATAAAATTATCGACTGGAAAAGTAAGAATTTGGTGAGAGAAAAACAAGGGCGTTGCTGTCAACAGTGATTAAAATGTCCTTTACCGTACGGTTGTTGAACTGCATAGGTAACCAACATATCTATTTTTGCTTTTACTCTTCTTAAGTGAAATAAATCATCAAATATATTTGAAATTTGTACTACCATTCTTGAGTAATTCGTGATTTTCTAATATTTCGGAGGGTGTTCGAATACGGATTTTCCATACTGTAACTCTTTCTAATAACGTTGAATTTGATGACGATACGAATATATCACAGGAACTGTATGATTCAGTAGGAAAAGTCGTGGAAAAATTCTTAGAAAATATGCTGACGCAGAGAAAATATGTGCAAAATTCAAATTCAACGAAAATTTATAGAAAATTAAAGATTTAGAATTAAAGTTATCATACAGAGTGTATCAAAGTTATTAAAACCATTCAATAAAATGCCAGCAAAAATTCACTTTATGGCTGATGTCACACATAAGCGCCCACTTGGCGAATAAAGAATCATAAGAATTAATAGATGTCCTTGATATTACGTTTTTCACTTTTGCTTATTTTATTTATTATTGCCACGGTAACAATTTAAAATACTAAAGCAATTAAGATAAGAATAATATATTTTTTTTAAGGTTCACCCAGATTTACTTATGAATTCAACAAATGCGCTTATAATAAAGTTTATTAATTTAACAGTCTCGCCGCGTAATACTTTCTTAACATTGACCTGTTAATTTGTAATAACTAAGAAGCGATAGCATCATCGTTCGAATTACAACCTGAACACGTCCACCATACGACCATGAACACATCGAACATGGTCACATGGCAACATCAAATGAAACAGTTTTTTTTAACAACAACGATTATTGTTATTGATTTTTCGACGCTTCTTCCACCTATATAACTTTTTATTATTTAAAAATTCCACTTTTTGATAAAGTAAAAAATGGTTTTGCTGTGACATACTTTATTATTATCTTTACTGTTATCTCTAAGTACACAATATTTCCAAGTACAAAGGGGTGTTCCCCATAAAAGTAGAAAAAAGAGTTAATTGTTTTTCATGTGTAAACAATTCATGCTGAAAGGTTTCTAACATTGCGATGACCTTTAAAGTAACTTTAACACAAATAGAATTTGTTTCATGTTTTCGTTTCCGCTCAACATTCAAGTTTGTGGAAATAATTTTGGAATTTTCTAAGAATAAGAAATGATTCAAATTTTAACTTTTTTTACTCAATGCAATTTTTAAAATTCTCAAATCAAATTAAATTAATAATATAACGTTATCAACATTATTGTTATTGGAAAATATAATCAAGAAAACAAACTTACCAAGCATAATAAGTTGAACAAAAACAAACTGTATTTAGCTATACCGGATGCGCACCCCATCTTTATTTTCTAATTCCACTTCACCAATAAACAAGAAATTAGTTAACAAACAAATAAACGATGCTTTATAAAGGGATAAACAATGACTTAGCACCCCGTAACGCGAGACTTCTCTCTATAAAATGAAAAAGGAAGCGAAAAAGTTAAACTATTTATAATATGTTTACAAGCAGTGTTGCCAAATATCAAAATGTATGTTTGGTTGCATAACTCCATTTAATTTTTTTTTAATTAAATCAGAAAACTTATTTTTTAACACATTGAAGTCATTTCAATTTCTTTTTTAAGTCAAATTAGAAACAAATTTGTTTATATTTACTTTATTAAAGTACTTAACAACGCACCATATGTGGAAATATTTAAACAGAAAACAAGCAAACATATGAATCATTTTATACTTGTTATGTTTAATTATTAATTAAAAACACTTACAACACATTTAATTCCCCTAATTCAACTAAATAGATTCCATATGACTAATAATATTTAAAACATCTTCAATATAATCATGGTATTAAATCATAAGTGATAACGATTGGTTATGTGTGTAAGCTTTTATAAATTAATTTCAGTATGATTCATTTGACGTTATCTTTCACAATTGTGTATTATTAGAATTCTTATTCATTCTAATATTTAAACGCTAAAATTTTATTTGTATTTCGCAATGGTGTATGAAAATAAAATTGGTTAATTTTTTTGGGTTAACTTTATTGATATATCAATAAAAATATTTTAACACTAACGCGCCTTCTGCATTAGTTTTTTCCGTGCACCATTCGTAGTTTCTTTGATTTCCAGATTCAGGATTGTGTTATTTACATGTTCGTTTATTGTATATGACGTTTTTGTTAAATTTTTGTAAAAAAAGACATTTCTGTACCATCTTATGGTTTTCCTTGATGATGAGTAGTATCCCGTCATCTAGTGTGATCTGTCTATCCCGGACATGTACTTATTGTAGGCGAGAATACACTCTGGTTTTATTACTTGTTTTCCTTTTCTATTTGTTGCTTCTATCATTCAGTGTTTATGCATTGTTGATGTCATAGCCACCAATCTCTTGTTCTTTCCAGTGTGCTTCATGGGAATGCTCTTGATCATTGTCTATTATAGTGCCTTTTCCAGTATAGAGTAACATTAGCAGTGGTAAGCTAATACAGCTTTATTTCGTACTGTTTATTCCTTAAATATAACCCAGTTAACTATCAAAAATGCTTTTTCTTTAAATATTGAAATAAATTTATTAAAAAAAAGATTTAAATGTTTACACACAAAAATACGTTTCGGTGTATATTGAGTTGCCTACATTGCAATAATTTTAAATTGTTTATTAAGAATATCTTTGTTAATAATTTAATTATAATTTACACTACTTTAACACCATGATTAAAACCCATAATTACTATTATTCATAAGAAATATTTACAATACTATCTAATAACCAAAAATAATTTCTTAACACATTGTTGTATTTGCTCACGATACTAATTATGTTTAATCCCTATTAAAAGATATCTGATTATTGATAAATTAAATTCATTATTAAGTTTATTTTAGCAATAATACCTTATTTCTAATAGATATTTTGAGAAATTTAAACTTCAACATCAACGGAGAAGTGAAATCTGAAAGAACATTTTTCTCTACATTTTCTGCTAAAAATTAGAGTATAACACGATTGGTTAATGTTTTATTGATAGTTTTGAAACACCTAATTATTCTTTTAAATGCATTAAAAGCTTTCAATCATTCATGAATCTTCATGAAATGTATTCATTTTTATTTCAAGCAAATGGAAGCTGTAATTAAACCATTATCATTTGCAGGAGGATTAAGTTGTTTACTCTCATTTAGACAATATAAAACAAACTAAAAAGCAATAGAAAAATAATAATATAAAAATTGTTTTAAAACACATTTTAACCTGTTTTGTTGGTTATTTTAACCATTCTTTGTAAATGTGGAATAAATTATGAATTTATTCTATTGATAAGATCATTTTAAAAAATTAATAATAAAATTGTAAATAATTATTGAGTAGGCAACTAAACATTCGAATGTGTAAAGAGTTGCCTATGCACAACTAATATACATGATAAAATAATAATTTATTGACTTTTATTGATTATTTTCAAATACAGGTCATCAATTCAATAATTCTAAATCTTAAGTTCTTTTTAATTATAATTAATTATATTTAATTGTTTCTTGTTTTAATAAAAATCAAATAATTAATTTTTATTAAAAATAAATTGATAGGCAGCTTAATATGCACAAATATATGTTAAGTTATATATACATAACTAAATATTTATTAATAATTTTAAGAGATTTATATATATATATATATATATATTTTAAAATAAATTAATTACTAATAATTTTTATGCAAGTGTTTAGAAAAATAAAGATGAAATAAAAAAAATCTTATAAAGAATGTGTTTAAATGCAAGCGTATTAAATATCGAGATATGCGCAAGTTGATACCTAAGATATGAATTTAACGACTGCTGAAGCACTATTCGGTGTAAATGTTTACGAATCAAACAGTCTCGGCGTGATTATTTCTACGAAACCTTCACCATACATCTTTTTATTTCAATAAGTTTATTGAAAGCTTCTTTAAAATGACGTGTTTCAAAAAAATGTCTTATTACGTTATCGTGCATCAAAAAATCTTCTTATTAACATTAAATATTATTTGTAAGGTAAGGCATAATATTAAAATACTTCGATGGGATCTGTAGATTTTAGTTTAATTTTATTAATTCTTTTTAGATACTTGGTATTATGTTAATATTTTCTTATATTAAAAGTCCGACATTTATTTTGTTACCAATCGGCTGTTTAATGTTTATAATTCCATATTTTGGATGTGCAGGATCGTTTTTCGAAAATCGAATTATCTTAATAGGAGTAAATATTTAAGTTGAATACTTATTTAATTTTTTTGTTTTTAAATTAATATTTTTAGTATGGTGCTGTACAACTATCATTTTTTACTGCACAACTTATTTTGTTGCTGTTATATTTATTTGGAAAGTTTTCTTACGCTCATAAATCTTTAACAAAAGTGGATCAGGTAAGAAAATCATTTTCTAAACAAATTTATAATTACATTGATTTTATTTTAGGATTTAGAAACGTTTTCGTGTTTCGAGTGGTTTATTTTAGCCATTTCCGCTATTTTAGAGGTATTCTTTTACTCATTAATTCACAAATTTCGTTTTATAATCTTTCTTTTTTTAGTTTGTTGGTGGAAGTTTTTCTATTTATATATCAAATAAATTAGAACTGTTGAATATAAATTATAATAATTTCGAAAATGATAACGACGATGTAAAAATCATTGAATTCGAATCAGAAAACATCTCATTATAATTTATATTTTAATTAAACTATTAATTAAATCGTCCATGAATTAATTTCTTAAACTTTTTATAATCGTTTTTATTGTTCATTATTTTTTGTATTTTTATATTTATAAATAAAATAACTCAAATTTCACGCTTTAAATTTTATTTAATCAGCGCCATCTAACAATTCAACAGTTTTATATTTTTACTTTAGAAGTCAAATATTAATTCCAATATATAATTAATATTCTATTCCATAATTGGTTCTTTTTCCATTTACAATAAAAGTTTAAGTAATTTAATACAATTTTTCGTTTTTTTTTCATTCTAATACTTAAAAAAAATTAAAAATTTGGCGTTTCCGCAATTTCTCATGCAGCTGCAACTTCAGAGTGTAACGAAAATACAAGGTCGTATAGATAAGATTACGACCTTCTAAAATACATTTTAACCACTACATAATTATTAATATAATCTGTGATGTTATATTATATATGCTATTCGTTATCATTTCGCAAAATGTTAATTATAATAATTTAATTTTTATAATAGAAAAGGTTGGTATAATTAATTTCTAAAATTTGACGTTTTAATGGTCATCTTTCTTAAAAGAAATGATTTTATTATTTTTACTCTTTATTTATAACTCCAAATAAATATAATTAATACAAAAAACTGAATCATATTATCGATAATTACTTCTTCTCTCTTCGTTCCTTATCGATGTTATTAATATAAATGCAAATATAACCCCCATAAACTAAAAACGAAACGATGTAAAATTAATAATATTAAAGAAAATTAACAATACCTGTTGAGCTGCAACTGCAAATGCTAAAATGTAGGTAATTCTAACGACATTATTAAAATTATCCAGGATTAAGGGACCACAACCCCTCGTAAAAATATCATCGGAATTAATGCCACATTTTTCGTTGTTTTCGCAACAACTTGGTGGTAATACGCCACTTCCATCGGTGTTCCAATCGTTTGGGGACTCAATTCCGCAACAATCGAACTAAAATTGTTATAAATTTATAAAAAGTAATAATATAAAAAAAATGTTTTACTCGTCTCTGTAATGCATCAATTCTTGTTTTAATGACTGTATTATTGCCGTTATAATTATTAATTCCTTCCAATAAATGCGAATTAATTCTATTTTGGATGTCGGTTTCGCAATGAACTTGAAACATTATAAATACTCCGAGACATATTTGTATCGCGAATATTAATATTAAAACGACAACGTACTTAAAAAGAAAATAAAAGAAATTAAATGGATTTTGAGTTGCAGTTTATACGAACAGTCCATAACAATTTTGTGTTGCCTCTTCCTGCGCTTATACAGCCTAAAATTCCAGTTAAGAATATTAAACTACCAATAACAATGATGATAATTGGTAGATAATCCAAGGATTCTTTTACATCGGTTACTGGAATTATGTAATTTATCACATTGAGTTGGAATAAGATACCCACTGTTAAAATTGCGATGCCAAGACACTAAAAAAGATAAGAATAAAAAGAATGTAATAAAAAAATTGTTGATTTATTTATAGATTGAGACTTTTGAAATAAATCTGAAAGAAGGATTAATTTTTAATCGATTGAAGTAATAAATCGTTAAAAATTGATGTTTTTCTAACCTACCTCAAGTTAAAACTGAAAGTATACTTAAAAAAATATATTTTTAAATATTTGACTATTAAAATTAAAAAGAGGTTAATTTTAAACGTCAAAACTGACGTATTTATGATGTTAGGTTAGGATGAAATTTTTTTGAAATTATCAAATTTTTGTAATTTGTTTAAGAAGTTGAAACTAAATATGACTTTTTCCTATTAAATTTAAAATTTATTTTAGAGCCAATTTTGAAATATTTGACAATTAGAAATTAAATTTTTCGGAATACTATTTTGACTTTCTACATAAGAAATTTTAGAGGTTATTTGTAAACGTCAAAACTGACGTTTAATTATTTCAGTTTGATTTTTTAATGTTTTAAATTTATCTTAATTTATTTTTGTTAAATTAAAAGATTAATATTTATATTTATTTTGGTTCTCTATATATAAATGTTTATTCTTCCGTATATCTTTTTATGTAGTGTGCAAATTTATATCACAACGGTTCTCTTTGTAGATTTGATAAGAAATACCTCTTCGCATACTTCCTTCTTGCAAATTTAATCTTCTCACGGTACAGTTTTTTCAAGCTCTAAAGTTTCTTTTATGAGCGAAATTCTTATATGATTTTCAATCTATTTTTGGTAACTATACAGTGTAGATTAAGGTTATCTTAAAACAATTAATACTTTTAAATAAGATTTAAGGCCGAATTTTTTTATATAACCATTTTTTAGTTCCCATAAAACGATTTATATTTAATTTTACTTACCGCTAATATAATATTAAAAATAAAAACAAACCAAGCAACGCACTTTGTAGCACAACCCATTTTACTTTAACAACCAGCCGTTTTGAGTTACCCTTATGTAATAACTTTATTGTTGCTCACTATTGATTTTATTTAATCTTATCTCAAGATAAATTTTTGCCTTTATAATCAGGTATATAAGGGAGGACGTGAAAAACGGTTCATCTCCGATCGATTTAAATCGACCTAAATAGTCTTTAACTTTAATTAGTTTTGTAATTGGTCCAAGCAAATTATATTTTTAGAATTAAATTACATTAAATTCATATTAAATTAAGTTGAATTAAAATTTCTTTGAATTAAGGTGAAATTGTTCTTAATAATACACAAATAATTTCGGAGAATTGCAAAATGCAAAAAGATGCGCTGTAACAACCGATTTCCAATGCTATTTGATAAATATTTTCGACTACGATTTCTAAACAACCCGGCTTTATTAAGTTCGTTACATTAGAGGGAACTTCCAAGCTGCATTGATAAGGAATTTCATCGCAACATCCTGCTGATGTATTTATTGCGATGTAATCTTGACCGCTATCAATACCACAGCATTTCCACTATAACAAAAAATTACTCATCAATAAATTTATTAATAACTAATTGTTATATTTATTTAATAATTATCTTATTATATTTATCATTTCAACAATAATATTTGGGAAACTCACAATCTCGTTCTTCGAAGAAAACATTTCAGTCAGAGAATATATTTGCAACAAATTTTTTCAAAAACTGTTTCATTGATACAAAGTAATAAGTACATAGTAAGAAAAGGCTAAAAAGTTATAAACTATTTAGCAATTAAGTTAGACAACCACAAATACACAAGTGTGACACAACATAACCTCACATATAATAAGAAGATAACAACGAAGTTCTTGTGTGATTAATATTTTATTTATCTAATGTTTACAAGTGTCTTTTATTATTATTAATATAACAGATGATGTCTGAAGGAAAGAATAAATAACCAGATAAAAACATAATGAACAAATATTAAAAATATGATATTCTTACATTGATACGTTGACTAGGGCGGTAGAATCATTTAAAATATACTGTAATCCCACAGGAAAGTGTTTAATTTACTTAGTTTAATCTATCTAGTGTTTAATCACTTTCAATTTTAAATTGGAGTTAAAGAAAAGCGAGAAATTGATTTCAGATAACTAGCAAAAAAATGTGAGTTTGAAACACAACAGAACTCTTTAGAATGTGATAGAATATGAATAAAAAATGTAGCGTTGCGGGCAAGAACGACGAAGCTTATTGTAGGAAACAAGCTAAAGTGATAAGTATAGGGAAAAAAGGGAGGTAGAAAAAGGCAGAAGTGGACGTTTTGTTACCTATACAGTTCAACAACTGTACGCGAAAGAGCATTTTATTCACAGTTGACAGCAAAAACTATATTTGAACAGGTCGCAAGATTATATTTTTGTGTAGATAACTGCTTTTATACAAGATTTTAAAATCGTGTTTTGTGTCAACTGGTTTTTTCAAAAAATTTCAAAGTCAGTTGCATTATTATCATAATTGCGGAAAATTCGAAGTGGGTAGAAAGTTAACTGAACTTTCAAATGAACAAAGAAAAATAATAATAAAATTTCATATAAAACAAAAATCTTTGCTAGAAATCATAAAAATAATGAAGCGCAACACCTCTACTACACAATACGTGGTGCGGAATTATAAAAAGACAGGTGAAGCTAACAAAGCACAACAAAATGTAAATCGATCGATGCTAACATGAAGAAATCATTCCTTCCTACGTCGTTAAATCCCTAAGGATCATCGTCCTTAGAAATGTATTTCTTTGCAAATTCCAGCCGTTTTATACTTTCCCTTTGTGATATAAAGGGCTTCTTCCTAGGTATGCGGCCATGATATCCATTTTTGTGGAGAACATTTCGAATTGTTTGTGCGCTTACTGTCCTTTGAGATACAGAATTTAGTTCATTTTCACGTACTTTATTTAATAGCGGGCGTTCATCTCGAACACTCAATACTCTAGGACGTCCTGTACGAAGCTGTATTTGAGCCCATTTTATTGTAATTTTCTATAATATACTGCACTGACGAACGCACTTTTTTTACAATTTTGATAATTTCGCCTATACTCTGTTTTTAAACCAGGAGGAGTATTTTAAATTTATCACCAGATTGACCTTGCACGTGATTGGTTGAATGCGAGGAAGGTTCACACACAGGCAATTTTGAATTTTGATTTTGAATTTGAAGGTTAGGTTATTGATAATTCGACAGTTTCGTGTCATTGTTGTAAATTTTGTTTAAACCCTTTTGCATCTTCAATTAATACACTCTTAACCTCAATATTAATTTGTATGTTTAGTGTTGACTATAACAAACGAAAATAAATACAATAATAAGTAAATAAATAAATAATAATAATTATTAATTTAAATTTACCGCCAAAATATCTAGTGATATTTTCTGGTGATTTTTCCTAGTGTAAATCTGACTTTCGCGTTTACTCCTCCTGGTTTAAAAACAGAGTATAGTGATTTCCCATCTTTTCGTAAACTAACAATCAAATCTCGCATGCATTGTGAAATTTTGCGGTATTCATTTTTAATAAATATGCAAAAATTGAATGGCACGAATACATCAAACTACAGTAATCTTTTTGCATGTTCTCGCAAAATACCAAATTTTACAAATCCGATTTTTAGGTTGGTAATATGTCGAAATTAAAATTCCCTGTGGTCAAAAGATCAAAATTATTGATTTAAATTTATGAAGCAAAATCAAGCGCCTATTTACAAATTATTTGAGCGATTTAACAAAGAAGATATTGAAACATTAATTAGCTAATAAAAATAAATCTGTAATAAGATTATTCGATGAAAAAAATCAAAATATATGAAGCAAAAAGGAAAAAAATAAAGAAAAAATAAATAAAAAGTTTATTAAAGAAAAATCTTAAACTAAATCAAAAAAAAAAAACTAAAACTTTAACAACAATTCGATTCGATAACTTCACTTACGTAACTCTCCACCTGATGGAATTCGTTTTTATCCGACGGAACATGACTTAAAAGTTGTACTTTCATGATGTTTCTTGCGTTGGATTCGAGCGATTCGTCCATATTAAAAAATGAAATTAACGAAATCGTTAATTCCAAAGCCAATAATAAAGCGATAAAAACTATAAACTGCAACAAATAAAATGTTCTTCGTTAAAACCTCAAAAGGAAATTATAAACCGGCTTTAAAAAAAATGTTATTTTATTTTTAGCCTGTAACTAACTCTCCGAAATACATCACAACCTCGCTAATATGATTTATTTTATTTCACGAAATTAACACTTAATGTAACAAACCTGACTCGGCTCAAAGTTATATAACAAAAAAAATAAAATAATGAATGTTTACATTATTATTACACGTAAAATATGGTTCGATTTTTTTAATGGACGATAACTGTTGTTATCTTCAACAACCAAAGTGGCAAAAAATGATATATTGTCAAATATATAAGCTTGCAGTAATTTTTTTGTGTTAGCAGACTTCAATCATATCTTTCTATTAATAAAATCATTATGACACCCATAAATGAATGATTCACACGATTTATTCGCCCTAATCAGCTAATATTTACGATTTGTTTGGTCTTGATTTAATTTTGCTTTTTACTTACAAATTTCAAAAGTTTTTGATTATTATTCCGCGCGCAATAACAACCCAATAAAGACGCGGCGAAACTTAAACAACCCAAAACGATTAGCAACGTAGGCAGTTCTAGGAATTCGAGTCCAACGTAGCGTTTTAAAAGACCTAATTCGTCGCCATAAACAATTCCCAAAGCGATTAAAGCAACACTTAAGATCTAAAAGAAAGAAAAACAAATAAATTAATTAAATACAATGTAATAAAAATAATAATACTTACTGAAAATATGAAATTAAAACCGAGTAAAGCAAACTTCACGACGTTTTCGTTTATTTGTAACTTCATGCTGAAATTTTTTACTTTGAATCAAACTTTTTTGATGAAGAAGTTATCGTGGAAACATCCAACGTTTTATTGTTCCTCATCTCCTGGTAGATGTTTTTATTATATACGGAAAAGATTAGATATGGCGTTTTTAGATATGATTCGAATCTACTGTAAAAACGTTTTAAATGTTTTCTTCTTTTTTATTCTTGAATAAAATTAATTTTTGTTGTTTTCTGTTGAATGAATAAGTTAATACTGACGATGAAATACGTCTCCGAGGAGTCCGAGTACTTACCTGGTCATGTCTAAGTGTGCGTTTTTGCGTGTTTATATTCGTATTTATTGTATATGTGTGTGTATACGTTTCTGCGCGTCTAGTTGACTTTGGTTATTATAATAATAATAATAATAATTGATTGATAAAAAGAAACGCAAATAACTCAGAATAATTTTGAGTTTTTAAAGGTTTTAATAACGCATTGTAAAGTAAGCAAGTTGTTGTACTGTTCTCATTTAATGGGCCATTTAAGGATAATTAGATAAGGTTAGGTTTTGATTAATTGGATAAGATTTTAATTGTTTAGTATTTCTTTGTTGATTAAAAAAAATTGTTTTGATTGTTTTAAATTTATTGAACAATTTAAAAAAATATATTTAAAATATTTAAGATATTCTCCTCACTCTGGCCAACATCGCACGTTCTCTTTTTAATCTTAGACTTCTCTCGTTTTCTTCCTACAATGCTTGTCTAAATATAAAGTATATGAAACAACTCAAGCACAGAATAATCTTATTAAAGAAAGTTGTCTTACTTTGTTTTCATCTCAATTTTCAAGAATATCCCAACACTTAAACTTGACAGCACAAAAGTTATGTAGGTTATGTTCCGATAAAATTTTCACTTAATTTAAGAAGAAAAAATTGCCACTTGGATCCTAAAATCACGATAAATTAATAAACTGGGTGTTCAAAAATAAATTTTGATACATTTTTTGGTTCAATAACACTTATATTGGTGTAAAATTTATCTTTTTAGAAAAAAATTTAAACGGTTGTTATAAACTGTCAAAACGCGATTTAATACGAATAATTACCGCTAGATGGGGTGAGTAATCGTTTAAAAAAATTGTAAAATAAAATGTTCACCCAAATAAAGATTAATTTCCTCTTATTATGATTTAGAATTAATGAAATTGACTTACTTTGTTTTCATCTGGATTTTCAAGAATATCGATAGATTGAGTAACTATTTAAAAAAAAAATTAAATTTCAACCTATACAATGATTAATTAATTATCCAAAGAATAAAATCTACGCCTTTTGAATTTAACGAATCACCCCAATTTTTTTTGTTGATTTTATCACAGCCCCGATAAAGGGGTTTTTTGTTGATTAAAACAAAATTGTTTTGATTGTTTTAAATTTATTAAACAATTAAAAAAATATATTTAAGATCTTTGAGATATTCTCCTCGCTCTGGCCAACATCGCTCGTTCTCTTTTTAATCTGAGTCTTCTCTCTTTTTCTTCCTTCAATGCTTGTCTAAATATAAAGTATATGAAACAACCCATAACCTAAAATTTTGAATTTATTAAGTTTTAATTAAATAAAATTAATTAATTTATTGGTAAACTTAATAAATTACTCACATTTTGTAAAAAAATGAACCCTCCAAGAATTAAAATATGAAAGTATAAAATCGTTAAATCATTCACAAAAGGTTCTTTACAACCTAAATTGCTTTTTGTGCAATTTTTTTCGGGGTAATCTAAAGAATCAAAAATTCCGCAACATTTATACTAAAAAAAATTTAAACAATTAATTTTTTATAAATAGAAAAAAAAGCTTTGACAGCGGTGGGATTCGAACCCACGCCCTTTCGGACTGGTGCCTAAAACCAGCGCCTTAGACCGCTCGGCCACGCTGCCTATGTTATCACGTCTCTCATAAAACCAATTTATAATTAAACATACCCATTCCTCCAAGAAATTCCATTCCCTTTCATTTACTTTTAACTCTAAATAGCCAACAAAAGAATTTGTCATTATCTGTTCCACCTTTTTATCACTATATACCATTAAAATCACACTCCAAATAAAAGAGCCCAACGAAATTAATGCTAAAATCGACGAAAACACAACAAGCTAAAAAAAGTGGGGTTAAGTTACTACTTTTAAAATAAAAATTAACATATACCGAAGTTATATAAAAAGAATGTTCTCTACTTGGGCCTTTAAGTGCTATCCATGTAAGTAACAAATGAAAAAATCCAATTACTACAAATATTCCTAATGGGCCCAAATTATCGCAAGGCACAAATTTTGAATGGATAAACATTTTGTATGATACAACGGTTGTTGTACAAATTATCACAAGTCCAGACAACTAAAAAGAAGCAAAATTGAATCTAAATTTATTAAATAAAAAAGTTTTTATAAAAAGATTTGACATTTAGAAATGTCAATTTAAGTACACTATAAGATCAATGTTACCAATACACTTTTCTTGTACTTATTTTGTATTAAAACAATAAAAGTATCGGCAAAACAAAATAGTTTTTAATATTAACTTATTAATTATAAATTCAAAAATAAATTAAAAAGTATTATTGAATTAAAAAATGTAAAATAAGTAAAGTATTAATGAATTATAAAGTCATTGTTACCAACCAATTTTTGTAAGATTAAAATTTCTTTTTAAATCAAATTAAAATTAACTCACAAATAAAACACAGCAATAAATTAAACAGAAAATCTGTTTGGTTCGATATGTCACAGCCATTCTCTCCAAATAACTCCGTCAAAAAAAATCTACAAGGATTTCTTCTTGTCTCAACAAAAAGAATTCGACAACAACGACAAAAGAAAATGTTCCGATTCTTCAAAACTATTATTATTTCTAATGTAACGTTAACACTTCACTCATATCGTTTGCGGTTTGATTACTAAGAGGACAATAACAAACTACGTCAACACATATTAATTGAGAATCTCCAAAATAACAATAAATAACGCGAAAAAAGGATGTAATAATTGCGATCGGCACGAAAGGTAGCCGTCGTTACATATTATAAATAAGCCGAAGGCTGTCCAAGTCTCCGACCCGAAGAGAATCGTCCCCACTTGTTGTGCAATCATTTAAATTTAGTTACGTTGAGAAAATGGCTGCATTTTTGTGAAAGTTAATCTTTATAATAATAAAGGTTGATATTAAAAAAAAAATTAAAAATTTGGAAGTTAATTCATCTTTTTTTAAATAAATAATTAATTTTTATATATTTTGTTTAATGAAATGTTTATATAGGCAACCAAACTTACTTTATTTTTTAGTGATACTTCTTTAAATTATTAATAAATAATAATAAACATTGTTATCATTTAGTTTTATTTTTTGATTATTTATATTAATGACTTAATTATCTAATTATTAATATTAAATGTACAACTTTCTAAAGAAACCTTCATTATCATTTATTGTATTGGTTGCCTATATTCATATCTGACTTTCTGACAGCTAAAAATTGACAGCTCCATTAACCTATAATCATTCGAATCATTCTTTATTTTATCAAAATGTAGTGAAGAGTGATTAATTAAAGCGTTTTAAATAATAGAAAACAATCGTAAGTTAACCGTTAAAAATTAGAATAAGATTTAACCCTATTTTATTAAATTAACCTAAAGAAAATTTGATGGGCGAGATCCAAACTGAAACTAATCGCGATTTTCCAATGTGAAATTCAAATAATTTAATAATGGAGATAAGAAGTATCCTTTTTCATCCATTTCTATAGAGTTATAATGAATATTATAAAGATGACCTTTTTATTAACTTATTATATCTCAAATCCAATTAAAAATGAAATTTTAACGAAGATCACTTACTTATCGTTTTTGGTGTGATTATTTTAACTTAAATACATTTATGGTTTCAAAATTATTGTATTACATCCAATTTATTACGTTTAAATTTACGTTTAATTTTGTAAACATTTAAGTAAGTTCATTTCAACGTATTTTATTATAAAATGTATTTGTTTTTGTAAACAATACATAGTTAAAATTCTGTTTAACTTCTATCGTTTAACAAAACAGTATAAAGAGAATATAACAATCTTTAACGTTTTTATTTAGTCAGAAAAAAGATATAATGTGCAACGTTTGTTTTATTAAATGCTTTAGGAGTTTTAAAAAATTTTCGAAGGTAAAACTTATTTTGCTTAAAAGAAAAATGAGTCAACGTTAAAAAAATCTTTTTACTAACACACACAGTTGGTTAATCATAGTTTTAAAGATAAACTGAAATATTATCGTGTTTACAAAATTCTTTTCGCCTTTTATCTTTAAGACACACAAGAAACGAATAGGAACACAGTTTACGATCAGTAGTATTCTCATAAACGTGGCAGGGAGTAAGAGGAATAACGTTTTGGTTTAAATTATATAAACGGTTAAAAATTGTTTCGTTAAAACTCATAAACCAATGGCAGAAATTAACGACGATACATTTATAAAGAATTTAAACTCTTCTTCGACGATACAGTTAATCACATCGAGAATTAGTGATTATTGCTATAGGTTATTATTTAAAAATCGGGTGGTGATTTTATTAAAATTAATGAGTGATTTAAATCATTTTGAATTGAAGTTACGCGAACATGTACACAAATAAAGGTTGAGAACAGAAAAAGAAAAAAACTTTGACCTTCTTGTGCGCCTTATTTATTTATTAGTATTATTATTTTTGGATTGTTTTTTTTATAAATAAAGGATAGAAATGAATTTCGTTCCATTACAGAGGTCATATAAATACATCATGTACGCTACAAAACAGCCATCACTAAGAATTTCCCATTCCGATTTGAAATGTAAGAATAATTGTGGTTACTATGGAAACGCCGATTGGGAAGGTGAGTTATTTTTAAGTAATGTAATCTAGTAATAATTGTTATATGAGCATATAATGAGGGCTATTATTCATTATGGTTAAGTTTCGCTACGCTGGTGACATAATTAACCTGAGTGAATAAATAGCTCATTATATGTGAGTAGAATACTATACTTTGTCCACAGCTACTATTGAAATTGATTCTATACATTTATTTTTTAAATAAATTTTTGAATAAAGTTTAAACGTCAATGTCACACAAATTCGATGTTACTAACTGTAACCAACGTGACAACAATTTTATAAAACGTTTTTTTTACGAAAATTTTTAATTTATGCTTAAATCATACGAAAAAAGAAATTTGTTTAGGTTTTTCTAATGTCAAACCTTTAGAAACTCCTAAAAAATTGAATTGAATTGACGTTTTTTGATTTAAATTCACTCAGTGAAAATATTTTAATTCTGACATTTCTAATGTCATTATGACACATGTCATTATTTGACAGTTTTAATTTGTTTGTTGTATTTTATTAACTTAAACGTCACTGACCTTATACAAGTTTTTATAAATATTTACTCGTTTCGATTTTACTTACTCGACTATTTCAAAACTTCTCGTATTTCTCATGTTTTTTTATAAACGTTTTAATTTTTTGATTCTTGTTCTATATAAATTAATTTATCAAATTTGCCACATGGCGACTAGTTTTTTTTTTCATTTATCACTATCTGTTTTAAATTTGGACAAATCCAAATAACGAGACGGATCGGCTTGTGAGGTCTTGGGGTCAGAGAACAGCTGTTATTTGCAGATGTTAAATTTATCGATGACTGTGTAAACGTCAAAATCTTTTCATAAAAACATGATTTCTTATTAGTGCTTGAAATAAGAAAAGGTTTTTGTTAGGCAAGATTCATTTCTTATCATTTTCTTACTTTCTTATTTATTTATATTTTTTTTTTTAAGGAAATTTATAAAGATAAAAAACAGCGACCTCTTTTGAATACAAACAAAATTAAATCGGTTTCCATGACAACGTTTAATTAATTAGATTTTTGAGGTTCTAAAGAATTAAAATTAATGATTTTTTTTAGGTTATTGTTCGAAATGTTATCGAAATGCAATGGAAAAAGAACGCCAGAAAAAACAAGATCAAGGAAGATCCCCAATTGCGGGATTCTCAAAGTTCGAAGAAAAAAAGCAACAACAACGCGATAAAAAAACCAAGTATCTTAAACAATTAACTCCCGTTTTTAGAAGATCATCATCATCAAAAGGTAAAAACAATAATAACTAAAATAATTAATACAAAACAACATTTTTTTGTTTTATTAGATTATGGTAGACCTGAATCTCGTCACCACCACCACGAATCGAGACATGTAAATCCTGATACGGAAAAACTCGAGTTAGAATTTATAAGCGCCTACGGTCACTTGGGTCAAGATGTGCGCGACGACTTCTTCCGATGCGTTCGCAATTGCAATACGAAAATTCGCGATCAATTGAACGTCCGTGATATTGAAGAAATAGCGGAGATCTCGCAAAAATATTACAACCTATTCTCAGAACGAATTAACCACCACGTTAAATATGAAAAAGTCGAACAAGATGTCCGTGATAAATTGGTCGATTTCTTTGAAAAATTTACAATGACCGCTTTAAATCGTGATCTTTTTTGTCCAGTAACCACAAACGATGAAGAAAAGGATTTGATGATACAGGGACGAATTCGACAATTAAGTTGGGTTAATGCTCATCATTTGGATTGTTGTATTAGCGAAACTAGCGTCGAGGTTCGCGATTTGGTTTATACAGCTATTACAGATTTATTAGGTAAGTGTAATTTAGTGTGGCTCGACATCTTGTAGTGATTGAATTTAATTATTTTTTTTTAAATAGGTATGGACTCATCTAAAGCACCTCAAGATAAACTTGCATGCGTTGTTAGTTGTTGTCGGAGCGTAGTAGAAGTATTGCAACATTGTCAAGGTGGCCCAGTAAGCGCCGATGAATTTTTACCCGCCTTAATATTCGTCGTTTTAAAAGCCAATCCAACAAGGTTAAAAAGCAACATTTTATATGTTACAAGATTTTGCAACGGGGCGCGATTAATGCAAGGAGAAGGAGGCTATTATTTTACAAATCTATGTTGCGCCGTTTCTTTTATTGAAAACTTAACGGCCGAATCTTTAAATATGCCAGAGGAAGAATTTCAAGGGTATATGTCGGGGGCGATTACTTCCGTTAGCGCTTGGGAATCAGCGTTAGTAGCCTGCGAAGGGATGCATCAAATTTGCGAACAATTATCTTTATTAAAAGGTTTGGCAGAACGTATGGATACGGTTCAAGAAAAAACCCAAGAATTGAAAGGATCTATTGGCAGTTTTAAAGTTTGTACAAAAAACTTTTTATTTAAAATAATAAACATATTTTTTTCTTATTTTTTTTTTTAGAACGATATCACATCACAAATAGAAAAGATTTACAAAGAAACCCCATTAATAATAAAACCACGTAAAGTACCGATATCTTTAGATAAACAAGATTCATTAAATGAAAATTTGCCGTCACCCATAACACCAGTTGTTGTTAATCAAAAAGATTTAGAAAACATACCAACAATTCCAATAAAAATCGATAAAGTCGAAGAATCAGATCCAGAACCTTTCGCTGAATATGAAAAATTCGTTGAATTAAACAACTTTTACACAAAAAATTTATCGAATCAAATCTTAAATTTAACAGACGATCGAAAAAAATTACAATTAGATATAAAACCTTACGTTTCTTCAAGCGAAATCCCATCACATTCCGGATTATACGACTCATGTGATGGATTGACTCCAGATGAAGGAGGTGGATCATTAGGGTTATCTAATATTAATTACGACATCGATTTTTCTGATTTAAGCAACGAAAATAGTGTTGCCGATGAATTAACGCCCGAAAAACGAAAACCTTCACCATTAAGTTTTTCAACACCAGATCCTTTCAGTCCGGTTAATTCGAAAAAAATCGAAATTGATCAGTCACCTTTAAGACCGGAAGTTGTCGATCGAAAAGATGATTTTGTTTTACCGTTTGATGAAGATGCAAAACATGTTTTAGATAAAAAAGAAACATCACCAAAAAAGCAATGTTTACCATCTCCAATTAAACCGCAGTCATTGAGGTATTCGGGCTTTTCAAAACAAGGATTCCAAATACCGAGTATTCCATGTAACACGGGAGATTATGGTTTGAATCAAAATGATAATAAAAATGATAAGGAGGATTAAAGAAATTTAAATTACATCACATGTTTGAAATTTCATTTGCTTTCTTTTAAGGAGTTATTTATTTATGTACATGTTTTTAATCAACTTAATAGAATTGATTATAGATGATTATGTAGATGGTGCAATTTTTATGTATTATGATTATATTATTTATGAGCTTAAAAGAAATAAAAACCTTAATTAAAAAACACAATACTATAACAATAAATCCACATCATGATAACTTAATAATAAGCAGGAATATTTTCGTTTTAATAAAAAGAAATCTTAAGATTTTATTTAAAATAATTAACAATCTTATTGAAATTCAAAATTAATTACCTAATCTGCAATAACATCGCGAAAAGCTATAGATGTAACAGTTTTCGTATGACCTGCGTATTGTCTTTCAAGTTGTCCTGTTTTTACATTCCATAATTTTGCCATTGAATCAGATGATGCTTTAACACATATTATATAATTTAATTAATATATTAATAAAAAATTACCTGTAAAAACGTATTGAGAATCAGCGCTGAATGCTGCATCCCAAACCCATCTTTGATTTTCCTGTTTCAATTCCTGTAATAATTCGTAATCACTTGTATTCCATAATTTCGCCGTTTGATCAGCTGATGTAGTTACTAAAATACTTATATAAAAATTAATGTTATATTAAATAAAGGTTTTATTAAGTACCTAGCATTAGGACTGTATTTACATGTTAATATCTGCCGTTTATGAGCTTGAAATCTATGTTTAGGTGTATAATGAGTGGCCACATCACCAATTCCTGATATTAAACTCCAAATAAAACATCTTCCTTTTGAATTAACTACTGCCATTTCCGTACCATCTTTAGTAATGTCTATGTCTAAAATCATAGATTGGCCATCGGGAATCTAATTAACATGAAATAACTTATTATTTTCAACAAACAACAAAAGAAAACTTACTAACTCAATATTTACCAATTGTTCATTGCAGTCCGTGCGTAAATCGAATCGATAAATATTTCCCATTTGATCTCCAATAAATAGCTCCCCTTGATTTGGATGAAGTGTAACACAATTTACAGGAGCGTTACATTTAAAAGATTTGGGACAAGTCACATTGGAAGTTCGTAAATCCCATATTTTAACCGATTTATCCTCCCCACCCGAATACATCCACTTTCCTTCCGATTGAAAACCTATACTTGTCACATTTCTCGAATCCGCTTCATAATCAGCTATAAAATTTGCAGTTGATGATTGCAAATCATACATTCGGATGTGTTGGTAACCCGCAGCGGCTAATAAATTTCTATTCGGTGCAATTTCTAACGTATTTACTTGCTGAAATATGTTCATTTATAATTTTTAGAACTTTAAGGTTATATTACTTACCGATTCTGCATGTTGTAGGGTTCGCAAACATACTCCGTGATGAGTATGCCATAATTTTATCGAGTAATCATATCCGGCTGTAGCTAAAATTATTTGATCTTGGTCTAATGGTAAATCTGAGGAGACACTCATTTTCTTTTTGAATGATTTTTAGGTTAAGTGGGTTAAGTAAATGTCATAAATACTATGAAGTTAGGTTATTTATATATAATTTTTAAAAAGTTTTTTTGTATTAATTTCGAGTTAATGTTAAATAAATAAATATAAATCACTCGTTTTGTTTTAAATGTAAACATTTGTATGATAAATAATAATTAAATTGATTTTTAGTATGGTTGATTTAGATAAAGACAACATAACCTTACTTTATCTTTTTTATTTACAAATTTCTTTATAAAATTTTTGTGAGTTTAGTATTTTAGTAAATATGTAAATTAGTAAAAAAATATGAAGAATTGATTTTTTGCAACAAAAAAGATCCAGGTTTAGCTTTATTGGTTGGGCTGTTATAGAGCGCCCGCTCCCAGGCGCGATCCCACTACTGCTCGACGCGGGGACTTTTGGCTGCTGGGTTTCCCCCCTGGCCCGGTGCGCCCCTCCTTGGCCGACCTGGCCGCCCCCAGCTCCCCGGGGCCGTCCATATCGACGCCGAGCTTAGTGCGGACACCCGGTCAACGCAAGCGGACTCTATACCAGGGCCCCCAACCTCAAACCATCCACTGAACCCGACCTCCAAGTAGCTAGATTACAGGAGTTCGCCACGCTCCCAGTCGAAAGCTCATACCTATACGTAGACCACAACAAAAAATAATCAAAAAAAAAAATTACGATTTATTAATTTAATAAATTTAATTATTCTTAAAATTATTATAAAAATATATGAAATAAATAAACATTACTTAATATTAACATATTTTATTAATATTTTTTTCTGCGCAAACTCTCCAGTTTTGACCACGCGCAAGAAAGGAAGGAGAGACGAGAACAGACGCAATCCCACCCAAAACATTAACAACGAACGAAACACGAACGAGATATCCCAGTCGTTTACTTCTGTCTCTGTGGTACTCCCTTCATTCATAACGTTTAAACAACGGTGTTAACTTGTTCCGCGGACACATTAAATAAAAGATAAAAGTGCGAGCTTTCAAAATAACGTGTTAAAAGAACGAATTTAAAACGGCTTTTTAAACGAAATCACCCTTACGGCTATAAAAACGTTTCAGGTGATCGAAAACTTGAATAAAACGTGAGGGGGTTGTAATGAAAACGCTGTTACGTTTGGAGTAGAGAAAAGGATCGAATAATTTTGGTGAGTTAAAACATATTTTGTTCTCTGAAAGAATCGAAATTTTCGCATTGGTTGTTATGGAAAGTTTTTCATTATAAAAGATATCTTGGTAAGCTAACGGTTAGAAAGGAATCGGTGGGGGTTGGTTGAGGGTAAAAGGACCCTTTTAGAATTAGGTTACAGGCCTTTAACAAGGAACACGGTCTCGGAAGTGGTTGTGATGGGCAAAAAAGAGGTTAAGTTCTCATTTTTATCTCTTTTTATGTACTCTTGTATTCATTCAAATTTACCCCTTTATAATAAATAAAAATAAACAGATGGTCTTGTACGAACTGGTCGTTTTAATAATGATAATGAATGGGGGTTAACAAGGAAGTAATAAAAGCAGCTGTGTTGTGACTGAAGGAAAAGTAATTAATCGTAAATTGGTGTAAACTTTAACTATACCATTTCTTCAACTTTACCTCTACAACTTCCTTATAAGAGAAGGTTGGTGTGGAATTACAATTAAAAATAAATATAAAACATATTCGGTTTATTTTGACAATTCGTTACATAACCTAAATTTAAATGTGACAAATGTCAAATATTTTGAATTTGATTTTAATACCAACCCAACAAAAACTAGATAAATTAGAAACCTGTAAGTTATAACTCATTTCATTCAAATTCTCAAATTAAATTTCTAAATAATGTAAGTAAAAGAAGTTTTATTTGAAAATCTTCTGAATGTAATTAAGCCTGTTTTTTTTTAATGTTAAAGTGCAAGTACCTCATTTTAGCACCCGGTTTTTATATCAAGAACATCAATTTAATCCAATTAAGGTTGATTTTAATTCGCTACTGACGACAAGTTTTAAAGGCACGACTCTCATCTGGTCGAGTATTTCGCTAAATTTAGATCCGAGTCGAGTGGATATCGTGTAGTTGTGGGATCGATAACACCGCATAACTTTGGGCGTGTTCATTAAAAAAAAGACACGCAACATAAACATTCCATTTAGGTATTTATATTTACAAATATAGAATTAATTAACAAAAAAATTAAAATGTATCGAGAAAAACCTACGATTTAGTTAATTAAAATTAGGTTGTGTAATTATTTTTTTTATTATGTTTATAAGCCTTAATATTATTTGACATTTATTGTGACATTTGACGTTTCTGATTTTAAGTGAGATTAAATTTTATATTTATAAGTAAAAAGATAATCCGATTAAAATCATGGGTTGTGTTTTAAATTGGAAGTCCAACTTGGTTGTTAGTTTTAATCTTTTTCTTGTGGAAGCTTTCTGCGCCTACAGGAAATTCTCACAATCAACCAAAGTATCAATTTAAAGGAAATTAAATGAAAGTTGGAAAAAGGATCAAATCAGATTTCTTTAATACTATGAAATAAAATATGACAAAATATAAGTAAATTCTTATTATGCAATAAACCCGAATACAGATTTATTTATTACATTTCCTAAAGTGTAAAAAAGGATTATTACCTTCGTTTACGTCTCTCTTTATGTATTCAATACCAAAGACGTTTTAACAGTTCGAAAACGATGCTATAATGCATAAAAAAGCTCATAAACATGAAAATGTTTTTGTGTGGTTTTTATATGAAAGAAATTGAAATAAAAAAGTTTTTAGCGATGTCGTCGTCCATATGGCCAACGACCTTGTGAAGGTAGACCGCTGTTTCACCTCTATAATAACGAGATTCGATTCTCGTAACCAACCTCAAATTGAAAGTAAAAAAAAAATCTACCATCATCGTCTTTTCTTCGCGTCACATTTCAAATGTGATCTCTTTCTCTCTTTATCACGACCGGTAAATCGTTTTTTTTTGTAATATTTTTCTTGAGTTGAAGGACGAGTTCTTGGTTTTAGAAGTGGTTGCGAGATTTGCAGTAGGATGACTCATCTTGTGAACTAATTGATTACCAAAAAAAAATTTCTTCTTTCCCACCTTTCAGTTTATAAACGAAACTGGGTTTCGTGAGTCTGTTTTGGTAGATTAAAATTCCATGCCAAATTCGGGCAAGACTTCACCATCGTTGAAAAAAGTTAAATAAAACGTGATGTAACCAAAATAAATAAAAATAAAAACGAGTGGTACCACTTTCTTCTCTTTAATAACAACAAATCTTTTTTTTTCTTTTGATGCATTGTTATTATGTATAAAACGATACTTATTATATAATTTTATTACTAAATGATAAATCAAAGTTTAAATTAATAAAGTAAATAAATTATTATCATTTCATTTATAATCAGTGTCGTGAAGTTCGTGTAAAAAAAAGAGATGGGGTGAAATGAAACTTTTATTCCTAAAATTAATTTAATTTTGTTTTATGTTGTTGTTTTAATTAATTTATGATTAAATTAAATATAAAATTAATGCGATTAGTTTAATGTGTGAATTTATAAAATAATAATTTAAGTTTTTTTTAGAAAACTGTCATTTCACTAAAACTGTCACAAAAAAAAAATTAAATTTAAGCATCTTGTAATAATCTTAAAGATTATTCGATATTTAATTAAAATTTAGCTTCACCTTCTTTGCACAAATCAACCTTTTCAAAGCAATGCGCGTTTTCACGTTTCGTTCCTTACTAAAAGTTACATAAGCGTTGAGTTCACGCTGCACGTTTCCTTCCAATTAATGAATCTCCAAACTAGGTACGCTACTCAAGATTTTTGTAGCATTTACTTCTCTTCCTTCGCAACGTAACTTTTTCGCTTTCACCGTGCGTTCATATGCAAATTAATCGTTATTGTTGATAAATTTTTTACGCAATTCTCCCGTATTATATCAATTTAAATTTATTACCACATTTAAAAAAGGGACTTGTTACAGGCCACCTACAACCTCGAGTACAAAACCAATTTGCGCTGTTCTCTTCTAGATTAGACGTGTTGTACAGTTAAAACGAACGGTAAAGATAAAACGAGATAAATGGGCCGTGCAAAACGTGCTCTGATTTATCTCGTCGATTTTCTATAGGTTTATGTTGCGTTAGATATTAATGTCGATGTGGTGAACCTAATCTGGAATACAAAAAACGAGATTGTTAAGATTTTTACCAAGTTTAGAAAGTTTCATTGACCCTATACAATAACATCAACTCCATGTACGATTTTAATTAATTTACTATACACAATACAAGGTGGAAACGTTTCCGGAAATCATTCAACGATTGTTATTCTTAAACAGTAATTTCCTGATGAAGTTTTGTGCATAAAAAATATTATGAAAGTTGCAAAGTGAGTTTATAACCTTATTTTTTTGTGTTATAAAAAATGTCAAATATTTTAAGTAACACAACTCAGTGTTAAATAAATTTATTTTTAATGTTATTCACATCTGTTTCGCAAGTAAGATTCTATTTTCACCGTCGACCATATAGAAATAAATAGCGTGGTTTCCAGACCGAAGGAAAAACGAGTAAGAAAACCCGACATCAGACGCTTCTAGGAACCCCACTTGAAGTTATCCGCACGATGCGCCAAGAATTCCAAAAAGTTCTTTTTTTTTAACTCTAATCTCGCCAAAATAAAATTAAAAGAATATTTTTTAAACTAAAAAAAAATAAATTATATAATTATAGGTTATATTCCTTTTGTGGGGGGGATTAAAATAATTTGCGAAATTCTCTTGGGTATCTATATATAAACGGAAATCTCCTTAAACTGGGACACGTGACGGTTTTAAAACGGTCCCGTATGCTGTAAATATTTTGGTGCTGTCTGTTCTCGTTATTTTTTTAGTACGTGAGAAATATACTTTGCCGCTGCGATATAATCAATCCAAGTCGCACTATCTCGGTGGTCGTTTTAATTTTTCTTTGGAAACTCTATAAACCAAGATGCCGGAACGACTCCTAAAACGTGTTTTAATATTAAAATTGGAAAGGAATGTGATCTCTTCTCCTACTCTTTAACCACCGCAAACTAACATCTTGTATCCAAGAATAATCACGTAGAGAACATTGATGCACATCTGGACAATTAAATGAAGCTAAAATTGATAGATTTTACTCGTTTCTTTAAAGAACTTGACATGACAATTCAAATGACATTTCATGTCAAATTGACATGACAAGCTTAATTACTGAGTTCTAATTTACATATTTATATTAATTAAAATTATACTATAAATATTAATTGCTAAATTTAGTTATAATTTAAAACAATTTCAATAAACCAATAAGAATTTGTAATTTTTTAAAGTTGTTATTAAATTTAAACGTTTTGACACTTTGATGTTGTGAATTTGCTTCAATTTCCAAGATATTTTTTTTCGATTTATTCCCAACAAAACAAAGCGATTATTTAAAATCTTATCAATCGATAAAATAAAATACCGCTTATATGTAAGTGAGGTTTTGTTCTTTTTTTAATACTGATAAGATAATCTAATTTATCTGTCAACATACATACATAGAAAGCGGATGCAATTTCCGCATCCTAACTAGTTCTTCTCAAGACTTTTAACATGCATCGTACTTTCCTTTATTGGAAGAAACAGTGACATTGTCCTCTTGGGATTGCGACGATACCGGTGAGTCATCAAATTGGTCCTTTTTTTCAATTTATTGGAAAAAACTTAACTAAGAAACAGGCATCTAAAGTTACAGTTAACTTAAAGCAAGAAAAAGGACCAACAATTAACTAGAGATTCAGATATTTTCTTAAATCAATTGAAGCGTGAAAGTTTTTTTTTTGAATTGCATTCAACCTAATTCACAAAAAAATCTTAACCATGCGATTATTTCAAAACAAGCCGCAATAATTAATTTATTGTTTGAAAATAACCGGGAACGTTGTTATAATCATCTCACTCCCAACAATGCATAGTACAAGAAAAAATAAAAATAACAATCGTCTTTTATTGCCAAATGAAGCTTTTATGAATAAATTTAACCTGTACTCACATAATCACTTATAATAAAAAAATGTGGGTTACTTTTGCCTTAAACATACGTGACACGATAAACGTCAAATTTTTAATACCAACTCTTCATTAACTCGGATAAATTAGTAAACTGTAATTATAAATAAAAAATCAACACATTCAATTTTTAATTTGATTCGTTCAAGGTTGAATGTAAATAAATATTAGTTTTAATGAGATCCTATTTACTACTAGTAAATTATGTCGATCCTTGTAACGATACTCGAAGGCATTTTACGTTTTAATTCTCATTAAAACTTACTTAACCATGTAACAGCGAGTAATTGGATGGAATTTAGAAAAAAGGGCTTTTGATATTGCCGTTTTAAACGCCAAGATAGTGGGAAAGTTGTTCTTCTGGAATCCTTCGACCGAACAATAATTTTAAATAAAGCAAAAAGGATTAAAATCAATAATAACGAGTTTAGAATTTCTGAACCGTAACGTTTTGTGATTGTTAAAAGGACGATTAAAAATTAATAGAAAATAAAAGATCGTTTGTATTGATTTTATTTATTTATAGTTGGTAGTAAATTCTAAATAAATATGGGAAATTAAAATGTCAAAAGTGTTGGGTTAAAATAACGATGATTGTTAAATAGTACATTCTCAAATGTTAATGGGAACAATGCCATCATTACATATGCGGAGGAGAGACCCGCGTCCAGTTCTAATAATATTGTAAACGGTTGGTTGGTCAACGCACCTTGGATTTATTTTGATACCGACGACCGACGCGTTTTGATCCGTTCTTCCTAGTTCTACTTTAGGACCGTTCCTTCTTCAGTTTGGATGTCTCGAACACGTTCTTCATCTTAAATAAACATTCTATAGCAAAACCAAAAATAAATTGAGATTGAGTTAAAATATGAGTCAAATGACAGCTTTGATTACAGTGTTCTAATTTATTTGTTTGATTGAAGATTGAAAAATTTGTTTATTTTAGATTAAACAATTCATTTTAATTTTAATGAAAGAGATTAAAATATTTGATGTGAAGGTCTAGTGCTATCTAGTAAATAAATTGACAAGTTATTAATTAGTTTAATTTTAATGAATTTATATTAGGGTATGTTTATTCTTTCAAGTTCTTTTTCAATTTAATTGTTTAATCATAAAACTACTGTTAAAAAATAATTTCTGTATAAATCAAAGTTAAATCGAAATTAAGATTAAAATTTTGACAGGAAGGAAGTGCCACCTAGTAAATAAATAGACAAGTTATTAATTAGTTTAATTTAAATGACATTTGACATTTATGTTAGGTTATGTTTATTCTTTTCAAGTTCCTTTAAAGTTTAATTGTTTAATCATAAAACCGCAATTAAAATAAAAGGAAAAATAATTTCTCGATAAATCAAAGATTAGGTATTATTTTTTTTAATTAGTTAATTTAAATTTAATTATAAAGTTACTAATAAAAATATGGAAAGTGGATTTTTTTAGTTTAGAAGCTGTGAAAATAACTTTCCGCATAAACAATTTACGCACTTTCACAATCAACAACATATAAGAAAAGTATAATACGCATTTTGCATACTTCTTCTATCTTAAACGAAGCGTTCCCATAATTAAAACAGAAAAAGCCATATGAAGAGTATTTTTTTTTCGAGAGACAACGAACGCATACATCTGGAGAAATCTTATCTTGTTTAATCCAAGCTCCCCCCCGAGATAAAATGCGACGTCCCCCCGAGTTGAAGGAACATACGACCGGATGTTCCCCATTATTAGACTCATTATTCCGCTCTACAATGGAATAGTTCAATTGTGAAACTGCAAATTCTCTTAGTATTATTTTAAGGATTTCGGATCAAATTTAAAGTTATAAAAGGATATCTCAAGAATGTAAGTTGTTTTGCTTGTTTAATAAATCATCTTTTTCCAATGTTATCACAAAACTAGTTCAACGAACATCTGTTGCGTTTTATTATTGGATTATTTTCCCTCATTTAACTGGGTAATTGGCGACTAAAGAGTTTATCATCAATAAAACATGAATTATGTATAAATTATAGTTGTTATTTGTAAATTTATAAGTATGTTAATAGAATTTTAGATTTTTACTTATTGTTGGCTAATTTTAAAGCAAATCCGTACCTAAAGATATTTCCAGAATTTATAGAATTTTAAATTTTTACTTATTGTTGGCTAATTTTAAACCAAATCCGTGCCTAAAGATATTTCCAGCTTCCGGTCAATTCCCTTTTCAAGTAATTTTATTGGCGAATAAATCTTTAAATAGAATCAATCACATTGAATACATTTTAAATATCAAATGATTTATTTTGTAAGTAATTTATTAACTTTTAATAACACAACCTACAAGTGACTTTTCCTTTTTTTTAAAAGCTCATTATTTATGAAAAAATGTTACTATATGCAAATGACGACCTTTAAATATTTACCGCTTTTTTATTTGGTTTTAGGTTAAAATCATGGAAGATCCTGATCAAACTCAAACGGAATCTTCAACAACGGCAAATTTAGATTCTTCGAAGCAAGATGAAACCGATCAAGATACGACAATTCACGGTTTTAACATGTCCAACGTAACTGTAATTGAAAAAAGTAATTTATCAGATACAGAATTGAAAAAAAATTTAGGATCACATGAAGCGATTGTTGAATTAAATACGAAAGTTGTTGAAATAACCATTGATGTGGATGCAAGTGAAAAATCGAAAACAAATTCTTGTGAAGGTAGTGATAGCGGTGTTGAGGTATTGGAATCAGTTGAAAACGTTTTATTACAAAGAACTCACAGTGCGAATAGTGAAAATGTTCAAGAGTTTCGTACGATTACCCCTGCTCAATCTTACGAATCATCAATTGTTAGTTACGGATCTAATTATGACGAGGCTTATAATATTTTAGCGAGAAGAAATTCAACGTTATTTGAAGATTATAAATTAAGAAATGGAGATGGAACGAGTGAAGGAGGAAGTGAAAGTTCTTCAGTTGCATCTATGAGAGATTTAAAACGAACGTCAAACGTTGGGGTGAAGAAAAAAAGTGGGGTTGTTAACGAGAAATTAAAAAAGGAAAATAATTGTAATTTAGGCGGAGGCGGTCGAGGTAGAATTAGATTAATCAATCAAAAAGGATCGGTTAATTCAACTCCCATTAGGAATAAAAGTTCAATTTTAAACATTGAAAAATCAAGCGTTAAAACGCCCCAAAATTATAAAAATCCAAAACAACAAAATTTATCAACAGCGAAAAATAAACCGGATACTTTAAATTTAAACCAAAAAAAAGATGTTGGATCAAAAAAATCTTTATTGAAATCGCTACCGAATAAAACGGCTTCAACACCCTCCGATGACGGTCGATGGCCTTCTAATAAACCTCCATTAAGAAGCGTTGTTTTAGAAAAATCCCGTTTACAAAGCGATGCTAAAAACACCTTAGAAAAATATGCAACTTTACCAAGGCGAAGACGTGAAAAATCCGCCGATAATATCAAAGATATTCAAAAAAAATCATCCTCTAGCAGAGATAGTAGCATGACGAGATCCTCTATTTTAATTAATAACAAAAAATTAAACCAATTAAGTCATCAAATCTCGAAAGAAATAACCACCCCAGCCAAATCGTTGCCGCCTTACCCGCGTCGAAAAAATACAAACGTTACGAAAACGAAAATTTATCACGAAACAAGTATTCAAACCGCTTTAACCGCTACTGATATTGAAAAAATCTTTTCCGGGCAAAGTATTAATTATCCGATTGATCCGAGAAGTGTAGAAAAATCGAATGTTTACGTTCAAGTCGATGATGGAAATGATGAATTGAAGATGGTTACGAATCGGTTAAAGGAAATTGAGGATAAATATAATGAATTAGTGAAAGTTCACGAGGAAAAATGCGTGAAATTAAATGAAACAGAGAATCGATTGAAAGAAGAAGCTTTGGAGAAAGATGGTTTGAAGGATGAACTTAAAAGAAATACAGAGAGGGTTTTAGCTATTTTAGGTGGTGATGACAACTTGGAAGGTAAGGAATCTTTTTTGAAAAAGTTGCTTATTTCACATTAACTTAAGTTTACGTTTATGGTACAAATATTGTAGAAAAAGAAAAAATCCATATTCAAAGATTTTTTTGACGCTTTATTTGATAACTGATAATTTTAGATCATGTATATCAAATTTATTGTTTTAAATGTTAAAAGTTTTTAAAAACACATTAATCATTTAAAAAATAATCCATTATGATTTATATATCTTGAATTTTTTGGAATCGTACCAGAATATGAAGCAGATTGGATCGAAAATCCATCTTGATAATTCTCATTATCACTTACATTCGTTTCTAAAACTCCACCAAGTCGATTTAAACATGTTACCGTAGTCCTTATACGTCTTAAATCCGATAATGTCTCCACTTGTTTTCTACAGGATACGGTTCCGGGTGGACAAACAACTTGATAACAAAAATCTAAAACCGCAAATTTTTTCCATAACTATGTGATTAATTAAAAAACTTACTGCTATAATCATCTCTTAACAAAACATTGGCAAAACTTGCAGATATTAACACAAAAATCAGTAAAAATTTAAACATTATGTGAAACATAAAGGCTCAAACAAAGATTTAGTTAACTTAGTGAACTTGACATTCGAATTTTATACTTAACGCAAAAAAGGTTATCAAAGGTTATGAAATAACGTAATAAAATATTATTTTTTATTATATACAGAGTGTTCCACTACCTCAACTTTATTTATTACCTCAAAAACTCAAATAAATCTGATTTAATATGGAAGGATATTATTAAAAATTATTTTTGTTCCTCTTTAACCATGAAAGCATTCACCCCTTCTTCAAACGAACCATTATTTAACCACAAAGTAGCACATTCGTAGAAAAAATTGTGTATTTAACAAAGATTTGCTTTTGACCGTTTAGAACGGTTAACATCATCGTCAAATATTAACAAGATCAATAAGTTGCAACGAAATAATAATAATATTTAACTCTATCATAACAATATCATAAAAAGATCAGTTTCTTTACCATTTTACCATTTACCTTCCCCTATTTCATTCGATTTTCCTAATTCTCATTAAGCAAATAACACTCGCCTTAAATTACACTTTGACCTACTTGTAGGGATAGTCTTTCAAGTTTACCATTTGATATCCACGTGAATTATCTCAATGTTCAAGTTCCGTGAAGACTTATTATGTGATATATGATTTTATTATCCATTCAAGCGTTTAAAATTATTATTTAAATTTGATTTGAAATTTTTGTTACAGATGAAAACCATTCTAACGATAGTTTATTAATGTTAGAAAGCCGTTTTCAAAATGTAAGTCAAGTAATTATAAATCAAGAGACTGAAATCTCAAAACTTAACGCTTACTGTCGATCGCTTCAACGCGATTTGGATAAGAGTGAGGAAACCCAACGGGTTTTGGTTCAACAACAGCGTGAATTCCACGAGGAAGGTTTAGAGTTAAAGAATTTTATGCAGGAAGAAAAAAATGCTTTATCCGATGCTTTGAAAGAAGCCGAAGATGAATTGAGGAAATATAAATCGTTGGCAGCCAGTAAAGAGGAAAGATGTAAATACCTTGCTAAATTAGAAGAACAAACAAGACATGAAATGTATAGTATGCAAGCTCGACTCAGTGCGATCGAAGCTAAAGGTAGGGAATTGTTGGTTCATCAAGGAAGCAATGTTTCTGGAGCGGCTGTAGCTTTAACTGGGCTTATTTCAAGATTGGATGGGCTTTTAGAGGAACTTGTATTATCATACAACATCTCTCAGCAAGATTTGGATGTATGTTGATTACACAAAACCAAAAATAATTTTTTAATTAATTTTTTTTATATAAACAGGATGTGGTTTTTCACAACGAAGTTTACAGTAATAGTAGCAGTAGTCCGGAAGCTAGTCCAGGAAAATTCCGTACAATATTGAAAGATAAAACACCTTCGCCTAAAGGGGGCGGCTCTTCGTTTATTTCCGCAGTTATAAACGCGATAAGAAACGCAACATCTCAAACACCATTTTCCGGTCCACCACGAGATATTAGTAGAGACACCATTTGTACAGATAATTCGAATTCATCGGAACTTCTCGATTCCGAAACTGAGCCGTGTTTAATGATGGAACCCGTCCTAGAAGACGTCGTCGTCCCCGATAGTCATTCTCACAACATGATTTCGTCAAATCATTCAATTTTTAATTGTTCAAGATTAACTCGTAGCGAAAGTTTAACAAATTTTTCAATTTTAAATCGACAGGTGTCATCCGAACAACAACAAAGTATGAGTTTAACTGAAAGTTTAAATTGTTCGTTTACAAGTGATGTGTCAAATAATGAAAATTATTCTTCTTCGGTTACTTTGGTCGATCAAGTAATTGAGGTTGATAACTTAATAACGAAATTGTTAAAAATTATAAGAATCGTTCAAATGGATAATGAACAAGCGATTAATGAACTTCAAGACGAGCGCGACGCTTTCTTCCAACAAGTTAATAAACATAAAGATACAAATAAAGTCGTTGTTAAGCAATTACAAGATTGGGAAATTTTGGGGGCTAGATTAAAAACGGAGGTTAAAGAATTAATGCAACAATTAACGAAGAAAAACGGCGAAATTGAAGAGTTTAAATGTGAATTAAACAATCAACATAAAGAAGTTGAAAAGTTAAATCAAGATGTTTGCGAATTATCCACCGCTCTATCAAAATCAGAGCACGAAAGCAAACTTAAAGAAGAAGAATCAATTGAAGCTTTAAATAAATGGAAGATTCATGGTGATATGCCACCAAATGAAATTTTAGGAAGGATATTAATAACTCAGAATGAGGTTAGATTTTTTAATTTAATGGAAACCTTAATTTTGGTTTGAAACTAGGCTAAAAATTTAATTTTTATTTTAAAATTGCAGATTGATGTTTTAAAACAAGAAATAAACGAAAAAAATAATCAACTTAACGAAATGGGCGAAGAAATGAAATCTAATAAACAATTAGTTTCCGATCACTTTAATAGTATATTAAACGAAAGCAAAAAGCAATACGAAGTAATTGATAACACATTAGGAGTAAGTTTCGATTTTTCATAAAATTTCGATATTTACAATTTAAATTTTTTTAGATTTTACATGGAATTCAAGCAATAATAAACCAACATCCAGAATTAATTCAAATTCAACAAGATTTGGAAAAAGTTTGTATGATGTCAGCATCTTCACTTCCGGTATTAACTCCGCCTCCTGATTACAATGCTAATGCGGGAATTATACAAGCGATGGGTAATTTGGGGGTTGTGCCAACAATTAATTCGACGGCGTAAATTAAAAAGTAAAAAATTGATAAAATATTCCTTCTCAAAAACGAAATTATTTTTTTTTTAATGAAATCTAGTCAAATTAATTAAAACCCGGTGATTTTTAATCGTGAAAACAATGACGAATTTTTGCCAATTAAAAAAAGGAATGCGAATTTATTAATTATTATTGTATTTTCTTACGATTAAAGATGTAAACGTCCAAATCATTCGAAAAACAAGCCGAAATCGTTAATTAATAATGAATTCTTACAATTAGTGATAAATTTATTTTTTAATTACACTTAAAGTAATAAGGAAACTATGTTATTCAGCGTTACTTGTAAAATATTCACTTTTTACAAAAAAAAACCATTTTACTAAAATGGTGCTTTAATGTATTGTTTTTTTTTCTTTTTGCCATCGTTTAGTGTAAATACATTTTATTTGTAGCGTATTGTAAAGTTTATTATTTCTGGTTCCTTTTTTTTTAAATATATTTAATTCTATCCACCTTAATGAAAATTTTTTGTAATAAAGTAAAAAATATATTAGTTTTATTAAAAATCAACATTAAATACTTTTGAATCTACTAATTACATATAATCTTTGTTGCAATATCCAGATTGTTCACCGAACCATACCCCGTCATATCCACAGGTAATTTTAAACATACCATCAATTTTAAACCCATCTGGACAAATTAACTGACAAAATGTTCCCGGTCTATTAGTGACCCGCTTCCTACCACTTTTCGATCTTAAATTAACCTCCAAACTCTTTTCCCTACTACACTGCAAGAAACCTAATTTCGGCGGCAATAATTTCGGACAAACCACCAAATCATCAACGATCATTTCATCGTTTTGTAACTCATAATTATTAGCGCAACGATATGACCCCAAAGTGTTAATACAGCCATACCGACAGCTTTTTTTAATCTCCTCATTTTCACATTCGTCTAAATCAAAACAAGTTTTCCAGTCTGGACCTAAAACCATTCCATCAGGACATAAACAATAGGCACGTCCTAAAGTGTTGATACAATCATGCGAACAACCAAAATTATTTAAACACTCATCGATGTCTTCGCACGAATGTTTATCTTCAGCCAGTTTAGTTCCATTTAAATTTTTACATGAACATTTATACGAACCGGGAGTGTTTTCGCATGAATCTTGACATGGTCCATGATTATTTCTTAATAAACACTCGTTTATATCAATGCAAGTTTTTTGATTTGATGATAATTGAAATCCATTTTTACACGAGCAATAATAAGAACTTGGAAGGTTGTGACAAAATATTTCACAGTTTCCATTATTTGTTAAACATTCATTGATATCTACAATAAAATGAACAATTAGTATAAATATAGTGAATTTCACTTAAGATGCAATACACAAAAATTTATTTCCATAGAAACCAGGGCGTACTTACTTACTTTATCCCACATAAAATGCAACAGGTCAATATAATTTGATATTACAGTAAAACCTCGATATAACGGATCAATACGGGGAACGTAGTGTCCTTTAGAGCTCAATCAAAATATACAACAACCTAGCAATAGCGCTGAATAACAAATAAAACTAGACTAACACTAGAACTAGTGTTGGTTCTAGAAGTAACGCTATACCTAGAACTAGAAACATTCCGTTTAGCCGTACCTTTTTTAAGATGACTGGTAGGTGGTAGCGCAAGTTAGCATAAAATATCACTATGTTGCATATTTTTATTGAACTAAAACTAGAACTAACACTAGACCCAGAACTAGAAAGTTGCGGGGTGCGTGTCTAGTGTTAGTTCTTTTAATTGTTATGCAGTGCTAGACCAAGAACTAGAATCATTCGGGTTTAGTCATCTTAAGAGACGTACAGCTAAACCCAAATGATTCTAGCTCTAGGCCTAATGTTAGTTCTATTGACAGTGCAAGTGTATAACAAGAACTAACACTACAGCTAGAACTAGAATCATTCGGGTTTAGCCGTCTTTAGAGACGTGCGGCTAAACCCAAATGGTTCTAGTTCTAGGCAGGGCTGGATTACCCAGTAGCCGCTTGAGGCGCGTGCATCAGGGCCCTGCAACTACAGGGGCCCGGTTCTGGTTTGATATTGCGAGAGACGTGCGGCTAAACCCGAACGTTTTCCACCTTCCTACCTTTTTTCAAGCAAAACCTTTTCTTTGCAAAACTACCCAATGCCTGTACTATTAAGCTATGTTGCATTTTATGGGTGACAGTACAAGTGCATAGTAGTTTCATAACTATGGTTACAGCATTCATATATTGCGAGTTATATGAAATTCCCGGTATTTACCGGGATTTTAAATAATTCATTTGACATTAATTAATAATTAATGTCAAAATATAGGCAACCAAATATACATTAAAGTATTTTTAGGAACGATTTTTTACCTACACATTTTTTACGATTAACTAATCGAAATCCTTTCATGCAAGAACACGGTTTCATTCCAAAATGATGACATTTATGATCACACCCTCCTTTTTTTAATTTGCACCGATTAGTTTTAAAATATTTTTCGTCGATTAATTTTTTTTTATAAAAATCGGCTTTTTGTGGAATAATTTCTTGAATTTCGTTGTTGATGGCGTTGAATTCCTTTATAATTTTCTTCAAAGTGATATTTTTAAACGGAGGTAAAGTCGTCGATTTGATATTCATCAAATTGGCATAATTAATTAAATTCGTTTTTTGATTATTATCAAAAAAATTACTTTTTTGGATCTTGTTCTTTTTTAGCTTCATTTTACATCCTTTTAAAAACGAATTAATCTCTTTTAAAGTTTTCATTAAATGTTTCGCCTCGATTTTTTTCTTTGCCTTACTTTTCTTCTCAAACATTGAGCGAAATTTAATTTTTTGTCGTTTGAAGTAATCCATTTTTTTTTTGTTACAAGATCTTGTCGGTGAAATAAATTTATCCTGTTTTATAGTTGAAGTTGTTTGGTGATCTTTTAAAGAAAGCTCCTTTTTATCTCCAGTTTTTGGTGAACAACTTGACTCTAATGTAAACAAAGAAAAAAAATTAACAAGTTTTTATCTAGAAAATCATAAAAATAGAAAATAAATTGAAGAAAAGGTGTTAATAACCCTTCATTTAAGTGCTGACACCTTTTTTTATTACACAATTACTTTAAAGTATAATAACATTTTTTTCTGAGCCAAAAAAAAAAACGTGAAATTGTTAACATTTTAAATGAAGTAATAAAATCGAAATCATCTATTTAATATATAGGTCAAGTTGAAATCGATTTATTTTAATAACCTTTATAAATTCAATTCTGAGACAGAGTTTTGATTCTTATTTATTCATCCAGCCAATTTGAGAAATATATCATATTTTGTGACGTGCAATTTCGTTGCAAATTTAACAACCGGCAATTCGTTTGAAAATTTTATTCGTTTCCTTGAAGAAACACATCTGGAGAATTATACAAGTTTAAAATAACAGGTTGTGGAAGATACATATTTAAAGTAACATTGAGATTCATTAACATTTTGACATTAATATGTCAAACGTCAAAACAATAACCAACCTATAAAAATTTAAAAAAATTTAAACAATAAAATTTATTATACTTAAATTGTTTATACATGTTTTATTATTTAAATTTCATTATAAATTAATGAATATAATTTTGGCATTTTCATGAAGTCGCTGAATTTGTTAACGAAATGAAATGTTAATGCTTTTCAAAAAGAATCGTTCCAAGTTTATTATTATGAAATGTTTTATTACAATAAAGACACAAAACTGTTATAAATCATCGTTTAAAGTGCGTATGCATTTTAATAGATTGCAACATAGCAATTTCTAAAGCGAAGTTTTTGACGTCATAGTTTCAATAAGACTTAAACTTTAATTGGTTTGCAAGGGTCCCTTTTCTTAATGTAAATAGACATTAATTGTATGATTTAATTAAAGAAGAAGGTCAACAAAAAAATAATCAATTTTTTCATGTTATTGACTCACTACCGCAAAAATGTAAATAAATTTACTTACCCCATAAAAGAATTGTTGCAAACAAAAATAAGATTATATCATTCATTTTGGATCATTTATTCTATTTATAATTATCAGTTGATTCTTTTTACTTCTACTTTTGAAAGAAGTTTATTGTTTGAACACAAAAACAAAGAGTTGAAACGTTTAACGTTTAAATTCTAAATGGTGAATGATTCAATGAGAGCGAGAGATGTCTTTAACAGTCTCAACTCTTGACTTAAGCCGCTTTTATCGAATTAAAACGGCTTTAACGATGATGGTGGCGGGTTCTTGGTTTACATCAACATTTCATAATCGATGGAGTAGAACATTAAAAAGGATTTTTGTTACTTTAAACAGATTTAAATTAATTGATTTAACAAAAATTAATAACGAAAAGAGTTCAAACAACATCCAGATTTTCAAATTCACACGATTTAACTCAATTCAAATTACACCCTTTTAACTTAAATAGGTTCCAAACAAATCACACCCCGACTTCATAAAGACTCCAGACTTATTATTAAAGAAAATTGCTTTTATAAATCACACTATAAAACATTGGAACTTCTCTAAATCAACTCAATTTGAATAAAACCTAAATCATGCCTGATTATCACAAAAATTTTTTTTCGGCTAACAACCGTATGTTAAAAATTGCTGGTCTTTGGTGGTTATTCAACAAAGATCCAAAAACCAAATTATTCCACTACATAATAATGGGGTTTTATTTCATTTCTTGCCAACTTTTTAGAACCTACCACAATATTTTTGATATTTGGATAGTTTACGGCGATCTTCAACGATTATTAGACCATTTAGGAATGGCGATGAGTCACATTTTAATGAATTTAAAATACATCATATTATATTATCGAAATAAAGTGATTAAAGTAATGGAAGAGTTAAAAAAAGAAGGATATGATTACGAATCGATTGCTGATTATAACCCATATCAGATCTCTGTTAATCAAAAAAAAATTGCTATCAGAGGAATCTTAGCGTTTTTTACGACGGTTTGTAGTGTTCCTTTGGTTGGAACAATTACTTCAGTTACATTGTTAACGATACAAGAAAATGTTACTTGCGTTGAAATTTTACCGGATCCAACAAGAGTTCCTTTACGTATGGAAAGTTATTTTGATTGTTGTGTGGCCATCATTTTTCAAGGAACACCAGTTTTAATGTTTGGATGGCAAATTGTTGGTAAAAAATTTATTAATATTTAATAAAATTACGAAAAGTTTGTTATTGTATAAACTTACTTAAAATGATAATAGATGCCGCTACACTAAGGATTTTAAAAATAATATTATTTTTTATTTATTTATAACATTTAGATAATTTAGTAGAGAAAAGCAATTTACAGGAAAATATTAAATAAGACTATATTTAAATAAACTTTAAAGAAACATTAAGTTAATGAAAGTATTAATAGATAGCGGCATACTATTTTATAATTATTAACAATTATAATAGTTTAAAATTAAATCATTTTTCATTTTTAGTAATCGATAATCTGTACGTGGTTATTTTGGTTTGTTTGGAATCTCATATTTTAATTGTAAAAGGTGCTTTTGAAACGATAAGAACACGAGCTTTACGTAAACTTAATTTAACGGAGAATAATTTGGAAAATAATAAACATTCTTTAGATCGATTAATGGAACATGAAATGAAACGACTNTAATAAAAAGGATAATTTTCAGGTGTTTTTTAATAAAACTTTGTTAGGACAAAGTTTTGGTATTATTAAATTTAAAACGTGTGTTATTATAGGCAATTTTATAACGGTAAATTGTTTTATGAATAAATTATTATGGAAATTTTACTTATTTTGAATTTATTAAGAGAATATAACAGGTGGATATTATTAAAGTGTATTTCTACATGAGAATTAAATTCTAAGAAACCTTAAGAAACGTCGATTCTTTAGCGAATTTTAATTGTATTTTCTTTTATGAACTATGAGCGGCGCCGGCTCCCCTGGGGTGCTACACCCCTCCAAAACTGGCGGAAAATGTTGGTTTAATTTTTTTTTTCGAGAACTATAAACACCAGGAAAATGAAATTTGAAGAATAAGTTTAGCTCATAATAAGGCATGTGTCTAGCTTATTTGTACTTTTGAATATTCCCTTCTAAGTTACTAAACGTAACCACCCCCCGTTCAATTTATGCCTAGAATTTTATTAGGAAGATGATAAATACATTGGAAAACTTTCAATTAGATAGATAAAAACATGCTAAACCTTTTTTGTCTCTCTGATGTTGTTCGAAAATTTAATAATTTCTGAGAAAAAAATTAATTAAGCAAACACTAACTATTAAGCTGTAGGGTTGTATATTCTAATGAAACTGATTTTATTTCAGATACACATTGATTTTGAAACTTTGTACCCCGATAAGTCTGAATTATTAGTAAAAAAATTTTGATAAGTTTGTTCAAGAAATTATTCCCGTATACAAAATGATACAAGACAGATACAAAAATTGTACTTTCAAATGTTCTATTTATTTTAGTAGTGACATTTTAACAATAGATGACTATAAAACAACGGAAATTCTTTAAATCAACTCAATTTGAATAAAACAACTTGGGTAGTTTACAGAGATCTTCAACGATTATTAGACAAATTAGAAAAAATGAGGGAGTAATAAAGAATATAGCTAAAAATGTGTTCTTATCTATTTATTGTGTTCACCAAAAATTAGTTTCACCTAAATATATTCTTTAAGCTATGTCTTTTTTAATTTTTAATTCTCCACATTCTTCAAGACAGCAAAATAGGAATAAGATCCTCTAAAAATCTACAAAATAAAATCTTTATAAATAACATTATTATTATTACTTTGTATTAACTTACACTAACTAATGTTGCAATTGTTAGAGGAGTAAATTTCCCAACTGTAAGATGAATATCTCTATTTAAACGCAACATATTAATCATCATACTTCTTTTAAAACCAGTTGTTGCGGATAACCAGTCACTTTGATAAATACTCGTTGGTATTTCTGAACCCTAAAGTTAAATAATATTTAATACAACTTAAATGTTTAATTTTATAACCTACAGCAACAGTAATTTCATTACCAAACCAACAATACAATGTAACTTGAGTTGCTAATGCAACTAAATAAATAATTTGAGCTGCAAAAGTTGTTGAAAATATGCTAACCGTTGACATCATATAAAGACAACAAACCATCATAAAAACGACTGTTAAAACTTGCATAAGAATTATTTTGTTGTAGATTTCTTCTATTACTTGAATGTTTCTGCAAAAATCAATTTATTAACATTTTAATTTATTTATCGAAAGGTTCACACTTGATTATCGATTGTAAATGTAACGTGCACTTTTTCATTTCGAAATTCATCATATCAACAAGTTCCTTGATGTCGGAATCATTTAAATGTTCCCTGGAATCCAATTTTAAGTTCAATTCTCTTAGACATCTTATACGGATCGTTTCAAAGCCTTTCTTTAATATGCTCATATGCGATTTTAAGCAAATTAAGCAGGCAACGTACATAACATCACAACCTAAAAGGAAAGAAAAAGAAATTGATTTTAATGCAATAAATAAAATTTCGGATTGTCATCTTGACGTTTTATAACACACAATTCAGAATGACCAACGTTATAACATAGAATGCTTTTTATTTTAAAATAATTTCTTAAATTATTATTATTAATATTCTATTAACAATTATTTTATATCCTAAAATATATCCTTTAAATAGTTTAAAACATTAAAATAATAAATTAAATAAGATAAATTTTTGAAAGTTACCATTGTTGTTGGTTGTTCTGATTTGTGAAATGTGATTATTTAAAACCGAGAAATAACCTTACATATTATTTGATATGCATAAGCGACCATAACAACGTTAATATAATTAATCGCTCCTACACAGCCTAATGTTGATGTTGTAGGAAACGGTGGTCTTAATAAGAACGGAAAAATGTCTTCGCAAGTCATATTATAAGTGTCAAGTTTCCAAACGGTGTATGTTAAGATGGGGATCACTCTTGATACAGCAACACCGGTTGAAACTCCCAAGAAAAACAACATTGCCCTTCTCGCTACCGTTTTATTACCTTGAGCAATTTTATAACCATCAATTTCAGGTGGAAAATTGTAATTGAAACGACTATCTTCGACTTCATCCATCAGTTTAACGATTTTTTCCCGATTCATAAAAAAAATAGAAATTTTTATATTACCCAAGAAATGAGTGAGAAGAACTCCAACATGTTCAATAAGTAAATCTAAACGCTGGTAAACGTATTTGATAAGGTAAGCTTCATCGCAAAAGGTTACAATTTGTAAAACAAATATACACATCACCGTAATTGCTATATATCGACGTCGTGTGGATTTAACTCGATTGAAAAAAGACCAAATTCCCGATATTTTCATCAAAACTATGTTTGCAGAAAAAAAATCTTTATGATAACCCTTTTCAGACATTTTTCGATATTGTTTAAGAAATTATGTCGTTTTCTACGTGGGTAGATGCATTTATAAACTAATAGAGGGGATAATTTTCAGGTTTTTTAATAAAACTTTGTTAAGACAAAGTTTTGGTATTATTAAATTTAAAATATGTGTTATTATAGGTAATTTTATAACGGTAAAATTGTTTTATGAATAAATTATTATGGAAATTTTATTTTCATTTATTAACAGAATATACCAGGTGGATATTAATTGAGGTGCATTTCTATAAGAGAATTAAAACGATATAAAAAAATCAAAATTACGAAAAATTAAAATAATTTTGAAAAATAAAGATTTCTGTGAAACGTTTTGATCATCACCAACAGATGGCGCCTATTCACGATTATTTTTAACTTATTGTTTGTCTGACTATACGCACCAATATAAATCTTAAAAGTCTTATATATATTTATATTTAGATCCGTTTTTGAAATTAAATTTGTTTTGAATTACAGAGATTTAATTATAGTTTGAAATTTTCTATTTATTTTAGTAGTGACATTTCACTAATAGGTGACGCTGTACTCAATATAGTAGGAGGATCATTAAAATGATAATGAAGAAACCTAACCTAAATGACGTTCGCTACGTTTCACTCATACTTATCGGGAAATCCATTTTCCATCTTTGTTTATGACTAGAAAATACAGTGGCGTTCAATCGCATTGTTTTTGTATAGAACAGTTACCGACACGATGCGGTTACGATTGCGTGCAGTCGCAATTTAATCGGTTTTCGTAAATGAAACTGTACGAGTGCAATGCGCGATTCGTACGGGACAAAGTTAAATTCGTCGGAAATCGCAAGATATCAACCGGCCGAGTTTCCGTCATTCTAAAACCCGTTAACCGCGAACCCTTTTCTTACGGATACACCCTTCCTTCTTTGAACGCGGTGAATTTTATGATTTTTTTTCTCAGTTTTCATTCGTTTACGTTGATAAAATGTGAATTTTTACGCGAGTTTTTAATAGGACAATGCCCTTTCAAGTTTCAAGCATTTGAAATCTCTCAATATTAGCAGTTCTTAGAGGGATTCTCTTTATAAAGGTAATTTTTTATTGATTTGAATTATTTTTTTGTATTTTTTTTTGTATGTTGGTTTTTGCGTATTTAGAGGACGTTTTAGAAGGCCTTGAACCATGGTTACCACGCATTTTAAAGTGGTATTTAAAGTAAATAATGATAGAGTAGTAACGGAAGTAATAAATTTTTATGTTTTTTTAATTTAGATCTTAATTAGTAAAATTAATCGTGTTGGTGAAATTTTTTGCGGTTTATTTTAAGTAAATTAAAATATTGTTTTAAAATGTTTTAGGTTGGTAACATTTTTTGTTAATTCAAATTCATAATCAAATTATGACAGAAACATAACCTCACTTTAATTTGGAAATTGGATAGAAAAAATAACATTAAATGAAAATAAAGAGAATTATCCTGAAATTAAGGAATTATGGAATGCACAAATGATTTTTTAAGTATCTCCATTAAAGTAAAACAATGATTTACGATAAAGGTTGATAGGAGAAGATTAAAACGACTTAAAACCTGATAAAAATATGTAATATTCTTCTTATCTTCAAATCTTTGTAAATAAAGACAAATTAAAATAAAGGCAACCTCTAAATAGTCTTGCCAAAACAAGTAAAATAAGATAATTGTTAAATAATTACCGTTTGGTATTTTGAAAGGTGAACATAACCTGGTTATTGGATTTATGGCTCGAATAAGATGTTTTAGTTATTTTTGATTTAACACAGTCGTAAATAATTCATTTAAATAAATGAGGTCAATTAAACGATTTAGTTTATTGGTTGTAATTGAAAAGAATGGATATTTATTTGTTTTGGAATAAATAAATTTAGAATGTGAAGTTAACTAAGACTGGGCCAAGAGCGAGTCGTCTAAATTCTATTCGTGTCTAGTTCACATTAACGTTTAAAATCTAATTTTGGATTTTCATCTAATATTTATTGATTATATATTTTTCTTTGTTGTAGATTAATCTTATTCCGATAGTGAATAAAATTGTTTAAGAAATCAGTTTATAAAGACATCAACACAATTTGTTAATTAAATAAATAAACAAACTTAAGAGAAAATCGAATTTTCAAATAAGATGTTAAAGTGACGTGAAATAATAGTGTAAATACATTGAGGGATTTGTAGGAAATTGTACAAATATTTTACTTAGACGAGTTATACTCAAAAATTATATAATCAAAGTACAAATTTTTAAAACATCTTAATAAAATACAGAGCAAGAACTTTTTTAATTTTATAACGAAACCGTGCACGTCACGGTCTTATCTTGCTAACCTACATTTGGTCAATGCTCTAAACGGCGTCGCCGTCGGTAAAACGTTTGGTAATAATAATATGCATTTTGGCATTTAGCCAAACACTCAGAGACATGCATCCTTCGGATCGCACAAACGTCAATAGAATCTAAATCGGAATTTCCCTTTGACAAATACCGGGTTGGAATTGAAATTTAAATCAATATTGAGTATACGATTTAAAGGAAACTTTTATCAACAAAGAACAATACACGAATTTATTAAAAATTTCTTTTAAATGTCATTTGACATTTCCTTCCTTAATGTCATAATAAACGTCATTAAAATAGAGAAACAAACGTCAGTAGCATCTAAATCGAAATTTTCTTTTGACAAATACTGGTTTCGAATTGAAATTTAAATCAATATTGAGGTGTACGACTTAAAGGGAACTCTTATCAACAAAGAAACAGTTAGAATTTATTAAAAGAAAAATTTTGTCATTTGACTTTCCCTCTTTAATGTCATATAAACGTCATTAAAATACATAGATGAATTACAAACGTCAATAAAATCTAAATCGAAATTTTCTTTTGACGAATGTTGGTTTGGAATTGAAATTTAAATCAATATTGAGATTTACGATTTAAAAGAAAATCTTATCAACAACGAGACAGATTAACGTTTTATTAAAAAAAATTTTTAGAATGACATTTAATCATTTGACATTTCCCTCTTTAATGTCATAATAAACGTCATTAAAAGCGTCAAACTAAAAAAATCGATTCGCCTTCATGTTTTAATTCATAATTATAAGCGTTAAAGCAAAATAAACGCTTCTTCTTGTTTATATATTGTGTGCATTGCCCTCGATTGATGCCGTTCACCCCAAACGTAGAACAACGTGTTTTTAATAACAAACTATTTTAGCAAACTCCACCACCCAAGTGCAATATCTCGAGTCTCCATAAATAATCTATTAATAATAAAAGAAAAACATGTAACGTGATAGAGTGTTATTTAGCTTTATAATTTCCGTATATTTATGGCGTATATAACATTGAAATTAGTTCGGTTACGTAAAACGTTTTCAATGAGTTTTGTTGCAAACAATGTAGGTGTTGGTAACACGTTGATGCATATGACACATACGTTCGTTACGTATCAACTTGAACTTTAAAGTTGTTGCCGGTTACGTATACATGGTATGCTCGAATGAAAACCACTGCCGAGACGGCGGGAGAGTGAATTATTGGTTTTAATTAAGTTTTTCCTCTCTCGGAGCTCGATTTCACGTTATACAAACTGAAACACCTTCGTCTCAATTAACTTTATAAAATACGAGTTAAGTTTTTGATTACTTTTATTAAAAGAAAAATCAATTCAAATGAAATAAATCTGTCAATGTGAACAAACTGTCAAGAATTGACGTTTTAACCTTTTAACCTATATCGGTAACTGTCAGTGATGATGTTGGGATTTGGATCCATCTTTTATACATATTCCTATCTCTGGCCATAGTCCGTACTTCGGCGAGTCTCTTCCCTCTTCCTTTAACCATCTTCTCAATCTCTCCCTCTTATTGGGCTCTTGGGCTACCACGCTTTCTCTTTCCTTCTGGCCTCATGTTGAACATTTTTTGAGGCACTCTATCTTCTTTCATTCGAACCAGATGACCATACCAACTTAGTTGTTTTCCCCCAATTTCCTGTACCAGGGGGTGTAAGCTTTGTTCTTCTCTGATGTTCTTGTTCCGTATCCTATCTTTTCTGGTTTTCCCCAATATCTTACGTAGGTACCTCTGCTGTTGTTATTTTCGATTTGTGCTTGTCCAACATCGTCCAAGTATCTGATCCATAATTAAGTGTGGGTGTTATGTTCGTTACATGTCCTTTGTTCCCTACCGATCCTTTGCCGCAATGTTTTAAATTGTTCCGTCTCTCTTTCTTAAAGAGGAGATCAAGCAAATATTTATCGCCCCTAGATGAATTACTCTATTGTAATATATTGCAAAAGGATTTCGTGGATTTCATAAAGAATTTAAGTTTTTTTAAAACTTTCTTCAAGTAATTGAGTCTTCTATAAGCCGCGCAGAATGCTAGTCTTACTTCTTCTCTCATTTTAGTTGTTATTCAGCATTAGGTTGTTGTAAATTTTTCATTGAACTAAAACTAGAACTAACACTAGACCTAGAACTAGAAACATTAGGGTTTAGCCGTGCGTCTGAAGTGTTAGTTTGTTCTTAGTTCTAGTTTTAATTGTTGTTTACTGACGCACGGCTAAACCCGAAACTTAAAACTAATCCTAGACCTAGGAAGTTCCGAAAGTTTCTATCAGGCCGTTTTTCTAGAATTTTTGAGTAAAGTTTGAGCGCAAATCTGTTAGTGAATCAATTAGTGAAGAAATTCCTCTAATGTATTTAAAAAGAAAGTTTCTAACTATTTAAAATAAAATTTTGTGGAACGTTCTTTCTTTATGTTAAATCTAAGAGTTATTTTTGTGAATTTCTTGTGAAATTTATAGCAAGAAGTATAACATTACACCCACTTGAGTTTATTTTTGACAGGGTCCGCCTGAGTACGTAACAGGTGCCATCGAAATAACCCGCGAAAAGAATCTTATTTTTAGTGGAAAATCATAACAGTACTAATAATGTTTGCACACAAACTAAAACACGTGTAGGTAGTTTTTTAATTTAAATACTAACAATAAGTTAAATAACGCGGAATGTTGTGATTAACGAATCTATTTCTAATCAACTGGATACTTAAAAAAAGACTTAAATATAAATCTTTTTTGGTTAAAATAAACGAAAATAAAATAATTATTTGTCCATTAAGATTACAATTTCTTTTATAGAAAATTAATTTATCGAATGATTTAATTTGAACGTTAATTTCAAATACGAAAGCTTTCGTAATTAAAAAATACAATCGATACATTTTTTTAATGGTTCTTTAAAAAGTTCTAAATCTGGATTGGTTTTTGGACTCGGAAAATGGTTTCGTGTCGGCTAAAATAAGCGTACCTTAATTGAAACGTGCTCACACAATTTCGGTTAAAACGAACCAACAAAGCAGGCAAACTCACAGTCTAAAATTAAATATCCATTAAACTAAAGACAATAAGCGTTTTCAATTTTAGCTTTTTTTACAGTTTTAAGTAAAACGCTGAAATTTCTACATTTTAAATGATTTTGATTTAATAATTATAACGTTTATTAACTATTTGCGAAAAAAGCTTTGTATGAAGAGGAATTTTTTTTAAAGGGGAATTGAAAATCGAAGGAAAATGTGATTTTAACGGCACAAAGAAGCTCTAATAAATCCCCTTCGTATTTGCAGGGTATAAACTTCAAGCTAAAGGCATCGCGGAAAAATGTGACGTTTTTCAGGTTTCCTTTCAACGGAAAGCTACTCGACATGGTGAAACAAATAAATACAAAAATTTTTATAAAAAATAAAGCTTGTTCGCACAACCCTGTCAAATCGTTTCTGACTGGTTTCAAACTCCAAATTCCCCAAGAAACATTATTTGACATGAGCGATTAAGATGCAATATACAAAAATATATTTTCATAGAAACCAGGGCGTACCTACTTACTTTGTCCCTTATAAAATGCAACACGTCCAAGGACAGTAGAATCTAACAGGACTTAATATAATTTGAGTTTACAGTAAAACCTCGATATAACGGATCAATACGGAGAGCGCAGTGTCCGTTATAGCTCAATAAAAATATACAACAATCTGGCACTGAATAACAAATAAAACTAGACTAATACTAGAAACATTTCGTTTAGCCGTAGCTCTCTTAACATGGCTGGTAAGTAGCGCTAGTTGGCATAAAATACGCATATTTTTATTGAACTAAAATTAGAACTAATGTGAAAAAAAGCTACATATGTCGCATTTTATGTGGGAGAGTGCAAGTGCATAGTAGCTTGAACTATGGTTCATCTACTAAAACTGCATTCATATATTGCGAATTATATGAAATTCCCGGTAATAATTTTAAATGTGGACGTAAAATGTGTTTAAAATCGAATGAAATTTATTTAAAAAAATAAATTAATTTTTTCAAGATTTTTCTAGGGAATCGCAATAAAATCCCGCTCGGCAGAGCACAGGGTCGAGTTAGAGCAGCTACGGCACGCGTTCAAATATCTACTCGAGCGTATTCGAATCTCCTCTGCGGTACAAAGACAAACGGCCCCGATCCGAGGGTTTATGCCTCGCAGATCAAAACTGGCAACACCTGAATGATTTCCTAAAAATAATAAGGGCTAACCTTAAAAGAGGGCTCTTTTCGTAAAAACGTAACGGTGTTGATTTTATAAGAGAAAAATTATTTTTAAAAATACTATACTTATTCTTAATGACATTTCATGTCAAAATTCATCATTGTCATCTTTTTTTCTTGTCACTTTAAACGTCAAATGGAAAAGTATAAATCCATTGATTTTAAATTGATGATTATTTTTTCAATGCCACAGTAGATGGAAATCAACGAAACTAAAACTGAAATAGTGGGTCAATGTTACGTTTGAATAGACCATAAAACTTGGTATAAATTAGGCGTCGCCGACGGAGGCGCGCACGCGATGAAAATTCGTCTGGGCCATTTTTAATCCTGCCCCTGATGCCACGTTAACCTTCGGATTATGCAAGGAGACTTGCTAAAGCCACCGTGCAACTCAACAACAATTTTATTACGTCATTTAAATTAACCTACAAAAAAAAGTACGTGATTTTTTTTCATTTCTGGAATTCTTTAAAAATAACTTTATATATAATGCATTTTACCTCATCTTAGTTCATAATTTTGTTTAGAATGCGTTAATTTTTGAAAAGCTTTGTTGAAATGAGTGGAGTGAATTTGCATCTGTGTGAAGTTAGCTTTTTTAGATGTTGGCAGCTGTCAAATAATATTTTTAGTTAAAAGTAAGCAAACGAAAATGATTTTTTTAAAACTTTGTAAAATAATCAAGCTAAAACACAAGCCAAAAAAATCTAACCGGATGTTTAATATTTTTAACTTTACGACTTAACTTAAAGGTAAAAAAACGAAGTTTATTGATGGCATATGCTCCTTTAACATTAAAAAAAGCAAAAGAAAATAACATTAAGGAATAGTAGTGTAATGGGGTTTTTGGTTTACGACTTGTTTGTATTCCGTTATCACTCTCTGTGTGTCTCGGAACGTCGGATATTTCATTTGAGAGTTTATTACCAGTCTCGGGAGGAGGTATTTTCAATTCCTTCTCCTTTGCTTCGTACTCGGTCGCTGTATTAACTGCAGTTATTACACTTCATCTGGGTTGTTGTCGTTCGAATTTCGAAGCGACGAATTTCCTTCTTATACTGCTGCGGAAACGCGTTTATCGCGTTCGACGGGCGATAAATCGAGCAATAAGAAAACAGGTCCCTTTCTCGACTCTATAATTAGACGGGGGGCCTTTTCATTGTTTGCAGACGACGATAATGTCAACGTTCGCGTTAAAACGCAGCATTTATCGATATTGACAGTTCATTTCTTTTTGCAGAGGTTACAAATAAGTTTGACGTTTATTTGTTTTATTATTCACAATATGGCCGATTTTCAAATTGCTTAGCGACCGATGATGTTTCTAAGGATACCATCTTAACGACATCTAACAGATTATATTTTAACTTGGCTTAATCAATGTTTTTGGTATTTGACAGTTATTGTTGTCTAAATTTAAGAATTTGCGGTTGGAATTTCAAATTATCCAAAAATGTGTTGTCTTTCTTATTTGGGTATATTAATTTTATTCGATCTTTTTTAATTTAATTTTTTTGTTCTTTTTCAGAAATCATCGTCAATATGGCGTTGTTCCATTTTAAAAAGCAACGGATGAAAACGAGCTGAAGAAAAAATAGAAGAAATAGAAAAAATACATACAATAAAAGTCTAAATTAAAATGGATCACAGTGTAAAAACGATGACATCTCCGGGGGTGATGTCCCGTTGTTTAAATCCACATCGTTTTGAAAACGACGAACTCGAAATGTTATACCAACGTTACATTTGTAAATTACAACATTCGAGTGTGACGGCCGTCGTCGGTCTTTTCGTCTTATTAACGTTCGTTTTGGCAAATCTCGGCCTTTTCTACGTTCAACCGCCAACACCGCAAGTGGTTTACAACGCGGCCCATTGTATCCTGTTTGCGATCCTCCTGGGATTCTTACACACGAAACTTATGCAGGATGCGTATCTACTTTGGGTCTGTTACGTTGTCCTGTTCTTTTTGGTTACCTTTTGCGCCTTAGCGCTTCCGGTTTATCCATCGAGTCAGGGTAAAGTCGCCGCAGAAGGAACTTGGCACGTCGTTTTCGTTGTTTATTTGGCTTACGCTATGATGCCGTTGAAAACTTGGATTGCCGGAGTTTTTGGTTTTTTCATTTGTGGAGCTCATTTGGGTGTTAGCACTATTTTGGCGAAAGAATTTCAACATTTGATTTGGCAACAGGTAAGATTTTTCAATTCATTAAAAGCTTATTTTTATTGCATTTTAATTAACGTTGAAAAGGGTCACTAAAATCTAATTTGCTTTAGAGTCCCTTTCAGGGTCAAAATGAAACATACCCTTTTTAATCTAATATGCCTATGAAATTAAGTTTGGCGAGAGCTTTCAAAGTGAATTTATATTTCAACGTAAAAATTTACGTTTGATTTAAATTTTTAATTAAAATAAATTGAGTGAAAAATTCGATTTTTATTAAATCGAAAATTTTATTAAAAAATAATTGAATTTCACTATGTTTACACGAACTCACGATGAAACGTAGTTTATTTATTATTTACTTTGGACCTGAAACGAGTTTAAACCTGACCTATATTTCGCATTAATTAAGATACATATTTCTTACATAACTTATAATGAAGTACAAAGAATACAAATGTAAAGAATATCTTTGAAAACGAGTAATATAATCCTAATTTAATTTACGACTTCGGTATAAACATCGATCATTGAGGAGAAGCCTTATTGCGTTAGGTTCGAATGGAAGGAGAGATCTCGATGTTTCTTGGATCGGTGCCCGAAAATCTTACGAACCCGAAATCCTGAAAGGATCGACAATTGTCGATTTTGTAAAACCAACGATTGTTTTTCTACAAACCATAAATCCACGGGGAAAATCACTAAACAGGCCGTAAACCCAATTTAAACGAACGCTATTTTAACGATTTCGAGAGGAACTTACTCTTTAAATAGGTTTTAAAGATAATTTAACTCGGAAAAAATTTACGAACGTAAATAGTTTACGTATTTTAACGAATTTTTGGCTACACGTATCGTGGAGTTGTGCCAAAAGAGGATTTTGAAAGTTTCCAAAAAAGTATTTATGGCTATACTATAACCCGAAAAAAAAATTTTTTGATCAAGTGTTTTGAATTGGTTGTGTAACTAAAAAGGAATTAAATTTGATTTTAAATTCAAGGCGCAATCAAAATTATTTTTTACTTTTCCAACTTTCCATTTTCAAAATATCAAAAAAATTGTATTATTTTGACAGTCTGCTAATGTCAGAATGCAGAACAGGGCAGAATCAACTTTCATGACACCTTCACGGATTCTGTCTTGCATTTTCTCTACAGTTTCCTACAGTGGTTTTGATAATAAGGTACTTTTGAAAGAATCGATTACTGAAACCGGTAAACAGAATGTACAACCTTTGTAACCGATGCTGCATCTCTTACGTTAAAAAAATAAGTGTATAATTCCGCGATAGGCGGCAGATAAATTTGGATAGGCTTGTTATCATGAGATTAATCAGAGATAATTGAGTAATATTTATTGTTTATTATTTTGTCAACAATTTGTGTATTTACCTAACTTCTCATTAATTGTGTCCAGTTGAATCCAGACCAAATTGTGGGATACAAAAAATTTATATTCTTTCTAAAATATCTCTCTAACGCTGCTTTTCTTGTTGCATTTAAGTCTGGGATAAAAAGCGAGTAGTGGTATAACTTTTTCAACATGTAATCTTGATGCAATCGCGTTCTTTAATGAGACTCTGTAGACACCCTCTTTCAATCACACACTCTTTCACTGTATCCAAATCTTGTGTTTTCTAATTTGAACATCCAATACGGAAAACAATAAGCGACATTATTTGTTTGTAATTAAATCATCTTGAGTGCAACTTAAGTTAAAAAAGTTGATGCAGTTCATAAATAATAGTGTTATGTATAAATCTATTAAGGTGTGGCAATTCATATGATTTCTTCCTGGACTCCGAAAATACTCCTTCCAAGTTGGAGGTGTTAAAAGATCCATAATATATTATGGTAGAGCCGCATGTGATGGAAATAAATAAAACAGCTCCGTACCTCCGTGAAATGTAATGTACTTAGAGTACATTAAATTTTTAAGTACATAAAATTTCTCGAAGGTATAGAATATTAAAAACGAAGAAATGAGCTGAGGCTTAAAAAATCTTTTATTTTGATTGTGACCTGTTTCTTAGATTATTTTGAAATGTTATTATTCAGAAATAATATTTTATCATCTATACAATCAAAAGAAAAGCAGCCACTAACCACATGAGAATGACACCGTCGCAAATACGTTCTAACATTGACGTTCTAACATGCTCTGCTTGCACACACTAATGAATATATAATAATTTTGGAGATATTTAGCACTCATATGCTCCTGATATGAAGACATAGTAGGGGTAATAACACTACAGGTTGTTTCTTAAAAGTCCTTCAAAAGAGATCGTTATTTGGTGTGACAATTCAATTTTAAAAAACTAGAAACAGAATGACTGTGTTCAAAATGACAGTGATTTCGCTCTGATTAAAGAATCGGTGATACTAAAAAAAACATTTGAAGCTGTGTCCAAACGCAGGCCAGCAGGAAGGCCCAGAAAGAGATAGTAGGGTGAGACGGATGAGGACGCGAGAAGTATCCTCGGCATTAGGAACTGGAAGAGAGCGGCTATGGATAAAGATGGTTGGGGAAAGAAACTGAAGGAGGTCAAGACTCGGAGCGGGCTGTAGCACCATTAGAGCAATGAATGTTTGTGCGGCAGTGCTACGCAACATATACGAGACACATCGCGCACTTAAGACTAAAAATGTTCGTGAGTGGTAGTTATAACGCGCGCAGACATCTAATCATCGCAAATATGTTGTCAACAAACTCTTCCTTTGTGATTTATCATTTTTCTTTCTCTCAGATCTGGTGTTAAGATCGTCTAACCGAATATGTGTCATTATAGAAAAAAATTTGTTTCTACTCATTATTGTCTAATAAATAGTTCTGCGCTTTAATTATGATAAGCTATGGATTCTCCTCATTTTTTTTAAATGCCCAGTAATAACAAGAATATCTATAAACCCAATCATTTCTGTAGCATCGACTTCAAGCCTTTAGCATCTACAAAATCACTGGCTTATTTATTTGAATACTTTACAATAAGATTTACACAACAAGTGAAGATTTACAAGGTTCAAATATAAGAAACAATACAAATTTTAATCATTAGTAATGATACGCTTTGTTCCTTAATTCTAACCTCAATTTATAGTTATGTAAAAACATTATTCTAATTTTTTTTTCTTTACAATTTCAGTTATCTGCAAACGTATTGGTCTTCTTTTGTGCAAACGTTGTTGGAATTTTTATGCACAATTTAATGGAACACGCTCAAAGAAAAGCATTTCTGGATACAAGAAATTGTATAGCGGCACGTTTAGAAATGGAAGATGAAAACGAAAAATTGGTAAGATAAAAAATAACAAATGTAATTTTTTCAGTTGGTATCCGATATTTGACACTTCATAAAATGTCAAATTATAAAAAATATAATCATAACCCTCTAAGCTCTAAAAGTTATTATTTATTTAACGTTATAATATTATCATAAATCACATTCGAGAACAACTCAATTTGTAAATTTTCAAATGAATCATAAATTTATAAATTTAACGGTTCAATTTTCGACAGCGTGTATAATAAACTGGTAATAAACCATCAATTCGTTGGGCCACGGTTGTAAACAATGTTTTAAAATAGTGTTTCGTTAAGCATTTATTGTAATTTTAAAGCGAAACGACTGAAAATGTGCAACCAAAGCTTAACTATACCAACTTAAATAGTTCACATTGAATCCCCAGAATTTCAAAATCGTTAACGATGCTGTTGAAAAATGGTGTTTCCCACTCTCCGCAGCTCGTATACAACGATAATAATAATAATGTGTGCTTATTTTTGGTACCCCCTTCCTCTCCCGATTTCGTTCATCATAGAGTTTGAAATTTATAACTCCGTTGCATCTGTATGTACTATACTTGCGTAGTTATTTACGTTTTGATACCAATTTCACAATGAGTATTAATAGCTCTTAATATATTTTTGTTTACTTTGCTATTTTTTTTGATAGGAACGACTTCTCTTATCGGTGCTTCCGCAACACGTCGCAATGGAAATGAAGAATGATATCATATCGCCGGTTGAGGGCCAATTCCATAAAATCTACATTCAAAAACACGAAAATGTCAGGTAATTAAGCAAAATAAACATCATAAAAACATTTTCTAAACAATTATGTCCCAAATCAATTTGGTATAGTGTTTATATTGATGATTATTAATTTGTATTATTACCACCGAATTGTGTTTTAATGCAAACTTGTTTCTTGTGTAACTAAAATGTAATATACAGGTGTTGTGGTTTGGGCCGATTAATTATTATTCACGCTAACGTCAAACGGAAGTTATAAGATAAAGTGATCAGATTAAATAGAAGGAATGGTAACAACAATACTCCCATGTACATAGGAATCAAGCGCTGTGTATCTCTCACTGCATGTTAACCGCGAGCTAATAACGTCCGCAATTGTTGTTAATAACTCCACCGTTAATTACTGCAGCAACGAACTCCTCTATTTTGCCATGAACTCTATCAATATGCCAAGCAAAACAATAAAATGGATTTAATATAACTATTCTGTGTGGGAAAAGTTTTTATTAGTTAAATCCTAAAAGTTTTTCTAAACAAAAGATGATATTAAAACACGAACTGGTTCGCGTACATACATATTTTAAATTTAAACACCGTGTGATTCAACATTCAGCACAATTCATTGAGTGGCGAACGAGTGTGAGTCATTTTCGTTTCAAACTAAAAATAGATTTACGATTAAGAGATTTGTTTGAGTGTTTCAACCCTTCTATGAAATGATAGCGATTAAAATCTAAATCTTTTAATTTAACGTATAAACTTTAAAATATCCTCAATAATACACTAAAATCCGATCGATATTTTAACAATTTGTATAAATAATGTTTTCACTTATTTATTTACAGTATACTTTTTGCGGACATCGTTGGATTTACGGTTTTAGCGTCGCAATGTACCGCCCAAGAATTAGTCAGACTTTTAAACGAACTTTTTGGACGATTTGATCAACTGGCAAATGTAAGTGAAACTCAAAAAAAATTTTGTTATAATTTTTTTTGAAAATATTTCACGATTAATGTCAAGCTCTCAAATGCAGCTTTAATTGCAGTTTTCTAATATATCGGCATGTGGTTTTTATAAATTTAATTTTTATAATTTAATATCAATAATAAATCTAACCATAAATAATTAAAAAAAATTAATATTAATAAAATATGTGGTTAATTAGTTTTGTTTAATTTTTTTTTATTACAGTTGGTATTAAATTGAAATTTTTTACATTCAACGTCAATTTCTTGACAATTAATTGACTTATTTGTATAAATTAACCTCACTTTTATAAAAATAAATTTTTAAAACGGTTATCTTTGAAAAGGTCTTGATATTTATAAAGGTTAGAGTTCACGTTGAAGTTACTTAAAGTTATTATTTTTAACCCTAAATAGGAAAATCATTGTTTACGGATCAAAATTCTGGGCGATTGTTACTATTGCGTTTCCGGTTTGCCGGAACCGCGTTCGGATCACGCTCATTGCACCGTGGAAATGGGTTTGGATATGATCGACGCGATCGCCAGCGTTGTTGAGGCCACCGACGTTCAACTTAACATGAGGGTCGGTATTCATTCCGGACGAGTACTCTGCGGCGTGCTCGGACTTAGGAAATGGCAATACGATGTTTGGTCAAATGATGTTACACTTGCCAATAATATGGAAGCCGGCGGAGAACCAGGGTATAAAATATCTTTTTTCTTGCTGTCGTTTTGAAATTTAAACCCTAACAATTGTAGATTTTTAAAGAGATTTGTGTTTCTTGAAATTTAATCGGCGTAAAACTCGTTACACTACGCTAATTATTATCTTCTAAACAGCTTATGTTGTTTATAAAAAAACATTTCTCGATTATAGTTTTTATTTCAAGTTTTAAAGGGTTTTAATACCATTACAAAATGATGTTTATGTCAGGATTCTGTTTCAATAAAATTTCCGATTGAACTTAATTAATGAATTCTAATTGCTGCCGTGATTGACATCTCGTAACTCAATTTTACACGTTCAGCTCTAAATAATAAAGTTATTGAATTTCAATTTTTTAGGCGTGTTCACATCACCCAAGCCACTCTGGACTATTTGGGAGGGGAGTATGAGGTTGAAGCCGGAATGGGTTCGACTAGGAATCAATATTTAAGGGACCATTGTGTTACTACTTATTTTATTGTTCCACCGGCAAGAAGAAGAAAGGTATATGTTTCATTAATTTATGTAGATTTAAGGCTGCTTTTAACAAAACTACTTCTTTCTTAACTTGTTATCACCTTTTTTTCTTTCTGCAGAACATAAATGATGACAAACGCAGAAAATATTATTCGTTTAGCTTCTTTTATAATTTACTCTCTTTCGAAATGATTTTCTCTTCTCTTGCTGAATCTTCTCTCTTCTGGTGTATTCTTGGTATGATATTACGTAGATACATGCTTTCCCTCCCTCTCGAAAAGCTCTCAAGCTGCCGTTGAAATTAACTATTGGTGTAGTTAGATAGATATGACATGAGGTGCTAATGTAGTCGTCGCCGTACCGGAAGTGTTGAACATCCGCGTCGCTTGTTTACCTCCGTCCTGGCAATGTAAAATGTGCTTGGGATTGGATCGATGTTCTCCGCGCGTGGCACCCTTTTAACGACGTTTATACCACGCCCCATTTATGTCCTTCAAATTGAGTTTATTCAAATGAGAAATAGATAAAAAATCAGAAAAGATTATCAATTTATTGAGTTATTTTTAAAATGTTGTTTGTCAAAACATGTAATAACGTATTCTTAATTGGTTTAATTGGAACTGAAATCAGTTATGTTTACTAAAAAATAGTAAAAATAGAGTACAACTCTCATTATATGTATTCAGGGTACACCAATTAAGTCGAGGACTATACAAAAAAAAAAGAGATCAATAAGCCTGCAATATATTCATTTCCCGTGGAATTTCCTTTTATGTTTATTCAAAACGAACGAACGAACGATAAAAAACTTTCAAATTTTAACTAATGCCTGCAACAAGAATTTCGGCGCAAATTTCTCGGTTTTCCGACACCAACTGGGACAACACGAGATGCTGTCAGATCTGGCCGCCCCCGGAACAGCCATTCTGCTGAGAATATTGCTACTGTGAACGGCAAGCACTATAGAGCCATGCTCAACGACTTTCTCCTTCCTGAATTTCATGTATTGGGACTAGAAAACATGTGGTTCTAGCAGGATGGAGCAACGACGCATACTGCACGAGCCACAACCGAAATTGCATTTCCGCATCGCCTTATCTCTTGATTTGGCGATTTGCACTGGCCGGCAAAATCGCCCGATTAACCGTTCTAGACTTCTTTTTGTGGCGTTTTTTGAAGTCATGAATCTATGTTCACAAACCTCAAACTCTTCAAGCCCTCAAAGAAAATGTCCGTCAAGAATGCGAGAACCTACCGCTAGATGTTCTGTGAAGAGTGATGGAAAATACCATAAATCGGGTACGTATGGTCATCAATTCTGGCGGCGACCACTTAACCGATATCATTTTCTCGCCATAATAAAAAAAAACTTAAGACATCAAATAAACATAATCCAAAAGCAGAACCAAAGTTTTTCAAACGTGAACAAATATGAATTTAGTTGATAACAGCCTGAATTCTCCTTTTTGGAAATGTGTCAAACAATCATTACTGACTCATATTGTGGATAGAATATTATTACCTTTTTTGGTCTTTTAATAATTGTATGGTATGGATAGTTCAGAATTGGACTTCTACAAAACCAACATACAAAATTGGTGTCACGTTTAAAAAAAATCATAAGTATATTGGTAATTACTTCGATTAATGTTGTAATTTGCTATCTAATATTAAATCAAGATATTGACCTTTTTATACAATCCTGTTTAGGATCACTTTTACTATCAGCATCCTGTTAAATTAAACATTACAGCCATTTCAAGTACCCACTTTGGTTAATGTTGTGTTTATTAATGTGATAAATTTAGCAGCAAGGTGATAAGAGAGCTTAATGAAGATCTTAGTACTCTATAGTTCCATAAATTTTTAATTATATATATATTTATATTTTAATCATAATAATATAATATTATAAAAATAATGTTTACATTTACAACAAGGTTATGAATGAAATGGATTCGTTGCCGGATATTTTATTCATAAAGTAACCCACGTTGAAACCTCTGCATACTGATGGCGAGTTTAAATTTCAACGGCAGCAACAGCAGCTTTGAAGCCCACACAAAATACAATCAAGAGACGCGATTACTTTATTATAATGCATGTTGTTAACGTGTTTTAAAATATTTACTTTATGTTTTTCTTTGCCACAGCAAAAAAAACTAATCGATAAAAAGTTATCGATTTTTCTTCTTCTTCTATTTCTTCTGCATCTTTTAAAATTCTAAAACAAAATTAAAAAAACCTCTAACACCGACTAACAAATATCGTTTTTCGTCGGGTGCGCGGCGTTCGTCTTTATCTTTTCCAGCCACTCTTATTCAACACGCTTCAGGTTCGCTCGGTGATGGGGCCTGGACAACGTCGGAAGCTGAGCTTCAAGAATGTTTCGAACGTCGTCGTGCAGTTGCTGCATTCGATAAAATACTCGATGGAGGTGCCATTCTCGAACATCGCGTTGCAATCTTCGGATATTAAGACGGCCAATGCTAGGAAGGTAAGAAAAATAATTAAAAATAAATTAAATTTATTAAAAAAATTTAAGATTATTAATAATAAAAAAATAAATTTGGTGATGTTTTTATCGTCATGTACCGCACAAAATTAAAAAGTAATTTTTTTAATTATGCACTATTTTTAAAATAATTTTAAATGTATAAAGCACTGGTGCACAAGATTTTTTTGATACACGTGTTTGTCTAACCTCACGTTCTTGTTCTTTTATATTTTTTTTCTTTACAATCTTACGTGCTGTATATGTATGGTGTTTGTTTCTTGTATTTTTTTGAAAATAACTTAATGTATTTTGTTAATATGGGATTTTGTTTAAAAAAAATACTTTGCCTGCCGCAAAATACATAGTTTACCAGCACACTAGCACAAAGTGTCACTTTACTGCCGCAATTGGATTGCATAAAATATGTTTTTGCTGCCGGTAGGCGATAAAGTTTTTAAAATTGAGTATAAGTATTCCGAAAAAGTTTGATGTCATATTAACAAAAATACATTACGGTTCTACCTCTTATACCTTTTTAAAATTTAAAAAGCTTCTTTAAAAAACCATTTTCTCTAATCGCATGATTTTTCACGTTTGCTTTTTAGGACGCGGTAAGTGCTATCACTCATTGTCTCTTCTCTCTGTCTTTTGGTACTGTCTGTCTTTTGGTGTTCTGCTCGAAAAAAATAAAAAACTCCCGCTCGAAAAATCGAAAAAGTACACGAAACGAGCAGAGTTTATGAACGTTTATCGTCGTGTAAGTAGCGAAAATTTGATAAAATAATTGTGTTTGGGTAAGTTTTATTAGTTCTTAATATTTTTGAAACTAACACCCGTTTTAATTTTTTTAAAATAATTTTTAGGTTTAGAAAAAAAACTAGAAATTATTCTATGTGATGTGATCTCGATGTCGTTTCTCTGTGGTTGTAACTGTGTACGCTTATAGGTACTAGATCTGCAACGGATGCTTCACGCCGATTCCTCTTCAACGAGTCAATCAGCAAATAGCACGGCGGTTGAGAGCAAAGTGAGTCAGCACTTGAGCCTGCTTCGCTTTCACAAATTACAAAAAAAAAGAATCACTCTGTATAAAGTATATATTAGCATTTTTTCATCACAGGGCACTCAATATTCCTTGAAAAGTTATTAACACGTTCTTAAATTATAATTTTTCATTATTTTTACTTTCTCGCATATACAGGACGATTCAGATAACATTGTTTGACTGAAACGTCCATATACAGGTGTTTTAATGTCTCTGATAGCAATAAAATAAAATAATTTATAGATAATGCGGTTAAATTTGTTCTCTGTGTCATTAAAACACCTCAATATGTGTGTAACTTTGATAAACACGCAGGAAATTATTTTATATGCGAGAAATTCGAATGCAGACCACTCCAATAATTTTCTTTTATCGTTTAGATCATAGTTTTATGTGTTATTTTTTGCTTTTATTCTGATATAATGAAATTTAATAAGTGTAAATAATTTGTGTTCACCTCTTTGTGTTGACACCAACCCATCTGAACAACAAATAAAAAAACCAGTACCATAAATGGCTTTGTAGGTGCTAGAGTTCAAGAAAATGCTTCACGGTGAAGAATCCGGCGATTTCGAAGCCGGATGTTCAACGGCCGCTGAGACGGATGTGAGTTAACGCTCACTTTTTGATTGATGATTGGAAATATTCTTGAAAATCTACTACAGTTTTTTTATAATTTCTTTTTAACTTTCCTTTTTTTTTGGCATTTCTAGTGTTGCGTTTTACACTATTTTTCCGAAAAGAAAAAAAAATCTTTTTGATCTGAATTTTTACTTTTTAATTTATTTTTGATTTTATTTCTGATGGCCTTTGAAGAAAAAACAATTTTTGGTGCATGAAAGTGCTTCGTACATTTCATTAACTAAAATAAAAAAAAATTTTAATCTTAATTTTTTTTCTTGCAGCGAATTTTTTACGTGTTAAAAAAACTATAGTCGCTTCATTTTTGGCTTTACTACTATTTAAAACCTACCAAAGTTTGCTGAAAATCTTTTTTGATTCTCCAAGTTTTCGATTCATTCGTGTTTTTATCGATTACTTATTGCGTTTTGTTGTTTGTTTTTTTGTAGAACAAAGTCTCGGAGAAATTCAAGAGACCCTTCAAGAAGCGTCACCCCAGCGTCTATCATCAACCCTCCAATAGGGTTAACAAGTACTTAACACAAGCCATTGACGCTCGAAGTGTTGACAGGGAAAAATCTACGCACGTTAATTTGTTTACGTTAAAATTTAAAAATAGTGAAAAAGAAAATCAGGTAAATAACAAAAATTACTGATTTATTTAAAATACAGTAAAACGTCGATATAAAGGATAAAATACATCAGTATATTTAAATATGAATGTTAGCGCAAGGTATTCCGTTTCGTGATATTAGTCGAAGATTGAATCGAAACACTTCAATAGTAGTCGTCCTCTTGCAAGCGGACGTTCTCGAGCGACTAACGAACGCGAAGATGGTCGCTTTAGACAAATGAGTCTTAGAGACAGATTTCGTTCTTCGGCTGCAATTGGTATTAACGAACTTTATCTTTTAATCATCTCCATTCATACCGACCTTTACGACGTGTTCTTTGACGGAACTTCACAAATGAGCCAGACTTCTATGATGCCAAGAAGGACAACGTTGGATCGATGAATGGGATCACATAATATTTAGCGACGAATTCCTGGTTTTGTTTGTGGCAAAATGATCGACAGGTAATGGTAAGATGATACCGTAGCGAGCGGCGCAGTTTAGATTTTGCCCTTCGAATTAGAGTGTTAACACTAGACTTAGAACTAGAATCATTCTGGTTTAGTCATCTTAAGAGATGTACAGCTAAACTCGATCAAGATCTTCATTTTATATTATGAACTTTAAGTCTCAAACTAACAACATTACAAAACACGAATGGAATAAATTAAGCATTTGCTAATGCAAAATGCGAAATAGTTGTTGCCTACCCATGCGTGACGTCACGAACGGGCCTTCGAACTGTGCACCTATTCCTGGGATATAGCAATCTTAGTATTAATCTGTTATATCGAGGTTTTACTACATTATAGTTTTAAATTAAATGGATCAAAATTTTAATATAACACTAAATATATAATATACTATTATATAGTTAATTTTTGTTTTAGTATCATGAAGATTTGGATGTTGGATATAGTTCTTCATTAGCATGCGCTTTAGTTTTATTAGTTTTAATGGGCGCATTACAAGCCGTAATTTTACCAAGAACCATAATTTTACTTCTTCTATTTCTGACGGCGTTCGTTTGGATCTCAGCGGTTCTAATTTTATTATTAGCTGTACGACTGAGATGGATTTTATGGGATATTTCACAAAGTTTTGTGCTAAGATTAGCAATAACCATGTTTACCATTGTTTTAATTTATACCGTAGCTCAAGTTAATGTGGTAAGTTTAAATTTTGTGTTGTATTATTTTTTTACTAATTAAAATATTTTTTAGTTTACTTGTATTACATCAGAACCTTGTATTAGCCACAATATAACTTTGGATAGTTTCGAAGGTGATCATAGAGCTTGCCCGCTTCCTCAATACATCGTTTTATCATGCGCCCTCGGTTATTTTGCTGTGGCGTTATTTTTACGACTTCCAGTACTTTTAAAAGCGTGTTTGTTATTTGTTATGTGCACGGTTTATGTTTTGTTAATAGAGGTGTCGCATTCGTATCTTTTTTATTGCTACGACCAAAGAATAGGGTATGTTTTTTCAACATTCACAAGTTAAAAACTTAATTTAAGTTTACTTTAGAGCGAAAATTCCAACTCACGTAACGAGCGTTGTTCAAGTCTTAATTTTCGTTTTGGCTGTTTTAATCCATGGAAGACAAGTTGAATGGACGGCTCGACTAGATTTTTTATGGCAAGTTCAAGCAAACGAAGAGAAACGTGAAATGGACGCTCTTCAGCATTCGAACAAACGGATTCTTTTTAATTTACTTCCGGCGCATGTTGCAACTCATTTTTTGGATAACCAATTTAGAAATAATATGGTAATAATGATTTTATTTTGCATGTTTCAGTTTCTGTTTTTGTTTTCTTCTTTAAAACACAAAATTCTTGTTGTTGGATAGATAATGAAAAATGTGCTTTTTTTACTGCATCTTATTTTCTTTACACAAAGTACAAATTTTTGTTCTCTTTTCTTCTTCACGTTCTCTTTTATAAATGGGGCACTGATGTGGTAAAAAAGGGACACTAATAAACCGGCTACAACTTGTCTATTACAGACCACTCTATCGCAGGAATTGTACCATCAAAGTTATTCAAGAGTTGGCGTGGTTTTTGCTTCGATAACTAATTATCACGAATTTTACACGGAATTGGATGGTAATAATCAAGGCGTTGAATGTTTACGATTACTTAATGAAATTATCGCCGATTTCGACGATTTATTAAGTGAGGAACGATTTAAAGCTATTGATAAAATCAAAACGGTTGGTTCTACTTATATGGCAGCAGTTGGACTTATGCCGGATTCAAGAATTTTGGACGAAGATGAAAGTACGGCTGGGTTACATCTTAGTACGTTGGTCGAATTTGTTTTTGCCATGAGAGATCGGCTTTTGAATATTAACGAAAATAGTTATAATAATTTTATGTTAAGAGTGGGTAAGTTATTTTATTTATGTAATAAATAATTTAATGATGAATGAATTTATCTTTAGGAATAAATATTGGCCCAGTTGTTGCTGGGGTTATAGGTGCAAGAAAACCTCAATATGATATTTGGGGTAACACTGTTAATGTGGCAAGTCGAATGGATTCCACAGGGCTTCCCAACCATACACAAGTAACAGAAGAAGTTTACCAAGTTTTAAAAGGTTATCCTTACGAATTTCAATGCAGAGGAAAAGTGAAAGTGAAAGGAAAAGGCGATATGACCACATATTTTTTAATCGATCGAAAACAACCAGGTACAATACGAGTGGAGGAATTAAACAGTATGAGAAGTGGAAATTCAACAAGTAAATTTAAATCAATTTTTTTGATTTCATATTAATTTAATTTTTCTTTGTAGCAATCAATAATTTATATGGTGGTGTAGCAACACCTTTAGCGCTTTTACATCACGCGGAATTAAACGGAAATCGAAAACATCAAACCTCAATGCAATCGCGGCAAAATTCAAGGGAGGATAACTATTCAGGTATTAGAAATGCTATAAGGTTACCAGCGCTTAGAGAAAATCACCGTGACGGATGCGAAAATGAACCGCTTTTACCACCATCTTGTGTACTACCAAAGCCGGTGAAAATGAAAAAATCGGATGATGAATTACCCGCACCTCCACTTCCGCCTCATAAAAATCATTATCCAGATATGATGAAATATGCACCACCTTGGCCAAGAGGAAATAATAACAATATTAGTTATAATAATAAATTATTAGAAAGCGGAAATACGAACAATAAAGTGACCGTTATGAGTGAGGTTAAACCATATTTAAAGCCGTTACCAAAACCCCCCGGAAAAGAAAGCCCGGGGCGCAATCGAAAACAAATCAATATGAATGAAATTTATGTTAAAACGCCAGAAAAAGGAAACACACCCGAATTTTTAAGAAATAAATTGGGGGTGCAAACGAAAAGTAATATTTTACAAAATCGTAGTCCTTTACACACTCGAAGACATAGTCCGTTACAAAGACATTATTCCGATGAAAGTATCGGTGGGGTTTACAACAACGCACCTCAAAGAATACATTCATCAGCTGATGAAATTTCTTCTTTGAATCATTCTCCAAGTATAAGTAGTTCCGATGAATCTTACAGTAGAACGACGGATGCTGATGCTTCACCATGTGTTTCCCCACCACTTCCAACCGACACTCAACAATTCCTATTTCCATCCGATATCCAAGTAAATCCTTGCTCCTCCCCGGAGATTTCCCCAAGAGCTTCTTTAGATTACATCCCACCAAATTGCTCATTACGTAACTCATCAACAGAACGTACAAAATGTGTTAATAATTTACCGCCTAGTGCTGTACTTGCTTTGGCTAACACCTGTAATACACTCGGTGGTGATTCATCAGCAGTAATCAGTCCTCCTGTTCTAGATGGTTCAGAAAGTTGCAAAGGTGAAAGTTGTGCAAGTTTTGAATTTTCAAGACCCCCACACCAAAAGCCAATGTTAATGCTACGAACTTCAAGTGTGAATGGTGCTGTTCAAAAGAAACAAATACCAAAAACGTTAGAAAAACAACATCAAAGAGTTCGTAATGACAGTGATTCAATTTTAGAATGTAATAAGCAGTCTTCGATTAATTGTAAACGATCGCCGAGTTTTAAAGAAGCTGAAGAAATCAGGGAGTTACTTAAAGAAGATTTTAAAACGTTTAATAGTGATAAATCGACGAAACGCGACGGCTGTTCTCAAACCGATAAAAAAGATATCCGAAGACATCGAGCCTCACCGTCATCCTCATCGAACAATCATAAAACATCACCAAATTTTAATCTGAACAATTTAAAAATGAGTAATCTCGAAGATCATCACCACCATCATCACCCACATCAAGAATCATTCGAAAAGGAAATTCAAAAATTATTAGACGAACAGAATTTACTGCAAAATATCCCGCCAAAGTTAGAATTGGTTCAGCAGTGTAAAGATTTGGCTCTTGAACCACTTGTAAGGTACGCACCAAGTAACAATAACAATCACCAAGTTGGTTTGGCAGCCATTCAGGCGCTCGCTTTGGGTCTTCGGGTGAACCCCAGCGGAAGTGTTACACTTCAGTGCATGTCACCGCCGAGAGGATCAAGCAGCAAGGAGGGGTCGTTAAAAAGGGCACCATCACCGGGACCTTCTGAACCGCATAAGCAGATTAAAATATCACCGTTAGACAGGTATTTTAATAACAACAACAAAATAAATAATTCAAGACTAATACACAGTTTTTAATACAATTAATTTAATTTATTTTTAAGTTTCATTTGGTTATCTGATTTGAAAAGTTATCAAGATGTGGTAATTTTTTTTTATATAACACCTGTCAAGGGCACATTTTTACGGTTTATGTTGGTATTACCTAGGATCCTTATCAATTTTAGGTTCTTTTTCATAGACGACAGAATCTAAACGGACTGCTACAACAGGTTTAGGCGTCTTAAAAGATGCGCAATTAAATGTTTCTAGGTCTTGTGTTAGCTCTAGTTTTAGTTGTTATTCAGCGCAAGATTGTTGTACATTATTATTGAAGTAAAAGTAGAACTAACAAAATTACAAAACACGAATAGAATAAATTAAGCATTTGTACACCTAATCTCGGGATGTACCACTCCTCTTAGACTCTATTGTCCTTGTTGTTTTTTTATTTCTGATCACATTTTGAATAACAAAAATTTTGAGGTTAGGAAATTTTTCACAAATTGCTGTCAAAACTTGACATAACATAATTGACATAATTCCTTAATAATGTTGCCAACTTCACAACAGTTTTGACAGGTACTATAGAGGTTAATTTTAATTATAAAAATCAGATAATAACTTTTTTAACATTTATTTAAAATATCACATAAACTAACTAAAATGCTATTAAAAACACGTTCCTGCTCCTTGCTGCGCAATTCTCCGGCACGCTTTGCAAAAAAAAATAATTTAGACAAAAATAGATAACATCACGCGCATTCACAGGTAAAATAAAAAAAATATGCTTTTTTTCATTTCATTGCATTAAATAAATCAAATATAACTTGAAAAAATCAAATTTTGTAATGAAATTTTTTAATTGTAGATGTCAACAAAACGCTGCTTCCATGACATTGAGCGACGTAGACTTAGAAAATAATGACTGTGATATGCAAATAAGTCGGCCCGTTGTTATTGCTGATGATGATACCGATTTAGAAAGTTTTGAGCGAGATGAAAGGCGAATGGAAGAAGAAGCGGCTAAGGTAAGGATACAAAAAAAATGAAATTTAATAACATTTTAGTTAATATTTTATCGTCATTAAATGCTGTGAAAACTTTGTGCAAGCAGCATGTGGATAAAGAACTGGTAAACATTTTCGGCCGTTTTTTTCGGCCCGCCTCTTCGTATAATCTCACTTATTTAATAATACAGGAAGAAGAAGTTAAGCGACTCTTAGAGGAAAAGGTACAGGAAAAATTAAGAAACATTGAAAACGGCGAAAAGGAACAACATCATACACAAAAAGAAACCGAAAATAGTCAATCGGAATGGAGCGAAGATGACGAAGCTGAAGGCGCTTCAGAACCATTATTAAATGATAGAGAAAGTACTGGGTATACTACTGATGATCCGGCTCTAGAAAATATTTCTATGATTAACGAAACGGGATTAACAGATGCTGAAGGTATCTAAATCATAATAATATATAAATTATCGTTTATATTTATAACCGTCAAGATGACGTTTGTCATGTTAACTGTCAGTTTGACATTTAATAATTTTTTTTAGGTGCTTTAAGTGATGTAAATTCAGCTTATAACGATCATAATCACGAAGGTGACATGGATGATAACACTTCGATGTCATCGAGAGCTTCGTCGAGAATTTTCGATTCGGATGCGATGATGTCGTTGGATTCATTGAGTGCATTGTACGACTCGGAGTATGACAATTGTTATCGAACGGACGACGATTTAAACGCGGTACCCGATTTGGAGCATCGCTTGAATTATTTTTCGATGCCGCCGTCGAGTGACGTACATTTGGCAAACATTCGATCGATGAGCGAAAGCATTACGAGAAACTTTGGGCAACCGCGTAGCGAAACCGATCCGGACAGTGACGTGTAATAGTGAGAATAACCAAGTGATTTATACATCTTTAATTTTAATTTCTGGTAAGGATGAGACAGATTCAAACAAGAATAAATTAAGAATATTGTGAGGGGGAAAAAACTTCGATTTTTAATGTACTCGAATATATTTAAAGGAGAAAAAGATGAAAAGATTTATTAATTGTGCCTCTTTAAATAAAAAAAGATGAATACAAAAAGAGAGTTAAAACAATTAAACCGCCATTTTTTACTTTTTATTGTCAATTTTATTTATATTTGAGTTCGACACTTAATTTTTTTGAAAAAGTAAATGATGGTTGTTAAATATAACAAAATTAAGAAAAGAAAATAAGAAAATAAACATCTTTTTACAAAAAGAGAAAAAAGTAATCATCGTAATTATATTTATACCTTACATTGTTTGTATTTTGATGCGATTTAAATCAAATTCTCAATTGATTATAATGATCTAAAATATCTATTTCTAATACTTAGCACTTAAAGAAAAAACAAAATAATGTCCCAAATTGAGATTTGATGAAAATGCTAGAAGTAAAAAGATACTCGTATTAAGATTTTTATAAAATTTTTACTATACACCACCTATCAAAGAAAAAAAAATAATAAGAAAAGACCTCTGTACGTTACGAAACAATTCAATTTTCGATATTTGTAACAATATCAATAGATGAAAAAGAAAGGTAATCAAAATAACATTAAATATGAAAGAAATTAAATCTAAAAAACAAATAATTTATAAAAATACAAAAAATAGAATCCGAATTTTCTTTTAAACCAGTCAATTGTTAAATAAATCATAATTTTTTTAATAGAAAAAGATATAGTATTTTTTTATGAGTTGTCATTTTTGACATTTTTATTTTTTTGACATTTACCCTTTTTCTATTAAAAAAATTGTGAATAATAAACATACAAATTCATATTTACTTATTATATCATACAAAATAATATCAATATTATGTAAAGAAGCAGCAACAACAAAAAAAAAGCTAATTTGTACAGAACATTTAATTATTATTAGGATGATTCAAAGAAAAGTAGATAAATCATCCTATATAGATGACGATTATAAATTATTAAATTAATGATAATTCTTATTACTTAAATATGATTCTGAGATATTTTTTTTTTTTTTAATTTCCATAAATACCAATATTAGATTTTGAAGTATTTAAAGCAGTAACAAAATTCTCATCATAATGGACTGATTACGTATTGTGATTTTAAATTTAAAGATTTACTGGAAGAAAACGATATTATTCACATTTAGCAGCTCTCTAATCTATTTATCAACTAAAAAATTATTACTTAAAAAACAATTAACATACCAAAGAAACTTTTTTTCCTTATATCACTTTATAATTTAAAAAAATCGTTAATATCAATACAACTACGTTTTCCCTTTTTTGATCTGATCGAGTGCAATTTTATGTTATGATTTTCTGTGATCGCAAAATGATATATAATCATATTATTATAATTATTACGATACCAACCTTTTATGATCTAAACGAAAACTTATACAGTGATGATTAGTTTTGTTTAAACATCTCTGTATATAAGAAAAAAAGAAAGGATGAGAAATAAACATGATCTTGATGTTATTATTAATTATACATAGAAATACTACTTGTGTAATATAAACGAAATTTATTTACATGTTGTTTTGTGTTGTACCATTTTTTTTCTGTTTCGTTCCGTTTAATTTACAATGAATTATGTTTAAGCATAGATCTTTTATTCTTTCACTTATTACTTTTTAGTATTATTTATTGAAAACAAGATACATCTGTAAAGTGTTTCTTGTAATTTGTTAAATAAAATAAATATATTAACTATTTAAATTCGTTTTTATTCTATAAATGCAGTTTATTAAATTTTATTAGTGATTGATTTAATTATATGGCGCCACTCTACCACCCGGCTGTTGATGTGGTGACTTCATCTCATAAAAAATCGTGAGACATCGTGAGGTGTTGAAATTGAGTGATTTAAATTTTAATAATATGTGTTGAATATAGGCATAGGATTCAAGTAAAATAGGCGTTTTGAGACGTGCGGCTAAACCTGAAAGTTTCTAGTTCTAGGTCTAGTGTTAGTTCTAGTTTTAGTTCAATGACAAATATACAACAAAATATTTTTAAATAAGGTTAACTTTATAAATAAAACAAGAAACAATTTGAATTCTATCTCAATTTTATTTAATTAGTTCTTTCACAACTAGAAAAAAACGTATAAACTAAAAAAACTAATCACATTTCATTTACAAGAGAAAACGAAAAATCCAAATTGTCCAATAAATCGTATAAATAAAAATACGAAATTGCACAAAAGAGATCTAACACATCAAATATCAATTACACATTATGGCAAAAAAAAATGAAAACAGAACACACATATCTTATAAATCGGACCATTTTTTTTGTTAAATTCTCATATAATTTTAAGAGTGATCACCGGAACCGTTTTCTTTCGGTGCCGCCGATCGGCTTCTCGACCTGGACGCGCTGTTTCTGTCCGCGCTCCTAGATCGGCTTCGCTTTCCCGAACCCGATCTCGACCTAGAACGATTGCGAGAGCGGCTCCTCGATCTGGACGCGCTTCTTGATCGGCTTCGACGATCCCTCGAACGGCTTCTCGATCTGGACCTAGACCTGGCGACAAAAAGATCACCCCAAATAACAAAAAAAGCGGACACCCAATCAAACAACACACGACGTCGTTCTCGACGGCGGCGGCGACATTGTTGCACTTTGTTGTTGAAACTCGATGACGAAAACATGAGAAAAACCAATTAATTCGACCCTCCAATTCTAACATCTATTTGTTTTTGCCCCAAGAAGTCGATCTCGATGATTTTCATTTTAATTACTGAACATTTAACATTTATTTAAGTCAAATTGCATTATATAACCAAAAATTAAACATTCAGTCATTAAAACCACTCGATAATGATCTTGTAGATTGTCTCGGAGATTTTCTGCATTGTTTTAGGTTAATGATATTAGTAATTTTGTTTTTAATTATTATAATAAATAAATTGCATTTCTATTTTGATTTAAAAATGAGCAATGAGGGGTGTTTTTGATTCATTTTAAATCATAACAAGTTGTTGTTAATATTTCCTAGAGATGATTTCTGATAGAAAGACCCAAACCAACCCTATCAAAAACCTAGCCACAGTTAATGAAAGATATTAATTTTTATTTTTGAAATATTAACAATAACTCAATGTTTTTATTTTGAATAAAAATGAAACAAATTAAAATATGGGTTGATTCAGATAATCAAGGCGCTTTAAGGAACTTGATTAAATTAGTTTGCTTCTTGACGCACTGTTATCAAGATCCCCAAGAAATGAGTTGATTATCCGAGTCACAGGGATAATTCAAAAAATAATTCAATTTTCTTAAATTTAAATAAAACAACGATAAGATATTGGTTGGAAAATGAATTGAATTGTTTCTTGAGATTATAATGTTTGTACAAATTAGTAAAAAAGAATCCCCCTTTTTTAATAATACGCATAGTAATAAAAAAAATAGTAGTAGTAAATAGTTTAGAGAGTTTACGTATTCTATAAAAAAGTTACTTTTTTTACCGTTCGTTGTCGGTCTGTCACAGAGAGCAAACGTTGTGTGCTAGAAGCATCCCGAGACCGCGACGATCGTGGTTCTCTAGTAGATTACTAAGAAGAAGTCAAGAAGTACGGACTGACGTATAGCAGAGCGAGACTGGCCGAAAACGGTTTTGCAAATTTCAATTGGTTATGACGCGGGCTGCCGAGGTCTGCATGGGGCGATGCCGTTGGCTTGCTTCTTATTCTTATTTTCTCTCTCCCTTACGACACTTTTTTTTGGAAAATTTTTTTTGTAAACCCAAGCCCTATTTTTTGTGTGTGTTTGTACGCCGCCGGGAGAGGTGCCGAGACGTGTGGCGGTAGCAGCCGAGGAGTGTCTCCGGGGACGATAACGCACGCACTAGCAGAGCTGTACTACGTAGTAGAAGATGTAGGTACGAGAGACTCTTAGAGGTCACCCCAAACTCATATTCACACCGTGTGTTACCTGACTACCGCCCACAGACTATACCTATAACATGGCATCACCTTAAGCCAAACTCTATCATAATCAACAATTTCTTTTTTTATCAAGAATTATTTTATCGTAATTAAACGTATATTATAAAAATGATTTACACCTGTATACCGATCAGTGCCATTTCAACACAGGTTATGATACCAACATGATTAGTAACGTTTTATTTATATACATATATTACAGGAAAAGTCGATTGTTAGCAAGAGTTGACTGCCTAGGTAAAGTCAACTCTTACTAAAAGTACCAGTAACAGTTGATTGAAAATAAACAGATCAAATTTTCCGCGCACATATCCACTGGACATGGAGGAAGAGAAAATTTCAAAATGTAACTACAGGATTTTACACTACTAAAGGATTTTATCAAATTGGAACAAGAAATGGAGTTCTAAAGCAGCTTTTCTCAAGGTAATTTTTCCAAGCTAAAATAAAAGATCTCTCTCCCTGCCCATAGTATTACATTGTTAGTAAATGTCCTACAAATATTATCCAAGAAAATGAAGTCCCTATGGATAGAACAATAGCTGTGAGGACTGTTGCAACTTCACAATCACTTGGAAGTGGACAAGGATTTTTTAAATGCCTTTGCAACACTAAATGCAAATCCATGAAGTGCATGTGTAAGAAGAAAGGTGTGCTTTGCAACTCAAAGAACTCCTGCTGTAATAAATGATAAGCATTTCTATCTGTATGTATTATAAAGGTTTTGAATTTTTATTAGTTTTTTATAAACATTTTTATCTCTTTATGTATTAATAAAGGTTTTGTCTTTTTATGTGCTTTTGTTTAGCTAGTAGACCCTTTCCTTGTAAAAAGTCAACTTTTACTACCTAATAAATACTAATAAATGTTGATCAAAATTCAACACTTTTAGCTTTTAATCAACTTTTACTGAAAAGACCAGTAAGAGTCGTCTTTACCTAGGTACAGTCTACTTCTACTGCAGAATCGACTTTCCCTGTAAGATATCCATCTAAACAAACTAATAATTCATTACAGTTCAAAAGGCACTGATACGCAACAATAATAAATAATAAAAAAAGAATTTCACAAAAAAAAATCAAAGCATACCTGCGTCGTCCTCGTCTATATCTATTACAATCTCTTGCGTAATGCCCACGATCCCCACATTCATAGCAACGATCATCCGGGTGAAAAGGACGTCCCCTCGATCTCGGAGGAGGCCCACGGTAACGTCCACCACCACCAGTTTTTCCATTAGACATCTCAACTCGTGCTCGTCTACCACAAATCGTTCTACCGTCTACATTAATAATCAAAAAAACACTCAAAATTATTATTTGACATACAATTTTTTTAGGTAACATTGTCAAAACAAAAAATTGACATAAAAATTTTCAGGTTATATTGTCAAAACGAAAAAAAACTGAATTTTTGAGGTTATAATTACCTAACAATAACCTATAATAAAATGAATAATGAAAATTACCTAAACCTCTAATAGCGTCTTCGGCATCTCTCGGATCTTCGAATTCAACGAAAGCAAATCCCGGTGGGTTACGAGCCACCCAAACGTTACGGAGTGGACCGTAGTACCCAAAAGCATCCTCCAATTCTTGTTTGGAAGCGTTATTGCCGAGATCGCCGACGTAAACTTTACAATCTGAACTATACCGCGACATTTTCATGCTATAAACATAAATAATATATTAAAATAGAAAAGGTAAATTATCGATCGTATTTCTATGATGCGCACCCCCTACTCAATCGTATTATTAATTAATTGAATTAATTACCTGTAAGAACGGCCACCACGGATGGTTATTTATTCCGTTTTCATTAAGAAACGTGATTGTAAACGCATCGAAATCTGTAAGGATTTGTTTACGGATTTTCGAGTGATAAATGCCGCTTAAGTTGTCAAATATGGCGAATCGATCGGGGTTTGTTTTGAATCTCGGCCAATTGGGACGCGTATTTTTGTTTGAACCGTGCCAACCAATGGAAGATTGGGGATCTTTATAATGCAACGCGCGAAATTTAAAACTTGGCGGGAATTAATAAATATTAAAAAAGGATTATTATCAAAACGGATTTCTTTTAACAAAAGGAATTTATGATGAATACCATTCAGCGTATGCTATTTGTTCATAGCTATTTATTTAGTTTACGACACGAAGTAGGTAAGTGTTTTTAATAAATCTATTAAACAATTTTGACATTTAAACATTGACATTGACGTTTAAATCGCACTAAAATCATGAAATTTAAATATTTCTTATCTATAAATGTGAAAAACTGCAAAGTAACTCAAGTATTTTCTATATATGGAACAAAATAACAAATAAAAGGATGACCTCAATAATTTCGAGGTTATCTCTTTCACTAATTAAAATAAAATTAAATTGTTACGAGCTTCGTTTAGTGGAAAGATAAAACCGTTTAATATCGCTTTTTTTCTTGATTCTATTTTACAGAACAAATGGAATTTATGGGGACCTCAGCGGAAAAAAGAGACTTATTCACTCCGAGTTTAAAAGATGTTGCAACCGGTATGATTTTAATCAATTCTTAATTATTTTCAATTATTTTATATTCTATTTAGAATTAAATAATCGTTTAACATTATACTTCAAGACGGTTGATGTTGATGTGGTGGAATGTCCTGATTTACATCAACCACCTTATTGTTTTGCGGCACGAGGTAAAATTCATAACATTTATTAATCATAATTTTATTTAGTTATGGTTTTAAGGATTATGCGGACAGCCTATGTTGGTTGAAGTTGGTGGCCCAACATATCTAATACCGAAAGTAGATAGAAGTAAAGTGTATGATTTCTGTGACATTCAGCGTGTGTTGAATATAAACCCTTGTTATTTTATGGGAGCGGGTGCTGGTCCGTTTCCATACACAGAAGTTAACTGCGAGGTAGAATTAGAATTAATTTGTATTATTAATCATTTGTAAACATAATTTTAGGGTATTTACAATGTAATGATTGATGGTAGTGTCGTAAAACAACGAAGTAAAATTTCCAAGATTAATGTAAATAATGGAACCTCAGAACAACAAGATTTACCTAATACCGAAACGAGGTTTGCGTTGTTGGCCAATCTATTTGTTTCTCAAGGTCTCCCTGGAGAAGTACTTTTTATTTCAATTTTGTTATACATCAAATTTTGCACTCAATTTTCGTTTATAGGTTTTAAAAATTCATGTGAAAGAACGCATAGGTTGTCACGATTTCATTGCTAGCATAAGAAATTGCTTGAAAGATGCTTATTCCACTGCAGTAGTTGGTGAAGACAAAATTAATTAATTAATATAATTAAATAAATAAACAATTTTAGGTTTGGGAGGTGTTTTTCTAATGAAATCGGGTACATTTCGACAACATGTTATGCCAGATTTTGCAACAGATGAGATAAAATCGGAAGAACAATTAAATGGTTGGTTACGTTTTTACAACATGTCTGCACCACTAGTTGCAGTGGGCACTCTTGTAACGGGCGATATGGTAACTAAACTCTAACAAATTTCATTTTGATAAACATTTTTATATTTCACTTAGGATTTGGATTTACGATTACAACATTTTCATAGTTCAAGCGATCATAATGAAGCTGGACATTATCACAATGATATTACACCGGAAACGGTTGAGTATTTAGCTTATTTTAATATCGCTAATTCAGTGGTAAGAATTGATAAACCCAAAGATTCTCATGATATGGGAAGAGACTAATCCAGAACTGCACAGAATGAGTATCAAAAATTACCTAAATTTTGATTCTTATTGATTGTATAAATATAATCTATTTTTTTAGTAAGCTTAACATTATATTCTTGGTGATGGATAACCAAAAATTATTTGTTTTTTAAATAAATCATTAAAAGAGCATCTTTTTTGTCATTGTTTGAGTATAGGCAACCCAATTGGCACACCTGTTATTTACATAGTCTAACTTTAAATCACGTGTCATTTTCTGTCACTATTCTAATAAATACTAATATTCTTAATGTTGTGTATACAAAATAGGAAAATACAAACCTCTCTGAAGCGCAGGGATTGTTGAACTAAAAGTAGAACGAATACTAGAACTAGAAACATTCGGGTTTAGCCATATGAATGTTTCTAGTTGTTAGTTTTAGTGCTAGTATTAGTTCTAATTTTAATTGTTATTCAGCACTAGACTGTTGTACATTTTTATTGAACTATGTTTTTAGAGCTAGGTTTAATGTTAGTTTTAGTGGCAGTGCTAGTTCGCACTAGATATATCTATATTGTATATTTTTATTGAACTAAAACTAACACAAAACCTAAAACTAGAATTCGCTCATTCATTAGCCGTCTTGAGAGACGTGCGGCTAAATCCGAATGTTTCTAGTTCTAGGTCCAGTGTCTTAGAACAGTTTTAGTTGATATTCAGCTCTAGACTGTACATTTTTATTGAACTAACACTAGAACTAGAAGCATTCTGGTTTAGACATCTTAAGAGACGCACAGCTAAACCCAAATGTCCTTGATAAAATCATTTTCACAATAAAAATATATATATGTATAATTTTATTTATAAATAATTCAAATAAATAACGTTTTTCCATTAAATTTATCCCCTTAAACCTGTTCGATTTAATCCAAATCGACTGAACCAAGATCTTTCCTTTTCCTGTGACGTTTTTGCTTTCTCGGTGGTAAAATTACTTTAAGGGTGCACATGTTTTGGTACCACTGTCTCCAAGCATCAAAATGCCTCTGTAGCATCACAACCAACCAAGACGAGTACGTAAAATCGATTGTGGCCATTCCTAACCACTTTATTTCATCAAACTTGATAATAAATATTGGTTAGACTTACCAAAAACCGCTGAAAAAGCCAAAAAATGCGGCGTAAAACTCCTTGATACCTGTAAATTATTTCTTGCTGCGATTGTATCACACAGAACCATTAATAAATATGTCGAAGCAATTGCTGTTGGAGTGTAAATTGCAAATCCGAGTATATCTAGTAACAATTCTTTTAATCGCTCACCAGGATGTGTCAAAAAAACAATTATCGACCATGGTATGCTGTACCTGAAAATAATAAATTCGTTTTTTTAAGTAAAAATATAAAAAAAAATTCCATTACTTTACTAACGTTGGTTCTCTAACAATCTCGTATCGATGCTGACACAATTCGCAACGGCTATAATTTGATTGTTTAAGCCACTCTTCCAAGCATTCCAAATGAGCTAAAGCAATTGACCCTCGACATCTACATGGCGATATTAGACGACCAACACTTTCGCCACCGTGACAAATCCGACAGAAATTAACCCAACCAGAACTTGTTATTGTTAAAGTGCTATCCATAATTGATAAATAAATACTATTGCCTCGATATTTTATTTTATCTTCATGTGCTGTTGTTTTCGCTGATAATAGTGGTCTTGTATAGATGTAACAAGGAAGTAAACGTCTTTTTAATAAAGATTGACAATTAATACTGCTTCCAGTTGGTTTTAAAACTGAAAAGAAAAATTTAATATAACAAAAATATTATTCTAATCTTGGATGCTATCCAAAGAATGTTTTTATTCTGTTTCTTTCTAACATATTCTAAAAATAACCAAATTTTTACCTATCGACTCATCAATCGAACTTTGAGATTCACTAAGAAACTCCTGGTTACAAAAATAAGCAATATCTCTTGTAACGATAAATGAATTCGCGGTGGAAATAGATAAGTCACTTGAATATGACCTAGCGTCTTTAAAACTATGTGATTTTTTCAACGCTTGATCTTCTAAAAATGCCAAATCGTTTAGAGAAAAAGCAGATGTGGTCGAATTCCAATCGAGAATATCCTCCAAATGGATTGCATTTATATCAAGGAGACTTGCAGTGGATTCCGTTAATATGATAGACACGACGATGTCTCGAGCGGGAATTACCGCGTCGTTTGGCCGTGTTATACTTGCGAGGGCATTGGTGGCGCTCATAATAGCCCTTCGTCCGGTCGCATTGAGTAGATGAGGTCCGGTGACCAGATCCGCGCCGCCCCTTTCCGTTCTATTTTGCGTTGTAGTCGTACTTCACACTAAAATTTTGAATGACTGGCGGCTGCGTGCTGTCACATTTGTTGTTTGAGGTTAAGTTTATCTGCCGATAAGAAATAATTCGCAAAAATGTATAAAAAAAGTAAAATTGCTATAATATTACCTTAAATATCTTCAGGAATTTGGTAATTTTTGTATTTTATATGAATCATTTTTGAAATTTCAATTTAACTTGTCATTTTTGTTTGATATAAAAAAAATTAAAAATTCTAGGGAAGTTAAACAAACTTGGTCTGTATGTTGGTAATAAAATAATAACCTCAAACCTCAATTTATTTTTCAACAATCCCAAAGATTCAACTTTCATGATGAATTTACCCATAATAAGATCAGTTTTAAGTAATAATGATAAAAAATGATTTAATTTAATCTTACATTACTTCTTTTTTAGCAAGATTAAGACCTACAACTCAAATAAATGCTAGTTTTTATTGCACTACTAGCGATGTTCCAAAATTTGATATGGAAAATCCTTTTAGAAAAGACAATCTTCAATGCGTTTTATGTAAATATAAGATAACCGCAGATTATAAAAACGTGAAATTGCTTTCTCAATTTCAATCACCTTATACAGGAAGAATTTATGGAAGACATATAACGGGATTATGTAGCAAACAACAAGAAAAGGTGGAGAAAGAGATTATTAAAGCTCAAAGTGCTGGGTTAATGGGTACATATTTAAAGGATCCAGTTTTCTTAAAGGATCCCAAACTGTTTAATCCAGATCGTCCAATAAGACCACATGAATTCAAATAAATTATAGTTTATTCTTTAATTATAATAAAAAAAAGTATTTAGCAAATAAAAATATTTTCTTTTGATTAATAAACGTGTACCATTCCGTACAAAAAGGTCCAACACAAAATGTAGGTGAATAATTGTCCAAAAAATCCATTTGTCAATAAAGATCTCCTGGACACAAAATAATTATTAAACGAAGATCCAGCTTTGATTAAAATCATCATCCAAAGCAAAACTACGGTAATTAAATAAAATATTGCACCTGTTAACCCAGTTAAACCCAATAACCCGGCAGTACAACCTGATAATGCGGCCATGGATGTTCTGCAATATTCTACAATTGAAGAATTATTTCGTAGCGCTTGTTCACTATAAGCTATTCCATTTCCGGCTATACGATCTCTAGTTAATTTTGCAGACATTTTTTTTAGTGTTATAGAATTATGAAATTCAATAAATTGATTGTATATTTGGTTAGAAAATGATATGACAATTTTAGGGAATTTGACGAATACTTATAAACTCAAATGTCACCAAAATATAACTAATGTAAGTGATTTGTCTATCTATCTATTTCATTTATTTTGCTAACTTAAAGTGTGTTAATCCCAATTAATTAACTTGGGATTGTTAAATGTAATCATTGGATAAGAATTAATTTTGGAATAAGTTTTTAATCAAAACAAACTAAGTACTTTTCTTGTTTAATCATAGATGGCACTAAAAAATCTTTAAAATTAAATTCAATATTTGATTTAAAATATTTATGAAACTATTTAATGAGAAATTAAATGAATTTTACAATACTTTTTAATTATTAAGCTGCAATAATAATTTAATAAAAAGAATATCAAAATTACTATTTTAAGTTATTCCGATTTTTACCACTAGATGGAGACTCAAAACCTCTCGTGTTGTTTGGGTTATTGTCCACAAATAGATTAAAATTTGATGAAACTGATTTAATTACTACTTTATAAATATCGTAAGTTTGTTTTTGCATGAAACAAGTCAATTTTCATTTTATACACAGCTTAATTTTTTAAAATATCTTTCAACGGCATCTTATTTTAACATAACCTCACTTTTTGTTAGAGTTGTCAATGGACCCACAAAACATGATATTAGGTGGACCTCCACCACCAGAAGGTTTGATGCCGCAACAAATATTTGTTCCAACAGGTAATAACCATATTTTAAGGTAACTTGAAGTTGTTAATTATTTTTATTTTTCAGATCAAATGGGTGGTCTTTCAAAAGAACTTCCATCTCTGCTTTCTTTAAAAGTAGATCCCCCAGATCAAGTGGTTGATGGAAATCCTTCAGAAGTTGTTTTACCTCAAGCTCTTGAGGATGTATTAGCTTTAAAAAATCAACGCGCTTTGGAATTAGGAACCGAGGAAAATGCTGAAGAAAGAAATCTCGTTAAAGAAACGGGGAATGTTTGGGAGGCTGATAATGTAAGTAATAATAATAAAATTAAGATAAGTAATAATTTTGACTTTATTATAGGAAAATGAACCTCAATCCGAAAAAGTTGATATTGGTGGTGATAAAAAGAAGGAAAATAACACAAAAATTAGTAAAAATAAAAAGAAAAAAAAGAGAAGGAAAAATAAGAAAATGGAGCAAATGGAAATGGTGGAAAAAGAGAACGAAGAAAAAACTAATGAGGAAGAGAATACCGATGATATCGAAGTGGAGTAAATATTTTTAACAAAATAAATTTGAAATATTAATTTATTATTTTTAGTTATATACAAGAAAGTTTAAGTCTCCATGAAATGGCCCCTCAATATCGTCAATTTTACCACATTTTAGAAGCGTTTAAAATTTCTGATCCATCTCCAAACATTCCTCCTCCAATGTTAGCAATGCCAACAGCATTATCATCAAAATCTGCAATCGCAACACTCGGAGATCAATTCAATGATGATAATGAAGAAGGTGACGACAAAAAAATCGAGGATAAAAGTAAAATGTCAAAACGAAAATTGAAAAAATTAACGCGTTTAAGTGTAGCGGAATTAAAACAACTCGTAAACAGACCTGATGTTGTCGAAATGCATGATGTTACAGCGCGAGATCCCCGACTTTTAGTACAATTAAAAGCGCATAGAAATACCGTTCAAGTTCCAAGACATTGGTGCTTTAAACGGAAGTATTTACAAGGAAAACGTGGTATTGAAAAACCACCATTTAATCTTCCCGATTTTATTAAAAGAACCGGTATTATGGAAATGAGGGCCTCACTTCAAGATAAAGATGAATCGAAAACGTTAAAAGCAAAAATGAGGGAACGCGCCCGTCCGAAATTAGGAAAAATTGATATCGATTATCAAAAATTACACGATGCTTTTTTCAAGTAATTATAAATTGAAATTCTTTGAATATGATTTAACAAAATGATTAATTTTTAGGTGGCAAACGAAACCAAAAATGACAATTCACGGGGATTTATATTACGAGGGGAAAGAATTTGAGACGCGTTTAAAAGAGAAAAAACCAGGTGATTTGTCAGAAGAATTAAGAACCGCTCTTGGAATGCCCGTTGGTCCAAATGCAAATAAAGTACCCCCACCGTGGTTAATTGCTATGCAACGTTATGGACCTCCACCAAGTTATCCTAATTTGAAAATACCCGGCTTAAACGCCCCAATACCGGAGGGATGTTCCTTTGGGTATCACGCCGGAGGTTGGGGAAAACCACCCGTTGATGAAAATGGAAAACCTCTTTATGGAGATGTTTTTGGAACGAATATTATTAATACAGATGTAAGTAAAGATATCTTTATTCCATTTACAATATAGCTATAATTAATTAATAATTTTTGTAGGATATTGCTGAAGATGCAACTGTTGACCGTACATTATGGGGTGAATTGGAATCAGAATCTGAGGAAGAAAGTGAAGAAGAGGAGGAAGAAGAAGATAAAGAAAAGCAGCCGATTGATGAAACGGGTCTTGTGACTCCTGCAGAAGGTCTTGTTACTCCAAGTGGTCTCACTAGCATTCCAGCAGGAATGGAAACTCCCGAAACTATTGAGTTGAGAAAGAAAAAGATTGAAGCTGAAATGGAAGGGTAACACAAAATCTTTTTGTTTAAATACAAAATTTTAATAATTTTTTTGTAGTGGTGAAACCCCCGCATTATATCATGTGATCCCCGAAAAACGTAACGAACGTATTGGAACTGCAATGATGGCCAGTGCTCACGTTTATGATATGACGGGTGTGGGAGCACCGCCACCAGCTGTTATAGCTGCTAGAAGAGGTGTTACACAACCAGTTCCTGAAAAAGAAGGAATGGTTGAATTGGCTTTGGATCCATCTGAATTGGATATGGATAGCGACGCGATGGCCGTCCGTTATGAACAGCAGATGCGTGAGAATCAATCGCAATTGCAGAAGGAAGATTTGAGTGATATGTTAGCGGAACATGTTGCTAAACAGAAAAATAAAAGGAAGAGGCAACAAAATATGGAGACAAAGCAACAGAAAAAATATAAGGAATTTAAATTTTAAACAAAAATTAATTTGTATGGTGTTTATTATTAATATTAGAAAAAATAAGGTTTTGTTTAGATTAAGGTTCTTTTAACAATAAATTTGGTAATCTTATTTAGATTATTTCTTAATCAAAATTTTCAAAATAAGATAAGAATACAAATATTTTGGCATTAGAATATTATGTAACTTATAGTTTATAAAATAAAGACCATGATTATCATCAATACAGTGAATTTCACTTAAGATGCAACATACAAAAGTATATTTCCATAGAAACCAGGGCATACCTACTTACTTTGTCCCACATAAAATGCAACATGTTAATATAATTTGGCATTACAGTAAAACTTCTATATAACAGATCAATATGGGGAACGCAGTGTCCATTATAGCTCAATAAAAATATACAATCTACGCAAAGTTGCCGGTACCGTAAAAAATCGGGTACTTTTTTCATTTAACTCGCAATAACAGGAAAACCATGGAACCCAAAATTTTCATTTTCAAATTAACATATGTTACATAGAAATGTTCAGTGATTACAACAAACTTTGTCGCAATTTTTTTTATCAACCTCAATTACCAACATTAAAAGTAGCATCGAATAGTTTTCTTTTCGTCTTTTTCTTATTGATAGATTAAGACTTTAATTGATACGATGTTTATATTATAATTAATGTTAATCCTATATCATTTACATAATTTGAATCTTTGTTTAGATGTATTTAATTATTATTCTTTAATCACTTTTTAAAACGTTACGGAATGAATGGAATGTAGGGTTGTGCAAACATCAATTACATAATTTTACAAGAGAATTTTTATTTTTCTTTATGAATGAAAACGTATTTCACTAAAATTAACCTATTAATCAAAAATATCACGCGTAATTCACATTTAAATAAATTTACTCACTCTAACAAGATTTAAATTTCTCCTCATACATATTTTGCCTATCCCTGAAGCGTCATTCAACAGGTGTGATTATAGTCACTGAGACGCTGTTTGTTTACAAACAGTTTAAAAACTCTTTAAAATCACTTATACATTCAAATTACCCGTTTTACGCCACTTTGTCTTATAAATAAAGCATCGGTAGTTTGTTTATGTGTTTAGTTTTGGTTCATTCTTAATCTAATCAGCGATTAAGATAAACCGAAAAGCCCCACCTGTTTTGTGCAACACACAAGATACAAAAAATTGTCCCACTTAATAAAAAAATTAGAAATATGGATAACCAACGAGGAACTGAAAAGAAATTAAGCATTGCGTACTCTCTTTGTATAGCTTGTGGGATAATTGCTGCAATTTGTGTGGGAGTTCCTTATGGGCATTGGAAAGGGACTTTAGATGTATGTGGAACATTACCGTCCAGACAAAATTGTAGTTGTATATTGTACGGGAGAAATACATTCAATTATATTGCAGGTAATTTTATATAAATCGCTTTTTAATTAAATAAAATCTTTGAATTACTTTTTAGGTGGAAGTAATCACATTTGTAACTTTGTTACATTTGGTCCGTTAGCTTATGTTATATTTTCGCTTTTATTGGCTTGTTTCCATGGATTTCGAGTAATGTTTGGATCAACAAATTCACAAAGAACAATAACAACAAAAAACGAATTAGGCGAAATGGTTATTCTTCAAACAGTAGATTCGGAAACAACTAGCCCATTAACACGGAGCTTTTGGATAACAAAATCAATAATATCAGTTGTGTTAACCATCTATGCTTTGGTGTTATTTGCAATGTTTATGGATGGATTTTTACATACTTGTAATGAATATCGGAAAAGATTGGAAAAAATTTTGGGTATACATGGAACGGTTATCCCAGTAATTCATAATAGACTTGATTGTAATGCAATTTTTGATTTTATGGATTATATTGAACCAGATACTGCAATTGCTAGGAGAGATGGGACGATAAATACAGCAGCCTCTTTAATTACAGGTTTAATTGCATCTTGTTTGTCTTGGGTTTTATTCTTTTTCTCTTCAATTTGGAATATTAATCAAGCTAGAAATAAAGTTTAAATATAAGTTTATTTTATTTGCTAAAAGATGGTGTAATTTTTAATTTTATACGGTGAATTTCACTTAAAATGTAATATACAAAAATATATTTCCATAGAAACTAGGGCGTATCTACTTACTTTGTCTCATATAAAAATAAATGCAACATGTCTGAATGTTTCTAGTTTTAGGTCTAATGTTAGTTCTAGTGACAGGTGTTGGTAGCGCTAGTTAACATAAAATTCATTAACCATATTCATTGAACCAAATCTAGAACTAACAATAGACCTGGAACTACTAAACCTGAATGGTTCAGGTTTAGCCATCTTAAGAGGCGAATGGCTCTTACCTGAAATGGTTTAATGATAGTGACAGTGCTAGGTAGCGCTTGGGACGGAAACTCAGAGTTGTCATAAGGACGATAAGAACGTCACCTTTTCCAAGCAAAACTTTTCCTTTCCAAAACTACCCAATGCCTGTACTAATTTAAGCTATGTTGCATTTATGTGGGACAGTGCAAGTGCATATTAGTTTTGTAACTATGGTTACTGCATTCATATATTGCGAGTTATATGATATTCGCGGTATACAAAAAGTCCGTCCATAAGAAAAGGATGAATAAAAAAAATTCAAATATATTCAAATGTATTTTATCTTGTTTTTTTATTGAGTAGTACTTATTTGCAATTGGCACAAACAAAAAAAAATGTTTTAAACAAAAAAATAAAAGGCGAAAATCATAAAGTAATGTACATGTTTATTTGCTGCGGTGAATTAATTTCAGCAAACAAAAAATTATAGAGATATTGACAAAAAGGTTATATTGTTTATAGTAATCAATGTACGGTAGGAAAAAACGATGTGTTAAGTAAAGGATTATTTACAATGGCACTAAGTCTAAAAGTACATAAAAAAATGAAATGATTCGGGAAAAACTCAGCATCACCTTGAACTACACTTTGAACTCTGGTAAAAATCTTAAATCTATGAAAAAACATCGTTTTCTTTCTATCATTTAAGAAAAAAAATGTGAACGAAAATTAAATTGTAAGTCATCAAATAAATTAAACAATCAAAACTCACTTTACATTGTCCTTGAAAACTAATTAAATTTATCAATTTTTTCTCATCTACATATATAAAAAAATTATGTAACAATAAAAATGCCTCAAATATTCACATAGTTAATTCATTAATAATTATAGTAAATATTTTCTTATATACAAGCTCGTGTTTTAAATGTTCAATCTTCAGCTGCTTTCCTTCCACTAAATATAAAAATAGTGAAAGAGAAAAATCGTTAACGCCAAAGCGTACAAAATGAGATCGTACAAAAACACCAACTAGTAGGACATAAAAATTAAGCTAAAAATAAAAAAACTCGAAATCAGCTGAAAATCGAACGTTTTCTATTTCCTATTTATTTATTTCCATCCGGATCTTTTTTATTTAAATTAATATCTCCAATTCAATTTTTCTGATTACATTTCCTTTTCCTTCTTTTTTACGGGTTTTTATTTTCAAATTTGTGGTCCAAATTAAAAAGACTTTTAAAGCTAAAACATTTTATCGCCGCCGCTGCCGCCGCCGCCGAATCCGCGCATCGCTCGGCCGACTTTTTTCTTCTTAAATATAAAACTAATTATTCTCATACAATTTTTCTCTTAAAAATTTGATTTTATTTACGAAGTAAGCCTCTAACGATTCTGCACATTTGAAAAACTGCGACTCCTTAGGGTTGTAGTAACGGCAATTATCGAAGATCTTCGTCATATCACCTATATACTCACTTAGTTTCTTGTACGTATGATTATTTATTTTATCTTCAATTTTTTGTAAATCTAAAATCGTATTTTTTTATTAATCTATATCATTCATTTATTAATTTTTATTTTTACCCATTGGTTCTTTGATAACTTTATAATAATCAGGTGCTTCCGCTGGATCTACTGGCTCCATAAACGGCCATGCACTTTTATGGGCCTAAAAAATTAATAATAAATAAAAAAAACCATGGATATGGGTGGCTGGAAATAACGTTTCCCTATTTTTAGGGTAGATTAAAAAAGAAAATAAGAGCACCATCTATTAAATTTTTTTGTAATATTTTGTTTTATAAGCGCCACCTTTTTGAGCTTTTTATCATTAAAACTTAATTTTTCTAATTAAAAAGAATCTAACCTATAGGTTACGATATTTCCAGATACCTAAAATTTATTAACCTGAATTTGTTTGATCAATTTCCTTAAACCTTCAAAGTCCTTATTTGTTAAATCCTTCATGTTTGCATAGTTCACGGAAGAATTTCTCTGACAATTTGGACAGATGTATTCGTCGATATTATCCGCTTCCGATTGGAGAATACCGACGCACCTTCCGTGGAACCAATCCTGACAGCGATCACAACAAATATAGAACCTACAACGCAAAATAAAACAATTATCATTTATTAAATTTGATGATTTATTAAAAAAGGAAAATATAATAATTTAATACCCGTCGTTATTATTAACTTTAACATTTAATTGTAAAAAAATTAACTTACTGAGATTCATCATAAGGTTGTCGACACAAACAAAATAGTTCCTGAGTATCTCTGGCGTGTTGACATTCCACACAAATATATTCCTTCAATTTTTTGCTTTGCGACGGATTGACGCCGACGCACGACCCATGGAACCAATTATTACAGAGATCGCACGCTATATAATACTTAGAAGAATCATATGGCGTGCGACAAACGCAATGGAGTTTTTCTTTTTTCCCGCGAGACTGCGGCGGTGACGTCGCAGCCTTTTGAGCACCGCCACTACCTCCTTTCTTATTCTTCGCGCTTCCACCACTACTTCGACTATTCGGCGATGTAAATGGGGTATTCGGTTGTTGTACTGTCGCCGATTTTCGTTTACTACTACCGGCGGAAGTGCGTACTTCTTCTTGTTTGGAACGTTCTAGTTTTGTACGAGCTGCAAGTTCTTCGTTGACTTCTTTCTATTAATTTAATTGAAATAAAAAGAAATTAAAAATGATTTTCTATAATATAGTAAAACCCCAATAAAAATGATTTCTAAAACTAAATGTAAATCTACCACAAGAATTAGAAACATTTGGGTTTAGCCATACATCTCTTAAAACGGCTAAATCCGAATGTTTCTAGATCTAATTGCAGCACTATTTCTAGGTTTAGATTTAGTTCTAGTTTTACTTGTTATTCAGTGCTAGATTGTTGTATATTTTTATTGAACTAAAAGTAGAAGTAACACTACACCTAGAACTAGAGACATTCAAATTTAGCCGTCTTAAAAAACGTACAGCTAAACCCTAATGTTTCTAGTTCTACATCCAGCGTTAGTTCTAGTGCTAGTGTTGTATGAACTAAAAGTAGAACTAACTAATAAACAACGCAACAATACCATAACAATATTAATCCGTTATATCATAGTTTTACTGCATTAATAATATTTCAATTACCTGAATTTCAAGTAATAATTCCTTTTCTAATTGTCCTCTTTTTCTTAAAATTTCCTTTTTTAACAGTTCGGTATGTTTAAATGCTGTTACACTTAAGCTGTTTTTGGACGAAGATTTCTTCTCCTCTTGTGGCGTTTCTTTGAGTTTAACTCTTGCTCTCGGTGATTGCACAAGTTTCTCTTTTAATGTGTCCGTACTATAAAATCATTTCCAATAAGTAACTTTAGTTTTTTTTTTACTTTTCTAAATTGATTTTATTTTAAAATATAATATCAGTCTTTTAAAACAAACGTATTATTTTAACTTTAATGTTTTTTTTTAAATAATTCTTCAATGCACAAAATTTACAAAAATAAAAATAAACAAACAGGAAAAGACAAGAAGATCGAATTCAAGCAAACAAACGATTAATAAACTCGGATAGCACAAACAATCAAAATGGTCTTAACTAGAAAAATTAATAAAGGAATTAAGTTAATAATAATGGTGGTCTGTTGTGTTTTATTTTTGTTATAAAAGTGAAGTGTGGACTCTGAAAGAAGAAAACAAACATGAATTGGCAACAAAAAAAAAAAGAAATTTTAGGATATTTTATGGAAATTATTAAAATCAAGAGCTTCTTACAATCCAAACTATACAAAAAGAAATGAAGAAAATAAAGAGTAGTGCTGGAGGAATGAAGAAGAATGTAACAACCCGAAAGATATTGTATAAATTGGAACCAACTAAGCAGAAAAAAACAAGAAAAGAATTATAATTATTATTCAATAATATTGGCGCACATAAAGTTAGGTGTAGATTTTAAAACAAAACAATTATTATTAATCTCACTATTTCATTTTTAAATCTACGGCTATCTCTCGCATGCGCATTTTGTGCACTATTTTCTACTCTATTTATTTATTTAGATCAACCATTTTTTTAAAACTTTTTCCTACTTACTGAACATCATCTTTTTTAACATCATTATTTCGATTGGGTCTACTTCTCTTGGGCGTCTCCATAACCCAATCTTCGTCATCGTTTTTAGACGCGCTTGGTGGCCGTTTTCTCGAATTCAAATTACCACGATTAAAAGTATTTTGAATCGCAATTCTAGTACTATGAACCGGAACTTCCGGTTCTTGTTTCATTTGCTTTTCCTGATATCGTTGTAATTGTAGGAGTTTCTCTTCGATTTCTGGATTAAGATTTTCTTGCTTTAACGCCGTCTTAATAGCTGATGGGGATGCGAGTTAAAAAAAAAAAAAAAGAGAAAATAGAATAAAATAGACAGTTTTAAAGAAAACAAAAATAAATTAAAAGAGAAATTTTGAGATCAATTTCTTTTTTATTTAGAAATCCAAAGCAAAACGACTCAAAAAATTAAAAAGGGGGGAGAAATAAACAATGAAAAGGGCATTCGAAAGAGACAAAAACTCGTTTGGGTGCGATGAAAAATGGTTTTATTACACAAAAATTTTTGATGTACAATTACAAGTTACCATCATTAAAAATAATTCTTTTTAACTCTCCCTTTCATACTAATGCTTTCACTCTTTTTTATTTATATTTTTGTTTTTAGTCTCTCAATAATACTGACATGATGATGAAAAGAATCATCTCTATAAAATTCCAAGTGATCGTAAATGATTATTGACCCAAATAATTTCTTTTTAAATATATCACTAAGCCTTGTTCAATAAAGTGTAACTATAAAGTGTAAATTTATCGACAACCTTGGTGATTACTTCAGTTTTTTCTTATTTTAAACACTTGGGATATAAAACGGAAACAAATAACGAAACAAATATCACAGCTAAAAACGTCGTTTACACAAGGAAAGAAACGAGAGGTACGAAGGAATATATAGATGGAACGGAAAGACGTAGTGAACGTAAAACGTAACCTAACTACCTATCTTTTTTTCACTATATTCTTGCCCTTTTCACGTTTATTTCTCTTTATTAACCGATTTTTCAGTCAATTTAAGATAAAAAATTTGTCTCAACTTATTGATAATGAGTGGTCGTGTAGTCGTTTTGCATTGAATACGCACAGTTAGGGTTGTAGACAATAACGGAAGGTTGGTATACAAACATACTTTGCTGTATATAGTCCGGCGTCACCACAAATTGTTTGTTTTGATGGTCTTCACCGGACACTGCTGCAATCGCATTCGTTTGCTGTTGTTGGGCTGGTTGTGTAGTAGAAGTCGTCACCGTTTGTTGTTGCTGCTGCTGTTGGTGCGCGTTTTCCATATTCGCTTTCATTGCCTGTAGCAATACTGATGTTTGTTGACCATTTACCAAAACTTGACGAACTGTTGAATCATTATTCTATAAAAAGAAATAATTGAAGGTTGGAATAATATTGATTTTAATAATAATAATGAATAAAGAAAAATTAAGTAATAACAATTACATTTTGTTTTTGTTAGGGTTTCTGTTGGGTCTTTATAAAATTTATATTCAATCTTGACAACTGTTATCAAATTTAAAATAATTTGATAAATACATGTAAAACCTTCATATAACGGGATAAAATGGCGAAAAGTAGAACTAACACTAGACCTAGAACTAGAAACATTCGGATCTAGTGTTCCTTTTAACTCAATAAATATACAACAATTAAATTAGCGCTGAATTACAATTAAAACTAAAACTACCGTCCTTCATTTACACATCCTATAGACAACTTGGGAAATACCTCAAGTTTATCTATAAATATGAAATAGAGCAACTTGACAAGATATTTTTGTCCATTATAGCTGAAGTCCGTTCTAACGAGGTCCGTTATATCGACGTTTTACTGTATTACAAAAAAAAGAGAATTGTAGAGATATAAATTGATTGAGCTCTTACCTGTTGTAAGGAGGCATTTTGAACAACCCCCTGGACAACTTTATTTTGTGTGATGACATTAGTTTGTACCGGCGCCAAAGGTGGTGGTTGATTAGTTTGTTGATCTCCAGAATTTTCATTGCTATTGGGTTGTACGGCCAAATAAATTTTGGTAGGACCCAACACACCTTGTTTTCCTGTCGAAGCTTGCGCTATAATCCAACAATTAACATTATAAAATAAAATTACAAAATTTAAAAAAATACAAATTAATTTAAATTGTTATTGACAAGTCTAGATAATTAATTAATTAATAAGACTTATTCACTACCTTTAAGTAACTGTTGTTTAACTTGATGTTGAACTTGTGCTAATTGAGCCTGATTAAAATCGGCACCTTGAAGACCTTGAAGTACAATTCGAGGACCCTGTTGCGTTTGTATAACCTGAGCGGTAACGCATTTGATTACTGTTCCTGGAGGTTGTCCAGCCAATAAAGTTTCAGTATCCACGTCCGTTGCAGGTTTTTGAATCGCTTCCTGCACGATTTGTTTAATTGGTGATGTCACTTGCGGCTGAGCGGCGATCGCTACTTGTTGTGGTTGAGTAATCGTACTCGGCGTCAATTGAGCCACAATCTGAGCTTGATTGTTTCCCGTCGGCCTTATCAACACTTGTTGACCATTTATTGTCGCCACTTGAACTTTTCCTGAAGCTAATTGTTGCGCTAAATTTTGGTTATTTACCACTATTTGGTTAGTAACCACCTAAATAAATAAGTAATGTATTAAAAAGAAATAAAAATATTCATTGGGTAATAACCTAAGTGATCAAAAGATTCTTTAGATTCATTATACGTTGTTATATTTACCTGTTGTCCTGTTGCACTAGTTATAATTTGATTAGTACTGACAACAACCTGTTGCTGTTGAAACACCGGATTCCCGCTAACAACAACCGTTCCGGGACTGGCTGCAATTTTCTGCACAACTTGCGCTGTAGCTGCAGGTTGTTTAACGATCACTTGTCCTTTGACGGGACTTTGGACGGGCTGTTGTAGAATAGCCTTCACTTGGCTACCTTGTACGACCAATTTGCCTGTGGATGCAGCGGGAGTTGTTGGTTTAATAACTGTTTTGTTAACGACCGCGTTAGCCACGGTTTTCTGCTGCTGTTGAGGTGTTGATATCGCGGCAGGTGCAGTGGTTGCTGTAGGCGTTTGTGGTTGTATCTGCGTGGTTGTTAGCACTTGTAGTTTACCATCAGGCATTTGAACAAGTTGTTGACCTGGCATCAAACCTTTCACAGTTAGACGACCGTCCGGACCGCGCATTATTTGTACGCGTTGGGGCGTTTCTGCCGTCGTTTTTGCCTGTTGTTGAAGTGTTTGTGTTGGTGTGTTAGGTTGAACTGAATATTAAATAATTCTTATTAATTTAAAATAAAATAATTTAATATATATAATATTCATCAAATCGCTAGTTTCGATTACTCGCAACTAACTTTCTTTGAGTAAAATAAATAATTTCAAATACTCACCAGGTTGTTGTAATTGTATTTGTTGAATAGCTTGTCCTGTGGTCGTTTGAACCTTAATCAACGACAGTTGGTTGTTAGGAACGTTTTTGGGTAAAATAGCAGCACCGGCTGTGATTACTCTGGTGGTTCCATCGGGGGCTTTTGTCATAAATATTCTCCGCCCGGCGACGTTTTTTCCGGGGGTGGCATTGTTACCAGTTAATAATGAAGTTAAAGTTGTTTTCCCGGTCACTTGATTCGGGAGTACGACGTTTTTCACGATTTTCATTTGACCATCCGCTGTGGTTACTATAAAAATAAAATAATAATTATAAAATTGTAAATTAAATATTGTATGTATAAATAATAATAAAATAAAACCAACTAATAACACACACGACAATTTCGTTTCCTACCTTTTGGTTGAATTGGTGTGTTTGTTGTAGTTGGTTTTGTTGATGTACTAGTAGCAGCTTTATAAATGAAAAATCAATAAATATAAATTTATTAAATATTCAGGATGTTTTTAGTTAATAATAATTACATAGAAACATCCTGCATATTAAACTTTGTTTTTTTTATATTTTAAAGTTATTATTTAATTTTTTTACCTTGAGCTGTACTTCCAACCATTTTAATAATCTGTCCTTGATTATTCTTCAATTCTAAAGCTCGTTTTTGTTGATGAGCGGCGCGTTGTAACCGCAATTGTTGTTCCATTTTTTCTTTAATTTCTTCGGCACTCGCCTTATTGCTAACCAAAATTTTTCCGGGAATCTCATTCGATTCGGCCACCGCGGATCCCGTCGTTCTCGCCGGCGGTAAATTTCCGGTTCTGCTCCTAGTGATAACTTGAGCATTAACCTTCTCTACCCTATAGTGAAAAACACACATGGCAGGCTGTTAGTGGTGGGGGGATACTTCCAACATGCATGTTGTGTATCAACAAAAACAATAATTTAACCCTCAAGCATCCCATTTTTAAGCATTTCATGAGATTTATTTTATTCTATTTATTGATTTGTGAGAGGGAAAAAAGATTTCTTTTGAATACAAGCAAGTAAGCGTGAAATAATTAAAAAGTGATTTTTTTTACCTTTCTCCGTACTGTTTAATCTCCCATAATTCAAGTTTATCCTCGTCAACCCATTCTTCGGTTACTTGGGGATCAGTGCTTTGAGGGGATTCGGGACGTTTTCGTTTACGTAAACCGCTTCTTATTGATGTTACTTCTAAAAATCAAGAAAAATCATAACTTTTTGATTATTTTTTATCGATTTTTAATTATTCACCTCTAACAGTTTTTGGTAATTCCAAAGGAATAACGACTTTTCTTCTTAAATATTGCGTCCTTTCCAAAAATTGCCCCACATGTCGATGTTTTAATAATTCAAGTGATAATATTTCCGTTTCCGTCGTAATTTGATGTTTTCCATCGGCACTTAATGGCTTTGCTTGCATATCGTCCCATCGTAAGCACGCCCAAAGTATGCGTAGCTGCAACGAAGCAGCCGCCAACGACTTTAAATTAACCGTTCTATAAACCCAACAAGTCTTAAATAGTGGTCTCGAGCAGGGATACGGCCAAACGCTATTATTTTGCTTAGCCATCGCGTGAAAACCATTTATCAACAATCTTCCAGCTTGCCGAGCCAATTTTCTAACATCGTGTTTCGGTAAAACCAACAAAGAACGTATTCCTTTTTTCATTAAAAAGGTCGAACAAGCCGGATATTTAACGATTTGTCGTTTTTTATTTCGTTTATCGTTATGTTGGGGGACGACTTTTTTGAGATATATTTTTCCCGCTGTGGAAATTGTTGAATAAACCCTTTCAGTTCCATCTTCGGCGTGTTCCGCTTTAACAATTTTTTCTTCACGTTTTGTGGTGGCCCGGTAACCGCAAAATCTTCGATTTTGTTGTGCGCTATATGAAGATTTTAAGTTGTAAGCGTTTTTCCCGGTACCGTTAATACTTAAGTCGGATTTATTGTCAATTTTTTCATTTTTCACGTTCGCCCCACCTAAAATCATTTCTTTTATGTCATCAGGCGTCATAATATCCATATCAACATCGTCGTTTTCATTCTCACTTTGCATTAATAATTTTTGTTTCTTTTGAGGGGGCGAGTTTTTATCGTCTTCTTCTTTAACTTCGTCTTTTTCCTCCTCTTTGATTTCTTCTTTTACTTGAATTGCTTCATTTTCTTTATTAACGATTTTTTTTGGGATATAGGCTAATTTAGTGTCTTCGTTTTTACATTCTTGGGCGGTTAAAACAGCCGTTGCTAAATCTTTACATATCGCCGCATCGTTTGGTGGTTCTTGCCGTTGTTGATTTTCAGTCAATTTTTGCTCAAGAATGGAAGGTTTCGATTTTTGTTGAACAATCGCTTGAATTTTAGCTCCCGTTGTTGTGTGTAAATTCGCTTTCCTTAATAAAGCTAATAATTCCCTACGCACTTTACTCCTTTGTAAACACAAAGGTGAATAACAATTACTAACCAAAGTTGCGGAATTACTGTTACAACCTTTTGAGTAACACTGAAAATCTTTTGCCAATTTTGATATTGATGTGTAATGAAGCCGTAAAGATTGAATCTTTTTAGCTATGTTACTCAACATTTCTCGATTAACTGTGGATTGCACTGGAGTTTGCGTAGGAGCTGAAACTTTGCCGCTCATCATGTTATTTAATTGCTTTTCTAAACATAAATCTTCAACGTCCATATCATCGCTATTCTCAACATCGATGTTTTCGTTTTCATCTTGAGCCTCCTCTTTTGTGTGAGCTATTTTTTTCTCTTCAATCGATTTTAATTGTAATCGCCTGGTTAAAAGGTCGTCCAATTTCGATTTTTTCGCTACTTTCGGATAAAGTAATCTTCCAGGGGTGGTTAAAGCCTTAGATACAACAATTTCTTCGAATTCATCAATTGGAGGGATGATTTTTAAATTTTTTAACGCGGCGGGAATATCGTCAGCATCGTCTAATGTTTCGTCATCTTTTTTAAATTTTTTAATCAAAAAATTGTACATATTTGAGTCAATGGCTAAAATTTTTAAGCCAACGGAATCTCTTACTTGAACCATAATCTTATTAGGCCCCGCGTTTAATCCAATTTCCTTAGAATTAACGATTTTATGTATTCTACCGGAAGACAACCACAACCAACCCCAACGACCGTGTATTCTATATTCCTCCCCTTTTTGCTTCCACAACTGATGTTTAAACCCCATTGTATACTTCACGTATCCCGTTATAATCATTCGATTTCGTTCTTCTTCTTCTTCCCGCTCTTTCTTTTCGCGTTTCTCTAATTTTTTACGTTCTTCACGTTCGGAGGCTGTTATTCTAGATAATCTCGTGTGCCCTAATTGTTCGTGCCAAACGTTCGCAAAAACAACCGATTTTATACACGCTTGTAAAACAATTAAAGATTTAGCAAAATCTTTTGGCTGTTGACAAGCTGCAACAACAGATAACCAATTTTTACGTATAATATGCCAGGATGGATGCATAAAAGGCGCTTGAATCGTTTGCTCTAATTGTAAAATGGTTTGTCTCAATGAATTTAATAAAGTAGTTCGATTACCACTTATTACTCCAACCCATTTAAATTCGGACGCGGTTGTTAGCGAAAATTTATGCGATAAATGTCGCTTTTTATCACGCTCCTCATTCCTTTGGGGTTTATTTAACGCGATTATATTCGTTGTGTATTGATTTGTGTACGATTTAAATTGATTATCCATGCCAAGTTTAAATAAATACGTCCCGTTCGCGATTTGACTAGTTTTTAAACGAGTCATTCTTTCATCCTTTTTATCGACATCTTCTCGATTTAAAATTGCTGTGGTTCTTCTTCGCAAATCTTCAATGTTAAATGTTTTTGGTGTTAATGTACCCGTTTTTAATCGCGTCATAATATCTTTATCTTTTTGATCATTGCTCTCATTATCTTCATCTTCCGTTTGTCCTAAATCAACTTCCGAATTTGATTTAGTCGTATTATTTGTATCATTATCCATTTGATTTATTAAATCGTTAACACCACTGCTTTCGTTAGATTCGGTTTTTTGAATCATTGTTGTTTCCGTTCCTTCGGAAGAGTCCTCATGCATCCTTGCAACCATGTCTTCGGCGTTTTGTTTTTCTTTTTCACGACGTTCCTCTTCTTGTTTATCAAGAATTTCTTTGTTTTCTTTTATTATTTGAGCTATAAATTAATATAACGTATTTAGTAAGTTTTTAATAAAGAAGGTTCATTTTTAATTTTTTACCATTTGCAACTTCTAGATAACTTTTTTTGTTCCCCTTGCATTGATTTGTTAATTTTTCGGTTATTTCCATTTGGCGAAAAAGTTCTTCTTTGATATCCAAAATTTCACGCACTAATTGTGCCTCCATATCGTTTCCATCAAGAACTTTTAATAACTCCTCAACTTGTAATTTAGTGGAATAATACCAAACTTCCGCCGCATCATTTTCTCTAAATTAAAAAATTTTCGCTTAATTAAAAACTTAAATGCACTAAATTGATGTGAAGCAAACTTCACACTGGTAAAAAAACTTACACGATAATTCTTCGACATAAAAAATAATATTTTCGACCATGCCTATCATAACCTATATGTTCTTGTCTGCAAAGTTGGCCCTGTTTCTCCACGTCAAGTACACAATCAACGACTCCAGTCACTTTATGTGATCGACAAATATTACATTGCCAATCTTCTTCGGGGACATCAACCAGTGGGGGATCGACACATTCCAAATGGTACACAGCCGGGCAAGTCTCACAACAAAGCAGGTCGCCCAATTTATGGCAAACCCTACAGTGATCATCGTAATGCATCGGAACTGCAAAAAGTTGCAATAAAAAAATATTTCTTTCTCAAATTAACATTGATTAAATTAATGCAAAAGGGAAAAAAATAAAAAAAAAGGTTTAGTTTATTTCGTTTTATTAATTTCTGTTAATTGTAAAATCCCGCTTTTTACCTTCACTAACTAAGTCTTCTCGAACAGGATTAGTAGCAAGAAATTGATCGGTCAAAAATTGCAGAACTTTAATTTTATCATCGACAGCCCCAAACGGATAATCGGAATTAGCCAAGATGCCCATAACAGTTGAATCAAAATGCTTATCACTTTCAACGTATGAACGTAAAACTTCAGGCCAAGTCATATAATCTAATAAATACAAAGAAATATTTATGCTGTCTTTTTGATCCAACGGTCCGAAATGAGTCTGTTGAGAATCCTCTTCTCGTAACAAAGCTTTGAGTAACATGATGTGGATTTCAGCTAATAAACTGTTTTGATCTTCACACATAAGAGCAGCACAGAAATCCTCGACGCGAAACGGAGATAATCTCACCAAATTTCGAAAGTGCCTCAACACTTCGTAGATGCTAATAACAGCCATGATATGTTCGTGGGACACTAGAAGGTCATCGGACGTTTTAGGTAAGTCCAAAGGGGGTATAGGGCGGTTTTGGAGCCATAAAGGTTCGGGTGTTGGTGGCCTAGGAACGGGAGGGGTACGTTTTGGTGTACCACTAAGAGTACTGTACCCACTCAAAGAAAAATCACTATCACTTGAATCTCCGGCAACTATCGACTCTTCTGATTCACTCTCAGATATCCCTACATCGTATTCTACTTCACTCTTATTATCACTAGAATCATCCCCAAAATCCGACCCGTAATGATACTCAGAATCGTGATAATCCGCTGCACTAGGATTATAACCTCTCCTTTGGTAAGCAGAACCTACATAACCTCCGCGTCTATTCGTTCTGTGAGTATCTTTCCCTCTAATTCGAGTACTACTCCTTCGGCCAGCATCACTTTGAGGCGAATTTGGACGAGAAGGAGTGGGCGTACTCGGTTGAGAATCTGAACCCTTATTGTAATTTAATAGATACTTTGGTTTTTTAAGTAAATGATATTGAAATTTCTTAGTTCTTTCATTAACTTGAACTTTGGGGGGTCTCCCCCGTTTTTTCACGCCTCTGGCCGACATCCTAAGGTTAATCTGTCAATCATCCGGCCGTTAGCACGTGGTGTTCGCAAATGAAAACAAGCTTGTATACAAACGCAAATGTCAAAACTTAGTAGCTTAAACGATTCATGATAGACGATCGTTCGCCATTCCGCTAACTACGTCACGTGACGAATACCTCCGGGCGCATTTTTCGTAACATGTTCGACGGTCCAATCGCACCAAACGGTCCATGCAACACTCAGTATAATACAGTTTAACGTTTCACCACGTAAAACACGCGTTACGCCATAAGGACGCGTAAAGTAGCCCCGATGACGCGAACCTCTCAAAGTGGAAAAAGAACTATCTAACAAAACGAACGCTAGGTAGCGTTCCTATTGGCTGATGCATTGGCCGCCATGACAACTTGCAACTGTAAAAATTTTACCTCTTCGAATATGTAAACGCGCGCGCCCCAAAGCGGCGTCAACCGATTATCGGATTTAACACGCCGAGCCCCAATACACACGCCGTCGCGACACCGAATTTTAACACAAAAATCAATTTCTCGCTACTTATTTCGCACGTCCAATCCTAACGCTCGTACCGAAAACTAACGTCCGAATCGACAGATGTCACTGTTTCCGTGAATAAACCGAAATTCGACTTTTGAATTAAAAATCCCTTTAACATTAAAAGGAAAGCGTTTCAAAATTTAATTTTTATTTATAAAATAACCCGAAGAGACCCGCGCTTACCAATTTGAACGTGTTAAATTTTTTTATCTAACCAAAAGTAATTTCCGGTAAAACTAACATCCAAATCAACAAACGTCACATCTTAAAATTCAATAAATAAACGTAAAATATGAATGTATTCATTTTGGTAATATAAAAACATGAAAAAAAAATCCAAAATAAAGAATAATAAAGCTTCAAATTATTATCTAAAGAATAATACCCCGTTTATGAAACGGAAGTACCGCGATGATTTTGATTCAACACCGTCACCATCCAGCTTAATCCAGTGGCGTCACTTGCCTATTCTTAAATGCAATATAATCCGTTTTAATTCAACTTCCGTATTGATTTTAATGATTTTTAATAAATAAAAATGAAGCGAATTAAAAATAAGATCGATTTATGTGAAGGCGCGTTAAATCAAAATTAATTTAAGGGAATTAAATTTAAAAAAAATTGTATGCGCACGCCAATGACAATTGACAGAATCAGAATTGGAAAAGTCAAAATGGTGGTTGATTATTTTAAATAAAAAACGAAAAATTGCGAATCGGTAAAAAATTAAATTAACCCGAATCACCCGATCGAAAACGACTACGAAATGTGCGAAATAGGGCAAATGTACGCGATGCGTCCGTTAATCGACCATAACGGCCCCTTAGAATTACCTCAGTGCATGTATAAAATGCGAAATCTCCATTCGGGAAGAAATGGTGAAGTGATTAACGATACGGGTCACGTTGTCGTAAGTAAAGGAAATTTGGACACGTTCGAGCGGGTTTATCAATTTTTAAAGGTCCATCTATACTCCTAATCGTTAGCGCTAACGTTTTAACGCACTTTTGGTTCTATTTGGTTTAGAAATCATGCTTTACTCACCATTATTCCAGCTAAACTTTCCTCCCTGACACAACAGCTACGAATTTTTTTGAACAACTGTCATGCTTAAACTAAATGTGTATGTGTGTACAGGAAGAAATTTCATGTCTTCACATATTGATATTTATGACAAAAAAAAGACTAACTTTCTGTCTAAATTTCTTAACCTAACCAATTTGAAAAAGAAAGAAAATTTAGTTTTTTTTTTAATAATATATAAATAATTTAAATTATATGTATTTTTTTTTAATTAGAACATTAACCCACCTAGTAACATGGTTGAAATTGCTCAACGGCAAGACGAAATTTTGCGCCAACTTAATCTACTTCGAGAACAGATGGTTAGTTTGAGAACATCTTTAAAATGTGATGATAAAGGTGATTTGTCTGTTTCTTCAAAAAAATCTAATTTAAAGGTATTAATTTAATTATTTTATCTATCATATATTAATTTTTTTTTATTGCAGATTGGGACATATTCAGCGGTGATTAATATAAACACAACAAGACCACCTTATTTCTTAGAAATCCTTCAAAAAATTTTACAAAACGTCGTAATTTTACAAATCACACCTCATTTACACTCATCCGTGAACTCTTGGCCTAATGTGATTAAAAACTGTCTTGATAGAATGGAAAAGATTTCCGTTTCTAATCAAAATAATTTACCGGTTATATCTTTAAGAGTAATCGTCAAAAATAGTGAGTTAATTAAATGTTAAACACAAATAATATATTGTTATTTTTTAGTTGATACCCAAACACAATTAACTGTTTCGGACGAAACAATAATTGGTGAAGTAAACGTTTTACGATATCTTGCAAGAACTATACCCTTGTTGGGGTACGAAGATGCGAATCCATTTGAAATTGATCCAATTTTGGACGCTTGTTATTTTATCGTTGAAGCTAAGAATAAGTCAGCACGAGCCAAATACATCAATTTTATTTTCAAGAAATTGGGGATTAAACGGACAAAAGATCAATGGTTATGTAATGAAAAGAATTATACCATTGCAGATATTGCAGTTTACGCAACATTTAAATATTTAGATGAAAATGAATTAAATGTTACTTTAAAGAAGTATATGCAGTTCTGTAAATCAACATTTGATAATTGATAGAACAAATGTAAATAAATATTAATTGAGAGAGATTTATTTTAATTCCTTAAATGTTCTTAACAAAATTCTTGATCATTAATAAAATTTTGTTAAAAAGAAAAAAAAACATTCGAAGAAACAACCTTTATTGTGGTAATTTTACAAAAAGAATGAATAATGCAAGAGAATGAAACAAAATGCTCATATTAAATCAATACAATCTCCATCCATAATATCTAAATCTAATAATTCTTGATCTGGTTTTAATAATTCCCCATCAAAAGACAATTTGATCTCCTCAATGGGTTTTCCAGTTTTTAATATAACTTGCCAAAAGATAACCTCAGTTTTGTCACCTTTTTTACATTTTACATAAAAAGATTTTTCACGATGAACACCAGTTTGTACTTTAAATTGGAAATCATATTTGTTTAGGTCTATAATTTCTTGTTTGGGTTGATTTAAATAACTATCAGGTAATAAACATCCCTCGAGACTTTTATATTCAGTTAATCGTAAGCTAGCGTAGCAATTACAGTCTAAATCGATTTCTTTATCATCCAGTGTAAAAAAAAGTAATTCAGGTTTAGCATTTTTTGTTTTCACGAAATAATCTCTAATTGGGGTTAATTTTTGAAATTTTTTTAATTTAAATGTATGAGTTTCAAATATTCTCCATAAAACTTTTATGTGAATTACTGGATTTATATCAATCGTTATTTGCTTTACTTCATTATTGACTTTATCATCCTCATCACTTAATAGAACTGGTTCAGGAATTTGTACAGATGTTTTATTAATTCGATTACTTCTTCGACTTTTTACTGCTTTTTTCCGTTTTCCTCCACGAGCTCGTACAGGCTGGTTTAACGCATCAGTCACTTTTTCTTGCATATTATCCAACAGAGAATTTATTCGAGTTAAAAGAGTTTCCGATGATTCTATTGATGCTGTTGGAGCAATTGCAGTTTCATCTTCAATCGTAACAACAGGTTCATCTAGAATTTGTGCTTCTTTGGGATTACAATTTTGGCTAGTATCCAATTCCACAGAAGCGTCATCTTTTTTAAGGGAAAAGTTACTCCAAAATTTATCTTCTGAATTCTCAACTATTTTGCTAAACTTAGTAAATAACTCGCAAGAATCCGAATCATTATCTGAAGACATTTTGACGTCTGAAAATTAGGTTATGTTGTATCTTTAATATTTTTATACCATAAGTATAAAATATTTTACCTTATAAATATATCTTCCGGGTAAGTAATAAATTAAATTAATTCGTAATGTTTAAACAATAACAGAAAAGTGTTTGAGTTTTTAAAATGACGAAAACTAGCTAAATCTACAAAAAATATAATTGACAGTTTACGTGTTGCCAACCTTTAACTGCCTTTAACTTAAAATAAAATTATTAAAAGTGAAAGTTATTTAAATTTTTTAAATGTAAGTGGGAATTAAAAGAAATAAGATTTATTTTATCGAGTTAGTAAAATTATAATAAAGTAAATAATTATTATTGATTTAATAATAATTAAAAAAAAATTAATAAATAAATAAAGTCCCTAAATCAAAAATAAATTGGCGCCATCTACAAAACATTTCCTAACCTCTTTTTGCGTCTCTTAAAGTCTCGTGCCTAATAATAACATCAAATTTATGTTTCCCTAATTCGCTCTAAAGCTTGTATTATCAATTGTAGCGTATTAAAAAATGTCTAATTCATCGGATTCGGAGTTAGAATTGGCCCAACGAAGTCAGTCCGGGTCAAAAATTAGTGGTTCTGGTCAAGAAACTGAGGTCAACGACAAAAGCCCTTGGGATATGATGAAATCGAAGCAAAATAAAGCATTTAGTAAAAATTATCTTCAAGAAATTATGAATTTAGACGAATCAAATGCGGACGTCCTAAAAACAATTCAACTGTCTAATAAAAAGCGGGCTCCGGACGTTAACGATGCAAAGTCTCCAGGAGTTAGCAAAAAAGTTTCGTTTAGCGAGCATGTACAGAAAAGGGAGATAATTGTTAGTTCATCATCGTCCAGTGATGAGGAGAGTGCGAAAGATTCAAACAAAAATGTGAGGAAGGGGATTTTGAAACGGAAAAACATTGATTTGGAGGATAGTGCATCAACGAGTGATGATGGATCAATTCAAAGTCATGCAAACAAACTGAGACAAAGGAAATTACTAGATGGTCAAGGTTCATCTAGTGAATCAAAAAAAAATAGCATGTTAATGTGTAACGAAAAATCAAAATTTACAGTTACAAAGAAAAAGCGAGATGAAAGTGCTGAATTTAATACAGATTTTAAATTAAAAAAAGAAAAAATTAATTGTGTGTCAAAAGAAATTATTTCGGATAATAACAGTGAAAGTTCTGGTAATGAATTTGTCCAAAGTCCAAAATTAAATAAAATAATTCCAATGAAAAATATTAAAAAAGAAAAGTTATCTTCACAAAGTGATTCTGACGTGGCAACAACATCTTTAACAAATAAGAGAATAAATCATATTAAAAATATTAAGAAAGAAACCACTGAAAGTCAGTCTGATGTGTCTTCGGATGATGATGATGATGAAGAAAGTGTTGATCAAAATAGAAATCCTTCTTTTAATAGAAATGTATCAATTAATAGTAACAAAGAGTTATCGGAAAGTACTGATTCTGATAACTCTGAAGGAAGAAAGAAAAAAGTTAGGTTAAGTCATAATTCAAAACATACTTTAAGTAAAGTACCAAAACATCAAAAAAGTATGAATTATCAATCTTCAGATGATGATGAAGAAGAAAACACAAGTACAAATAATCATAGAAATTCATCAATAAATAAAAATATGTCAACAATTAAAACTTCTTTGAATAAAAATTTAAAAGAAGAAATTTCTGCATCTGACGAATCAATAGATGAAGAAGAAAATATTGCAGTTAAAAGTTTAAATAAAAATAAATCTTGGGAAACTAATGATAAAGATGGTGGAAATAAAAAAGTTAGGTTAGGTAAAAGTCCAATAAAAAATAATTGTTCAAGAAGTGAAAATGAGAATGAATTGATTGGAAATGTTTCAACATTAGCCAAAATTTGTGCATTGAACCCACAAAAAAGTCCAAAGAGTCATAATGACTTTGTAATTGACAATAAAAAGAATGAATTTTTAAAGAAAAAATTATCGAATTTCGCGAAAATCAATAATTTATCAAAAATTGATTCTGAAACTTATAATTTATCGAAAGAAATTAAAAAGAGTGGGGATGAAATATTTTTAGCAAAAATTCCAAAAGATTTGGATCCCAAACTTCTCGTTTCTGGAGTTATAAATTTTAATGGAGAGTCATCAAAGTTGGAAATAAACGAAAACGTTTATGCGCTTCATGTAAACATGGATAAAAATATTTCTAATGTTTTAATTGATAGTTCCGATAATGGTGATTCCTTTAATATTTTATCGTTAAAATGTCATGGTGTTATATCGATTTCGAAAGATACTAAAATAAGAAAGAAGTCGTTAAAAATTAAAAAATATCAACAAGATGATGAGGTAATTGAAGAACCTAAAAATTTAAAAGAACAACATTTATTATTGGGACATAATTACGAGGATCGGATTAATTTGGATAAATGGATTTCGGATAAATTAGAAGGCTTAATAACGGATTTTAATAAAAAACGAAAACAAAAAAGGAGATCGAAATCGTTTAATGAAAATAAAACGCCGGTGGAGGAAGAAAATTTAGATATTTTTAAACTTTTAGATGAACATACTGACAGAAAATCATCAGAAGAAAATGAATGTTCTGTTAATAAAAAGAAAAGAAAAAAAAAGGAAGTTGAAGAAAATCAAGTACATGCAAAAATAAAAACCGAAATGGATGAAAGTATTGACATCATTAATCAGATGATGATGGAAAACAACGATAATGTCGATAAAACGAGTTTGAAAAAACGAAGTCGGAGTAAATCAATATTCGAAGAAGAAAATTCTTCCCCTGCAAAACGAAAACGTAGTAAATCATTAAGTACAGTTAATCCTGAGGATTTTGATGATACAATTCCGGGTGATTCAACGCCAATTAAATCTAAGAAAAATAAGAAATCGAAAACCTCTTTGGAACACATTGTGAAAGAAGAAATGGTATCGGAGGATGAATTTTCGTTGAATAAGCATAAAAAAGCGATTGTAAATAGTACTATGATATCGGTAAAAGAGGATAATTCTATTTTTGATAATGAAGAAAGTTTCATACCCAAACCAAATGATTCATCTATAAACCGCTTCATCGATGACTTGGTTAAAGAAGTTGAAGATAAAAAAAAGAAAGTGAAAAAACGTTCATTAGGGGATGTTACCCCAACGAGTTTTGATTCAAAAAAGAAAAAAAAATCATTGTGAACTATTTTTTTTTTTTAATATTATGGAAAAGATAATAGTTTTATAGCTATATGTAAATAAAAATAATTTCTTTGTATTTCTTTTTGTGGTGATTCTAACTTAACTTTTATCTACCAGCAATTTAACCTAGAAATAAAGATATACCGGGAATTTCATTAACTCACAATATATGAATGCAGTAACCATAATTACTACTAACTACTATGCACTTGCACTATCCCATATAAAATTCAACATAGCTTAATAGACAACCTAAGCCTTAACGTCACAGTGACATTTTAAATGACATTTTTATGGCGATTTATCTTAGCAACTGTGGTTAGCAACGAAATTGTTTGGAGTCGGTATAAGCTCCGCCCACCTCTGTGACGTCAGACTTAGGCAGTCTATAGTACAGGCATTGGGTAGTTTTGCAAAGGAAAAGTTTTGCTATGAAAAGGTCCTTATGATAACTCTGAATTTCCGTCTTAAGAGACGCACAGCTAAACCCTAATGTTGCTGGTTCTAGGTCTAGTATTAGTTCTACTTTTCGTTCAATAAAAACATACCACAATCTAACGCTGAATAGCAATTAAAACTAGAACTAACACTAGACTTAGAAGAAAAGAAGAACATTCAGGTTTAGCCGCAGGTCTCTCAAAACGGCTAAACCCGAATGATTCTAGGTCTTGCGTTAGTTCTAGTAATAGTGCTAATACTAGAACTAGAAACATTCAGGTTTAGCCATCTTAATTGAGCTGTAACGGACACTGCACAGTACGCCCTGGATTCTATGGAAATATATTTTTGTATACACTCATACCTCCCTATACTGCCCTTGACACTGACATGTATAAGGCCGAAATCTACAGTTCAACCAAATTGGCAACAATAAGAAAAAAATAAACTACATTCATAGTCAGCTGCTCCTTCAAGTATGTCTAAAATAACACGCAAACCAAGTGATAAAATGGAAAAAATAAAACAAATTATTAATAATCTGGATTGAAGACAACAATCAACGAAAAATGGCGATGAGTCAAATGAATATCCAGAAAAAAGCAAAATCTATTTTTGAACGTTTGAATAGTGAGGAGATAAATTGAGTGAAAAATTCTTGGTAAGCCACGGTTGGTTTGAAAAATTCAATAGGCGACATAATTTGCATAATATTAAAATGAAAGGTGGACATACTGAAATTAACTATTGAAAGAGGTAGATACGATCCACAACAAATGTTTAATGTAGATGAGCCCCATACTGGAAAATAATGCCTGATAGAACATTTATTTCTAAGAACGAAAGAGCTATGCAGGGATTTAAAGTATCGAAGGAACGATTAACGTTGCTGCTTGGCGCAAATGTGGCTGGAGGTTTTAAGCTCAAACCATTTTTAATATATACGTCCGATAACGTATCACCGCCGTATAATGAGGTATGAGTGTATTGCATTAGAAGTGAAATTCACTGTATTTTTATTGATAAAATAAATTTTATAAAAAATTAATTACGACTACCACTAGAGCTATTTCGATTTAATTTAAAAGGTGTAATTCTGCTTTGATTAGCACTAAAAAATCCAGATGTTTGAGATTCAGCCGTAATCTTTGACTAAAAACAAAAACAAACTTATATTCTTTACAACCCCTTTTTTTGGTATTTACCTGTTTCATACGATATAATTGATCTAAAGAATGTGGTAATAAAGGCCTTATCGAGTTAATCTCCATTAACGTTAAATTATCAATAGCAGCATAACAACCAGAACTTTTAATTAAAACATCAACTGAGGATCGTATTTTCGACATTCTTATATCCCAAATATCCTTGATCATTGTTCGTATTTCATCTGCTCTTGGAATATCATCTGGAGCTACACCCAATAAAATTTTTGTCTCCACCATATAATGTTCGCTTGGCATTTTAATAAACGTTCTGAAAATGTATTTATCATATAAAAATATTAATTTTTATGAATTCACTAACCTAGACACTTTCTCCTCTTCCTTAATCCTTTCTAATTCATCAACGTTCATCCAATCTGGAGGTTGTATTTTGCATTTTAGTTGTTGTTTTAGATTAATTGCTATCCAAAGAGGAACGGTGATTGGTAAACTGGCCCGAAACGGACCTATATCCCCTTGAATTAAATGGATAACGTTACTGTTAAACGTTGGAATAATTGTTATTAATGTTTTTTCACTTAAAAACTCAACTTCTTCTGGATCCATCATTTAAAAGATAAAGAAATTATAACATAACCTTAAAAATTTGATGTAAATTTGAAAGATTTTATGCTGCCATCTTTCGGAATATTTTATAATTATTAAAATTAAAAATGTATTTAATAAAATTGTTATCAAATACTATGTTATAACTGTAATAGATGATACTAAATCATCTAAAACATATTTTGTAATGAAACAACCTATAAAACTCGTAAATTTCTAGAAAGTTCTATCTATTATAATAATTTTGTTTTTATCAGTTGGCAACATGTGCGTTACGTATTTTGTTTAAAGACCTTGAATCTTCCTCTTCTGTTTTCCCAACCCCCAAATTTTTCTTTCGGAAAGTCAAAGATCAAAAATTCGGGCGCGGTAAATACCTAACGACAACAGCAAAAGAAAGTGCGAAATGAACGACGGAGAGACTTACGCCAGCGGCGACGTAGCCCGCGGATTAGGAGGTAAAAGAAATTTCTCGAAATTGCTTCACATGACAAGTCGCATCGAATGACATAACCTAAAAATTACACAACGCGTTTTAAAAATTTATCTGATTTTTAGGATTGTACAAGCCGTTTTCTTCGCCTTACCTAAACTATGATCCCGTTTATATGCCCCAAAGCCAACCGGAATACATTTTCCTTGATGGCAATAGTAAACAACGAGGACGTTTTGAACTTGCTTTTGGACAAATTGGTGCTTCATGTATGATCGGAGCTGGAATTGGAGGGGCTATGGGTTTGTACAACGGTCTTAGAGCAACTACCTTGGAGGGACAAACTGGAAAATTACGAAGGACACAGTATGATATTTTTGTTTATTTTTATTAAATATATTTAAAAAATTTGTTTTAGATTATTAAATCATATTATGAAAAAAGGTAGCGCTACAGCAAACACTTTAGGTTCAGTAGCTGTGATATATTCAGCTTTTGGTGTTATTTTATCCTGGGCAAGAGGTGCCGATGATGATCTTAATACAATTGTAGCTGCAACAGCAACTGGATTCTTGTATAAATCAACAGGTCAATTAATAATAATTTTTTTGAAAATTATAAATTATTTTATTTTATTTGTAGGAGGAATAAGAAAATGTGGATTGGGTGGTGCCGTAGGTTTTGGAATCTCTGCGTTGTATGCTTTATGGAATAGTCGCGAAAAATTAGCTGAACTAAGGCAATTTAATCCAGCGTAAGCGTCTAGTTATGTTTGGTTTAGAGAACTAGTGTAATATTTTAAGTATGGTAAAATGAGAGTTTAAATTTTTCCCTCTTAAAAAATGTGCAAGCTCCTATTCAGTAATAAGACCTTTATTTGTATAAAAAACTACATATAAATTCATAATTTATTTTTTAATGTATATTTTTTGAGTTGTTTAGGCTAATTTTTTTGATTAATTGATTTAGCATCATAGAGAACTCAGTTTGTATGCATACTATAAGTAAAAAGAAGCGACAAGGAATTTTTTACTAACCTATTTTACTTGTTGTTTTTTTTTTTCGTTATTTTGTACATATTTTTTGTGCTGTGATTTTCACTGAGAAAATACAACTTACTAATAATTAATTCTTTTAATTTCTTCACGTTTGTTTTTTTTTTTCTTGATTCGTTTGTAAGATATTTTTAGTAAAATATTCATTTTAAATTTTTTTAACAGGCAGAGGTAACAAGAACCAATCAATATGTGCCTACGACTTTCCTAAAAACCGGTAGCAAAATATCTTTATTTTTGTTCTTATTTGGACTATAAATTGAAATATTTTTATATTTGGTTTTTTTTTTAATTTTTCTTTAGTTTAACTTTATACGATAATTTGTATTGTAATTATTGAAAATAAACTTATGAATGAACACAATTGGTTTATAGTAGTGGTGGAACAGATATCTTTAAACTATCGGGTATCCGGCCTATCCCGCCATTTTTTAAAATTCGGTCGGATACCGGATAGTTACCAAATATCCGGCTTTGGCTGTATAGTAAAAACTTGTTTTACACCACCATTCATAGGGATTAGTATCTTTTTTAGGTGGTGGACACTGTAGATAATAATAAAGTTCAACCCCAATAGGACTTTTTTAAAAAAGTTCCTTTTTTATCTTGGATCCAAATAAGTTGGCACGTCTTATCAGCTTTCTTATTAATTTCATTTTTATTCAAATATTGCAATAATGCACGAGAAGTTATAGCCATAATGGCTAGATAGATATGCCGCAAGGTCCGTAAAGCGCATTGCGCAATACACTTAGATATGTCGGATATCCGGTATGTGGCTTTTCGCAAAAGCACTAGTTTAAGGTAAGTTGTTATTTAATTAATTTAAATCTGATAATAAATATTAAAGAGCATTTTCTTGCGTTTATCTATTTAAAAATAGAAATAATTAATTTAATTTTGCTTTTTATTAACAGATGGAGTTCGTTAAAAGGTCTTTTAGATTATTTCAGCAGTTCTATAAAATACATTAAATTGTGATTTTCTATAATTTTCATACTTATAAAATATTTAACAATATATAATTATTGTAATAAATATTAACGCATATTAATTTTGAAATGCAATAAAAATTTTAGTTTTGTGATTTTTAGATTCTTACAAAACAATCCTAATCCTACTTATTGTTCGACTCAAATTAAACAACCTTAAACAACAAATAATTAATGAAGGAAACCATTTTATTTTCAATCAGCTGATTGAAAACTCGGGATAAAAAAGGACAAGTATACATTATTATCTTTGTCTTATCTGACAGATTTACTTTCGAACTTTACGTCATTTTCTGACGTCACATACACTCCATTGAAAGGCCAATAAGAATAAAAAAGAACTTTGAACATTGCACAATAGAGAGGGAACCATAGCGTCTCGCGGCGCAACAAAAGGAGATAACCAAATGAATGATCTGGAAATGCGAATTTTCTGACGCGATTTAAACTATAATAACCACACGTGAGTTGGCATTGGCCTTAGTAACCGTTTCAATTCGATCATGAAAAGAAGCTGACCAAAAATTATACTATTTTAAAAAATAAATTAAATTTATTTCATTAATTAACCACAATTTTATATAAAAAAGAAATAAAATGAGTGTATTCTCAAGATTTCGTGCTTTCACAAAACGTCACCCAATCGTCAGGGGAATATTGTCGTATGGTACAATTTGGCCTACATCATGTATCATACAACAAACAATTGCTGGAAAAACTTGGGATAATTATGATTGGAAGCAAGCATTGAGATTTAGTTTGTATGGGGGTCTTTTTACCGCACCTACCCTCTACGGGTGGATTAAAATCTCAAGTATGATGTGGCCCGGAGCCACATTACAAGTTGCTATAACTAAAGTAAGCGGAATAATTTAATGATGTTTTTAATTTAATTTTAATCATAATCATTTTTAGGCTTTAGTAGAACAAGTTACTTACGGGCCAGCTGCAATGTGCTGTTTCTTTTTCGCAATGAATTATATGAACACATATAATGTTGATGAGGCTATAGAAGAAGTTAAAATGAAATTCTTCCCTACATATAAAGTAAAATGTTATTACAATTCGTTTATGGTTGATGTTTATTGTATTTTTTTAGGTTGGAATTTGTGTTTGGCCAGTTCTCCAAACAATAAACTTCCTATATATTAAAGAAAGAAATAGGGTCCCTTACGTTAGTATGTGTAGTTTGGTTTGGTGTTGTTTCTTAGCTTACATGCACGAATTGAAAACAAGAGAAAAGTTATTGGCTACAACGTCACCCCAAATTCAACAACAAAAGTTAACTTTATAACGATTAATTTTCCTTATTTATGTTTTAATTAACTTGTACATTATTTAATTTCTTAATATTTATTGATATTTATTTTATTTTTGTAGACTTTAATAATGTGATAAAAGATATAAATATATTATTTATATTTTGATTAAAAAAATTTTTTTCTTAACCTAACCCACCTAACCTAAAAATGAAGAAAATGAAAAAAAATTAATATATTTTTTTATACCTGAACCAAATAATAATGCAAAATCAAATAATATATATAAACAACACTAATTGCACATATAGGTATTGAATATAAAATAAATAAGATAGAATTTACAAACAACTTGAAATGAAAAACATAACCTCAATAAATTCTTATAAGAGCTCATTTTCTTTCATAACAGTGTTAAATGGTGTTAAAGCCAAGGTCGTTTTCTAATTTAGTAGATTAAATTTAGATTCTATAAAAAGTAATTCATTTCACCGCATGAAAATTTCCACGTGGATTCATCATTCATCTCACTCCAACCAAAACTAAAATTTTTTTGCACGTGTGGACCAATTGGGTTAAGAAATTCCAAACTTAAATTTTAAACCGTAAAATTTCCATTAAATACGCAACTAATTAAACAAATAAGATTGAAAAAATTGGAGGATTCCATTTGGATGATAAGAAGCCGTTATCTTTAGTATTGACTCACTACGGATGTTTTTTAAGTATTGAATAATGTTTAAGCAGATTTTAATTGCTTCGTTGGTAGCCGGAGTCGCAATATTTTACAACACAGGCATCATCAAGTACATAACTGAACTCCTTCATTATCAAAAAGGAGTTAATCTCAATGATAATAAGATGAAATTGTTTACACCAGAGGAATTAAGCTTATGTAGTGGTGTAGATAAGAAACATTTGTATTTGGCAATATTGGGAAATGTTTTCGATGTGTCTAAAGGGTCTAAACATTACGGACCTGGGAAAACATATAATTGTTTTATAGGTTAACTTAAAAAAAAATTTAATTGAAACATTTTTAATACAATTATTTGATTTAATAGGAAAAGATGCTTCAAGAAACTTTATTGATGGTAAATTTAATAAAGAAGATATTTCTGATGATGTAATTGGGTTAGATATAAACGATTTCAAAAGTTTAGATTATTGGTTAAAGTTTTATAAAAAAGAATATATTAAAGTGGGCAAGTTTTGTTAATAAGCAGACAACAAACACAATAAAATTAATTTTTTTACTTTTAAGGAGTTTTAATTGGGAGATATTATGATGAAAAAGGAAAACCTACGCAATATAATAGGGAAATAAAATCTTTGATTAAAAAAGCCTTGAAATCAGATGAAGATAAAACGGAAATAAAACGAAAATATCCTCCTTGCAACATGGAATGGGATGTTTCGACCGGTTCAAGAGTTTGGTGTACAAAAAAAAGGTTAACTTTGTTGTTTAATTTAATTCAATCCTTTAATTTATAAACGTATCAATTACAGTGGAGGCATCGAAAGAAACTTTATTGGTTTCCCAAGAAAATTTTATGAACCTGGGGCCGATAAACATCGATGTGCTTGCATTAGCGATGAAAATTTAGACTTAGGAAATATACAAGAGTACGAAAATTGTGACTCGAAGTCTCATAGTTGCTTTATATAAACGTGTAGATTATTTTACATAGATAATTTTTGTATTTCCATAATTTTTTATGTCATTAAAACGTAATATTAAAAAATATGAAAGGATTAAAGTATGCAACCTAAAATACACCCAAAAAGATATGCAACCCTAGATACTTCTTATTGATTAAATTTCATTTGCAGTATTCTAGATATGAGAAATTATCTACATCTACCGTCGAATAGAAACTTTAAAGTTATATCACGTGATTGCACGTGAATTGCTGATATCGCTACGGGTTTCGTGGTGTTAGATCAGGCTGCGTCCATCGGTCGTCCTGTGAAAATGTCGTACCCAGCAACGTTGAACGCCCGAGCGGCGAATAAAGAGCACGTTTTAGCTGTTTCAAGAGACTTTATTTCGCATCCTCGACTTAGTAAGTAGCCGTTCGTTTCTTTTTTAAAGTTTTCCAAGTGGTTTTATCGCCGTTTTCGCCGATTCGTGGGTTGGGTCAATAGTTACCCAAACGAAATGGGTCATATGATTAAACCAAAAACGTTAATAACTAATTCATTCCTTGTTTAATCACGTTAGTAAACTTTATTTTAACTCTTTAAAGGGGTTGCTTGGGATTTTCACGCGAATTTAACTTTTTTAAAGCGATATTTTCGTGGTTAATGTTGCAATTATCAGCTGGTTTCCAAATCATGTGATCAGAATTGAGCCACTCCTCGTATTGAATTGAATTTTGATCAAAGTTTTTTTTATTATTTAAAGCTTACAAAACGGTATCTGGTGTAAACGGTCCTTTGGTTATTTTGGATGATGTTAAATTTCCGAAATATGCCGAAATCGTACAACTTCGATTGTCGGATGGAACTTTACGTTCTGGACAAGTTTTGGAAGTCAGTGGATCGAAAGCTGTTGTACAAGTATTTGAAGGCACTTCTGGTATTGACGCAAAAAACACTCTGTGTGAATTTACCGGTGATATTTTGAGAACTCCCGTATCGGAAGATATGTTAGGTCGTGTTTTTAACGGATCAGGAAAACCAATCGATAAAGGTAAAGAAATTTATTTATTTTTTGAGGGAGTTCCTCATTTGTAAAATATTTTTTTAGGTCCTCCAATTTTGGCTGAAGATCATTTGGATATTCAAGGTCAACCTATTAATCCATGGTCTCGTATTTATCCTGAAGAAATGATTCAAACTGGTATCAGTGCTATTGATGTGATGAATTCGATTGCTAGAGGTCAGAAAATTCCAATTTTCTCCGCTGCTGGTTTACCTCACAATGAAATTGCTGCGCAAATTTGTCGTCAAGCTGGTTTGGTTAAAATCCCTGGCAAGTCTGTGCTTGATGATCACGAAGATAACTTCGCCATTGTATTTGCTGCTATGGGTGTTAACATGGAGACAGCTCGCTTTTTCAAACAAGATTTCGAAGAGAATGGTTCTATGGAGAACGTATGTCTTTTCTTGAATTTAGCCAACGATCCAACCATCGAAAGAATTATTACTCCACGCTTAGCGTTAACTGCAGCTGAATTTTTAGCTTATCAGTGTGAAAAGCACGTATTGGTTATTTTAACTGATATGTCTTCGTATGCTGAAGCTTTGCGTGAAGTATCCGCCGCCAGAGAGGAAGTCCCTGGTCGTCGTGGTTTCCCAGGTTACATGTACACCGATTTAGCTACAATTTATGAACGTGCCGGAAGAGTTGAAGGAAGAAATGGATCAATTACTCAAATTCCAATTCTTACTATGCCTAACGATGACATTACTCACCCTATTCCTGATTTAACAGGTTATATTACAGAGGGACAAATTTACGTTGATCGTCAGTTACATAACAGACAAATTTATCCACCCGTAAACGTACTTCCATCTCTATCACGTTTGATGAAATCTGCTATTGGTGAAGGCATGACCAGGAAAGATCACTCTGATGTGTCCAATCAATTGTATGCTTGTTACGCTATTGGTAAAGATGTACAAGCCATGAAAGCTGTAGTTGGTGAAGAAGCTTTAACACCAGACGATTTACTTTATTTGGAATTTTTATCCAAATTTGAAAAGAATTTTATTACACAAGGTAATTATGAGAATCGTACGGTATTCGAATCTTTGGATATTGGATGGCAATTATTACGTATTTTCCCGAAAGAAATGTTGAAGCGTATTCCCGCATCGATTTTGGCGGAATTTTACCCGAGAGATTCTCGTCATTAGTTACCATTTATCCGTGCCCAATAAATAGTAATATATTTGTGTATATTGTTCCCAAAAAAAAATTTAAAGAAAGGTTCAAGTTGTTGCTGTTAAGGTTTAGGAAAAAAAATGCATTTTTATTTCTTTTTTCTTTTTTGAATGTAAATTTTTAATTTTCAATGTATAAACATTACGATAGCTTGTTAAAGAAAAATATTAGAAGAGTTTTTAACACCCAAGGACAATATAAAGTATATAAATATTGTATAAATTTCATATGAAACCGAAAAAGAAAAGAAATGAAAAAGCTGCACTACAGAGTATGTACGTTATTTCACTGTAAATCATCCAGTATTGTATAAAGAAAATAGTGGTACTTTTTTAATAAGTCCCAATAAAAAAAAGGAAAGATGTTAGATGAACATTCCAAATGGCGTAGTTAAGAATTTATTACTTATACGTACACTACTGTATAAAGCAATATATTATTGGCCAATTCGTCGTTTTATCCAGTATTTTATTTTGTCTTTATTCCTTGTAATTAGCACTTTTAATTGATTTATTAATTCTTTTTTTCGTAATACGAAAAAAAAACATTCATTTTTGATGTTGTTTAGAAAAGCCTATTATTAGTACAATTGTAGTGTAATAAAAAGTAATTGTGAATAAAAGATGTATGTAAAAATTAAAACATTCGTTGAGCTTTTTTTTGCGTAGGCAACCCAATAAACACCGTTCCAAAATTTAATTTTAATTATATTGTTTATTAATTATACTAGAAGATGGAAATGGAAATCTACTAGCACAAATAATAGACATAGTAGACGACATATACATCAACAATACTACTAAAATAGTAAACTTTCACAAATTCAACGAATAGCTGGATTGGCTAGAGATAGCCAAGATGGTGCGATAAGTACAACGCCAACTCTAGCAATGGACGTTTTGCTTGGCCTATATCTTTTGCATGTGCATATCCTAGCAATGCTGTCAGATTTGACAGGATCACTACCAGTGATTAATGCTCGATACTAGATTGTACTGCGTGAACGGCAGTCCTGGATCGAAAACGAAAATTTTTTTCATTTGCGATGGCCAAGCATAGGATTAGACTGTGGGCTAAAGAGAGAGTTCGCCTACTGTAGACCAGTTCTCCTGGAATGAGACACACTAAGTTGTAAGCGACAATATATGGCGGAACAAATACATGCGTGTAGAAGGAAAAAGGAAAATATATAAAGCCATGGTACGACCCCTACTAACATATGGTAACGAAACGACAACAGAAACAAAGAAGACTAAACAGAGAATGAGGGTGATGGAGATGAAAGTCTTGAGAGTTATGTTGAATGTAATACCTCTATCACAGAGAGATGTAACATAGGTACAGGATGTAGTAAAATGGTCACAAGTAAGAAATAAAAGGTGGAAGGAGCATGTGGAAAGAATGGATGAAAGGAGATTGGCCAGAATATGTATGTATGGACGACCGAAAGGAAAAAATCTTAAGGACGACCGCCCAAGAGATGGGCACAGAGCTGGTTTTCCTCGTCTGCGGAGTAAAGTCCAAACGTAAGGCTTGACAAACAGGGATGCATCCATAGTAGAAACAAGAAGGAGAATATTTTATTGCTATCATTGAATTAATAACCAATTCAATTTAAAAATTTTGTTTAAAATATGAAAATTTTTCCTAAAATAGGCAACACAATTTACATAAGCCATGTAGCGCCATCTCAAAATCAAAACCACATTTATTCATATTTAAAAATAATAATCTAATCATTTAATTAATTAAGTTATAATCAGATAAATCTAATAATTGTGTATTAAAACTAATATTGTTTATAATCTTTTAATTCATACATGGTGTATCGTTAAAAAGAATTTTTTGAAATCAAGGTTATGTTTACATTTGACAAATAAATAATTTTGACATATTTTCTTATTGACAAGGAAAATCCAGTATTCGAAAAGTTTCTTTTTTCAATATACAATGAAAAGAGAGGTTGCGTTTGAAAATTCTGGAAGTGTCGTCTGAATTGGCGCTAAAACTCGAAAAGGATCATTCCGACGTAGACCGTACCTATTTTTATACACCGCATAAGTGACATGGCTGCCGTCGTCTTACATTTACCACACGGTTGAAAATGTCGAAAAAAGTGCCGTAGCAATCGCCGAAAAGCGGCGTAATGTGTGCAATTTGTGCGAAAACGACGTGTCGTTCGTTTTTGTGTTACTTGTACCAAGTTATATAACATTTATCAACTCGTCGGACTAACTCCTAATTTTTTTATTACACCCCAAAAAAGAAAATCTTAATCACGAAGGATTTATAAAATAATAAGGTAAGTTAAAATTGCAGTTAATAAATCGCGCATCGCAAAACCATTAAAATTTAAATCGAAACCACACCGTCCCCACGTTTACTATTCAAATGAAGGCATAAAATAATGTAACGTTGATAAGAAATAATCAGTTTAAATAAAAATAAAACGGTGATAAGAAAAACGACGATGACTCATTTTCGGGTTCAAGCATCTTGCGATTTATGTCTTTATATACTGGGTGGTCCAAAATATGATGATTTTATTGAAAAGTGTTTTACGCCCACCCTGTTTTATTTCCAAGTAGGCTTATAGTGACGTTAATGAATTATTCATTCATTAAAATGTCAAAGATAATTAGACTATTTATTAATGAAAAAAACAATTTAAAAAAAATAGAAAAATTATTTCCTTTTATAACTTTTTTTTGTAAAATAGAACTGGATTAAAAATAACTGCAAAACCTACTACGATTTTTTTTATGTTTCGAAACTCATTCCAGACGTTTCGAAAACGTAGATGGCGGTGTTTTCATAATGCCAGCTGTTTATTTGACAGTTGACTTAGTCAGGTGTTTTTAATATGATTATACAGAGTGATTCATTTAACTTAATTTAATTGGTGTTTGTTTCGAGTGATTTTAATTATATTATAATAAATTATACACTGTGCTACATACGTCGACGTGCGTATCTTATAATTTAAGCCTAGTAAAGTAAAACGCGCTTGTATGAAAAGATTTTTCGCTCTTGTATTTTTTTTGTATTTTCAATACTAAACAACACTTTATTACTATCTTATAAGGTGCCTTATAGAATCACGAAAAGTAAGCAACCTTACACAATCGCAAAATATATATTTCTACGTGTTTCTATAGATATGGTGATCATGATTGAGGCGAGTCTGCTGAAAATTGATTTTAAAAGTGTAATGTGAAAAAATGAAAGCAGTCGAATTTGGATTGTAGTCAGATGCGGCTAAGGGTGCTTATTTGATACGATGTGTACGGTTTTACATGTAGTAATAATATTAAAGAAGACTCTGTTTTATAAAAATATCACTGCAATAGTGAATCCTCAAGACCCGTTTGAGATTCTTGATATATTCATACTTGAAAATAATTTGGCTTGCTCGATATCTGGGTGCTTACTGGGGGATTACAGGCGTTTATTCGAAGCAAATCGCCAAACGCATTGTGGGCCCATTGTAGTATTTATTGAGGACGGATTGCGAGCCTTGTACTAAATCAAGTGACTCGTCTTTGTTGTACTATAGCAGGCACTATGTCTCTACGGTTGAATTTCGACAAGATATTTTTACTTTGTTTAATGAAAAAGGATATAAAGATGTAGAATAAGTAGTTGATGACAAGGTACAATGACAATATACAAGGTGCTTTAAAATTCTCCTTGCAAGCTTCTAGGATTTGTAGAGGAGACTAAGTAGATAATATTTTGAAGTGAAACCCATGTCCGGAAACGTACCGTTTCCGTGCTGCAATCATTTGAACATCCATTGCACCAGCAATTGCTCGTTTACTCGTTGACGGGTTTTCTTCAACGTGATGCTGTATGGCGACTCCTTGGAGGACCACAGTCATTTCTGCAAGCGGTGAAGGTATCTCTTTCTTGAAGCCTTTGCGTAATTGAGGTCGAGCTTCACCACACAGAAGAATCATGTCGGTGTATTCTGCAAACGTCTCCTACACGTTAATTGACATCACCTCATCCCACGTAAGCACCCTACGTTATGTAACCAAGCAAACCTGTTTTCAAACGACTGTAGCACGGAAACGGTATGTTTTCGGACATGGGTTCCAATTCAAAATATTATCTCCTTAGTCTCCTCTACAAGTCCTACAAGTTTATAACGGGAATTTTAGAGCACCTTGTATACACATACTGTTAAAACTTTTAGAATCATTTTTTTAAGTTTGAAATTTGTTTGCTTGGTGACTTTTTTCTTTGTATATCTCTTAATAACTTCTTCAAATTAAATAAATTTTTTGAAACTTCTCTACCAATCTCTTATCGAAAGAATACCTATATCTTCAAACAGGTGTCTCAGTATGAGTACAATTAAAGTAAAGTAGCATTTCATATCAGTTGTTAAATTTCCTTTGATAAAGAAAGGCCTAATTCATTAAGTACCCACTATATCTAACTATAAATCGTGGTTTTTGAGTATGTTTCACACATCCAGTGGGGATTTACATCATTCAAATGCTTTATGCCCGACTACAATGTAAATGTTGTTTTGTTGACAAAACATCTAGGTCTAGTATTAGTTCTACTGACAGTGCTAGGTAGCACTAATAGAGACGAACGGCTAAACTCGAATATTTCTAGTTCTAGATCTAATGTTAGTTTTAGTGCTAGTGTTAGCTCTAGTTTTAGTTATTGTTCAGCGCTAGATTGTTGTATATTTATATGGAACTAAATTTTTCACATAACGGTCTTTTGGCTATAACGGACACTCCCATCCCCATATTAATAACGTATTAATACGAGGTTTTTCTATGTTACATACGGTTGAACTCGTATTGAAGGGTACGAGTCCAATAATGAGATGTTTATATCTAGATTCTAGTTGCAAACTTTATACGGGATGTCATAAATTTTAGTAATTGTTGCAAAATGATTTGTTGTTTTCGTTTTTTTTATTTAAGAATAAAAAGAGTATCACAATACACGAATTTAATGTTATTTTAAGAACAAACATCGATCGACCCAGCTCTGTACTCTATACATCGAGCGGTCGCTATTTTTACGATCTCGCCGATCAAGTCTTTAGAAATAACACTAACTACTGTAGGTGCATTTCCAAAGCCAACAAACAACGTGGCGACCAATACAACAAAGTGTCAATAGCCAATGGTATCTTGCCTTCACCCACATGATTCTAAAAATAAATCTATATCTACCAAAACCGTGTTTTGATTAATTCTAATGTAAATATGTATACGTTTTTAGCAAAATGGTTGTTGGAGACGCAAATATTAATAATATTATGGGCGGAATTGCCAATACGGGCGTTCGATTGCACAGCTATAAAAGAAAATTGAAACAACGGTAAGTTCTGTGTCTACTCAAAATATATTTTTCTTAATTAAAACTTTTTTGGGGGCGTTTCAAAAAAGGGATTAAAACTTGGGAATAGTTTATCGTGTAAAGTTAGACTTGTATAGAATTTTTTGGCAAGTGGTTTGGGATATTTTTGGCGCGCTAACGTTTTTTGACTTATCTAATTCCTGCGGTTCAACCGACAGACGATGTAAAAGAAGTATTTTTAAATATTTGAGTCGTTGACGTAGATTTTTTTAATATTTTTTACCGTTCACCTCAATATTTTAGTTTAAATAAAAACTAATTTAATTTAGTATACATTTTTTTTGATAAATTTGTTACTAAAACCACGTAGTTTTTGGCATTCATACAAACAAACTCCTTTCCTAACTCCACGAAAATTTATCGGATTTTGTGGCGATGACGTTTCTCATTTCGCGTTATATAAAATCCTTGGAACAATTTATTTAAAATGAAATTGAATTATTTTCTTTAATTTTTTATATTCATTTAGGTTCGATATAATCAAAAAATTAGGCCAAGGTACGTACGGAAAAGTTCAATTGGGTATAAACAAGGAAACCGGACAAGAAGTTGCAATAAAAACCATCAAGAAATCAAAAATTGAAACTGAAGCTGATTTAATCAGAATCAGAAGAGAAATTCAAATAATGTCTTCTGTTAGACATCCAAATATTGTTCATATTTATGAAGGTTTGTTTATTCCAATTAAATTTCTAACATAATTAAATAACATTTTTTCTTTTAGTATTTGAAAATAGAGAAAAGATGGTTCTCGTGATGGAATACGCCGCGGGTGGTGAACTTTACGATTATTTATCAGAAAGAAAAGTGCTTGCGGAGGAGGAAGCACGGAGAATCTTCCGACAAATAGCGATAGCTTGCTATTACTGCCACAAACACAAAATTTGTCATCGAGATTTAAAACTCGAAAACATCTTATTAGACGAAAACGGAAACGCCAAAGTATAAATGCTACTACATTATTTATTATTATTTTTTAATATAACGAATCTTTTAGATTGCTGATTTTGGTTTATCAAACGTCTTCGATGACACGCGATTATTATCGACATTTTGCGGCTCTCCACTTTACGCCTCTCCTGAAATTGTTAAAGGGACGCCTTACCACGGACCGGAAGTCGACTGTTGGTCACTTGGTGTTCTTCTTTACACGCTAGTTTACGGTGCTATGCCTTTTGATGGGAGTAATTTTAAACGATTAGTCAAACAAATTTCTCAAGGAGATTATTTTGAACCTAAAAAACCTAGTCGTAAGTAACCAATCAAGTTTTTGCGGGGAAGTTAATTTAAATTTGACTTTTTTTTAGCTGCTTCACCACTTATAAAAGATATGTTAACGGTGAACCCAAAATATCGCGCCGATATCTCGGATATATGTTCCCATTGGTGGGTGAATACGGGTTACGATGAATCTGCATTAGAAATATCAGAGTATTTAGCGAATCAAACCCCCGTTCGACTCGATTATTTGTTATCGTTGGCACCACCCCCACCGCAATTAGAAAGCGATAAACTCGTTGTAACCGGTGATGTAGTTCCAGATGAAAATGTTAATAAATTGGAAAGTGTAGCACCGCCGGCTAGATCTCAATCAGTTGGTAGTTTAATGGAATTATCACATCCGGCTGAAAAGCGTATAAAAGATTTACTTTCCGAACAACAACAAGCGACAACACCATCAACAACAACGCCTAAACGTAAATTGGAATTATTATCATCGAGCACAGATCAGATTAATCAAGCGAATCGGAAAGATAAAATTATTAAAGAGAATACGATTGCTGATATTTCAGTGCATGCGACTATTCATGAACATGCTCAAGAAGAAGACGCAAATAAAGCGTGTGAACCCGCGCCGTTAGATAAAAGTCGAACTCAAACGCTATCGAAAGAAATGGATGTCGAACAATTTGAGGAATCGGAACAAGGAGCTGCGTGTGCTGAAATACTCCTCGAAGAAAAAGAAGCGAAAAAGAATGTGGATGTTAAAAAGCAGTTAAAAACCACTAAAACCGGTTCGAGTTTGGTTCCTACAAAATTAGAAGAAATCAACGAAAATCCGAGTCAAGAAAATTTATGTGATAAAGAAAATGTTATTCAAAAGAAACCGGATGAGGTACAAAAAGAAGAAAAAATTAAAGAAAATAAAACGCAAGAGAATGAAGATGAAAAATTAAAAGATAAATCACCAAGCAAGAAAGTTAAAAAAATTTTAACAGATAAAGATGACAATCGTATTGAAAGTGTTAAAAAAGAAGAGATTAAAGAAAAACTTGAAGAAAAGGAAATAAAAGATGATGAGGGTAGTAAAAAAGAAGATGTTGAAAATAAACCATTAGAACGACGAAGATCTAGAATATACGAGCAAGCGGAAAAGTTCCAAAATTTAATTGCTGCCAACGAAAGTAAAACAAACATACCGGAAAAACCGAAGAAAGTTATTTTACCTGGGGTTAATGTTGATGGTTATAAGAAACAATTTGAAAGAAAATGTAGCTTAACGTCGACCTCACCTCCGAAAGTCGCTAAGTGTAGCATACCAAAACGAATTAGTATCGATAAGCAACAAAGCGCGGATAAAGAAAAAAGTCCGGAAGAAAAAATCCAAATCGACGAGAAAAAGAAAGAAGAAGTTAAAAAAGATGTAAAAGAAAATGTTAAAGATATTAAACCAGAAAAAAATGCGAAGGTAAATAAAATTAATTTAATTAAATTAATTTTTAAGGTTATCTTATTGAATACATTGACTTAATTTTGAATTGGTTTTTAGCCTTTGGATACAAATCTAAAAGAAAAAGAAAACATTTCCGATGAAAGAAAAACTCAATTAAAAAATGCCGTAAATGTAATTTCAAACGCTTTAGAAAAAGAAGGTACTAGAAAATCAAAATCTCGTCCCTGTATAAGAAAACCCCCCGTACCTTTCGGTGTTGGTGGAAGATCAGCTTCCGGTAGTATTGGAATGATATCAACTCCTCTTTCGCCGGAAGAAACACAAAAACAATTAAAATTACAAATTAGCCCCAATAACGATACCCGAATGGCCACAGTTCAAGTTTCCACTCCAGAGCATATAAAATATGAACCCGCTTTAGAGGATAATAAAACGTCGTCCGCGGAAATAACATTAAAATCGGCTACGTTACCGCGTAGAAAAACAACTAAAGCTGAGATTCATTTGAATTATCCACAACCGAAGCCGGCGACGATGGAATTTAAGACTGAAATGGCGCATAGGATTGAAGCGCCGCAGAAATTAACCACGCAAAGAAGTGAGGCTGTGTTCCCAGTGGTTGCAGCTCCTAATTTAACGCAACGATCCGCTAGCGTTGAACCGGACACTAATAAATCAAAACCAAAAGAACGCATTATTCCGATTGCTATTGAAAAACAAGATGATAAGAAGCAAAATGTTACTGTTACGTCTCCGGGTGCTAATGTTAAACCACCAATTACTGCAGTTGGAGCTAATAAAGGGTTACAAAATCAAAAATCTTATCAATCACAAAGGTATAAATTTTTAATACATAAATTTGTATTAAAATTAATTTACTTAAATCATTTTTATTTAGATCGAGTAGTTTATCAAGACAATCAACTCAAGAATCAGATTCGGAAAATACTGTATCAGGTGCCGGAGAACCAATTCGTAAATCACCAAGGGAATATATTATTCCAATTGCAGTTGAAGGTGGTGGATATGTAACACCCCGAGCTGGAAGTCTAGAACCAAGCGAAACAGGAAGTACAACTAGCACTATTACTAATAGCAGTAGAAGGTCGAAGTTCCCAAGAAGTGCGGCTCGTAGAATGAAGTAAAATACTAACTAAAATATAAAACAAAATTTTTAATTAATTTTTCATTTTAGTTCCTTGTTGAGTGATCGCGATGGATCGGAAGATGAATCGCCGTTTGCTATTCATCGACATAGTTCGTTTGGAAGGGATAGTGATACAGAAGAATCAAGAAAAGATACTTTCCCGATGCATAGATTAAGGTTAAAAACTAAAAATTTAACTAAAATTAATTAAAAGATTTTTTATATTGCAGGAGTTCAAGACCAAGAAAATCAAATTTGGAACATACAGATTCAATGAGTTCTGGAGAAGATGATGACGATGATGGTTTTGATATTTTAACAGCAGAAAATTTGTTTTCAACACTTTTATCTCGGGTAAGGAACCCTTTGAGGGATTCTTTTGTTTTTAATAAAAATTTTTTGTATGTCATTATAGGTAAAAGATTTGACTCAACGAATAAACGTGGATGATCGGCCTGGATTTCCTAGCAGTCGTTTATTAAGCCATTTCGATCATGGCACAAATTTCTGGAACTTCAAAAGTCGTTTGGATCCTTTCTCCAGGTAAAATCCTTAAAAGCAATTTACTTTTTATTCATTCAAATAAATGAAATAAAAATAGTAAATCATCATTAACTTAAAACAAAACCCGCTTGTTTTTTACAAGCACTCGTTGCACGATTACGTATCGGAAAGAAACGAGAACAGTGACGTAAGTTACGTACAAAGTAGCTTCAGTTCACAAACACACTGTAGTGGGAGTTGATTAAATGGTAAAAATGTTTAAAAAAAGCACTTCATTTTAACCAGACACACAAATTTTTCTATTGTATTTATTTTTGATAGATAATTTTTATTGTATCATTTTTTAGAACGACACCGTTTGGGCGTACATTAAGCCAAGAACGTACAACTTCCGGTTCGAATCATTCTCCAAGACCGACAATTGGTGGGGGTGCCCCATGGAGGCGTAGCGTAAGCAGAGATCTTGCCTCGGACATCGAAAGCGTTTTTAATGACAATCAAACTCCCACACAAGCAGCCACGTTACCGAGAGGAGGTAAATTTCTTTATCTCATGTATATATATTTTTTACACGTTTATTTAAACGTAATACGTAACATGCCTGATCTTGTAGACGTTTTACTGTAGATTTTTTTTTTTTTTTGATTTTTTATGGTAATATCTATTTTTTATTTATGGAATTATGGTATATTTTTTGCACTAGTTGATATTTTGATGTTAATAATTGTAATTTTGATTAATTTATTGTTGCCATTTATTTTTTTTAATTATTTATTTTTTTAGATTATACCATGAGATTCAAAATGATTTCATTAGAAAAATAATTTATGTTTCTATGTTAATGGTTATGATTCAATAATAAAAATCATTTTGGGTCTAAAACGGTACTTCAAATATTTCGATTTTTTTCTTTTGAAGTATTAACTTTTTGTTACCTTAAATAATCTTAATTTTTTATTTAAAATTTATTTTTTTTGATTTATTTTTTTTTTATCGGCATATTCTAAATGTAGAGCAGCTCGACTTGTTTTTTTTTTAATTTTTATGTTTATTGATGAAATTGTGCAACTTCATGGGTAGATATATTGCGAATCGGGTTTGATAATCGAATATTTGGAGTATGCTGGTAAAATAAAAACGGTGGACGCACTGTGGCATGGCTGTGACGGTGTTGTGTGGTTGCAGCGAGAGTGCGCGTGATGGTGCATGTGCCCTGTGGACCCTCGGACCAGAAGGGCACCCACTAACTTTCTGCCGCCTGGCTACTACCCGCTACGACACACGATTCGGTAGGCCGCATGAAAAAAAACCTATTATACCAAACATCATCGACACCATCACCCGAACATTCAATATCACCTCCACAACTCACCATCATTTTTAATCATCAATCATTTTTTGCACATAAAGTAAAACCTCATTAAATAATATAAACGGTGTTTTTATTAAAAATTAATTCATTTCATTAAGCACCTTTTATATTACTTTTTCCGTTTTTTTTTCTTTTCTTGATGAACTATGTTTATTGAGGCTTTTTATTTTTGACACATTGGCTGTTGGGTTGAAGATCTCTTCTTTGAAGGTTGTGGATTATTACTATATTTTAGACATTAATTTTACCATAAAATAATTACCATATATTCACAATCCAAAAAATTGTTAACAATTTATCTCTTTGACAGTGACATTGAAATATCAAACACCAACCAAGTCATAAAAATTCCTAACACAAATTTTATTTAAATTTAAGGTTGTTTTTAGTAATTAATTTATAAAATTTTTATGAACCTCATATTTTAAAAGAAAATTTGTTTTAACTGACTTCCTGTAGTAAATTATGATAGGTTAATTTTCTAGAAGCTTCAAAATTGAGGTTAACAAAAAAATTTACATATGTCATTGTGGCAGTATAAGTCAATGTCATTTTGAAATTTCATTTCCCAATATTAATTTATGATTTATTGGAGTTATTACTTGAGAAATAGAGGTGTAATTTCCACAACCTTCAAAAAAAGTGTTTTTCTTTGTAGATATTTGGTATTTTAAAAGTGCACTTCAATTTTTTTAATCAAAATCGACTTTTTTATAATTTGAATTAAATTTTTTTTTGTATTTTGTATTGATTGATTTTTCTTGTGATTTTTTACGTGTGAATTGATTTTTTTGATCACTACATTTAAATTCAATTTGAATAAATTGGCTTTTTCATCCAAATTTCGATTTACATTAATCATATTCTTTCCAAGCAGCCGATGATTCATACACAAATTAATATTTCACCTCCATTAAAAAAATACAAAAAAATCTACCCCTTTAGATAAAAATCATCAACAATAAACTGTAAGTAAACACCATTTAATGTTAAACAAATTTAAAACCACCTTTTTCAAGATAAAATATTGTTCTAATTTTTGTTTGGTACTAATTTCAGATAATAAGCCAACCCAACAAGACAACCTTAATTTATCAGACCTCAACTTGAAACAATTAAAATTATCTGAAGAAGATGCGATAGCTTTGTCGTATTTAACACCAGGACTTTCAAGACGTATACAGAAACAATTATTGGCACAACTTCCTCCGTCGGAAGCAAAAAAATTAACACGAACTATGTCGATGAGAAATTCGAGGGAAAAGACACCAATCGAGGAAACAAAGAGTTTGTGTTCAGTACCAAGACGTTATTCAATCGAAAGTAACAATAAAGATTTAAGTTTACCGAGAACTAAATGTGTTAAGACGGGAACGATTTCAGAGGAACTTTACAGTAATTTACCAAAACCAAATTACAACAATAGCAATTTATTGAAAGCAAACGAGGAGGATGGTGAAAAATCTAAGATACCATCAACATTACCTAGGAAATCGCGATTTTTACGACCGGATTTTTATGATAAACCTAAAGATGATACAACGGTTAAAGACAAAGAAAAAAAAGAGCGTGAAATGGAAACTCAAAAAGTTTTAAAAGAAATTAGGGATAAAAGAAAAAGTCGATTAAATTTAAAAAGGGAAAGATCTTTATCGAGAGATACTTCAAAAAGTGAAAGTACAGAAGCAAGTGAAGAAATTAAAAATAATAATAATAATAATAAAGAAATTAATGGTAACAAAGAAATTAATATTAAATATAAACCATACATTGAAAATGTTTATGGTACAATTCCAAAGTTAAATAATTCAAAATTAATAAAACCGAAATCTTTAGAAAACGGGAATTTAGAACTTAATCAACCAGAAGATACAAATCGCATATTAAATAATGTTTCCGATTCAATTAAAACGATTGAAACAAATATAAATTCAAATAATGATTATGTTAACATTTCACCAATCGTTAATGAAGATGAAAAAATTGCTACAAAAAAAGAAATTAAAGTATCAAAATTAATGCGGCCTAAAAGTTATCCAACTGATACTTTGAAAAATGTAAAAACTGAAACGAAAAGTGACACGTTTAAAAAAGATATTGAAAAAAGTAAAATTGCAAAACCGAAAAAAAATGAAGTTAAAGATGAATTAAATGAAAAATTGGAATTTAAAGAGATGCATGAATTGAAAGAAAAACAAGAATTAAAGGAAAAACAGGAATTAAAAGAAAAGCAAGAGTTAAAGGAAAAGCAAGAATTAAAGGAAATAAAAAATAAAAGTCCGCCAAAAATAAATGGTGAAAAATCAAACAAAAATCGTTTTTTGCAATCAATTGAAAAGAAAATAGAAAAATTACGTGGTTTAAATAACGGAAATGGAAGTCGTGAGAATAGTGTAGAAAAAAAAATGTTAAAAGAAGAAAAAGAAAAAAAATCTCACATAGAAACTGCAATAAAAAAATTACGTGAACAAAGTCTACCGAGAACGATCGATCATTGTATAACTGAATCGGGATTAATAAAACGAGCTGTAAGCGTTGAAGATGTACCAAAATGTTCAACCGGAAGGAAACCGTTAGAACCATCGAGAAAATCTGTAACAAAAATACTTGGTTTATTTAAAAAATACGAAGAAAAAGATAAATCAGGGAAAAGCAAATTAAAAAAACCAAAAGAAGTTAGTAAAGCTGCTGATTGTAATAAAGATAAAGAAAGCGAAGAGAGACCGAAATCGTTTTACGAACCACCACCATTAGGAAAAATTGATGAAGCTAAAACAAAATCATCAAAATTACCAGTAAATTCATTTAGGCGTAGTTTAAATTTAGAAAATAAACCAAAAAATAAACAAATCGAAGAAAATGGTAATATAAATAACGATTTAAATTTTAATAATCACAAATTAGATCGTGCCAATTTAAAATTGGATTTATCGAAAACTATAGATATTCCCGATCAAATTCCGAGTACGAGTTCTGAAAATCGTAATTCAACCGCTACGGATGATAGTTCATTATTTTTATCACCGTGTGATGATAATGTGAGTTGTTGTGATTCGTGGTCGATTTGTTCCGATTATCACACCCACGATTTGACATCGCCCATTTCGATTAACGGAAATATATATTCGGGCGATGAAAGCGGCGAATCCGTTATTGATCGGATTCGAAGGAAAAGCTTTTACACACGATTTAATGAAAAGAAAAAAACTCCATCGAGGAAACCGTCGATTTCCGGAAGTTATCGCGATTTAGATTTGTACAAAGATTATAATAATCAAAGAAAGAGTAGTTCTTACGTGAGGAGTCCCGGAGATTATAGTTCTTTGGATCGTCGATCAGTTGATTATCGATTTCCTACTACTGAGAGAAGATTGAGTTACGGTTCATCGCAGGATTCGTCTTCGTCGCCGGTTAAAAAAGATTACAGACCGTACACGAGAAGTTCGTCGTTGTTTAACAACGATTACGTTAATGTTCCGCATCGATATCAAACGTACAATCCGAGATTAACTAAACATATTTCATCGTTGTATTCCCCGGATACCGAAGATGATGCGGTCGATGATTTAATTTCAGCTGGAAAGACGAGATTGTAAGTTACATTTTTTTTTATTTATCCTAAATAGAACATACGTTACTTTGCAAATAATTTTTTTCACATCCTGAGTGATCTGATTCATCTTTGAACTAAAAACATATATACAATAAAAATTATAATAAAATAAAATTATAATACCTGGTCATCTCTAAATATTTCGTCTTCAAAATCGTCTATATTGATGTTTATTATGATGTAAATTTACTAAAAATATTCAAAAAAAATGTATTACTTTTTTGAGGTTATGATTTTAATGTATTTAATTTTGGTTGTTGATTTGCTTACTTTACCGGTGAGATATTCGTACAATTATTTTAGATGTCTTCTATGAAAAATGTTAATACATTTTATGGAGTAAATAGAAAATTTATTATTTTTAAATAAACTATTTGACACAATTTAACATTCGCCGACATTTTGATGTTGCCAATATTAACAAATTAAAGTCCTTAATTTGATTAAGGTTATGTTAACATCTACCACATAAAATACGTTAAAAGTCGCAAAATTCTTATATTTGATTCGCCTTAAAGTATTTTAGTTGGTAAATTAATAATTAATATTAAAATTAATTTAATGTAAAATTCCATTTGATGGTTCAAATAAACACTGTGAAGTTAGCTCAATTTATTAGAAACTGTCAAATTGACAACTTCCGCTTTTGAATTAAAGTTTCTTTAATTTATTGTTTTTCTTTAGAAGCAGTTACCATTATCAACCATCAAGACTGAACGGAAGGGCATCAAGTATTTCACCATCAATAGACAAGTTATAAAAAAAGTAAAATAAGAAAAAACGATTTTTGTCATTGTTAAATCATAATCCTCGCATAAGTCATACAGTATGCAAAATCCGTATTCGAACACCCACCGAAAAATTACATAATCGCGAATTACTCTAGAATGGTAGTACAAATTTAAACTATTTTTGGTGATTTATTTCACTTATTATAGTGGATGTCTTGGTTACCTATACAGTTCATAAAATGGTTTATATTTGCAAAAAATAAAAAAATAAAGGTTTTAACTTATGGAATATGGTAATTCAGCCGAAATCTTCGTTTTATAGATGGAATATTGACTGCGAAGGGGTGTATACACATTTTGAAAAAGAAATAGAGCAATGTGCAGAAAAATGGGCATGTTTACAAGATTTTATCTTTCAACAAGATAATGATTCGAAGCATATCGCGCTAGATCTAGACTTTGGATCGTGTACAATTGTTCAGAGCACCTCAAAATACCGTCACAAAGCCCAGATCTTAACCCTATTATCAATATTGAACTGCAGAGGTAACCAGCATATCCACTTTTGCTTTTACTCTTCTAAGTGAAATAAATCAAAAAAAATATTTGAAATTTCTGCTATCATTCTTGAGTAATTCGTGATTTTCTAATATTTCGGAGAATGTTCGAATACGGATTTTGCATATGGTAAATAGAAGTTAAGAAAATGTTGAAAAAGATAAGTAATAAAATGAACTTAAAAGTAATTAAAAGAAGATAAAATTTCGTCCTTGTTAAAGTTAGATTTTAGTAAGAAAAAGAAAATAGCTTTGAAGCAACAAAAGAAAAGTGTATCTCTTTGAACTTTTAATCAAACTCCGATGAACAAAACTAGAGAAAATTGAAAATGACGACTTGTGATATGTTTTTCTTTTTATTTTGGGACGAATTCTTGCCTCGTTTTAAGTATTGCTCATAAAAAAATGATTTTCTAAAACGAAAATGTCAATTATTTTTCAGTAACAAAGATAAAACTTTAAATTTAACTTTAAAGTGTTGAAATAAATAATTACACGGTAAATAGTAAGAGAAGTTACAAAAGTCTAGTCGAACTTAATCAAAAATTAAACTTAAAAGTTGCCGTCTGATACGTTATGGTTGTTTTTTTAAGTAGAACTAAGCGAAAAAGAAAAAAATTAATAGATTTTTACAGGTTAATAGAAGTAATAATTTTCAGCATGTTAAATGTTGTTTGCGTTTCCCTATTTTTATTAATTATTTTTTTCTTTCTTTGTTCAAGATGTTTCAATAATTTTTAACGAATTATTTTTGACTCAAATTAATGAATTTATTGAGTTATCTTGAATTTTTTATGTTCTCTCTAAATAGAGATTAGTTTGTTTGAGAATTTATTATTATTTATTGACTTATTTATTTATAATTTCGGTTATATTAATAAAAAGTAATGTTTTCTCATTATGTGGTTGAATTGATTGGCTTTATAAATAATTTTTTTATATAATAAAATTGTTAAGAATGTTATAAATAAATAAAACTCATCTAAACGATAAATTAATATCTTTTTAACAAAAATCATTTTGTCTCTATACATTTATTTAAATATCTCGTTATTATAAAGATTTATTTTTCTCTTTTTTTTGTTAATAACTACTACTAAATAATTTATTATTAGTGCATTCTTTTTTTTGAGTAATAATTTATTAACATCATCATCCAAGATAAAAATTCAATTTGAACGAAAGATGTATTTTTAGGTATAAATATTTACCCCAGTTTTTTCTTCTTTTTCTTGTGTGAACTGTTAGATATTATATGTTGAATTTTGTGATTTTATAAAAAAAAAAATAAAATACATTTATATAATTTTTGTATGATTTTATTCTTTAATTTCATCGATTCTTTTCATCACAAATTGTAAACAATTCCGGTACCTTTTAGTACCAAGCACCAAACCTTGACATTAGAAAACCTTAACAGCAAATTAATCGATTCTAACAAAACGATGCAGTCTTTTTGATGAAAAAAAGAAGATGGGTCAACGCTGTTTTAAGTGTTGCACAAAACGAAAAAGAAAAATACAAACAGGTGGCTCAATCTTAGACCGTGTAATCAGCCAGGCAAGCAACAAAGATCAATGTTTATTATACAAATTAGCAAATTATAAAAAAGGTGACAATAAAAACTTACAAAAACAATTTCAATAAAATTAATACTTTTTAGGTGGTGAATTAATCGACGCTTACACAATCGGTGGTCAAACAGAAATCGAAAAATTACTCAAAGACCAATTTGGCCAATTCATGTACCAAGAAGGTAAAGGTCAAATAATAAACAGAGCTGAATACCTAAGATGGAAATTTCGCGATCACGAACAAGTTACATTACCAATCGAGGCTTCCTTAAGCCCTCACGATCCTCTGGCGAAATGGGAAGATCACGAAGCTTGCTGGCAAATGCAATTTAGAGGGTCTTTAGGCGAAACCCTTATTCACGTGCTCATCATCTGCGATACAAAAATCCACACCCGTTTAGCTAGAACCTTAATAAAATGCTTTCCTAAACTTGCCTTAGACATCGTCGAAGGCGAAGAATATTTAGGTGCGAGCGCTTTACATTTAGCGATTGCATACAATAACAACGAGTTGGTTCAAGATTTAATTGATGCTGGAGCTAATGTTAATCAACGAGCTGTTGGTAGTTTCTTTTTACCGAGAGATCAACAGAAACCAAAACCAGCAAAACACACCGATTATGAAGGTTTAGCTTATTTAGGCGAGTATCCTTTAGCTTGGGCTGCTTGTTGCGCTAATGAAAGCGTTTATAATTTATTACTCGATGTTGGTGCTAATCCTGATTTTCAAGATAATTTTGGAAATATGATATTGCATATGGTTGTTGTTTGCGATAAATTAGTAAGTATTTATTTATTTTTAATTTAAACACTTTGTGTTGAGTTATTTTAAAACATAAGAGGTGGCGCTATATGAATTAAGAAATGATTCAACAATAAAAGATAGGCTTTAATTTGTTTATTAATATTTATTAATTTGTGTTAAAACGATTTTAACGATAATAAAACTAAAAATTTGTGAAATTTATAAATAAAAAATTTTTTAATTATAATTTAATTACAAGGTTGGTAACAAAATGTCATTTTAAACCATTTTAAATTTAACTATTTTTTTAAGGATATGTTTGGATATGCTTTGAGACATCCTAAACTTCCTGCAAGTAACGGAATAAGTAATAAAGCTGGTTTAACTCCTTTAACCCTTGCTTGCAAATTAGGTTTGTTTCATTTTTTTAACAAAGAACACTTTTATATAATTTTTTTTAAGGTCGCGCTGAAGTATTTCGAGAAATGTTAGAGTTATCAGCAAAAGAATTTTGGAGATACAGCAATATTACATGTTCAGCTTATTCATTAAATGCACTAGATACGCTTCTTCCAAATGGAATGACCAGTAAATATCTAATTAATCAACAAAATTTCGAAATTACAACAAACACTTTTTTAGATTGGAATTCAGCTTTGTTTATTATATTGAATGGTACAAAACAAGAACATTTAGATATGTTGGATGGTGGAATTATACAAAGATTATTAGAAGAGAAATGGAAAACTTTTGCTCGTGTAAAAAAGCTACTTATTCATTACGTTTTATTTTCTTAAATTATGTTTTTAGAATCAATTTTTAAAACGACTTTTAATCTTGATGATTCACCTCCTATTTCTTTCTTCTGCGATCTATTTAAGGCCGGACGATCCAGATATAAATTTATTATCGCCTCCAGTAGATCCAACAGATTACGCAAGATATATTTGTGAAACTTGCACAATTTTATGCGTTTTAAGTTATTTGATTTTTCAACAAGGAGATGAAATTCGTAATCAAGGGTTTTTAGCGTTTCTAAAGCAACAGGTGACATATAGTTGTATAAAACATAAAGATATTAATTCTTTTTTTGTAGTCAAATTCACCACCAAAAACAATTTTTTTAATTTCCAATATTTTAATTTTGGCTTGTATACCATGTCGATTAAGTAATGACAGACAATCAGAAGAGGCTATTTTATGTTTTGCTTTACCTGGATCTTGGTTTTTATTAATGTTTTTCGCTGGGTGAATAATTTTCTTTAATTAATAAGTGAATTAAACGTTAAAGAAAATAATATATTATTTTAGTGCTGTACGTTTAACTGGACCATTCGTAACGATGATTTATAGTATGATAACGGGTGATATGTTAACATTTGGGATTATTTATACGATTGTTTTGTTTGGATTTTCGCAATCGTTTTACTTCTTATACAAAGGATTTCCAAACGTCAAAGGAACCTTGTATAACAGTTATATTTCGACGTGGATGGCGTTGTTTCAAATTACCTTAGGAAATTATGATGTATTTAATTAAATCAATTTGATTATTAAAAAATTAATAATAATTTAATTTAGTACCAAGAATTATCATTGACAACGTATCCGGGTTTAAGTAAAGCTGTATTTGGGCTTTTTATGGTTTTTGTACCAATTTTATTATTAAATATGTTAATCGCTATGATGGGAAATACATACGCTCACGTTATCGAGCAAAGTGAAAAGGAATGGATGAAACAAGTAATGCAATTTTTACATAAAATTTATAAATAAAGCAATTGTTTTATAGTGGGCAAAAATTGTGATAACTTTAGAACGGGCAATTCCTCAAAGTGATGCTCAACAATATCTTCAAGAATATAGTATATCTTTGGGGCCAAGCGATGATCCCACTACGGAACAAAGAGGAGTAATGGTAATCAAATCTAAGAGTAAAACTCGCGCAAAACAACGTAAAGGTGCTGTAGCGAACTGGAAAAGAGTTGGGAAAGTTACGATAAATGCCTTAAAAAAAAGAAATATGACCGGAGAAGAAATGCGGGGTCTCATGTGGGGGCGAGAATCATTAAATACACCAATAAAGAAAAAGGGGTAAAAAAATTATTTAAAATTAAGATTATGTGTAATAAATAAATCAATATATGTTATTTATAGAGCTCAAAATGTTAATACAAACCAAACCGATCATCCAGGAGCTTTCAGTGGGGCTTTAACAGCAGCTTTAGATGTTATGGCATTCACCCAAGATTTAAATTTAACCCAATCGCTTAATGAGCAACAACAAAAATCGTTAAATCAACAAATCCCTAAACAAAATCAAGGAGACGTTTGTTTAAATAATCAAATTAATGCAGTTATATCAAGCGGAGTTAAAGAACTTTCAGCAACCTCGATTTTTAATCCGTTCACGCCTTTAATAAATGACGCAACGAATGAAAAAGAAATTGAGACAAATCAAAATGTGGTTAATGTAGAAATTGATCCCTTACGAGAACTTGTTTTATGTTCGAAAAGTAAATGTGAACGGGAAAAATTAGAAGATTTAGCCACAAAAGCTGCGAATATCACCAATGTTGAAGAAATAACATTGAAGAATCCGGTTAGTGTTAAAAATGTGGCTGGGATTTTTGCTGGAACAGAAGCGTTTGTAAAGAAAGTTGAAGCTACGATTAAACAAAAATACTCTACGTTAGAGCCGAGTGATAGTGAAGGATTCGGAGGTAAAAAGAAATAAATTAAAATTATTTAATTAACCTTTTTATATGTTTTAGAGGTTCCTTTATTGGGTAGGATTTCAAGAACGCGTCGTGCTAAATCAGCAAGCACACGAAACTCTTCCAGTAAATCAAAATCGTCGGATAAACGTCTTTTATTTCACAATTCCGAGTCGAGTTCATCTGAAACGATTACGAATGCAGCGGTAAAAGATGAAGAAGAAAAATCGGAAGATAAATTAGATTACGCTGAAGAACGTATTAAACAAGTTAAAGAATCTTTAAAACAATGCGAATGCGTCGAAAGTTTAAGACCCTATAATATTGATGTTGCTTTAGGAGCCGATAAATTGTAAATAAATCAATAAATAAAAATTAATGATTCTTTTTGCAACTTATTTTATTTATAGAATAGTTGCGCTTGTTGAAGATGTTGGGAATGAAGTAAAACGACCCGGGAAAAGGCACAAAAGAAAAAAGAGACCGAAAACTGCTGGCCATGGAAATAGGTGGATAATTTATTAATTAAATAATTTTAATTTAATCTATTTTATTTTATTAGAGTTGCCCCAACAGTTGATGTAATGCCAAGAAGTTGTGAATCGGCAAATAATAAAGTTTATTCTGACGAACCAGATTCGCCACCGGATCCGTTAGAACCTTGGAGTACGCGAGGAATTGCAAATATGAATAAGATTTTAGCATGGGAGAATGAACACGATAGTATGTAAATTGTAAATATTTCATCTAAAATAAAAATCATTCAAAGATGTCAGGTGATAAAATATATATTTTTTCATTCATCAAGAAAAGAAATAAAAATTAAGAAATGCATTACACAAAACACTACAAAAAAAAATTTAAAATAGCAATACATTTTTTCTTCTAATATTATGATAATAAATACTTTTACATCCACGATAACTAGTCACCATGTAGAAAATAATTATGAGCAATACCTCCAAATCACGATTTTTGAATTAGCTATGATTAAGATACCGTTATCTAAATGTATGATTCAAAATAAAAATAACTTGGCAAAAAGTAAATTGTTATACATATTCTTTACTTCCTTTTGAGCATATTTAAATTTCCGATTGAGTTTTTGTCATACGTTTGGGACCTCTACCAGGGGGGCCTTTTGGTTTAGCAAATTTTGGACGATGAAGATTTTTGGTTGGATGAATTTCCTCATAAATGAATTTTTCGGTTAATTCGGAACCTGAATCAATTTCCAACTAAAAAATATTAATAAGTATCTTAATTATAAGTTAGGTTTAAAATACCTTTTTGGAAATTTCCACTCCCCAACTGCTTATTGTATCTGTAAATGTTGCCTTACAGCTAGAATATAACATTCGTTCTTTAATTGAACAGCTGTATCCAGGCATTGAATAAATAAAAACTAAAAAAAAAAAAAAATTAATTATCTTATAATTTCCTGTATATCTTCTTCGTACCAATACTTTCCATATAATCGCCTTCATGAGTATGTTTAAATTTAAATAAATGATACCTTGCATTTCCTTCAGGAACTTTCGATGGTAATTTTTCTATATTTAAATTTTCTGCAGTCACTAAATGTATTTTTTCTTCATCTACATCTTAAATAAATTCAACAAAACTTATTAAACAAAAAAATAATGTAATTAAATTTGTGAATTTACCAATTCTAAATTGTAAGTAATCATAGGAACCTTGTGCCATATCTTTAATAGCTTGTTGAGCACTCTCTGCAATAGGAAATTGTACACCCCCTAAAGTTTGATGTTTAGACACCGCGGATATATCTGTATTAATTTCTGTACGCTTAATTTCTTGAAGTTCTTCTTCTCGAGTTGTTAATGGAGCTGGAGCTAAAGTTGAATTTTTATAAGATTTATATCCTTCCAAAGTTATTTCATTCTATAAAAAAATACACATTTTTTTATTTGTTATAACCTAAAACTGAAATATTGAATTTACCATAATAGTACAATGAATTTCTTCTTTGATCTGAGCACTACCAAATTCTTGTTTTAATGTAGCTTTTGTTGAAGCATACAACATTTTTTGCCGTATCGGAGCAGTATCGGGAGACCAACTCAACAAAAGCCATTCATAACCAGACGAGTTTTTCGAATCCAAACGAAATAAAATATAACACGGCTGATTTTCCTCAATTAAAGGTACAATCATTTTTTCGTAATCTTGTTCCCATCCATGTTTAACTTTCTTATCTTCTGATAGTTTCAACACCTCTATAAATAAAAATAACACAAAAAGAATGCTTTAAATCAAACCGTATTGTTTATTACCGTTTTCGATAGAGATCTTTAATACCCGTAATTTGCCGTCTTTGCATTTTGCGAAAATCTTTCTTAGTTGTTCATTAGCTTAAGGAAAGTAATTTATGAAATTATTACGCGATCAAATTATTGGTTTATACGATTTTTACCTTGAATTCCGGTTTGATGGGACATCACGTTGTTTTAATTTTGCGATATTTTAAAACCGTACGAAATTATTTTAGATTTTTATGCACCCACATACGATTTATCAGTACAAGTTTTCCATAAAGTGATTTTTGCGCCGGTTTAGGGTATTTTGATTTTTTGATTAACTTTTTAAAATTTTATTTTTATTCCAAACAATTAATTTTACTCGCCTAATACCTGCTACATAAACAATTAAACGTAATTATTAATATAAAACTAAAACAACTCAATTTTTTTAAACAATAAACGGAAAATTTAATGATTTTTGCACCATTTTAGGGATTTTGGAATTGTTTGTTTTATCAAAGATAATTATTATTTCCTTATAATCTAAAAGATTAATAAATTATACTTTATTGCGATAACTTAATGAAAACAACCCGCCCTTCATTCAAATTATTTAAATTAAAATTAAAATATATGACTTTTCGATAACATCTGGTTCCATGATGTCTAAGTTTGTGACTAACTTCATTCTATTAAGTAAACAGAAAATACAAATATTACAACAAATTTTTTAAATAAATATCTTATTAAATCAATATTATATGATATAGTTTATGAAAAAGGATGGGTAAATTATTGAAAACTGCGATATTTACCATATAAATTTGATTGTATAACATAAAGAATTTTTTAGGTTATAACAACTATGTTGTCTTAAGAACCAGGTAAAAAGACGATGGAAGAGTCTAAATCAATGACTTTCGTGTGCCAAGAAATGGCCTCGAGCATGTTTCAAAAGCTCTTTGAACAGAAAAAGTCGAATCGCTTCTGTGATTTAACATTATATGTGAATAATAGAATTATTAAGGCGCATAGGAGCGTTTTGGCCTGCGGAAGTCCTTATTTCGATTCGATACTAAAACATCACAAAATCGTTCGTGAAGAGTTAACAGTAAATTGTTTGGATGTTGATATTTTAGATACAATCATTAATTTCATGTATACAGGACAAATATCAATTGAATATTCAAATGTAGAGGAATTATTAAAATTAGCCGATTATTTTATTATGACAAAAGTCATTGAGTACTGTATAGAATTTTTGGGTACAAAATTAAGTTTATATAATTGTTTATTCACTTATAATTTAACTCAAAGCTTTAAATTAAAACAATTAGGTCATTTAGTTGAAAATTGGATTATCACTCATATTAACGAGGTTTGTGATGGTGGAGAAATACTTAATTTAAATTGTTATGAACTACAAGATTTTTTAAGAAATAAGGTTTGAAATTTCTGTTTATAATTGTTTTTGAAACTTTAATACATTTTTTTTAGGTTTTTGTGATTCCCGTTTATAAAGCATTAAGAATAATATCCGATTGGGTATTAAAAAATCAAGATGTTAGAGAAAAAGACTTTTTAAAATTATTATATTGTATTCAATGGAATATTGCTGATCAAAACGATATTTTTAAGCATGTTGAAACTTGCCCTTTGTACGGTAAAAGCGAACTGTGCTTTTTCTTTTTCTTAACAGCCTTAGCTCAAAATAATATCTTAACACCAAATTTTAAGAATAGATATGATGTTTTAAGCGTTAAATATGAACATGTAAGCCATTAAACCACATAAATACAATAAAATGTAATAACTTTTTTTAGGCGTTAAAAATTGATGATAGAAATGATAATTATAAACAAGAATGTCGAATTAGCGTAATGGAAAAAGATTCTAGTGTATGTAGTTCCTCCATTGTTAAAGCTAAGCAAAAAAATCGGAAACAACAATTACTTAAAAGGCTTATGTTTGGATTAAAACCAAGTTTACGGATGGCTGCTTTAAAATTATTTACAAACAAAAAGAAAAGTATAACAGAAAATATCATCGAAAATGGGAAAGGTTAAATTTAATTCTTCTTTGAGGTTATGTTTAATAAATATTTTTAGAATCCGAATCGGATGAAAAAGTTGGGGTAAAATGTCCGGTTTGTTTCACAAACATAAACGACAGTTTACTATTGGAACAACACTTGGCTTTAAGTCATGCTAAAGATGTAACATACAAATGTGGAATTTGTAATTTTGTCTGTCAATATCACGGAGATTATCTTAATCATATGAAAACACATTTTTCCGGACCACCATTCAAATGCGATTATTGTAAGGTTAATGATCTTTAAACAATTGATGTTAAAGAATTTTTATTGCTAGGTGACTTCAGTAACGATCAAATAGCGAAATTAATTTCACATCGAGCGAAACACCTCCAAGAATCGTTCTATCAATGTACATTTTGTTCATTCAAGTGCCGTCAAAAACAGAACTTCGTCGCCCATCTAAAAATACATACCCCCGAGAAAACACACAAATGTGATACATGTTCAAAATCTTTCAAGTACAAACACAACTTGGAAAATCATGTTCAAACACATAATAATATGGAAAAATCTTTGAGTTGCGATTCTTGTGGGTTTCATACGAAGTATATGAGTCATATGATTGCTCATAAAAGAATACATGCTGGTAAATATTTATTTATTATTAACCTCAATTAAGGTTATGTCTAGGACTGTAGAATCTAAAAGGACTACTATGTGTCGCTTATACGAGGAATTTCACCTAAAATGTAATATACAAACATATATTTCCATAGAAACCAGGATGTACCTACTTACTAGGTCTAGTGTTAGTTCTAGTTTTACACTAGGACTATCACTAGAAGTGACCTACTATCCACTAAGACTTAGAATCATTTGGATTTAGCCGTCTTGAGAGACGTGCGGCTAAATCCGAATGTTTCTAGATCTGGGTCTAGTGTTAGTTCTAGTTTTAATTGTTATTCAGCGTTAAATTGTAGTATATTTTTATTGAATGAAAGGTAGAACACTAAACCTAGAACTAGAAACAAAGGTTAAGGTTTAAAGGTGTTTCACTTAAAACTCCCAGGCCAAGTATCTCTGGCATGAGTTGTAATATTATAGTTTTGTAAGAAGTTGTTGCTAGAGTTCGTAAATGTCTTCAGTTCTTAACTATAAGCCATCTTAAGAGACGCCAAGAAACCCCAATGTTTTTAGTTTTAGGTCTAGTATCAGTTCTAGTGCTAGTGTAAGCTCTAGTTTCAGTGTTATTCTCTGGATGTAGCAGTCCTCTTAGGTTAAATTAATGATATGCAATTATTAATTACAATTATTAATATTTATTTTAGGTGATATTTATAGATGTTCATATCCACATTGTAAATATTCAACATCTAAAAAGAATCAATTAGCAACGCATGCGAAAACTCATAACGGAGTTCGTCCCCATTCTTGTACAATTTGCGGTCGTGGTTTTATGGAAAAATCTCATTTGGTACGTCACGAAAGGATTCATTTAGAAGAAAAACCGTTTAAATGTTCGAGTTGTGATTATGCGAGTTCCCGACGTGACAAACTAAAAGAACATTTTACGCGACATCATGGCGAAAACGCCTCGGCTAAAGTACCTTATAAAGCGAGACCAATGAGAAATAATCCACGGCCCAAATCTCAACCGCCTCAAGAAAACGCAACGGCAAATGGGAATGTGAGTTTTCCAACGGCGAATAATAATTCTTCGTCGACGGTGACGCAACCTATCGGGACGGAAATACAAGATTTAATAATGCATCATCAAAATCATCCGATTTCTTCGACAACTGGAAATATTCCTGCGATAAATCCGAATTATCATCACTTTGGTGATCCAGCTGATTTTCATCATCATTCGCACGCGCACAATATTCAACATCAAATTTTGGCTTCTGGACATAACCAACGGATTTCACAACATTCGAATAATGTTGTTAATCATCACATGCTCGGAAGGGGAAATCATTCGACTGCTACTTCTACAGCAGCTGCTGTCGCTGCTGCTATGATGTTAGATCCAAGATTTCATCATAATTCTACAGTAACAACATAATATATTACACAAATTACTTTTTTAATTAATTTATTATTGCGTTTAGGTACCTTATCACCCAACAACGACACCAGTTTCAATGGCTATGGCAGCAGTTCAAAGTTCACAGCAAATTCAAGGTTCTAGTCAACACGGCGAATATCCACCGTCGTTACAAAATTGTATGACGCTTTTTTAATTAAGTTCGAAAAGATTTTTAACAAAGAATTGTTTTCTATTTGATTTTTATTTAATCTAGTCAATTTTATGGTAAAAATTATATCTTACAAAGAATTTATGATTAAGATAGGGAGTTTTTGCATTTTATGCTAACACAACTTGTATTAATATATAAGAACGTTTGATAAAAACATTAAAATAATAAAAATTAAATTGAATTAAATATGGGGTTGTAGTGTAACTTTGTATAAATAGCGCACAGCGAGAGGAAATGTAGTTTTTTTTTGTTAAATTTTGTTTAAATTTATTGTTAAAAGTTATTTCTAATATTTTATTTTTTTAATTACATTTATATTATTACAGTTTCAAATAGTTTTAAATTCTAAAGATTATTTTTGTTAAGAAAGATGGAAATGATTGCTTAAATCTCCAATGAGATTGGTCCAGCTTTCGATTTTATCTTTCTTTTTAAATTAATTTTTTTTGTGATAAATAAAAAACTATTTTAGAAAACTTTATGCTTGTAAAGCTGGTCTTTCGCATTTTCCTTGAAGATTTTCATTAGTTTCTGCATATCCAGTACCACCCTATATAAAATAAGAATTAAAAAAAAATTAACCTCAAAGAAAAACTTACTCTTTGAAAGATGATAATATCTTTTTCATTTAATTTTTGGTTTGTTAAAGGATGAATCCAGTCCTTTTTAATAATTTTTTCGACACATTCTAATGTAACAACATCACCGCTGAAAAAAAAGTAATGTATAATCAGAAATTACATTGCAAGAAATGTTTACGTTGGTTTTAAAACTGCACATGGTACAGAATTGCTTAAAATGTCGTGAGTAACAGCACACATATAACGATTTTGTTTAATTATTAATGATTTTTTATCGCTGGGATCTTTAACTGATGTAAATTTGACGTCTATTAAATCCTTTGACTTTAATGGTTTTCCAGATATTGGACACAGCACAATGTTTTTCTAAAAATTAAAAAAGAATTAAAAAGGAATCAAGATAAATATGAATTAATATTACAGGTTTTTCTAATTTGCTTTTTTTAGCCGATGGTGTTTCTGATGGAACCCAAAAACTTGGTAAAACTTTATCACGACCATCAGTCATATTTGAGATGGACGTTGATGGTGCTTCATCTGGTTTAAATGGATCAATGGGTTTACTAACTATATTATTTTCCGTTTTTAAAAATTTATTAATTTTATTAGTTGTTTCGGCTAAATTCAACTCTGCATTTTCTTCTTCTTCTTTTTTACTCAATCTTTCATACTCCTTAACTTTACGGCAATAATCAACTTTTTTTGTTACCATGTACTGCAAAATTACTTCCTTATCAAATAATATTCCATCTTTCCTACACAAAAATAATTTTAAATTATAAACTTACAACTTCTTTATTTTATTTATATTTACGTTATAACTGGATTTCGGCAAGGTTGTAAAGACAACGAACAACAATCGAAATCTTTTACGGAGTCTTTACCTAACCTTTGCTTATTTGTTCCATAACCAGAAGCAGCAGCGTCTTTTTTCTTTTCGTGATATGTGTAAACAGCACCCGCAGTACAATTTCTTGCATGTCTCGTCATCTTTAACTATTTTATAAGATATTTAATTATATTAACAGTCAAATAAATATTAATGACGTTTTTATTCTAACCTCAAAGATAGAAATGTCAACAAAAAATGTAGCGCTATCTAGTGACAAAAGAAAATAATTAATTTTTAATACAGTGAAATATACCCAAATAATAATTACTTAGTAATAAAAAATTAACATTACACTTTTCTTTTTATATTTATTAAATGAAATGTACGAAATGTTTAAATTTTAAAAAAGATACAAGTTGCTTATTGCAAAAAAAAATTGTGTACAACGTCATCTGTCAACCAAAATATTATTTAATTTGAAATTTAATTTTTGACAATCTCAAGGTTTTAACAAAATTTTAGTAAATTGAAATAAATTCTAATATACATATACATTAATACAACATGTCTCCTTCTCCACAACAAGATAATTCAGAAAATTGCGGAGGCGTTTATGGTCCAGTAATGTGTCCCGTTTTATATCAAGGATGGTGTTTCCGAGAAGTAACTCTCTACATTGCACAACCCGCAAAGCCTTTAAATCCCTGCGAATGGATTCCTAGTAAAACGTGTCCACCTGGACAATAACATCTCTTATAAATATTATTATTTTTTATAATTGTATGCTAAATCTGTTTATTAAATAATAATACGATGATATACTGCTTTTTTTCTTTTTATTTTTCGATGCTTTATATAATTTTAAATATATTATATTAAATAATTTTAAGTTTAAGGAAACTAGTTAACGTGAAAATATTTATATAAACAATTGATTATTACAATTTTAAAATTTTTGACAATTACTCAAAATTTCAGCAAATTTATATAAAACATGCCTTCTAATACACCACCAAATAGTTCTCAATGTAAAACATACACTGGTCCTTTCTTGTGTCCTTTTCTATATCAAGGATGGTGTTTCAAATTTTTTCGGGAGATAGCACTTCTCTCCTCACAACCTACACCGGCTGCTGAAATGTATGATTCATCCTCAAGTGACACTAGTCTGGATGAATCTGAATAGTCACCTTGTTATTACTTTAAGTAATTGTACCAGAAATTGTATGTTAATATTATTTATTAATTAATAAAATTACATGCTGTATTTAAAATAGTTTCACCTTTCTCGAATTTATCACCTCCAGGTAGAAAAGGAGGGGTAAATTCTCGATATGCTAAACAAACTCTTGTTGATTTTATATCTTCACGTAATATCCTATGTTCCCATTCATATCGAGCACTGCCAAACATCACCAATAAAGATCTCCTTGGCATGGGAACACGAATAACTGGATAAGAGTCGAATTTTTGTTGTTGTATTATTTTAAAAGAATCATAATTTTTGTTATAATCCCCATTTTCTAATAAAACGGAAGGATAAGTTGAAACATCTTCCAAATTATACCTTTGAAGTTTTGAATTAAACGTCATCGTTAATACGGAGTCAGCAGCCAAATTAACACTAACAATTCGTTCACCCCAAACCCAGCAATCATCAATATGGGGGTCAATAGAAGCGCCTCGTTGTGGATTGTACTCCAACGAACATTGTTCGATCGTTTTAAAATTATTTAAAATCTTAATTTGTTTAAATTTTTCTTGGACAAATTCGCTGAACTTTGGAAAACCTTTAAAGTCGCCCAATTGAATCTTTTTCTTTTTGAAATTACATTTAGGGCCGTAGTTTTGTTTTCTTCTACCACTTTGTGAATGAACCCATGGAATATTATCTATACCATTTAATAAAGCTTCTTCTTCGCTTTGAGACAGAAAATCTAATTTAATATAAATCCCCGGAAACTCGTAAGACTTCTTTCCTCCATGGTTTGGGTGTTCTTCATAATCAAAACATTCCCAACCTTCAAATGATTTATTGCAAAACGGGCAATAAACGTAACTCCCATTTTCTAGGTTTAAATCAGTGTCTTTTTGTATTTTATGTTCAGTTTCGCATAAAAGACAGGTTCTTATCCCTTTGCAACCGCACGATCGACACGTTTCCATTTTTTTATTTGAGGTTATGTTAAGTTTTATGAAAGTTGTTTTCGTAAATATGTTTTTTAAGATTATCTTAGCGGTTTTAAAACATAAAAATAAATCAATACTATTTAATTTCCAACATAAAGATTAATAATCCTATTTCTGCGAGATTAAATAAAGAAGAAATTCTTAAATTACATTTTAAGGTTAGGATTAATGTCAAAGAAAAAACCATTTAAATTAATAACTTAGTGTTTTATTATTATTCATTATTAAAGCACAAGGGGTGAATTAATCCTCATAAACCCAAGTTGTAGTAGCAGGTGTCCAGCCAATAACTTCTTTTTCAGTGAACCATAACCCAATTTCTTTTTGGGCAGATTCAACGGAATCAGAACCGTGGATGATGTTTCTGCCTACTTGGATGCAAAGATCACCCCTGATAGTACCTGGAGCACTATCGGCTGGGTTGGTAGCACCTAACATAACTCTACCAGTTTTAACGGCATTTAAACCTTCCCAAACCATCGGAACAACCGGTCCACTGCTCATGTATTTTACTAAGCCAGGGAAAAACGGCCTAGATGCTAAATCGGCGTAGTGCTTCTTGAGAAGTTCTTCGGAAGGCTATTTAAAAACAATATTTTCATTGCGATTAAAAAAAATTAGGAAATTAATTAAGAAAGAAGTTAAAACATACCCACGTGAATTTAAGTGCAACCAATTTAAACCCCTTTTCTTCGAAGCGTTTGATGATTTTACCTACAAGGCCCCTTTGAACACCGTCTGGTTTTACCATAATAAAAGTTCTTTCGCGTGCTTCCGCCATTGCTTTTGAAAATAAAGAGAAAATGGCCAATAAGGTACAGATCATACAACCGTTGACGGACAAATGAACGAGACGATGTGGTTAGGTGGCCCGCGAAGCGAAGCTCTACTACGTAATTCCAGTTTTATATTTAAAAATAGCACTTCAATTACGAAGTTTCTATCTTTCTCTTACTTTAACGGCGAAATAGGCTGAAGATTATTTGGAGGACACGAAAGGTTTCGTTATCGACAAAATTTAATCGAATTTATTTAGGTTTGTATCCCTGCTTTTTCAGTGGGGGTAATCGGATAAAGGTTTGAATTATTAATGTATAGGTAAAGATAATTATATAGGAATATTGTGTATAATTCTTTTAAAATAGCTTATTAATATTGAATTTATTATAAAAAATATTATTTTTAAACTAAAGATGGCTAAAAATTTGTAAATTAAATGACCTCGTTCCTGATTGGTTGAATGCTTGCTTGACAGCGCTTTGAACTTATAGGTTATGCATATGTTACCGACTCTTGAATTAAATTAGTTCTTATAATCTATAGAAATTAAAGTAACTCGCATTTTTATAAGCAGTATATCATTCAGGATGAAAACTCAATAAAAATGACTGAGTTTGTTGATAAAAATATGTGGGTAAGATTAATGTTTTAAAAATTATACCTTAATACGTTCGCGGACAGTAAAAATTTCATGCCATTCTACACAATTATAAAAATGAATGCTATAGTATTCACGTCCGCGAACGTGTTAAATATTCTACCGGGAACTTCATATAACTCGTAATATGTGAATGCTGTAATCATAGTTACGAAACTACTGTGCGCTTGCACTGCCCCACATAAAATGCAATAGTTAATAGTACAAGCATTGGGTAGTTTTGCAAAGGAAAAGTTTTGCTTGGAAAAAGGTAACTTATGACAACCCTGAGTTTTCGGCCGTCTTAAGAGACGCACGGCTAAACCCGAATATTTCAGGTTCTAGGTCTAGTGTTAGTTCTACTATTCGTTCAATAAAAATATACCACAATCTAACGCTGAATAACAATTAAAACTAGAACTAACACTAGACCTAGAACTACGATCATTTGGGTTTAGCCGTCTTGAGAGACCAGCGGTCTTGTGTTAGTTCTAGTGATAGTGCTAACTAGAACTAACACTAAACTTAGAACTAGAAACATTCGGCTTTAGCCGCACGTCTCTCAAGACGGCTAAACCCAACCGATTCTAGTTCCAGGTCTTGTCTTAGTTCTAGTGATAGTGCTAGTGTAAAACTAGAACTAACACTAGACCTAGAACAAGAAACAGTTCTAGTTAGTGTGTCAAAGGACTGGAATATCGCCAATAACTTCGCCATTTGTGGTTTTAAAGAAAAATGTTTCAAATAAAAGTTTCTTGTTGACAAAATGTTTCCTTTTGACATTTAAAGCTGTCAACGGCGTTATTTTGGCGCCTACTTTGATTACAATTTGTGGATCTAATATTTTCAGAGAACGCATTTTTTCTCGATTTTTTTCTTATACAACCATATGATTTGATATGTTCATCGCGTAGAGGAATTTATCCTCTATCAAAATATGCCAAAAAAGCACATGCATGTCATTTAAAATAACAATGTTGATTGCCATACCAACGAAACAAAAAACAATGTAAGCAAGCAAATACCTTCAAAAAATGCCCCACAATTAATAAAGAATCTTTTATTTGAAACATATCTCTTTACCACAAATGGCGAAGTTGTTGGCTATATTCCAGACATTTCGTAATAATATTTCGTTATTTTAAATAAAATTGTTAAAATTGAAACGGAAAGATGGCGCTAACATTTCGTTCCCCACTACCAGCATCGCCAACCCTAAAATCTAAAATCCTCTCAAGTACATGTCCATACGCATAATTGATTATTTCATTGCGTTTGTCCGTTAGATGAAATTTCCGCGTCGTCGTTTGTTCTTTTAATTCGAACCACGGTAAGTTTTCCTTAAAATGAAAAAGGTTTAATTTTTTCCGTGTTATGCGTCGACTTCCGGTTACGGAATTTTCCTCTGGTCCGATGTTCGACCAATCAGCGTTAAGCGTTTGCTGTACCGTTACGTTCCTATTTTATTGTTTTTTTTTGTACGAACGCTAGTCTGACATCTTTATTTTCGCAAATCGATTCGGTTAAAACCAAGCGAGGTGTCAAGACGAACCCGGTATTTCCTCGTAATATTTTATTAATAAACTGAATAGTAAAGGGAAATAGTGTATGAAAAGATAATTTCGGTATGCAGGCCCCTCAACAAGTCTGTGTGAATGCGCAGAATAGCACTACTTCGGTAGGACCCGTTGGTAATCAAGTGATTGTGAAGATGAGCGAACTTCCACAACTTTCATCTGTGGGTGAGTAATTTTTAAAAATACATTTCGTTAAAATCTATCAAAAATAAAGCAATACTGGATATAAAAATGTCCGTTTTTCAAGATGAAAGAAATTTGTGTTACAAATAGAATTTTGTCGCGTTGAGGTCAATATGTCCGCAGAGACGCAAAAAACCATAAAAATTTCCGCGTTTCCCTAATTTGGTATGCGCATTAACATTGATTATTATTACCAACACAAGAATTTTTTTTTTAATTAATGATTGCAAAATTCTTTGAAATTCATAAAATAATTGTTTATTCCTGCAAATTAAATGTGAGGTTATGTTGCGTAAAAATATGTCATAATTATGTCAATTAAATGTCAAAAAATATATAATGATAATTTCGTCTGTTCCATAGAGATGATGTCAAAATTCATAAATAAATATTTTTGTTATTAAGGATTAAGTAACAAATTTGGTAAAATCCCCACTTTTTATAATATCAGTCTGTCCTTGTTTTAAAACTAAAAAAAAATCTGTAGGAAAAGTTTATTTTTTTACAAATGTATTTTTAAACCATTTATCTTTGCGGTCACGAGTATTTTTTGAATTTTATCCTTTAAGTTTACTGATATTTCGTTGTGGTTAGACATTAGCATGCCGCAAATAACTAAAAAACAAGTCAACCAAAGTTGGTGATTCAATACATTTTTTTTAATTATAACAATTTATTTTCTAGGTTTATTAGAATTGGCTCACAGAGAATATCAAGCTGGTGACTATGAAAATGGTGAAAGACACTGCATGCAATTGTGGAGACAAGATCAAAGTAACACTGGTGTGTTACTTTTGCTCTCCAGCATTCATTTTCAATGTAGAAGATTGGATAAATCTGCACATTTTAGCACGTTAGCAATCAAACAAAATCCACTATTAGCAGAAGCCTATAGGTACTTTGAAATTAAACTTAACATTTACATTGAGTGTACCATTTCTTTTTATTTACATAGTAATCTTGGGAATGTATACAAAGAACGTGGACAACTTCCCGAAGCTTTGGATAACTACAGACATGCCGTTAGATTGAAACCTGATTTTATTGATGGTTACATTAACTTAGCGGCTGCTTTGGTTGCTGCTGGTGATATGGAACAAGCAGTACAAGCTTATATTACTGCTTTACAATATAATCCAGTAATTAATTTTAAATACATTAATTCAAAGATATCTTATTTATATTATTTATCTTTCCATAATAAATATTTCTGAATCTATAATTTAAATTAAATGTTTCAGGATTTGTACTGCGTAAGAAGTGATTTGGGTAATCTACTTAAAGCATTAGGTCGGTTAGACGAAGCGAAGGTACGTGATACGTTTAGTGTAAGATTGTACCCATTTTTCCAATCCTACCTAACCCCAAATTTCATTGAAACGATTGTCCTGATTCAAAAGGCAATCCCCATGTAAGAGAACTTCTTGGAGATGTAAAAAAAAAATTTTTTTAATAAATTTTGCGGTAAATCTAATTTTATGGGATATTTCCATTAAAAAGAAAGGGGCGCTTAGGCGTAGTACATCGGTGCGTAGAAAAATGATGAACTTTTATATTTGGCTAAAAAATCATTGCGAAAAAGGCGTATTTATTCCCGTAAAAATAAGCACAATTTTTTTTTGGTATTTATTCGAGTTTAAGCGATTGCGGATAATTTTAATTTGGCAAATTGGCGTTTTATTTTTTGTCTGCTACCCTCAGAGTTCAAGTGACAAAGTTTTTATTATTAAAGTATTACAGAATTTATTTGTTTTGAGTAATTAATGTATATAAATACTTTATTGGACTTCAGGGAAGCAATTTAGGTTATTTTTTGTATATACAATGATAATTATGTTTTGGCGCTGAGCAAATTAAAAAGCACAGAAGATTTGCGTCTTTCTTATTCGTTGTCAATAATTAATAATAAAAACATTTTTCGATTTTAATTCAGAAACATTTAGTGGTGGCATAATTTTCTGTGTTTAAATAATTTTTTTAATGGCATAATTTGGACTTTTCAGCTTGTTACATCTCTCTGGTTGTGCTGAAGGACAACGTCCAGGTAACGAACTACGGCTGAATTTTGTTTTTGGTAACCGTTCTTTGTATGCGTATGCGTAACTACTTTTTGACTTAATTTTATTTATTACAAATGGAAATATCCCGTGAATTTTTTAAAAGGTCTCTTGCTTTCACTTGCTTTTATTGTTATATTTGAAATGTTGATTTTATAAGGTTGTAGGTAAAATGAATGAAACAAAAAGAATAAAATATAATCATCGTCTTTTGCAAATATTTATTGTAAAATGTATTTCTTGGAATCTCAAATTCAATTTTGCTTCTATTTAAAAAATTTTGAGTAATTGTTTAATTTTTAACAATTATCCAACTTGGGGTATTTTCCAAGTTGTCTATATGATGTATAAATCAAGGATGATAGTTCTAATTTTAATTGTTATTCAGCGCTAGATTGTTGTATTTTTTTATTGGACTAAAAGTGGAACTAACACTAGACTTAGCACAAGGAACGCTCGGGTTTAGCCGTACGTGTCTTAAGACGGCTAAATCCGAATGTTTCTAGTTCTAGGTTTCTAACACTAGATCTGGAATTAGAACCATTTGGGTTTAGCCGTCTTAAGAGACGAACGGCTAAACCCGAATGGTTCTAGGTCTAGTGTTAGTTTTAGTTGTTATTCAGCGTTAGGTGTCTTATATTTCTATTGGACTAACACTAGACCTAGAACTAAAAACATTTGGGTTTAGCCATCTAAAGGGACGAACGGCTAAACCAGAATGTTTCTAGGTCTAATATTAGTTTCAGTGACAGTTCTAGATTGCCCTAGTTATCACTACAAATCTCTATGTTGTATATTTTTATTGAACTAACACTAGAACTAGCAGTATTCAGGTTTAGTCGAGCGTTTGAAGACGTCTCTTAACCCGAATGTTTCAAGTTCTAGGTCTAGTGTAAGTTCTAGTTTAAATTGTTATTCAGCGCTGAAGTCACGAACGGGTCTTCAAGCTTTTTCACCTGTTTCCGGGATGTAGCAGTCCTCTTAAATTTTACCGTCTTTGATATAAATATAAAACCACGTAGACTGAGCGCAACGGTTATGGTATTAATCTGTTATTATATCGAGGTTTTACAGTACTAAATAACAAAAAATCAATGGATTTAAAATGAACCTTATAAAATAAACATTTTTGCAATTCCTTGCATTCACCACACCACATTTTTTTACTGTTATATGATACGTTTTATCGTGTAATTACCCCAAAGAGGACTTTCACCAAAATTTTTCACTTAAAATACTTTAACCAGACCGGTTTAATCGGAAATTAAAATTTAAAGTAAAAAAATTAAATGTGATTTTAATGTTTTTGAAATTAAAATTTTAAGTGAAAAGTTTAAATTTCATACTTTTTTTTTCTAAAATAAAAACTTAGGTCTGAATTGGTCATATCTGATTAAAAACTCATTGATTGATGAATGCAGGTACGAACCGGTCCCGTTATTAATTTTTAAAAAAGTAATAAAGAGAGACAATGTTTTGGTGAGTTTCCGAGTTTGTGGCCCGACCATACGATAAAAGTGATAGCTATACTAATGGTATTACTATTGCTGTATAAAAACACAGGTATGTGGCAACCGATTGTGATTGTGACGCGCTCCGAGACCCGGATTCAGGCGGGTAAAACAATTGGGCAATTTTCATCCAGGTAATGTACGCAAGCGACGAATATATGTAGCGCGGGAATCGCTTCTTTATTTTTAGGTGGTAATATGGACTGTTATTCGAGACCTCTCGCGCGCGATCCTATATTATTTTCTTCCAAACAAGATTCAGCTCCTTCACCGTTTCCAATTTTCTTGTATAACGCGGTTCTTAAACGAACCAAGCGCTAGAGCATCCATCATCAAAAATAACTAATAGCAAATAAACTATCCTTTTTTTTGCAGAAAAGAAAACTTAATTTTAGTTTAATTTACAGCAGCGCTCCGCGTACGAAAATCGTTGCGCATCTGCGAAAGCAATCATCTCTTTGTGGCGCGATTTTTAATTTGGCGATTGCGCAATACGCTAAAACAGCCTTATCTTTCCCTTTCTTGTTTCTCTATTTGCTTTGGCTTTAAAAATTTGAATTTGAGAGGTTTCTCGATGTGGATATTTGCGCTGCGCGAATCTAAACAAAATTTGTCTGTCGAACAAATTGATCACCGTTCGTTTTGTTTTGTTGTTTTTCTTAGGCGTGTTACCTGAAAGCTATCGAAACGCGGCCTGATTTTGCGGTCGCCTGGAGTAACTTGGGATGTGTCTTTAATGCCCAGGGAGAGATATGGCTTGCTATACATCATTTTGAAAAAGCCGTCGGCCTAGATCCGAATTTTCTCGATGCTTACATTAATCTTGGAAATGTTTTAAAAGAAGCAAGAATTTTTGACAGGTAAGTTGTAGTTTAATATGTAATCTGTGAGGTTTTTCCGCTACATTTCCCCGCTGACATTCCTATGATTAGAAACCTAATCCTTAACTAAGCAGTATCCTGAGATGATAATCTGTTGGGGTTTTATAATCGTACAGCTTACGCTGTATATGTATAACATTATCCTCAAAATCTCTTTGATATTTGCATTTCGGTATAATTGCGGTAATTAGAATAATTTAATGCAAGAACGCATTAAGCAGGTTATGTACAAGAAAAATGGCATTTTTTTGCAACTTTTGAAGTTATGTGTAAAACGCACAATATTATTTTGCAGTATTCTATCTATTTCGTCATGTAGTACGTATTATCTTTGCTCTTCAAAATGCGCTATTGAACGGTGCTGTACTATTTTTTCGTCATAAGTTATGACCCTTAAAACACTGAACGCGGAATGAATATAACGATTGCTGGCCAATACTTAGATGTGGCCACAGAGAATACTCTTATCCAAAAATTTTAGAACAAAATCTTCTTGAATTTGATATAAGTATTTTTTTTTAAATTTATTATGTAATTAAATAGAGTAAATGAGGTTATAAAGAAATAAGGTTAATATAATTCCAGGGATTCTCTAGAGGAATTTAAGTAAATTAAACCGGCAAAATGGAACGGTTCATTAATCGAAAGTAATGAGGGATAAAATGGATACAATTATATGGAAACGAAGAATATTTATACCAAGCTATTTTTACAAATTGATCCTTTTTGTTGAAAACAAAAAAAAAGCTGACGAAACGGTCACATCGTCATTGACAAAAACCATACCGTCGGTACAAAAATAAACGTGCAGGAAACGTGACTGCTCTAAACGAGACGACCTAAAAGCAACGGAAAAGATTAAATCTGTTGACGATGAGACCTACATTCCGATGACGCGTTTGAGTTTTTTTTGAGGAATTTTTCCTCAATTTTTTTGTGCTGTCTAATTAATTATTAATGCCGACGGAGGTCATAAACCGCACGTGCTACAAATTTTTGGCAACATATTTTGGAAATGATACAAAAACCGAGTTTAGGATATGAAATTTTAAAAAAATAAATAAAAAGGGACTTTGAACAGAAAGAAAATATTTTTGAAAGTTTTGTTCCATCGTTGTTTAAGAAGAAATTGCTTTAAAAATGATATTTTTAGTAATGAATTTACGATATAAGTATGGATATTTATTAGAATGACGTGAAAAGCGCACCTTTTCAAATCAATACCTCGACTCACGTAGATACAACGGCCGATCCTGCCCAGTTCAAACCGTCCTTGACTAGTACGCAACGGTTCCTACCACGGGTTGGGCCATAATTTGTTGCCCCCGTCGCGTAACTTTATAGAACCCCTAATTGATTTGTATGCAAATAAATTGAATACGAACGACGATTTCTCATTTACGAAGTGATTTTCTTCACATAATGAAGAGAAATAAAAAGGTGAGTTAATTCTAAACATTCCTACGTTTAGGATTGCGTGAGATACTGTGGTGGATTTTGCGTGTGCAAAAGAGGCGATCGCGCAGCCTCTGGTGTCCATGGAAACCGACGGGACACCCACCCAGAACGTTGTGTCCCGGTGGGGTCGTCGGAGCCGAGGCCCCTTTCAGTCGCCGTGAATCTACCACCGCAGTCCGATTCTCTTTTCCGCCCAAATTCAACCCCTTTCGTTCCGTCTTCATCATCTACGTTTTCATTTCCTTCTTAGTGTAATAGATGACGCGCGTGATGTGGCAGCGTCGTCCTCATCAATGTGTAGAACGGCTTTTTCGAAACTGACCAAAAAAAAACTTTTTTTCGCAAAAATTTCTTTTTCAATCCCGTACTTTTAGATTTAAAACGAAAATCAAAACGAAACGCAAACGACAATAATAGCAGGGATCATAGCCGAATTATTTTTTATTAAGCGTAAATGTTAAGTTTTTTAATAAATTAACTCGAAGAAAACAATGTGAGTATGTTAGAAAAGATTTATTTCGTTTTAATGGACTTTAAATCGAATTAGATCACTGACACGCGTCAAACGCGCTTTGATCCGCACAGAAATAACCCATTCGTTCTTCTCGGCTTACAAATTTAAAGTCGATTGAAATATGTAAATGTGGGAAGTCTGCCAGAAGCCTTACGGAAGACCGACTTCCACTATCCGGGAAAATATCTTTATGATGCCAACGGTATAAAATCTTTTCTTACGGGGTTCATTCCTGAATAGAATCATTCAAAAATTATTAAATATCTTCAATAAAACAAGAATATTAAAATGTAAAATTAAAGTTGCATTTTCATATATTTTGTAAACGCCCTGTATGTTTTCAATCTTATTGAACGAATTTTATTTTAAGTTTTCTAAAAACGAAATGGTTATTTTGGTGCGTTTTACATTTTCGTATGTCTCCGATGGTGTGTGTCTCTCCTTGATTGAAAATCAGCCAATTTCGTGTAATCCTCGAAAAAGGATAGAAACAGCGGAAGCAAAGATCGCTTCCCTCGGGCGATTGCGGGAATCGTTCGTGCGATTCCGTCGCTGGTAATGAGAAAAAGTAGGTAGTGATCGTCGACGAGAGAAGTTGGTGGACGCGGTGGCGATGCGTGCGCGATGGAGTTACAGTGCGTCGTCGTTTACACGATCATCGATATACCGGAACCGAAACCGCCACCGGGGTTCTTTGCCGATTCGTCGTCGACGGAAGTCGGCTGTCTCGGATGGATCAAGAATCAAATCAAAAGGTTTTAATAAATATCAAGAAATTTAAAACTTTTTATATAAAGGAAAATATCTTTATGAATTAGTAGTTAACGTGTAGTTAACCAGGGCAGTTGATGTTAGAGGGTTGTTGGTGATTTCTAAATTTGTTCTCAACCAGAGGGAAATTGTCGACAACCTGTTGCTTGTAATTTCACCCTGCCCCATTCTATTTAAGTGCTGTCCCTCTATTTAAAAAGTCCCCCCTCTATATGAAGAGATTATGTATCCTAAGAACACTTTGTTGGTTGTTGAGAAAATTAGATGATAAAAATGCTTACATTTTAATTCGAATACGGGGTGAGTCATAAAATCACCTTGAGTATCAGTATCCCGGTATTTAACAGCTACCATAAATAAATTTTCTTTAAAAATAGGTTTTATCTATATTTAACGTAATGTTAATCAAACGTTAATCGAGAGTAAACGACAGGTTAAGTAAAAATTTGCGTTCAAAAATCTTTTAATTCACGGATAATGTTGCGTTAATTTCAATGCAAGGGTTAAGCCAGCAAAGCCAAGTTAATCGGTGTTATTCAAATGATCTTTAATGCAAGGTTAAAGTCCTATCATTAAATTAAAAGACGCTTAACGTAGCCTAATTAAATGTTGGTTATGTGATTAATTAAACGGTGATTACACTACATAAGGGGCTATTTAGGACCGTTTCATGAAGTTCATTTTATCACCTCCATAATAACGCCAACGGGAAGCAACAATAACATACTTTATGATATCCATTTGCGGCAGTGTAAAGTATTTTACTTGTCTCTAAAGTACTTAAATACTTGTCAACATTAAAAAAAAGGCAGCTGGATTTGAACCCTTTCTTTGAGCTACCGACCTTCAATACCTAATCAAACTTTACCGAGGTATATTAACAAAACAAATCATTTGTCACATATTTGATATCACTCACAAGTTACATTATCTTCATATATTTAAATTTTGCGATTGGCGATAAAATGTTGTATGCATCGAACTCGTCTCGCTCGCTTGGATCATAATCTCAGACTTGTTCGATAAAGAATCACTTTGCTAACTTGATACATAACTATTATTTCATACTGTTCGGTATATTGATGTTTACATCATCAATTTGAGTCCGGTAAGTGAAGTATAACAACACAAGGCCGGTAAGTGTTCCTAAGCTATAAACTTACCGGACGTAGCAACACCGTTGCCATAGAAAAAGAGGTCATAATATGTCATTTTTAATTTTTGAAATAAGTAAATGTTTTACACCGTAATTGCTGTTTAAGCAGACTCCGACGGTTAACCGGTCTTGTACCCTAATACTCTTCTTAAAGGAATGATTTTAAACTTTAGTTCAATAATAACGACTAATAATAACATTCGTTATCATAATTAACTTATGATGTATCACAATGGATAATTACACAAACGTCAAATTTGAAAATATGTCAATTTTAAATTTGTCATCTGATGTGAGTCACGGAACGTACGTTTCAATGCGATGGCCATGTTTTCATTTACGCATTTCAATAACCTTGAATCGCTGAATTCTTTCAGACATTGTGTACAACGTAACAACAACAGTTGTTTAGAATCTTTCCATCAGTTCGTTTACTAATAAATGCCATGCTGTACAGTTTTAAGAAAACACTGCTATTTTTTAAGGTATCTAAAAATACAAGATGGAAAATAATAAAATTTTTGATTTTATGAATTTAAATGTTTTTATTAACGCTTGCACTCGAAATTCAAACTCAAACAAGTTTGTTTTTTGATAGCGACGTGTTTAAGCAATAAAGATGTATAGTAGTGATGCTAAATACTTCGATGGTGTCGGTTTATTTGTTTAAACAATTTTATTAACCTTCAAAATAACAAATTTAATTCGTAATTTTATATCGTTCCTTTTTTTTCCTTTCAAAACAATATTTTTTATTTATCTGTTATAGAGCGGTAGCAGCGTACTTGAGGGCTTTAAATCTATCCCCAAACAATGCGGTCGTTCACGGAAATCTCGCTTGCGTCTATTACGAACAAGGACTCATCGATCTCGCAATCGATACTTATCGGCGCGCGATCGAACTACAACCGAATTTCCCAGACGCTTATTGCAATTTGGCGAATGCTCTTAAAGAGAAAGGGCAGGTAGCGGAAGCCGAGGAATGTTACAATACCGCATTGAGGTTGTCGCCATCGCATGCTGACTCATTGAACAATTTAGCGAATATCAAACGAGAACAAGGTTATATTGAAGAAGCAACGCGTTTATATTTAAAAGCATTGGAAGTATTTCCGGAATTTGCCGCTGCTCATAGTAACTTAGCTTCGGTATTACAACAACAAGGGAAATTAACGGAGGCTTTGATGCATTATAAAGATGCGATCCGTATCCAGCCGACGTTTGCTGATGCTTACTCGAATATGGGTAATACTCTTAAAGAAATGCAAGACGTGAGCGGTGCTCTTCAATGTTACACAAGAGCGATTCAGATCAATCCGGCTTTTGCGGATGCGCATAGTAACTTGGCAAGCATTCATAAAGATTCTGGAAACATTCCCGAAGCGATTCAATCATATCGCACCGCTTTAAAACTAAAACCCGATTTCCCAGATGCGTATTGCAATCTAGCTCATTGTCTACAAATCGTATGCGATTGGACTGATTACGATATCAGAATGAAAAAGTTGGTTACAATTGTTGCCGATCAATTAGATAAAAATCGTTTACCATCCGTTCATCCACATCATTCTATGCTTTATCCGTTATCTCACGAATTTCGTAAAGCGATTGCCACGCGCCATGCGAATTTGTGTTTGGAAAAAATCAACGTCTTACATAAACTCCCATACAAATTCGCTTATGAAATTAAAGGACGGTTAAGAATTGGTTATGTAAGTAGCGATTTCGGAAATCATCCAACATCGCATCTTATGCAATCCGTCCCGGGACTTCACGATCGCAACAAGGTCGAAATTTTCTGTTACGCTTTAAGTCCCGATGATGGGACCACTTTCCGTAGCAAAGTCGCTAGGGAAGCCGAACATTTCATCGATTTATCGCAAATACCGTGTAATGGAAAGGCGGCCGATAAAATCTATTCGGATGGGATTCAAATTCTCGTTAACATGAACGGTTACACGAAAGGTGCAAGAAATGAAATATTTGCTTTGCGTCCGGCACCGATTCAAGTGATGTGGTTAGGATATCCTGGTACGAGTGGTGCAAGTTTTATGGATTATTTAATTACTGATGCTGTTACCTCACCGTTAGAATACGGTCATCAATACAGCGAAAAATTGGCTTATATGCCACACACTTATTTTGTCGGTGATCACAGGCAAATGTTTCCTCATTTAAAAGAACGTTTAATTGTTAGTGATAAAAGCAGTAATAGCGTTGCTGATAATGTTGCGATTATAAACGCAACCGATCTTTCGCCTCTTGTTGAAAATACAGATGTTAAAGAAATTAAAGAGCTTGTTCAAGCGCCTGCAAAAACAGTTGAAATCAGTCTTAAAGTTGCTGAGCTTCCAACAACAACACCAATTGAAACAATGATTGCTCACGGACAAGTACAAACCTCCTTAAACGGTGTGGTTGTTCAAAACGGTTTAGCAACCACCCAAACTAATAATAAAGCAGCAACCGGAGAAGAAGTTCCACAAAACATCGTTATCACCACTCGACAACAATACGGATTACCAGACGAAGCAATCGTATACTGTAATTTTAATCAATTATACAAAATCGATCCGTTAACACTTCAAATGTGGGTTAATATTTTGAAAAACGTTCCTAATTCCGTTTTGTGGTTATTGAGGTTCCCGGCTGTTGGCGAACCGAATTTACAAGCGACCGCTCAGCAATTAGGACTTCCAGCAGGAAAGATTTTGTTTAGTAATGTGGCGGCGAAGGAAGAGCACGTTAGAAGGGGTCAGTTGGCCGATGTTTGTTTGGACACACCGCTTTGTAATGGACACACAACGAGTATGGACGTATTGTGGACCGGAACCCCCGTCGTTACACTTCCGGGGGAAACTTTGGCATCAAGAGTTGCCGCTTCGCAATTGGCTACTTTGGGTTGTCCGGAATTAATTGCCAGATCTAGACAGGAATATCAAGAAATTGCTATTAAGTTAGGAACGGATAAGGAATAGTAAGTATTTTTTATTTCAAATTAAAATGGTTTAATTTTAATTTTTTTTTTTTTTTTTTTTAATTTCTTTAGTTTGAAAGCAATGAGACATAAAGTTTGGACAGCGAGGACGAGTTCACCATTATTTGATTGTAAACAATACGCACAAGGTTTAGAGATGCTCTACCACCAAATGTGGCAGAGGTACGCCAAAGGACTTAAAGCCGATCACGTAGCAGCTATCGAGAAATAAGAAAAATATTTAAAAAAAATTGACTCCAAAAAAAAAAAAAGAAAGAAATGGATCACAGTATTTATTCATTTTCTCTTATATAATTAGCAACATATACAACATATATATTTTTATTATCTTTGTTATTAGCTTAGGATAGAGCGACTATTTTTTTTTATTATTTAGTTTTCAATTTTCAAAGGAGGTTCGCGTGGGCGATCCTCTAAAGAAGCTAGAATTGTGTATAAAAAGATAAAGATCGTAAAAAAAAGTGTATAGTTGCGATACGTTTCAAGTTAATGTCTTTTTTGAAACTTGAGACTTAATTAGAGTGTGTGACAATTTCTCAAAAAAAATCGTAAATGATTGATCGCTGTGCTGTAATTATTTATAAAAGAAACGTATGTTAAGTGTTTTTAATGCCTTTTATTGTATTACCCTTAAAATACCCTTAAAATGATGTTGGAAAGCGATGAGTGGCCGTAATGTTCCATGACCTACAAAAATAATAAGGTAAGTTGTTTAAATTTTAATACTAGATAAGTTGAGAATATAAAAAAGATTTTTTTGTGGTTTTAATAGTAATAATTGCCAAATTTGATTAAATGCTAAAATTAATCCAAATGTATTTGCAAACTCAATATTAGTATATCTCGTAGATCTAGTTTAATGAGCAATTAGTACCGAGCGAGATTTGCATAGGGCAAAGGTCGTAAAGTGGCTTTACTAAAGCGGTTTAAAGCTGCACCCAATGGATTAGTTGTGGCTAAAATACAGCAAACCACAATTGCTCAACAGCTTCAGAATCTATTAATTTATATACATGAATTTACAGCAAGAGAGGCCTGTAGAAAAACTTACCTTGAAATATAACTTGAACTGATTGAATTTAAACAGATTTTGTGCAGCTTTTTCTTACATTTTATTGTTTTATCATCTTAGTTCAGTTAAATTTTAATGAGATTCAACATAACACCACAACAGAAACCAAATTACTGATAAAATTTAATGAAAAGGGCGCTATATTGTCCAAACGTCAAAGTTGACAGGATTTGTTTTTGACGTCTTAAATGTCAAAATCCCCGTCAGTATAGGTTATGATGATGACCCACCTTTTCATATAATTTGAGGCTATCCCATCGAAATTATACATTTTTCCGTCAAATAGCTTTTAAGAAAGAAAATCATAAAGTGACAACACAACAACAGAAGCCCAATTACAGATGAAGTTTCATGAAAACGGAGCTATATTATCCAACCGTCAAGTTGACAGGATTGGTTTTTGATGTGTTAAGTGTCAAAATCCTTGTCAATATAGATTATGATGATAATAATAATAATAATAATATTCCTTTATTACCCAACAGGCATAGCCCAAAAATCTATCTATGATCCTACCTTTTCATATAATTTTAGGCTATTCCATCGAAATTATACATTTTTCCATCAAATAGCTTTTAAGAAAGAAGATCATAAAGTGGCGGTATCGCGCAAAACTATCTTTTATCATTTAACTCGCGATAAGAAACAGCGTCGTCGGAATTGTTCAAATTTGTGTACCTATTATATAACAAATGATTACTGCAGATTTTTTAATCAAATGGTTACCGATATATCAAAGACTCATACGATTGTGTGGAAACTAAAAGAATCGTTTAAAAAAATTTCATTGACGTCCACTGAAATGATCTAAAAATAAAACAATTTGTTCGGCAGACCGAAACCTCTTCGAGTGCATCCACTACAACCGCAGCCGCAACCAATAAACTTACGGGCAAACGCACAACTATGACACCATTGTTATCAGAATGGTCTGTTCGTGTATAAGTGCGGCAGCGTTGGCGCCTTCATAGTCGCCACCGACGTCGTCCACGTACCGGTGTAAACCTGGCTTCAATGGAACTCGTTCCTAACGGACTCTCAACGTCCGCACCTCGCGTTTATTCGCCGACGACGTGTTTCTCAAAACGGGAACCTCTTTCATTCTTTTAAACAACTCCAAGTTTAGTTTTGAACTTGACGCAATGTTAAAATCGTCGTTTCGCCGGTTAATTAAAGTTCTAATTAAATTATCAGTCGATTGATTGCGTTCGTTGTTTTGGTGGTTCTTGTATTTGCGCGATTTCTTCATTGATTAACGTTTTTCTCGTCAACTTCTTTTATTGTCGATCTGGAGAGGTAAATCTGTAAATCACGCGGAGCTGACGCTTTCAACAGAAGACGGAAAATATAAAGCCCCCCCAAGGTACGTTATATTATTATTGAGTGAGCCCCCACCTTTCACGTTTATAACGTAATTCGAACACCTGTTTAGGCCCGCTTTTTCTTTCCCCGGTTCATCAACAGGTGTTCGTCGTTATTCGGTGGGGATTTCATGTATATATTTTTTTAGTTTTTTTGTTGTATGTTTGTATTATAAAAACAACGTCACTTTTACAATGAAGATAATTAATTTCAATTGAATTGTTACTTAATTCAAATCAGGTTAAATAGATAAAGGTCATTGTTAAATTTGCAAAGATAATAGGTAATTTTAAATTATTGAAATTGCAATGAAGAAATTTAAATTTTTTTTAGGTGATGTGTCAAATTTTTTGACAGTTCTATTGTTTAGGTTAAATTCAACCAAATTTACAAAATTCAAAAAGAAATCAAAAAATAGTGTTAAACTATAAAAGTTCTCAACAACGACTTATATATAATTGTAAATTGTTCCATTTACACCTTCGGCCTTGGTAGAAAACAGTGCATGAACAAGGCTGGTGATATCACGTAACACTTTTTGTCGTATTTGAAGCCGAATAAAAGGCAAAACGGGGTCTCAAAATAAAACAAAATTAAAGTAGATTTGTATGGACTTTATTGAATATCATTTAGGTGTGTTGTTCTTTGAGAAATGTTTCACCTTCTCTTAGTCTTACGATACTTAGCCCGAGGGAAATTATTTGAAAACCACATTAGAAACGTGAATTGAACAAGATTTACATAATATCAATAAGCCTTTTGCGTAATAAAAAGAATGTTAAAACCCTTAATTTGTTAACAATCTTAATTTTTCCAGTATTTATTTTTATCGTCAGTCTAAAAATATGTTTCTAGCAATTTAAAGAACTTATACGTTTCTAATTCTTACTCAAGTTATTTAAACGATTCTATTTGTCGTTTTAAAACAAAGTACGTAAATTTGCGTTTCATTACGACAATAAACCATAATGAAATGAAACGATTCGTAATAATTCAAACTGAATTAGAAATTGCAAACAAGATCGGACGTTATTTACAAATTGAGTTTTAAACGCTCGGGTTTCTTGGGGAATTATTAAACACACATTGTGCGCTTAAACGGCGCCGTCTACATTTTAATCGAATCTGGATCTAAAAACTTGCAAACGCAATAAATCTCACCTCTATTACCTTGATTCGCTGGTGCAAAATTTCACGTCTAAAGATAGAAACTGGTAAACAATGAACATAATATACTATTTAAAACCGGCTCGTTTATTTTACGCAAACCCCCAAATATTTTTTAGTTACTTTTATTTTCCCTTATTAATCTTTACGGTTATTTATATTAAAATAGATTTAAAAATAACCTCGAAATTATGACAGTTTGTGTATGTAATTAGTAATTTTTTCGTATAAAATGACATTTGGTAGCACTGCGTTTTAGTACTTTTTGACATTTAATATAACCTCAATTATCACTTTGTGAAAATATTATTTTAAAAAATATTGGATATATTTCAATGAAAAGTGGAATAAACCTAAATAGATTATTTAATTTTCGTTTATCTTCGTTATTATTTATATTTCGTTTATTTATATTGCTTATCTAAGTGGAGTGAAACCTTATTCCTTTTTGAGTTTTTTGGTTCAAATGTCTATCTGTTTCTATCGTAATAAAATGCCGGGAATTTCATATAACTCGCAATATATAAATGCAATAACCATAGTTAAGAAAATACTATGCTCTTGCACTGTCCCACATAAAATGCAACATAGCTTAATAGTACAGGCATTGAGTAGTTTTGCTTGGAAAAAGGTGACGTCCTTATGATAACCCTGAGTTTTCTGCCGTCTTGAGAGACGCATGGCTAAAGCCGAATGTTGCTGGTTCTAGGTCTAGTGTTGGTTCTACTTTTCTAACTAGCACTACCTACCACTGTCACTAGTTCTAGGTCACATTAGACCTAGAACTACAAAAATTCGGATTTTTGAAAATTGCGTCTAAACCGGAATGTTTCTAGTTCTAGATCTAATGTTCTGGTGACAGTGGTAAGTAGCGCTAGTTAGCATAAGATATCACTATGTTGCATATTTTTATTGCACTAAAACTAGAACTAACACTAGACCTAGAACTAGAATGTAGCGGGTTTATGTGGGACAAAGTAAGTAGGTACGCCCTGGTTTCTATGGAAATATATTTTTGTATATTGCATTTTAAGTGAAATTCACTGTATGTATGTATAAAACGTTTAAAAATTGATATGAGTAATTAATTATTGTTAAAACAATTCAGTGTTTATTAAATTACATCAATTGATATAGATTAGATTTTCGTTGATATAGAAATATACTCACCGATATTTTTATTAAATGAAACGAAATTCTACGAAAACCCTAATTTTTAAAACAATTACTTCTAAAACATTTTCACCTACGTGTTTGTGAACCAGTCTAACCCGAAAAATCATCATCATAAATAGATTAAACAATTTTTAATTAGGTAAGCGAAATCATTTAACACGACTAACCTTAAAATTGATTCAAAAATTTAAATTATATACAATTACGTTTTAATTGTTCAGAAATTTACTTAAAATAATTAAATTAAAAGTGACGTTGGTTTAAATTTTGACAGTTGTAGAAGATTTTTTAGGTTAATTTTTGAGTATCTTTATTTATTTTTTTTTTAATTTCAGATTTAATAAATAACGTTCTTCGAATGTCGAGAAAAAGGAAAAGACACTATTAAAATTTTAAAATAATTAAAGTGTGTTAATTGTTAAAATAATGGGAGATTCTGAAAGGAATAATTCGCCGAGTTCTGTTGACCATAAGAACGGAAGGGATGTTAAATCTTTGGAACCGTCGGAAGTAGATCCTTGCATTGACGAAAAAATACAAAGGAATAAGTTTTTAAATCGGGCGGAAGTCGCAATACGTAGAAAAACTGGATTATCACAAGAAGGTGTGAAGTACGCGATCGGTTTAGTGATTTTAACATTGGTTTTGTTCGTTATTGTTATTGCGTTGGCAATCGCGTGGCCCTCCGTTCCCCATCATTTCGAATATCCAATTTGTAGAGATCCTGCGTGTCTTCGTGCGGCTTCCCAGGTAAGTTTTCGAAGATTTATTTTTAAAACGTTAGTTTTATGCAACCAGTATTACATATTTTATTATTTTGTTGTATTCTACAATATGAACCCATTTTTGTGTCATATTTCATATTCTATGTGTTCTTTTATTGTCATTAGTAACATTACTTAGCTTTCGTTATTTCGTTAAAGCTAATTATCAGCACTTTGAAGACATTTGACAGAATCTGTCAAAATGACATTAAAAAAAAAAAGAATTAGGTTGGTACTTAATTGCCTTGAAATTGAAAGTTAATTGCAAAGTTTAAAATACGAATTTTTAGCAAAATTTTGGCTCGATGCAGCATTTTGATTGAATAGTAAATTATTTATAGGTAAACCTTATTCGTTTTCTTATTGTATATGAAAATTAACTCATTTTTTGTAAAATTGGATTCCTAATGAAACATAACCTCAAAAAATCTGATTTAATTAATCTGATTAAAGAAGAAAGATTTAGTAGCAGTTGCAACAACTTTATTCACAAGACTATTTTGAAATTTCCTGTTTTTTTTATTATTTTGTTCACTTTTGGGTTAGCGTACTCCCAATCGTCCAAACAAATCGAATGTGGAGAACGAACGGCGCAACAGGAAACTTGGATTTGTTGAAACGCGCTCTTACAAAGTACAAAAGGCCGCGCGGCGTCTCTCGGTTCTAACAGTAAATCACTCACAAAGGGAAAGAACGAAATTGTTTACAAGGGGTCCACGGAAAGACGAAACAATATGCTATATTTCAAACAAACCATTATGTACCCGAGTATTTTTAAAATTAAAAAAAATCGAGAGAGAACACTATGAGACTTTAAAAATTTTATTTTAATAAAAGCTTCGTGATTTGCAAAGATTGGGTCAAACGTGAGAGAGGTCAAATGGGGTAAATGTACCCTAAAGTGGTTTATTGATTTTTAGAATCTAGTTTCTATTCTCCACAAGCTCAGATTCAACTGGATTATTTGATAACAAAGAACGGAAAAGGTTGTTAATAAAGAAATTGTATATAAACGAATAATTTTATAAACATTTTCGTGTCAAATTTCAATTTTAAAAAGGACAGGTCGGCATTTTCGTTTGGTTTATAAGCCTGAAATCAATAATATTATTGAATTAACTTATTTTTAATTATCGTAATGGCTTTTACTAACTTTAATGATACTAATCCCGGTGTAACAGGCATCCATTTTTCTGGAACTGGAGGTAAACATTGAATAATCCGTTCGGGTTGTTTTTCAAATGGCTTTATAACTGGTTTGTACTCTCGGTTATCGGCGATATCACCAATTCTGTTTTTGCACCATTGAATACAGTGTCTCTCAGGAACTAAAAAAAATAAATTTAAAATATTATATTTTGAAAAAAACAATTTTACGTTGATGAAGTTTAACTTTTCGGTCAAGATGTCCAAATGAATGAAATTGGTGTTCTTCTACTAATTTTTTATATTCCTCACAACGACACGTTTCCATTTATTAGTTTTTTTTAATTATTTCCAATATACATGAAAAATTATTTGGTAGTTTTGTGTATTTTGACGTTGTCAAACCAAAACGGCATTAAAAAAGACACGAAAATGTTTGTTTGACTTTAATTATATGCCATTTTTAAAAAAATACCAACTTTAAAACTACTTTTTAAGTTATTCTTTAATTGTTGACTTTAAAATTAATTTAATAATATTTATAAAAGTGTAAATCCCATCTATCGAGTAAAATATTAAATTAAATTTTTAACTCTGTGAAGTTAGTTTTTCAACTATAATGTCAGTTGTCAAATAATGTTTTCATTAACTTAGCTAAAATTGTTGATTACGTTCAATAACTTGGAACAACAAATTAAAACGTTTCAAAGCAAAAATTTCGTTTTAACGTTTTGTTGAATACATATGTATGTGTCCCGATTTGTAAATTAATCCGTATTGATATAATATAATCGATTTACTTGAAAACATCGATACACGATATTTTGTAAGTTCTTGAATCCAATTTAGGTTAATTTAATTCATCTGATGTTTATGAAAATATTTTTTTTTTACATTTTCTAGTTTAAAACATCTAAATTAACCTTATTTTATTGTTAGTGACCTTTGATGGGCCCCCGTATTACTTCTCGGTTATTTCTGTACAACGTGCCCAACAGCAGCATGGTCATAGTTTCTTATCGTTGTTTACGACCTTTCTTGCATAATTATGTAAATATAAACTTGGTTAAAATACAATTTTACCTGTTATCGAAAAATTTATCGTCGCTATATACACGGAAAAACCTAGAATTAAATGTAAAGAAAAACTAGAGAAACAGAATCAAAATAAATTAAAAAAAATGAAATAAAAAGTAGTTCTTTTATGTTCGGTTAATGTTTAAGTCTATAAATAGACGTTGTTTGCTTTTTAGCTTCAGCAAAGTTTGAACGCGTCTACATCACCCTGCGAAGACGTATGGACCTGGGCATGCGGAAATTGGTTGGCGACAAACAGTTTGCCCGGCGAAAAGGGCATTTGGGACCAAAAAGAACAGTTGAACAAACGAGGTAAGTGTTTTTTATTTATCTCACTTCATTTCGCATCTTTACGTTATATTTTACACTACATTTATCATAGTTTGTGGTTATTTATCCCTAACACACCCCATTTATCTAAATATCACGCAAACTCAGTTGTAACATCCGAAACTTTTTACCCATTTCGCCCATAAATAAAGATTATCCTTTTAGTTGATTTTAATCCTTTTTGCTTTAAAACGAGACATCCTGTTTCATCCAGATCTCTTTTAAATTGATTAATTGATTTAAATCTCTTTAAGCGGCCGACTTTTTCCGTCTTGTTAATCTTAAACAAACTAACCTACTTAGTATGAATTATCTAAGATGGTCCGAGATAATCCTTTTCTATTTAGAAGCTGCTTTGTTTTTTTTCTACGAACAAAGCGTTTCTTTGAATACAACGCGAAACGGAAGCTTCACTCATACCCGTTTTAACTCCTGCTGGCTCATAACTCCACTTGATTTATCACTGGATGTCAAGATGAGATGTATAGGTTTTAATTAAAACCAGTACCTAACAATTAACTTAATTATAACTTCCTACCTAAATTTGAATAAGTTTTAATAAATGTTTTTATTTGTTGTAGAAGACATTGTTGTTCGTGATTTAATAACAACACTACCGTTGCCTTTACAACTTGGAACGTTAGAATGGAAATTGATGCACTTCTATGAATCTTGCATGGACGTAGATACGATCGAAATCGATAAGCATCGACCGCTGGTTAGCATGATTAATGAATTGGGTAAGTTTAATCTCATTTTCAATCAATTCTCGTTGTTTAGTCCCACCTTATTTTTGATGATATTCATCATGGCGCTTAAGAACCAGATTAACAATTAATAATAAATTAATATGTAATTAGTGTTCGCGTGATGTTTAAAAAAATGTGTTGAAAATTAAAAATAAGTTAACGATTACTTTGCGTGTATTAACAATTCGAGAAACGTTTCAATTATTTCTAATAGTCGCTTTTTCTTGTGAATTTATTTAATTGACCTCAATTCCTCATCTCTACATTCATTCAAAGCTAAATACTATTTGTATAATAGACTACATTCGACGATACGTTGATATCGATTTTGATAGCGCCAATATAGTTAGGGCGTTGCATTGCGTTTCGGAGAAGGTGATGCGGACAATGTGTTTTATTGGGTCACGTTTAGTAATAATTGGTATTGATCGAAAACCATTTTAAATGAATTTATTTTGTATCTAAAGATAACTTCTTCAAGTGGACGAATTTATATTTATAAATACACGGTGTATTTTCAAGAAGCACTCTAATCCTAAGATTACTTGTACATTTAAAAGTTATTTTAGACCCGGTTCAGATGGGATCCATCATCGATGTTGTTATTAGGTTCATCAATTTTTAGCATGGTGAATTTTATCTTTTCCAATTTGAAGGAGTACATCTAAATTTACCGTTCGTTCTAAAATGGCTTAGCCGCTTTTTTAAACACATCCTTGATCGTTTTAATCAGTTCAAAACAGTTTAAAATGTTTAAATGTCAGTGTTGTCAGTGGTTGTCAGTGATTATGTCGAAAAAGCGTTATTATTAAATCGGTTTTTGTGCTTGGAATGTCGCAAGATTTTAAGAAAGCCGCTGAAAAAGTTAAAGGAGAGATATCACAGAGATCCAAGTCCATGTCTAAGGAGCAAATGGTCGATACGATTAACGAAGCTAAATCTACACTTGCATCCATCGTCAATGACGTGCAGGATAGTCAAGATGCGAAAAAGAAATCTACAAAGAAATGAGGAGTTATTATAAAAACAATGTAAAATTGAAATGTCAAAATTTGATTTATTACGTTATTTACAAATTTTAATTTTTGCATTGTAAAGGTTATAATTATTTTTGTCTTTCTTGTTTACCTTGAAGAAACGCAAACTGTTTTTAATCTTATTCTGGTTCGATTTCTAAATCATTATGATAATTTTAAGATGGGCACATCTCATTCGTATCGCAACGCCTTTGTTCTCTCATATTTTTAACTTTTCCGGCCTAGAGATAAGAACATTTTGACGTTGTTATGTATCAATATGTACTGGAGCTGATGGCTTAAGAGCTATGTAGCTATTTCTCCTTCGTTGACTCATCTTTTTTTTTTCAGTGAGGAGTTTTTGAGCCATTTTCAATCTCAATATTTTTTCTTTGATTCTGCTTTAGTACACATCATGCATGTCGTACAGATTAATCAGAATTGATTCATCCCTGTTGAATCACTTTAGAAAAGATGTCATTATAATGTGCACCACGTCTTTTCCTTGCTATCTATCAGAAGCGTTTATTTGATTTTTTTCTTGACAGTGTCTCTGAGAAGCGTTTCTGTGTTAAGATTAATAATAAATGTCATTAAAACACCGACGATGAAGGTTACACCAATAAAGAAATTGCAAAAAAAAATTAACCAAAAATTAACAAATACCAAAAAAGGTGTTTTTATTATTGACAACATTCTTCATCCCGACAACATTGACATAACGATGCCAATCGTGTTTAAACGGGTATTTTACGTGACCTGACATTAAAATTATGACGTAGCTACATATATTATATGATGATGTGCACACACGGTCAAGTGCAAAGGTACCTTGGAACCTGTTGGGTGAAAGTTTTTAAAACTCGTACCGGTTTAATAAATAACAGCTTTTCGGTGCCGGTAAATGACCCCTTTAAAATAGAAAAAATGCTTTTAAAATCTTCAAGAATCTAAGTGTTACATTAACTTGTTATTTTTGAAGGTTGTATTCTTCCTGTCAATTGATACTTTGAGGGTATGTTTCACTTATATGTCAATAATTTAACCTTTATTAATGAACTCTTTTTTTATTATAACTCATCGTGTATTGCGAAATTACCCAACTTTTGCTTTGTATATTTTGCTTTTATTACTGATATTCAAAGAAACATTGATCTTTAAAGGTCACGCGACGACCAACATTTTACGAATTGAAAAGGAAGATTTCCCAACTTGGTCTACTCATGCCAACGGGTGAGCAATTATCAAAATGTTGCGAAAACTTCAATGCTTTTACGTTATCCAAACGAAACGCAAAATAAAAACGTTTTCGTAACACTCCTCTAAAAAAGAAATTTTTTCAACACATTTTTCTTCAATTTTTTAGATAACTCCAACTGATTAATTACTATTACTACATCGATGAGGTAATCAAACGACCTCAACAAACGATTCTTCTTGGTCGTTTTGCTGGTAGGTATGTAACAGTAGGCGTTTTCTTCAGAACAATTTATGGATTAGGTGGATATAAGATCCAATGTGAAAGTGCAATTTGTGTTGTTGTCTTTCTTCTTTAACTTCCTTGGATTCCCGACGAAATTTATTACTATCGTTTCTCTCTTTATTCTCTTTTATCGCCTCGGGATTTTTTAACGCGGAGATGACTCGTACTGGGAAGTAAAGTTGTTGACCACTCTTCGTCGCGTCGTCTGGAGAAAGTTTTTTTTCTCGGGTTTTTTTGGTCAAGGGCTTCCGAAAAAAGACACGAAGAGAAAGTATTGTCAAAAAAAAAAAAATGCTTGTTTTTATTTGAATTGCTAAATAACGATAACTTAAGCTTAACTTGTACAATTTTCTTTTGTAGAAAATTAATTAAATATGAATGTAATAAAGATAAATAAATGTATGCAACCGAATATACGTTTTATACAAATAGATATCTTATATAGTAATAATATGGATACTGTTACAAACTTCTGCATAACGAGACGGATACACATTATTTTGTTTTTTTAGGATTAATTTGAAATCATCAGCATATGATATCAGGTGAGCTGTGTTCGAGGAATAGCTTTGTTAGCTTTGTTTGATGTAGGAAGATGATGTCTTATTAGAAATCAGGACGAGAGTGAGAAATGTGTGGATGTTGATTTTGAGGTGAGGAAAAGGCATGAATGTTATAAAAAGGGGAATATAGAAGGAAATCTACTTGTCTAATGTTTGTAGCAGATCTTTTGAATTTTATGGAACCTCATCAGCATTAAAAATGTCATTACATCATATTGAGTTATATTGAATGAGGCTGCATTTTTTTTCAGTCTTCGTCATATTGTGAATGTGCAGAAGTACTTTTACAGCTTATTGAGGTGTAGCAGAGACCTCTTCATACATTTATTTAACACTCAGGGTACATAAGAAATCCTTCCACCTCAAAGCAGCAGTAATTTCTTTACATTTTTCTCTAATTACAGTTTTGTCACGTGCACGGATATTCTAATTTTTCTACCTCGGCAATTAATTGTAGTTTCTCATCTAATGTTAAACACGTTAAACGTCGGTCGTCTTGACATATTTATTTTTATTACTAACTCTCACTAAGCAGATTAATTCATTACACATACCAAGTTCATGACTGAACTAGAACATTATCATATCTAAATAATTAAGTTTATTAATAAGATGACACGGTATGTGTTCCTTGATTACATCTTTGTTACCCTTGTAAGTATCGTGGAAACGTTTATTTTCAAATTTCAATAAATTTTAATAAAAATCTGTGGGTGGAATAAGGTTAATTTAAAACGATTCAATGTCACGATTTCTTAGAAAGTTTTTTTTTCACAACTTTGCATACGTGAGATCACCCAAGCACATAATTTACATACTTTATAATAAAGTGGGTACTCACGGTTTGAGTTACAATAAAAAAGGTTATTGTAATTGGAATGTCTCACTTCACTAAATGCTTGATGTGAAGTGTTCGCACGTAAATATTTAATGATGCGAAAAAGACTTTAAAATCTTAATTTCATAAGTTATCTTAACAAAATTACCTTAAAGTAACAAATATTGTTTTTACATTTAAAGACCAGGAATCGTTCTTATTCTATTGTGACGATTACTTTCACTGAAATCGATCTAAAAATGAGGGGGTCAAGTGGGTCGACGACAAACAACCGTTGATTTCGCGATCCCCCCTCAAGAATACGAATACGAACGTTAATTTTACGCCGCCGTCGGGTTAAAATGAATCGATTTACCGTCACCGACACGGTTCTTCGACTCGATTATGTGTCGATATTGATCCGGCTCACGCAAATAATGTCTTTATTCAAATCGTAAACACTCGTTGAACCATAAAGACCACTTTTTATTATCCCCAAAGAAGTTTTTAGTTTATCTTCTAATAAATAATTTCATTTTAAATAATTGGTTTTCGTGCTTTTATATTAGCAAATATGGCAATACATATCGACGATTACTTGGAAAAGGCCGCCTCGAGACAGAGCTTGATCTATGACGCAACAAAAACAACGTGAAAACGAACGTTTGCTTTCGTAGAATAGAATATTTCGAACAGCCTTGCTACCAGCTTTATTTGCTTTGGTTATGTTTACTTTTATAATATTTAGGTAGGTAGATGTTGGTCGTCGTTTACCGCTTTTTATGTAAAATAGGTATGTTTAAATTTTCGTGAAAGTGGTTATTTAAAAAATTTTTGTGTCCCATTTTAACATTATTATTATTATCTCCAACAATTTTCATTAATTCAAAACTAAATGTGAATCATTTAAGACTGGGTCGATGGGTTTATGTAATTCAGACATTTATTGTATACTATTTACATACATTGACACACCTTTCAATATGTGTACAGAAAAAGAGCGTTTTTAGAGATTTTCTTTTAAACGAGTGGCATTACAATTAGTTTGACATTTGTGTGTGTCATTGTAGTTCATCTTCCGTCATGTGAATTTGCATGAAGAAAAGCATATT